ATGAAATTAAAAGACGCCTGGGAGAAAGGCGATGGCAAACCTAGACAGCATTTTAAAAAGCAAGAGACATCACCTTGCCAACAAAGGTCCGTATAGTTAAAGCCATGGTTTTCCCGGTAGTGATGTATGGAAGTGAGAGCTGGACCATAAAGAAGGCTGATCGCCAAAGAATCGATGCTTTTGAATTATGGTGCTGGAGGAGACTCTTGAGAGTCCCATGGACTGCAAGAAGATCAAACGCATCCATTCTTAAGGAAATTAGCCCTGAGTGCTCACTGGAAGGACAGATCGTGAAGCTGAGGCTCCAATACTTTGGCCACCTCATGAGAAGAGAAGACTCCCTGGAAAAGACCCTGATGTTGGGAAAGATGGAGGGCACAAGGAGAAGGGGACGACAGAGGACGAGATGGTTGGACAGTGTCCTCGAAGCTACAAACATGAGTCTGACCAAACTGTGGGAGGCAGTGGAAGACAGGAGTGCCTGGCGTGCTCTGGTCCATGGGGTCACGAAGAGTCGGACACAACTAAACGACTAAACAACAACAAAACTGACCAATTGTGTTGCAGATAACTCAGTTCTGTCCCCCCAACATAAAGCCTGCCCCCCGACAAAAAAATCCTGTCTGTGCCCATGCATTGAGTATATTGAGTATCCTCCAAAACACTTGAAGTAGGGACACAAGGAATCAGCAATCTTCACCCCATCCTTGCAATCTGTGCTGTTTCAGTTCTGCTACAGTTTGGCTTCTGCTGAAATCCATATCATCTGACTCACTCTATGCTGCGGCGGAAACTAACGGAAATAATTATGAAATTAATCTTAGTTCATTTCTGTGGAAGGAAAACATCAAAATCAAAGCAGAAGTTGATGTAATTGTTTTACGTAATATTTGTGGGCTGAAGAAGAAGAAGAAGAAGAAGAGCAATCTTGAGCACTGCGCTTATTTGCTTGCATGTTCTCCATTCCTGATCTTGGACAAGCAGTCAAATCGTGGCTGTTTCTTCCCCTGTTTCTGTTTCTGATAGGATTCACGTAAGAGCAGAAGAACAGCTGGATCAGGCCAAAGGCCCATCTAGTTCAGCATCCTGTTCTCACAGTGGCCAAACAGATGCTTGTAGGAAACCAGCAAGCAAGATTTGAGCACAAGAACACTGTCCCCTCTTGTGGTTTCCAGCAAATGGTATTCAGAAGCATTTCTGTCCCCGACCACCACTGAGGCAGAATGCAGCTATTCTGTCTAGTAGCCAACCATGGCCCTCTCCTCCACAAATGGTTCAAATCCTCTTTTAAAGCCATCCAAGTTGTTGGCCATCCCTGCCTCCTGTGGGAGTGAGTGCCGTAGTTTAACTATGTATTGTGTGAAAAAGTGCGTTCCTGGACTGGATAGCTCTGTTGATTGGAGTGTGGTGCTGATAACGCCAAGGTTGCAGGTTTGATTCCCATATTGGACCGCTACATATTCCTGCATTGCAGGGGGTTGGACTAGATGATCCTGGTGTCCCTTCCAACCCTATGATTCTATGATTCTATCTTTCATCTGTCCTGAATCTTCCAACATTCATCTTCATTAGATGTCTCAAGTTATAAGAGGAGGAGAAAAACTTTTATCTACTTTTTCTATTCCACACACGATTTTGTAAGCTTCTATTGTATCACCTCTTACTCTCCTTTTCTCTAAACTGAAAACTTCCAAACTTTTCTTTCTTAATAGAGGGGCTGCTCCATCGCCTCAATCGTTTTGCTTGTCCTTTTCTGAAGCTTTTCCAACTCTGCAATATCCTTTCTGAGGTGAAGCGACGAGAACGGTACGCAGTAAACTGTCCAACATCCCCCCAAGATGCAGCAGAGCCTTAGAACGGGGTTTAACATGAGCCAGGGATAAGGGCTGGAAACTCTTTTCTATGCCAGGGTTGGCAGCGCTGCAGCCGGGGGTCACCATCCTCAAGGTTAAATCACAGCAGGACATTCTTTGTGTTGGCACCGCAATCTGGAATTCCTTTCCCATGGAGATCAACAGAACGTCTTCTATTTTAACAACAAGGGGGAAGACTGAAGTATTCAGAAGGCCTGTCTTAAATTGCTCAGAAGAACATTATTGCTGGCTGATGAACTGGAATGAACCGGGATGTCTCTTACATTTCGTTTCGTTTTGCAGAAAACTTCTTTATTATTGTTCTTTTGTTCCTAGCATATCCATATGGATCTTAGATACTAATCTGCTTTGAGCTTCCACTTTGGATGGAAACACAGTAACCTAAATACAATAAATATGAATCATGGGGTGGGGGTGGGGGGGAGGAGATTATTACTTGTTTTACAATTTGAGGAGGAAACAGAAGAAGGGAGAAGATAAGGAGTGAGAATCTCAGGGCAGAATTGGCGTGAGGTCATAGCCGCACTATTAACTGAAAGCACACAGCTTCCCCCAAAGAATCTGGGGAACTCTCCCTTGTTAAGGGTGCTGTGAGGGGTAAACTACAATTCCCAGACTCCTTTGAGGGAAGCCATGATTGTTAAAGGGATATCAATGTGCACTGTAGCTGTAGGGTTCTCCTCCAGATTTCCAGGAAACCTTCTGGGGGGTCACATACCAGTGGTTGGTGCGGAGATAGGCAAAAGTGGGTGCAGCAATGTCTGCGACTTTTGCTTTGTACAATAGCCTACTTTCTGCACACACTCACGAGGGCCCCCATTTCTGCTATACAGTACATTTAAAGCAGTATCAGGCCAGTTTCAACAGTCATGGCTCCCCCCCCCCCCAAGAATCCTGGGTAGCATTGTTTGTTAAGGGTGCTGAGATTTATGAGGAGACTCTGCTATTCCCCTCACAGAACTACAATTCCCAGAGTTCCCTGGGAAGAGGGACTGGTTGTTAATCTACCCTGAGAAACGTAGTTCTCTGAGGGAACACAGGGTGCGTTTGGTTCTCCAAACAGATCTTGGCACTGATAATAAGCCGCAGGATTATTGGGGGGGGGACCCATTATTTTTAAAGTATGGTGATACTTTAAATGTATAGTGCAGGTGGGGCCTAAAAACAAACAAGGAAAAGAGGGTGGAACTGTAATGCCCTGAGGGGAAAAGGCTGCTCTCCCAACAACTCTATAAGCACCCTTTGCAAACGACAGCTCCCAGAATCCTTTGGGGAAAGCCATGTAGCGCTTTACATGAATGGGTGTGGATGCGGCCTAAATCTAAGGCAGTATTATTTGTTCTTCTGTGGGTCCCAGCTCATCCAACTCCTCCTCCCACTTGTTGTGAAGCATATCTGGAGCCCAGCTGTCAACAGTGAGCACAGCCTGTGTGAAGTATTCCTTGGCCCATAGACGCTTGCCAAGAAGAGTCCCTTCTTTATGTCCCTCCAGGGGAAGAGGATTTACCACAGTACAATCCGGTTGCGTTACCCAACTGTCCTTACAGTTAGGACGTCCCGTTTTTCATCATTTGTGTACTCTGCTGAAAACCGCGGTTGCTTTTCAGCGCAACCAGTGAGTTTCCTCTTGGCTCACTCAGAAGGTGCTCCGTCACAACCTCCTCAGGCTGATTCACACACGTTCTTGCTAAGAGTTAGGGCCTCCAATCCAAAAGAGCCGCTAGCCTGAATTCTCCACAGGCTGCTTGACCAATTTCCTGAAATGTTGGGGTGAAAGGCACCTTATAAGGAAATGTGGGCCACCAACCATCCTTTCAGCACTGTCCATCTGCGCAAAGCCTCCCCGGCAGATACTTATCTCACTTCTGTTTCCTTCAGAAAATTGCAAACCCACAACGACCTCCTTGGCTTAATCTCCTCCATCGCCCCTGCTGCAGCTATGGTTAGAACATTGGTGCTGAAACTTCTCCAAGAACGTTCCTTCTTCCAGTTTAAGTCCATCTGCTCCGAGTCTTGATATCAATAAACACAAGGAGCCATAGCATTGTGAACAGTCATGGCTTCCCCCATAGACACTTGGGAAATTTTTAAGGATGCTGAGAGCTGTTAGAAGACCCTCACAGAGCTACAATTCCCAGAGTTCCCTGGTCCTCATCCCTGAAGTACAGAGTGATCATGTTGAGAATACATGTAGATAATTTTTGTCTTTGATTCTGCTTGTAACAGAAGGTCTAGGGCAGAGAAGACTGGAGAACCTGTGGTCCTACAGATGTTATTGGACTCCAACTCCCATCAGCCTCAGCCAGCACTGCCAATGGTCAGGGATGATGGGAGTTGTAGTCTTATCTGGAGGGCAACTAGCTGGTGTTCTGGTGAGCCCTGCTGCTTGTTCCCTCAACTGTGATAATATTTGCTGTGGTCCAAAGCTTACTCTGACTCCACATCAGGTGGGAAGCTGAAATGTGCAGCTGGGCCCCCTACGGGCTTAGCAGCCTAGCATCACTTCTTGTGCCAGCAACACACTGAGGGAAGCTTTGTCTGGGAACATCTTTAGCTTGCACTGCTCAGTAGCAGGCCCCCAGGCAGGCACTGAGGCCTTTTTGTTGTGGGATCTCGTAGCCTCCTTTGTTTTCCTCTTGAGAGGGCCGAGGTTTGTTTTTCATGTGTCCTCGGCCCTGCGGGTTTAGCGATGTCTCCTCTAGATACGTCCTGCCTTTGCTGCTCTTCACCTCTCTGGGCAAAGCCTTCATCCTCTGCAAGCAGGCAGTGTTGCTGGTGTGGGGGCAGGAGTGCAGAGGAAGAAGTGCATGATGGGAGACGTGAGGGGCTTATGGCATTCATTCTGTCAGGCCACATCCGCACCGTACATCCAAAGCACTATTATACCACCTGTGTCAGTCACAGCTTCCCCCCAAAGAATTGTGGGAGATGTAGTTTGTTAAGGGTTCTGAGAGATGTTAAGAGGCCCCAATTTGTCTCACAGTTCTCAGAGTGGTTTAGCTACCAATCTCTCTTCACTGGTAACTGTGGAAATTGTAGCTTTGCAAGGAGAATAGGGCGTCTCCTTAACAAATCTCTGCACACTTGACAACCAACAATTGAGTTCCCAGGATTCTTTGGGGGAAGCCATGACGGTTTAAAGTGGCGTAAACATGGTTCATTACATGTATGGGGTAGATGTGGCCTTAGTTTTTTCTTTCTTCCCTCTTTAGAAAACGCATTGTTGAAAGTGTGTGTGGCGTGGACAGGCACTTGAGGAGAACAGAATGAGCGAGGGGATATGTTTCTTGGGAGCCACGGTGTACTTAGGTAAGGGTGCTGAGGGTTGTAAGGAGACCCCCTGTTGCCCTCACAGGACTGCAATTCCCAGAACAGTTCAGTAATCTATTCCTCCTCCCAAGGAGGTTACATAACCAATGGCATGCACAGCCTGAACACCAGAAATAGATAGGAAACTGATATACATACTTAGTCCTCTTTTCCATACAGGATGAGGGTTGTACTCAAAGGCTCATGGAAAAAGGTGTGTTTGGAGGAGGGATTTCAAGGGAAAGGGAGAGGAAGCACCCTGAAGGTGTTTTGGGGAGGAATTCCTGGCCTAGCGGAGCAACTGATGCGTCACAGTAACAGTACGAAGCCACCTTTCTCTGTCTCTCTGTAGGTGAGGAAGAGTAATTCCCGACAGCGCGGAAACCGAACCTATTAAAGCAGGAAATTGTCTGCTTCCTCCTGCTGCAGTCCAAGCCCTGCCTCTGTTTGCTCTTCTGACTGGATACCGAAAGTCTGGAAATTGGTTATCAGGGCTGAGGCAGGAAAATTGGAAGCAATGTGATCATCATATCCCAGCAGGAAATGGAGGGGAAAGAAGGCAAGAGGGAATCACCATTTCCTCTAGGACAGGCTTCACCAACCTGGAGTTGTCCATATGTTTTGGGATACAACTCCCATCAGCTCTAGCAAGCATGGAGCTCATGAATGCTCATGGTCATATAACAGCCCCACAAATAATATTGAGTATCTGTCCTGAGTGTTTATTTTTTATTGCTTCACAAACGCTTTGTACAAAATGCAATAAAGACTACTTTAAAACAGTTAAGAAAACAAGAGAAGACAAATTTAAAAACAAGAGAAGACAAGAGAAGAACAAAGAAAACAAGACAAGACAAATTTAAAAACAAGAGAAGACAAGAGAACAAAGAAAACAAGAGAAGACAAGTTTAAAAGCATGGTAGATACCCATCCATTCAGCTGGGAAGGCTTGTTGGAACAAAAGGGTAATGCTTCCTGAAAATCCATTTTGTTATTGCAACAGTAATGCTCTTCCACAGAACGGGGCAGCCACACCTAAAGCCCTGCTCTAAGTTAGGTCCCATTTGCTCCATACATTTAAAGCAGTATCGTGCTACTTTAAATAGACATGGGTTTACTCGGTTAAGGGTGAGGAGAGTTCTAATAGGAGATGTCCCTATTCCCCTCACAGAGCTACAATTCCCTAAGCGGTTAAACATCCATCTTTCTCCCCAGGAAACTCTGGGAACTGTAGCTCACAGCAGCTAAGCCAATATATGTGAAGGGATTTGCAGACGAGATAGTAATGCATTTGGCTGTTTCAGCATATATTTAAAACATAGCACATGCAAGCTATTCAGCATTTTGTATGCAGAAAAGTGCTTGGATATTTTTTTTTAAGTGTCCACATAAGCCCAAACTATTGTGTCAATGAGGCAAACTCTCAGATCAAATCCAGAGGCAACTCACAAATCATGGCTGGATATATTCTTAGAAAGACACTCGAAGGTCTGGCTGGCTTTCCCAGACCATGAGAAAATAAATTGCAAAGCTGGCTAGACCTTCCTATAGACTTCTCTCCCCCACCTCCATCTGCTTCCAACACAGAGACAAAATATTTTTTAAAAAAACAATAAAAGGGGTGAAGGGGTAGACAAATAAACACAGACCATTAATCAGGCCTGGGTAAAATATTTCAGGGTTTTGAGAGCTGGTATTGATTATTTTTAAGAGGCAGCCTTTATAAGCAGGGTTGGACCAATGTTACAGATTCCTAAATAGGAGGAGGACTACTACAAAACTCCTAGGTAATAATTCCACCCCCCACCCTGGCTTCCCCCCCAAAGAATCCTGTGAACTGTGGTTTGTTAATGGTGCTAAGGGATGTTTGAGGTATTCAAGGGTACGCAGTACCAGCACCCTTTTCTCTCTGGAAGAAGAGCGCTGGATGTAGGAAAGGAGCCCAAAACAGTCCACAGAAGACTGAGCATGCTCAGTGGGCACAGCATAGTGGCTGGCTGGATGAAGAGTTGGAAAAGATTCAGAAAAGGGCAATCAAAGTGATCAAGGGAATGGAGCAACACTCCTACGAGGAAAGGCTGCAGCGTTTAGGACTTTTTAGAGCAGCGAAAAGGCAAGTAAGAGGTGACATGAGAGAAGTTTATAAAAGTATGCATGGAGAAAGCAGATAAAGGTCTCCTCTTTCTCCTCTCATAGCGCTGGGACTCATAGACGTGTATGGAACTCGCTCCCACAAGTGATGGCCATCCACTTGGATGGCTTTGAAAGAGCATGGGACAAATTCATGGAGATGAGGGTATTAATGGTAGCTAACCACAGTAGTGATGTATGGAAGTGAGAGCTGGACCATAAAGAAGGCTGATCACCGAAGAATTGATGCTTTTGAATTATGGTGCTGGAGGAGACTCTTGAGAGTCCCATGGACTGCAAGAAGATCAAACCTCTCCATCCTTAAGGAAATCAGCCCTGAGTGCTCACTGGAAGGACAGATCCTGAAGCTGAGGCTCCAATACTTTGGCCACCTCATGAGAAGAGAAGACTCCCTGGAAAAGACCCTGATGTTGGGAAAGATGGAGAACACAAGGAGAAGGGGACGACAGAGGACGAGATGGTGGGACAGTGTTCTCGAGGCTACGAACATGAGTTTGACCAAAGTGCGGGAGGCAGTGGAAGACAGGAGTGCCTGGCGTGCTCTGGTCCATGGGGTCACGAAGAGTCGGACACGACTAAACGACTAAACAACAACAACAACCACAATGGCTGTTCTCTGCCTCTATGGTGGGAAGCAGTGATGCTTCTGAATACCAGTTGCTGGAAACCACAGGATGGGCAAGTGCTCTCAGGCTCGGGTCCTTCTTGTGGGCTTCCCATTGGGGCATCTGGGGAGGCACTGTGAGAACAGGGTGCTGGACTAGATGCGCCATTGGCCCCATTCAGTAGGCTTTTCTTATGGTCTTGCAACTCTTGGTGTAGGACACAGAAAAAACAGAGTGGGTGATGGAATGGAATAACCTTGAAGGATGCACGTCTGGTTGGCTGGAAACCTGAGCCAGGATCACTTCACGCTGCAACATTTTGCTGCAGCATCCACTAGTTATTTCGTTGTTTTTTCTCAATGCCTCTTAGTGTGAGCAACTCTCTTTCTCTTCTGCTGGACTCATCTGAGTCATGTTTTCCTGTATGCCTTTCTATGGAGCGAAAAAGGTAAGAGCCGCAGTGTGTGTGTGTGGTGCTGGGGGTGGAAATGGACGGAAGCGAGACTTTGTTCTGCAAGCGGATGGAGAGCACTTCCTTCCACAGCTGCCTGAGCAATCAGCCCCCTCCCCCTCCCCTTGCCCCTTCCTTCCCCTTCCTACTACTGAGTCAAACACCCAGCACAAAAGAGGGTGGAAAATGGCTCTTCCAGTTCCAGGTCCGATTTCCTTGACCAGGCTCCCGTTCCAAATATAGGCCAATAAAGAGGTATGGTGGATGACGAGTTCAGCCCGTTGGGCCAGTCGGCCAGAAACCTCAACTGAACACAGAGTGGCAACAGCTCAGAGCTGTGTGGTGCCGTTTGCCGAGAAAAAGAACCCCTCTCTCACACATGATGAACTCATACATTCCAGTACACTAGTTAGCATATTATTTGGTAAAAAAAATGAGCCCAGCTGCAGTATGGCTAAGCCACTGTGATGCCACAGAATGCTCACAAACATTCCAGCTTCTAAATGGGAGGGGAAAGGTCCGCTGCAGAGTGCTGCTGCTTTGCAGGCAGAAGTTCTCAGGTTAAATCCTGAGCGCCTCCAGTCAAAAGGGTCAGGTAGTGGGCAATATGAAAGACCCTTCTCTGCCTGAGACCCTGGAGAGCTACTGCCAGTCAGAATTCACAATATTGGGCAGGATGGACAAGTAGCCTGACCTGGGGTACTATAAAGCAGCTTGTTGTGAAAGGCAGCTTGGCCAGAAAACAAAACCCCAACCCTGCACTTTTCTGAGTTGCTGTGCCTTCAGATTTGTTGTCTGGCCCAGAATTTGGGTTTCAGGTTATCTTGGTTTCCTCAAAGGACATAACAAGCGCACATATGTTTGTAGTCCCTACACCTGCTGGAAAATCTCCAAAAATGGCAAGTGCCTAACGCAAGCTATGTCCCGTAAACCAGCAATTTACGCGAGGATTATGTTCCGGGAATCACACCTAAGGCCAAAGTCGTGTATTGTCAAACCATATGGGGTTTGATGGCGAGTGGCCTTGCCAAAGTCTTTTTTTTCCTGGACACCTGCCTGCTTTTTTATTATTTATTTATTTTGCCAAGCACATAAATCTGAATGCGCACAACTTAAATGTCCGTAAATTGTGGGCTTGCAGTAATGCAAAACTTATCCAATGCATTATATTCAATGTACAGTGGTACCTTGGGTTAAGTACTTAATTCGTTCCGGAGGTCCATTCTTAACCTGAAACTGTTCTTAACCTGAAGCACTGCTTTATCTAATGGGGCCTCCTGCTGCCGCCGCGCCGCCGGAGCACGATTTCTGTTCTCATCCTGAAGCAAAGTTCTTAACCCGAGGTACTATTTCTGGGTTAGCGGAGTCTGAAACCTGAAGCGTATGTAACCCGAGGTACCACTGTATGTAGTTCTTCCTTGCTGAAGCACTATTATTACTACCTACCCTCCACCCGCAGGGTCCCAGGGCAGGTTACAATAATTTAAAATTCAGAAATTAAAAACAGTTAATATAAATGACAGTCAGAGGAATACAAGGCCCAGCCACTTGTCCACCCCTCAGGCCAGCTTTGAGGAGCACAGCGAATGACTTCCCATATACCTTTTGAAAAGCTGTAATGAATGGAGGCAATTTAAAATACCTGACCTAGTTCCCTCACCTTGATATTTGGCCCCCGTGTGAAGAAGGGCTGGGACCGTGATATCAGGAGATGGAACGTTTGATTCAGGAAGAGGCGGGCGGGAGGGATATTCAGAGAAAGAAACCGCAGCCTTCCCAAACTTGCTTTGTACATTTGAAGTTCTACCGTTTCCATGATGCCAAGGTGGTAGAGATGGCAGGCTGCCAAGAAAATGAACCAGAGGATGAGGGTAGATTTTGTCGCCGCTTTGAAAGAACTAAGCATGGGCGAAGATTTGTGTTTGTTTTGCCGCCGGTGATGGGTTTGCCAGGGTAGCTAAAAATTCCCCCCAGGGTTTTTTGGGTTTTTTTGCTCCTGACCTACAATAGTTGTGGCCATTTCCAGGTTGGAGCTGCAGACTTTTTCATCTCCTGCAGCTCAATGCTGCAGAGTTTGGAGGCGGGCGGAGGAGAGGGGGTGTAAGAAGGGACTGGGAGAGAAAAGGAAAAGATGAGAGTATATTTTTGGCCGCAAAAGGCTTCTGCACACGGGGCGGTGTGTGTGTGTGTGTGTGTGTGTGTGTGTGTGTGTTGGAGGGGGTGGAACAGATGTGAAAAGGGGGAGTGGGGAGCGATGGAACAAACCACACTAACATAAATTCAAGACCTACAGAGAGGGTGAATAAACGTGGTGAAAGAATGAAAATAATGCTAGGAGGTTGGAAAGAAAGACAAGAGGCGGGCAGTTAAAGGAGGGGGGATGAATGTACAATGCAGCTATAGGAGGCGGGGGTAAATAATTGGTGTTTTTTAACTGAGTTTTTTCATAAAGGGGTCGCTTAGGTTTCAGCAGAGGGCCTGGTGAGCCAGAGGGATCTCCCCCTGCTACTTTGGCGGAGCTGGAGGGGAGTCAATCCAAGGAAACCTGAATCCAAGAGAAAGAGAGAGAGAGAGGCTGAGAGATGGGGTTAGAGGAGGACAAAGAAAAATAAGAGAGGGGAGGGAGGAAAAGCAAGCGAGTGAGAGAATCAGATATAATTTGTTCATTGTGGTCATAACATTGTATAGACTGTGACAAGATACCAAGTAGGTCTCTTGGTTTGTTTGTTTTTATATAAAAATACAACAAAGAATCCATTCTACTTACTGTATTTTTGAAACCGTGGGTCCTTGCAGATGACCTGTTTAACGAGCGTTCAGTGCTGACTGACTTGCAGAAAGCTTACGTGGAGGTTAGACCAATGTTCTTCAACCCTGAAGCCCCCTATTTTTACTGGACTACAACTCCCATCATCCCTAGCCACTTTAGCCAATGGGTCGGGGTGATGGGCGTTGTAGTCAAATGACTTCTGGGGGCCCAAGTTTGCAGAACACCAACATTAGACTGTGTCCGATCTATACTGAGCTGCGTTAGTTCTGATTTGTTTGCGGGGCTGGTTATATGACAATGAGTGTTTGTCCTGCATGCATTCCGATCTGCTTGCCGGGTGTATATAGGTTGTCCATTTAGTCATCCCCTATTACTTTCCAAACCGCAACAAGTCCGTTGTTCTTTTTTGAAAAGATCACACCCACACCATGCATTGCAAGCACCACCCATTAACGCCACTTTAACAGCCAAGGCTTTCCCCCGTTGTAGTTTGTTAGGAGTGCTGCTGAGCGTTGCTAGGAGAAACCCCTCACAGAGCTACAATTCCTAGCACCCTAAACAAACTATAGTTCCCAGGATTAGTTGGGAGAAGCCAGGGCTAGTAACATGGTTTAGGAGTGCTCTGTAGAGATTGACAAATCTGTCAGTTTTGCTTTCTTTCCATTTCTCATCTTTCCAGCCTGAAGTTCAAAATTAGTTTGCTTTTTTTTAAAAAAAGTCACATGTCCAGCAGCATTTTAGTGCCAATTTCTTTTGATATGCACTATAATTCTCAGAGTGGTTTAACAATTCATCTGTCTTCTAAGGGAACTGGGAACTGTAGCTCTGAGAGGGGAAAAGAGTCTCCTAACTCTCAGCGCCCGTCACAAACTTCAGCTCCCAGAATTCTTTGAGGGAAGCCATGACTGTTTAAAGTGGTATCATACTGCTTTAAATGTATGGTGCAAATGTGGCTGGTGTCGATATATAATTTTTAAAAACCACATTAAAATTCATAATCAATAGAAGAAAGAGCTCCTTCTTCTATGGAAGGAAGGAAGGAAGGAGAGATAGAGAGAAAGACAGAAAGAGAAAGAGATCGAGATCACCGCCAAAGGCTAAGGAAAGTATAATTGTAGTGCTCGGCTGCCAAGCCACGAGAAAGATTTCTCTCTCTGGAACTAAGCCCGATTTCCCCCTTCTTTCAAAAGCGCAGAGTTTTCCAAGGCCTTAACCCCTGCTACGTCTTGCTCTGCTTGGCTTCCCTCCTGGCTTTCCCAAAGGAGGCCCAAGGGACTGTGGGAAAGCTGGACAACATGTTCTCAGAAGAACTCTCTTGGTCTGGGAAGGGTAGGGAAGCTGCCGTAAAATGGCAGCCCTTGTCTGACTCCCTCAAGAGTGAGAGACTTATCTTGTACAAAGGCACCATCACCACCATCATCACAAATAGCAAAATCATCTGGGAAGTCATGAACTGTCTGACTGTCCCAGAGGCCAACTCAGAGGCCTGTCATTTTGCTATAGGGGTTACTCAGATGGGCACAGAGGGTCTTGGCCACGCCTGGCTCTACCATTGGGCAGAGGGAAGTGCTGCCTCAAATTATTTGGGATATCATGAATGGTGGCAAAGTGTTACTTATTCAGTGTAGATAGCTCAGCTGGTAGAGATAGAGTATGAGACTAAGGCTATGGGTTCAAGCCCCAGGTTGGGCAAAAGATGCCAGCATTTCAGGGGGTTGGACCAGCTATACAATTTTATGATTATTACTGATGTATGGTGGCCTGTGGCCATTGGGACTAGTAGGGCAGCAATCAACAATAGGTGGAGCCAGAACCAGGGAATCACAGGCTCAGCTAGAGAGCCAGTCACAAGCAAAGGCACCCCTTGATTGGTGATGATGATGGTAATAATAATAATAATAATAATAATACTCTGCCAGCCACCCTGGGCATCTTTCAACAAATATGAAAGCATAATAAAACATCAAACTAAATGAAGATGGCTGGCTGAGGGCAGACTGAGGTTGGTAGGGCAGGGCCCTATTTGCCCCAATAGACCAGCTGCCCCTGTTTTTACTCCCAGTGGAATAAAGCCTGTGGAATGGAAACTGATTTCCTATCAAAGGGCAAGGAGCGACTTCTCAAGTCTTGATGTGAAGTACACTTCCTATAATGATTTGTGGAAGGCTGTGGTAAGAGTTAATCCAGATTAATGGCTGTTTACATTGATCTTGTTGATGCGCTACTTGTGTCCTTGCCTGCCAATGTATTTGTAAAATATTTCCTCCTCTTTTTGATTTTTATTCATCAGTATTCCCAAATGTAGAACAGATAGACAGGAAGAAGGGAGAATACTTACTGCACAAACAAATGTGGATGCAAACCTAATTGCTTTCTACTCCACCAAGATCACAAACAGCAATGTTTATTCCCTGTTTCGGTTCTTTCTAATGCCTAGAAAATAACTGTGTTTATAATTTTATATACATTGCTTTTTATATAATTATTATATATACATTATACTTTGTTATTATAAGTGTGTATGCACATATTTAAATAGACACGCATGTAATATGTATTGTCTATTTTATATGTACACATATAGGTAAAGGTACCCCTGCCCGTACGGGCCAGTCTTGACAGACTCTAGGGTTGTGCGCTCATCTCACTCTATACGCCGGGAGCCAGCGCTGTCCGCAGACACTTCTGGGTCACGTGGCCAGCGTGACAAGCTGCATCTGGCGAGCCAGCGCAGCACAAGGAACGCCGTTTACCTTCCTGCTGGTAAGCGGTCCCTATTTATCTACTTGCACCCAGGGGTGCTTTCGAACTGCTAGGTTGGCAGGCGCTGGGACCGAACGACGGGAGCGCACCCCACCGCGGGGATTCGAACCGCCGACCATGCGATCGGCAAGTCCTAGGCGCTGAGGTTTTACCCACAGCGCCACCCGCGTCCCATATGTACACATAAGTATACATACACATAAGTATATATAAATATACACGTAATGCATCTCTGTCTTCCATTGTCCTAAACTTGGCCTCTTTCATGTGCATGTATGTAGCTGATACTTAGTAGATTATTATTGTTATAGACATCCAATATTATTCAATATAATATAAAAACAGCTTTTGATTGGGAATGTTAAAATATTACTTTACTCAATGGATGGACCAGTTTTTCCTCAATATATTTTGCTGTTGCTGTTGTCCTTATAAAAAAACCAGTTTTGACATCAAAACTCTTCCCAGATTTTATCTATCCATTTCTTAACTTTTGGTATGTCCTGTAACCTCCACCTGCTTCCTTGTATATTTATTTTGCCAGCCAAAGACTCCGCCATTTGCTTGAGAACTGACTTGGAAATGAGTCCCATACAGCTCAATGGAACTTACTTCCAGGTAAGTGTTTCTAGGATTAGGACAGGTGTTGAGGAATGTGTGGCCCTCCAGATGTTGTTGAACTCCAGCTCCCATCAGCCCCAGCCAGTCATGTCCAATAGTTGGGGATGGGGGCCCTGAAGAAAGTACCTTAAAAAGGAGCTGAAGTTTCTATGATACCATTTCCCACACTTTAAAAAGCATTCAGGGGTTCAAACCATGTGGACTAGTAGCAATCAGAACAGGGAAGGCTCCCACCCTCCACTTAAAAGTAGTTGTAGGTTTTGGGTGATTTCAACTCTGAAACAGCCAGCATGCTTTCACTCACTGTAGCAACATCTGTAATAATAATAATAATAATAATAATAATAATAATAATATCCTGTACACAGCCAGAGATAGCAAAAGGGATTCTACAAAAGAAAAGGTCCGGACGCTGTGTTTAAAGATGAAGAAAAAAGCTGTGTCAGAAATTGGCAATCTGTTGAGTCACAACTGCAATTCCCACCCTTAAATTGGCTTCTAGCCAATGGATGAACCATCATTTCCCTCTGCAACCCACTCCCCCCCTTACTTTGGACGGAAGAAAAAAGAAAAAAAACCCACATACAAACTGTTGTAATTTATGATCTCATCAAACGACTGCCTGCTTGCGTCTTTTGTACTTCAGCAAAATTGGAGGGGGGGCCAAGGAAGGCTATAAAAAAAATTACCTTGCTTCAGCCAATCAGCAGAAGCCAAAAACAGCTGTTAAAAGGAGCTGGATGCTTGAACGAGCAACTATAGCGCAATTTAATAAAGGAGGAGAGATTAATACACACATATAAATATATATATCACATACACACATTTTCTCTCTCTTGCGCTCTTTCAAACTCAAAAAGTTCCCAAGGATTCTTAGACAGACGCGAAGAAAAGAGAAAACGCCAACTGGAATTGACATCGATTTCTTGTGGTTTCTTTTCCTTTTCCCTCCTCTTCCACCGGCTTTTCATTCAAGCTCCTTTATTCAGAAGGAAGGAAGCCCCCTTTTTGAAGAGAGAGGTATATTTATATATTTGTATTTCTTTAAAAATTTGGAACAAAAGGAAAGGAAAACCTCAGCTCCATCCTGTTGCACAGGCTTCCAGATCGCTGCCGGGTTTTTTGTTTTAAAGAAGAGTGTGTGTGCTGAAAAGAAGACAGCTCAAAAAGACTTGGCATTGAGGTGGGGAAAGAGAGAGAGAGAGAGAGAAAGAGAAACCCCACAATTCTGGGAAAGGGACTTCTTGATGGTCCATTTTTAAGAAATTTAAATAGGCAGTGAGGGACTTCATGCTGGGGTGTGTGAGGTGGTGACTGGAGGTGGATTTCAAAACCCAAAGGAGAGTGGATGATGCTCCTTGCTTAGGTGCTGTGAGCCACAGATAGGACAGAAGGAGCGACCTCAATTGCCTCCATTGACTGCTCACATCCTTTGTGTGCATCAGCCGAGTTGTTGATTTGTGTTTGTTTTTATTTTTGCTAATCTTAGGGGCTCCTCTTTTTCCTTAAAAGAATCTTCTCCCTCAAAGATCACCAAGCTTTGCCCTTTCTCCCCGCAAGGTTGCTTTTAGCAAAAAAAAAGTTCCAAATGTTTCTTCTTTGGTTTATCACCTGCTGCCACCTGGTCCTCGCTGTGGACGAACGGGCCCGTTTTGGCCAGTATCAAGAAGAAATCATTTTCCCCGAGAGACTCAATGCCACATTCCATCCTGCGGGTTGGGATGAGGGCGACATGCTAGACAACGGCCTGGGTAGCAGCGGCAGCTCGGATGTGCGGCTCTCCTACCGCCTTCGCGTGTTCGGTGAAGAACTGGTCCTAAATTTAGAGAAAGACCCCAGCTTCGTCGCAGAGGGCTTGACGGTCCAGTATTTGGGCAGGTCGGGACAAGCAGTGGACGGCTTGGCTGAGCAAGGGACCTACTTCACCGGCACAGTGAACTCTGACCCGGAATCAATTGCGGCAGTCAACTACGATGGGGCATCGCTGCTGGGGGTGCTTCAGTACCGTGGCACCGAGTACCACGTGCAGCCCCTGGAAGGGGGAGCCCCAAACACGGCAGGAGGAGCCGGCGCCCACGTGGTGAGGAAGAAGATGCCAGAGAAAACGGACGGGCCAATGTGCGGTGTCGGGTCCCAGGTGCCAGAGAGCATGACAGCCCCTGCAGGCAAACCATTGCCCAAGGGCGAAGCATCTCCCAGGAGAGCAAAGGTAAGAGCGGGAGCATGCTGGGATGGGGGGATGCGGCTGCCAAAAACACTTACCGGGAATACTTTGCACACGCCATTTAGTTCCACGTTGCGCTCAGGGCCAGCTTTTGAGTCCTTGTTTTAGCATTTCTGTCTTGCTCTTAAAGGAAGCTGCATGATACAAGGTCAGACCACTTGTCCATCTAGTTCAGTGTTGTCCACAATGGCTGGTGGTAGCTCTCCGGGGTTTCAGGCATGAGATATGAACAGCCTGACCTGAAGGACATCGCGATTGAACCTGGGTCCCTCTACATCCATTTTGGTTAGGCCCTTCTCCCCACCCAAAAGGTTCTTTGGAAGTTCCCGGTGGGAATGTTCTCAACTGCCCACTATGTCCCCATTTTCCTGGGAGCCCGTAGCAGTATCAGGTATCTAACAGACATTTGGTGCTCACTTCTGTGTTAATTGCTTCCGGGTGGGAAATCCATTTGCAACCCAGTTAACCCAGGTAATTGTGGGGCTTTTGCACTTTCCGCAGTTTTTGTACTTTCCGCAGTTTTCATGCATCATGCCACCGCCATTCACATGAATTTGGGGCGGTATTCCGGCATACAGTTTGTTTCTGTCATTTCCATTGGCGAATCATGGGGGAACAGAGGCACGCATGCGCCTAAAGGCTGGCGATGTGTCCAGTGATAGGTCAGGTCACACCACGCCCACTTGTGTGAATGAAATTTAGTACGGCATGATGAGATGCCAATATGAAAGCCACTGTTCCATAATGCAACAGGCAATGCAGTGGAAAAGGAACTTTGGGAACCAGAACAGAAGCGCTTGCATTATAGCCAGGCAAACTACCGCAATAAACTCCATGTCTGAATGCCCCTTTAGTTGGACCCAAGAGAGGTGTTTACTGCTGTTGCTGCTTCTCCTGACAAGCTTGGAGAAAGCAAGTGAACAGATGGCAACGGTGAGGAGGAGGAGCAGAGCCAGGAGGCTCTGGAGTATCAAAAGTAGGGCCCCTTTTGGGATGTGGGGCCACAGTAAATGCCCAGTGGGGTTGATCCCTGACACTGGCTGTGTACAGGGACTCTTGAGCCAATGGCGCCTGGTCTTGCCAGACAAGTTATGAATTGTTCCTATTTCCTTATTGTGGTTCAACCTTCCCCGACCTCATGCCTTCCAAATGTCACTGGACACTAAACTCCCATCAGCCTCAGCCAGCATGGCTATTGCTCAGGCATGATGGGAGCTGAAGTCCAAAAGCATCTACAGGGGGTTAGGGAAGGCTGTCATTGTCAACAACACTGGCCTGGTGAATCCATCAAAGATATTGATTCCTGGCAGGATCACAAACACAGCAAAGTGTCATTAGTAAGAACCATAGATACTAGGCAAAACTGCATACAGAGATATGAACATTAGGGGAGATTTACACTAAAGTGTTGATGAATTTTCGTGAGGACTTCCCTCCCCAGCCACCACCAGAAAAAATATGCAAACTGATGTGAAAATGCAGAAAGCCAAATGTATGTAAAGTTGGAAAAATGGGACATTGAGAGATGTTGAAACTGACAGATTGGCCCATCCCTATCTATACTGCACCTAGCACACTGTTTCTGCCCAGCCCCATTGTTAACAAAGAAGTCTTATTTTTCATGTTTTCATTTTGTTTGGGTCACATTTTCTAAAGGCATGTTAATTATGATATCTCTGTCACTCCCACTCAGTGGCAGGCAGGTGGTGGGGGATCTGGTTGCAGTGTCTGCATCCTTCAGATTCTTCCTTGGGGCCAAGTCTGAGAGATAATAATGGAACAGAGTGAAGCAGGGAACGCCCAGCCCCCAGACAGCAATTCTACACTTGCACCCACCACCCACCACAACCCTCCCCTCCTCTGACTGCTCTTTGCCCTGGCTGTGAGGTGTCATCAGTTGGGGTTGGGAAAGAGACAAGAAAAGTCTTGGCAAAGCTGTAGAAAGCCATTGGGGAGGCTGGGGAGAGAAAGCAGCTCCATGCAGATGCAAGCCATGGCCTCCCTGGTCTGGGTGCCATCTTGGAACAGCTGCCAAGATGTCTTGAGAAAGCAGGCCAGTGGTTAGAGGAAGGGAGGCTGAACGCAAAGGAGGACAGTGAGGGCTCCTGTCATAAGAACGCAGGAAGTTGCCTCATGCCAAGTCAGAGGACTGATCCATTTAGCTTAGCAGCTACCAGTGGCTCTCCAAGGTTTCTCACAGCCCTAGCTGGACATGGTGGCTCTCCCTGGGATTGGCTATGGCGCCACCTACTGTTGGCCTCCTTGCCTTCTGTCCTGCTATTCCCAATGGTCACCAAGAACCCGTGCTGGCAGCTATGCAAATAATTTATCGTGTGCATTTTTGTGTGCAAATCTACATCATCATCTTCTTTCTTTTTGGGGGTGGGGGTGGTTTTCCTCTTCCTTTCGAGATGCACAGTTGGCCCCTTAAGTCTGATTGAGGCTCTACCTTTGCACACCAGCTTAAGCTCATTCAGTGCCACCAGCCAACCTGAACACATCTCTACTGTCGGGATGGAAATCTGCCTAGCAACTGTTGGGTGTTCAGGATGCTTGTAAGAAAGTTCGCTTTCAAAGAGAAAGGGAGAGGCTCCTGGCAGTGGCTGGTGCCCATTGGGACCAGCAGGGCAGAAGAGAAGGAGGCTAACAGCAGGTGGCGCCGCAGCCAGCGGCAGGCAGAGCCAAGTGACTCTAGTTTTGAACCTATCCTCTTCCCTGTTGAGTTCTGCAAAGCCAACAATGAGACTAAAAAGGAGGAAGCCGACCCCACTGGCCCTCTCCTGCTTTGGTCCCGCCTCTAGTCCTGGAGGTAATATATAGCCGTGGCTGGTGACCCATTGGGATTGTCAGGGTGGAAGGTTGTGGATTTCAGTGAGAGCCATCCCACCTCCCATCGCCCTGTGATTTGAACAGTGGATGATACACACCAGCCCTTGAAGCAAGAGGAGAGCTCCTCTAGGCATGTGCAGAATTGCTCTTCCTCCGTACCGCTGAGTAAGCTAGCACAAGTTTAAAGTTTAGGAGAGAGCGAGAGAGAGCTTTCAGATCTCAAAAAGAATGTGGCAGAGAGCATAAGAAAAGCTCTGCTGGATCAGGCCAGAGGCCCATCTATTTGCCATCCTGTTCTCACAGTGGCCAACCAGATGCCTCTCTGGGAAGCCCACAAGCAAGTCCTGAGTTTTCAACAACCCCCTCCATGAAGCAGAGGTAGTGTTTTATTATTTATTTCAATCATTTACAGACCACTTAATTACAATAGTCTCTAAGCATTTGTTCCAGAACCTCGGCACAATAAAAACGAGTTAAAGCTATAAAATCAGAATTCCTTTGAAATGCCTGCTAGAATAAAAGTCTGGCCTCAGCTGGAAGGGAGTTCCATAAAACTGGGTCCTCAATACTGAACACACAGCTCCTAATGGATAAGAGCCATTTATATTATAAGTAATATATTTCTTAAAAGCACTAGACTCCACTGTGCCTCAATCTTCCCAGAGGAAGCAATAACCCTGGGTAAGCGCCTGGAACCCCTGGAATCTCACACCACTCTTGGAGATTGGGGTGGTGTATAACACTGTGCCTCTGAGAGAAGGGGGGGGGCTCTGAAAGTGACTACCCCAAATACCTCTATGACTGGGCAGGGATATAAGGAATGAGGTATCCTTGGCTCAAGTTGTCGCCAATTAAGCCTTGGCAATGAATACCAGAACCTTGAACCTGACCCTGACAGAGCAAGAGCAACTAGCACAAGCTTTTGAGCACCAGTGAAAGTCTGTCCCCATCAAATCTGACATCAACCCCGTTCGTATTTTGTCACCCCAACCCTTCACCTCTGGGTCTTCCTGACGCATGTAATGCAGCAAAGCCGTGGCAAGCTCTGACCTCACACGGTGGCGGAGATGTCTCAGCACCGCACAGGCCCCAAGAGACCTCGCCTCCTACTTAGCGGAAGGCAGGCACTGGTGCCTGGTCTCCTGCTGCACCGAAGGAGTCGAGGCTTGAGGCTCTGAGCCAACAGCAGAGACAGCCCTCAAAGTCTCCCTCCTTCCCTCCCTCAGGAATTTTGTCCAGCAGCCAGTCAAGAAAGCTACCCCACAAGCTCTCCGCTACTCATCTTCTTCCACGCTGCCTGGCTGGAGACATCAAGGCATTCAGGCACATATCTTGTTTATTTGCTCAAATGGGGCCTGACAGATTAATCAACAGAAGTTGATTAATCCATCCATCAAAACTGTTGGGCCTTGTCGCCTAAGCTCCCTGACCATCTCCAGCTAAAGAACTGTTTCCCCACCAAAACTGCTTAGTTTCAAATTCCCCAAGCCCTAAATCCTTTTTGGTGTCAGATATTTTACTTGCCACACATCCTTTGCATGCAATCATTTCAATAAAATCTATTTGATTTTAAAAGGTTGTTTTTTTAAAGTGTTCCCTGCCCTGCCTGTTATTAACAGGAATCTAGGAAGCAGCCTAGTATAGACCAGTATTGTCCACACCGACTGGCAGCAGCTCTCAAGAATCTCAGGCAGAGAAGAGTCTTTCCCATCACTTTCTGTGGCAGGGTTGGGGAATCTAATACCAGGGGGCAAATGTGGCCCTTGGGTCTCTCCACAGGCCGCAGCCCATCTCACAAACCATATCCTCAAGTGCTTTTGGCTGGCTGAATGTGTCCTTGAAATGTGATAATACTTCTTGGCTGGAAGGAAGATGGAGAAATCTCTTTCTGTGTGTAGCTTAGAGGTAGAACGACTGCTTTGCTTGCAGAAGGTCACTGGTTCAATCCCCAGCATCTCCAGATACAGGACCCTGGAAAGCAACTGCCAATCAGTGTAGACAATACCGAGATAGATGGACAAATGGTCTGGCTCAGTACAAGACAGCTCCCTATGTTCCTGCATTTTGCATGGCTGGAATGGAACCTACCATACAAAGATAAGAGTCAGATCCATTGCTTCACTCACTTCTGCATCTGCCTGCACCCAGCCCTGGTATGTGGCCCCTGGAAGATCACTCTGGAGGAAATGCAGCCCCCAGGCAGAAAATTAGGTTTTCTGTAGTGTACTTCTAACATGAAACAGCGGGGAAGTTCCTGCATTCAAAGCAGGTGCTCTGCCATTGAACTACTTCTTCAAATATGGCTAGTAGACTTGTACCTGACGCTGCTCAGGAATTCTAAGAAACAGAAAAACCAGCGCAGTCTTAAAATCAGTGCTTAAAATCAGCATAGTTTTGAAAGGTTCGTTCTGCCATCTTGATTCAAAATGGTGTCCAATTGTATCCAAAGACAGACAAAAACCTGCTCCTCAACCTCAGGAACCGCCACGAAAAAATCGGTTAAAATCAGTGCAGTTTTGAATGGAACAGTCTGCCATCTTGATTCAAAATGGCACCCAAATGTCTCCAAAGATAAGACAAACACCTGCTCCTCAATTTCAGGAACTGCCACGCAAAAACTTCCTGTGGTATCGTAAGAGGTGTCCAAATGCATAGACAACAAACAGCTTCTCAAAATATATAGCAGATAACATTAATTAAATTGATGGATCTGTCATTTCATGTATCCCCACCCAGTGTTCTGTCCCTGCCTAGGCACTTAGGGCAAAGCTTGCTCCCCCATGGTGTGTGTGTGGGGCAGAATGAGGTTCACTCACCCTCTTTCCAACTCACCTCTCTTCATCCCTTCTGTTCCCTGCAGCGGTTTGCTTCCATCCCACGCTATGTGGAGACTCTGGTGGTGGCTGATGAAGAGATGGCGCATTTCCACGGCGCAGGCCTCAAGCGTTACCTCCTCACCATCATGGCAGCGGCCGCCAAGTTCTTCCGACACCCCAGCCTGAAGAATCCAGTCAACTTGGTCGTGACCAGGCTGGTTGTGATTGGACAATCCGAGGACGGGTTGCGGGTGTCTTCCAACGCTGCAGAGACACTGCGGAAATTCTGCACGTGGCAGAAAGGCCTCAACAAGGAGAGTGACGAGGATCCTGAGCATTTCGACACGGCCATTCTCTTCACTAGAGAGGTAAGTGAACTGCTGCCAGGTATCCCCCTATATGCTGCGCAGAGAACTCGCACAACTAAAATTCTGCACCAAGGAAAGTGGCCAAATTCTGCATAAATTCTGCAAATTGGTCACACTGGCATTTAGCGATAGGCTTCTTACTTTCCTAATCTGCGAAATGTTCCAGGGATTGCAGCAAAATACAGGTTTGGTTTCCTTTGGGTGAAAGAGAGCCCCCAGAGGCTTAAGGGGTATTTGCAATAAGTAGCTAGTTGAGAGCCAGAGGGTAGATAAGACTGGGACCAGGAAGTTCTGGGTTCAAATTCCCTATTCAGCCATGAAGCTCACAAAAAAAACCCAAGGACAGATGATAGATATAGATAGATCAATAGATAGATAGATGATAGATGATAGATAGATAGATAGATAGATAGATAGATAGATAGATAGATGATATAGACAGATATAGATAGATGATATAGACAGATATAGATAGGTCCCTGCTCCTGCCAACCTAGCAGTTCAAAAGCATGTCAAAGTGCAAGTAAATAAATAGGTACCACTCCGGCGGGAAGGTAAATGGCGTTTCCATGCGCTGCTCTGGTTCGCTAGAAGCAGCTTAGTCATGCTGGCCACATGACCTGGAAGCTGTCTGCAGACAAACGGCAGCTCCCTTGGCCAGTAAAGCGAGATGAGCGCTGCAACCCCAGAGTTGTCCTCGGCTGGACTTAACAGTCAGGGGTCCCTTTACTTTACCTATGAACTATTGTTCACTGGAGGTTGGCTATGATTCCTGTGTTGCAGGGAATCATAGCTAACTAGAACCTTCTAGCCCTACAGCTCTGTGATTCTATCAGTTCTAGCTTGGTCTGAATGCAAGTGTCTGACCATCTCTCTCCCTACAGACTTGCAGGGAGAGCTGATTTGGCAGCCAGTGGGTGCCTTCTCCTCCAGAAAGATACTGTAGACATTGCCTGCTGAGTCCTGCAGAGGGTGCCATCTCACATGTGGCCAGTGCCACCTTGGAGGCTCCTTCAGTGGCTGTTTCTGCCACACTGTGCATTGGTGGCCTTGATAATATGCATTTGTCTTTCCCTGGCAGGATCTCTGCGGGCGCTCTAGCTGTGGCACTCTCGGCATGGCGGACGTGGGCACTGTGTGTGACCCAGAACGCAGCTGCTCCATCGTGGAGGACGATGGGCTCCAGTCTGCTTTCACCGCAGCGCATGAGCTTGGTAAGTGGGGACTGGCACCTTGCACTCAACCAGCCATTTTGGGGGGCATTCCTATGGATCCACCCCTGTCAAAAAGCCAGGTAGTCTATTCCCAAGAAAGACAGAGGTTTGGAGTGCAAGCCTAGGCTTGTCTAGTCAGCAATATGAGTTTCATGAAGGATAATGTATCAATGACTATTAACCATCAGGGCTATGCTCTGCCTCGACTCTCGGATGCAGATTCTGTTCTTGAATGGCCGAGTAATTAATGCAAAATATCCTGCAGCTTCACAAGTTTATGGGGAGCTGGAGCTGAATTTTTTTTCTTTTTCTTTTCTTTTCTTTTCTTTCTTTCTTTCTTTCTTTCTTTCTTTCTTTCTTTCTCTCTCTCTCTCTCTCTCTCTCTCTCTCTCTCTCTCTCTCTCTCTCTCTCTCCTTTCCCCCTTGTATAGGCCATGTCTTCAACATGCTCCATGACGATGACAAGCACTGCAGAGAACTGAACCACCACTCAAACTCACGCCACATGATGGCCTCCATCATGTCCCCCGTGGACCCTGAAGAGATGTGGTCCCCGTGCAGTGCCCGCTTCATCACTGACTTCCTAGACAACGACCACGGTAAGACTTCGCATTCCGATCTGCACATTCCTTGACTGTTCAGTTGGATCTTTTTGGCCCCGGTGGTCGAGCTTCCTTCCTCACCATCCTGGTCTCATGTGACAACTTAAGCACCTAGGGAGAAGGGGGAGCAATTCAATTCAGTTTGCATTGAAAGGAGAACCAAAACAATGCACAGACGGAAAGCAGCCATTTTTTGAAATTCACACATCTCTAAACATTGTAATGCTGTTGTCCGGCCAATGTGCAAAGAAACATAACATGCATATGCAGTAATGGTGAATAGGGCATACCAAAATGCATTTTTATTAGGGAACATTGCTTTGCAGAACTGTATACTCAAAATTGACAGATCTGCCCACTCCTAGGCCTTGAATTAACCAATCTTCTGGTTCCCCCTTCCTCATCCCTTTCCTTGCAGGTCGCTGCCTCTTAGACAAACCACGCGAACCCCTGCACCTCCCAGCTGCCTTCCCTGGCAGTGATTACGACGTGGACCAGCAGTGCCAGCTGAGCTTTGGGCCCGACTCACGCCACTGCCCCAGCATGCGTCCCCCTTGTTCCTCACTGTGGTGCACGGGGCAGATCAACGGGCAATACATGTGCCAGACGAAATACTTCCCCTGGGCCGATGGGACACCTTGCGGCGAAGGCAAGAGTTGCATGAGCGGCCAGTGCATCAGCAAAGTCGACTTGAAGGCGTACAATGTGAGTAGACCCACCAGCGGTATCTCTGCGTTCCCAGGGTAGACATAAAGGACACAGCGCTCCCTTTTTGAGCAGGGAAGGATGCATTGTACAGTATTGAATGCACTTGTTCTGTTAGCACAGGGAATTGTGCTTGTGTAATGGTGCTTTCCCTCTTCTCCTCCCCTGAATGGACACCATGCCCTCCCAAATCTGCTCCTGAGGGGAGCATCAGGACAGATTTAAGGGGTGCACAGGAGGGGAGAAGATCTGCTGCACAAGCACCAATTCTTACGCTAGTAGATTTAATTGCTTGGCACTACACTGGATACAAGCCTTGGAAACCCAAGAACACAAGAGGCACATAAACTGAACTTAAGTTTAGAAAAAAGAGAAACAGATACTGACAGATTCACCTGTTCCTACCATAGTGCTTGTGAAGTGCTTTGTACATTTGTAAACACCGTGTGACTTATCAATTGTCTCACACAAAGCACTTTTTCACTCTCTCTTCCCTTTTCTCCTTTTTTGCAGATTCCCACCCACGGTGGCTGGGGACGTTGGGGCCCGTGGGGCGACTGCTCCCGCAGCTGCGGAGGGGGAGTGCAGTACTCCACCCGCGAGTGCAACAAGCCTGTCCCACGCAATGGTGGCAAGTACTGCGAGGGGAAACGCACCCAGTACCGCTCCTGCAACGTCCAGAATTGCCCCGATGGGAACGGTAAGATCGTTTCTGCCGCTTTCAAACAGCGTTTCTTAGGTGGACCTGATTGCCACAGCCTGCCCTGGTGCTTCCTTGCTTGTGTTTCTTACTGGCTGAAACCATAGCTAGCCAACTGCCAGCGAGTGCAGGCAATAGTGAGCAAGAGGGACCAATTTTCTGACCCCACATAAGGCAGCTTCCTATGTTCCTGTGTGCTAACTGGGTTCATTATTCCAAGTGGCACACAGGGGTCTTGCTTAATTGTTTAATATGGAAGAGAAAACGTGAGACGGAAGCAATCATCAAGAGGTTTAATATGAATGTTGATGCCCATTTCACACCCAAAATGCACCTGGGGCCATTTTATTCTTGTCACCCAGCCCTAGTTGCAGGTCTTAACCCCTGTGTGTTAATTCCCCTCCAGCTCTGACCTACCGGGAACAGCAGTGTGCTGTCTACAATCACCGCACTGACATGTTTAAGGACTACCCTGCCCCCATGGACTGGGTGCCCCGCTACAGCGGTGTGGCTGAGCGTGACCAGTGCAAGTTGACCTGCCAATCCCATGCCCTGGGCTACTACTATGTCCTGGAACCGAAGGTAAGTGTTACCATGGCAACGTGGGCCTCCCGTCCCTCAGGAGACCCTGAGGTTATTTTACACTTAAGAGAACAAGCTTTCGGAAACAAAATGCAAAGCAATGGACAGCTATCTGAGAGTGTGTAGGCGGGAGATGGGGAATCTGGAAGGTGTTGTGGGGAAGGAAGTAGAGGACCGAAGAGGAAGTGATTTTCCCATAAGCCCTTGGGGCAGTAAACTGACTCTTGCTTGGTTCTAGGTGGCTGATGGAACACCCTGCTCCCCTGACTCCACCTCAGTCTGTGTCCAGGGGCGCTGCGTCCACGCTGGTTGCGATCGTGTCATCGGCTCGAAGAAGAAGTTTGACAAATGCATGGCGTGCGGAGGGGACAACTCTGGATGCACTAAGATCTATGGTTCTTTCACCAACCCTCAGTGAGTGACATTTCTTTTGCAGGCGCTGCTTTGTGTGGCGCTAAGACATTGGGAATGCACAATGTGTTTCCCTCCTTCCCAACCCCAAGTATTTCTTTACAGATAGTTGAGACCTTGCTGATGCCATTACTTCAACAGTTAAATATAGGCCTATGCCAAAAGTATCCATAGAAACCCTAATTCAAGAGCCCAGGTATAAATGATGAATAGTTCTTGCATTTATGAATTTCAGGTTGTATCCAAGAGTATTCCTACTTGGAGCAGATCCATTGAAATGAATGGAGTTGCCTCTGGGCTTTGAGTATAACTTAGATGGATACAAACAGTGCTTTTTTTCTGGGGAGGATGCAGGGGTACGCATAGCCCTAAACATTTTGTGAATCTTTGTACTATTGTCCATTTACTGTATTTATTTTCCCGATTTGAACTATAAAATGGTTATTTTCTTGAGTCAAAATGAGAGTACCCCTAAATATTTTTTAAAGAAAAAAAGCACTGGATACAAATACATATATATTCATACTTACATAATTTGCTCCAATTATAAAACCACCCTGTTCCCATTCCTAACAAAATGTGTAAGAACTTTCATGCATTTTGAAGGGAAAGCTATAAAGTGGCATCCCCTGCATGCAAGTAAGTACATAAATTATTTCCAACAGAACAGGGCGATTTTTAAGAGCCCCTGATTCCTGGAAGACCATGGACTGCTGTCTGCAAGGAATCATGTCCATGCGTACACTGCTCCTGTATGACTGGGATTAAGCAGTGTACAAAGTGTTGAAACAAATAAATAATGTGGAAAGGGTGGGACCTCTCACTCCAATCCCATCCAGCCCTAAATCCCATCCAGCCCTAAGACCTGGTCTTTCTCGGACCAAGAGATTGGCTCCTATTCCCAGCTTCCTAGGACCACATTCACACCATTCATTTAAAGCCATAGCACAGCACCTTAAGCAGTCATGGCATCCCCCAAAGAACCCCGGGAGATGTAGTCTGTCACGTATGCTGAGAGTCACCAGGAGCCCCTTATTCCCCTTGCAGATCAACAATTCCCAGAGTTCCCTGAGAACCACTCAGAAAATTTGGGTGCTCGGCCACACTTGTCCCATGCCAAGAAAGCATGGCTCTGAGCAGTTTTCCACCGCTTTCCTCTGGAAAACTTGTTCTTCTGCGCGAAATCAGAACAGCAATCTGCAGAAAAACTGGATTGCCCTTTGTTCTGATTCAGCGCTAAAATGCAAGTTTTCCCGGGGAGGAAAGTGGCAAGGAAAACAGGAGTGTGAATGAGCCCTGAGTCTTGTGGAGACCTGGCCACCCTGCTCCTCAGAGGCAGGCCTTTTTCCACTCTCCATCCCAGCTGATCCCTGATCTTTCTCGTCCTCCCGCCCAATCAGGTACGGTTACAACGACGTGGTCACCATCCCGGCGGGAGCCACCAACATCCTGATCCGCCAGAGCAGCGGCCCATCGTCCTCCAGCGACGGAATCTACCTGGCTCTCCGCCGGCGGGACGGCACTTACGCCCTCAACGGCAACTACATCCTGGCACCTTCCGAGCAGGACGTCCACCTGCCAGGCGGGGTGAACATGCGCTACAGCGGGGCCACCAAGGCCATGGAGACGATCGTGGGGCGCGGGCCCCTGAAAGAACCGCTCACCTTGCAAGCCTTGGTGGTGACCGACCAGAAGACCCCGCGCCTCAAGTACACCTTCTTCGTCCCCAAGGCTCCAAAGAGGTTGTCGAGCCAGTGGCTGAAGCAGAAGGCTCGCATCTTGGAGGTCCTAAGGAACCGGCGAGGCCGCAAATAGACATGTGCACCTCTTGGGGAGAGGTGGTTCCTGGCCAGGCCTCCCGACTTGCTCTGGCCCCTGCAACCCACAACGGAGGCAGGCGTCTGCGTGGGGAGGGGGCTCATAAGGCACATCTTCTTAATGTCGCTTTCCTGAAGATGACCAAACTGCACCAAAGCTTACCCGCTGACCTCACAAACAAGAGACCCTAAGCAGCAAAAGCTGGTGCTAGGTTTGCTTAATGGCTCAGGGACCTTCCAGGACCTTCTGCCGCATGTTGTGGACTCTCTTTCTTGGCTCTGCCTGGACATTTGAAGACTCAGGACACAAACCAAGTTGTGGGGGAAAGGGGAAAGCACCCAGAGGCTTATGGCCTTGTATGCCTGAAAAGGCTTGACCTCAAGTGTGGGGTTGTCAAGCCAAGCCGTTTCCTCCTCCCTGCGAGGGATCTGATAAGTTATAGGGCGATGGTCAGCCAGGCTTCAAAATGGAATCCAGGGTGGGGAGGAGGTGGTGAAAAAAAGCCCCTTGCTGTTTTTTTGTGGTTTATTCGGGGATGGGGTGGAATGAGCGACAGGGAGAAGTTGACCTGACTGAAGAGAACAGGCATCAATTCTGCAAAAACAACATCTGGCTTAGCCTAGGCCGTCAACAGGCCTATTCTCCATTGTGCTTGTTCCCTCAGTTTTTTTATTCTGTCCGCTCGTGTACTGTATTTATTATCCTTTTTATTTATTCACTACTCTGGATGCATAAAGAGTATTAATTGTGGGGAGGGTTTATATATATATATATTTGTTGTTGCTGCTGGGTTTTTTGGGTTTTTTAAAAGCAGAACAAAGGAGGCAGCAATGTTCCTCAGCCTCACCAAAACTTGGCAAGTTTACACCACACGTTTTTTCTGGGGGAGCCAGAAAATGTGCTCGAATCAGCGGTGTCTACCTCAGCCTCTTAGCGCCTCCTCCTTCCCCCACTCTCTGCTCTCAAATGGGCTTTTTTTTTGGCCCACCCCACAGCTGTCTCTGGCTTTGGACAGACTCTTCTGCCAGGACAGGCGAGCCTCTCTTATTTTTTTGGCAGCACGTGCCTTTCTCCTTTTTCTTGCGGCAATGACAAGGCACCAGAGAAATTACAGGCCTTGGTTTGGGGGAAAAGCCGTCCTGAAGTGGTCAGGCTTTGGGGCTTTTCCCTCATAGTAGGCCGACCTCAGTTAGACCTCTCTTCTTCCATGCCGAGGGAGGGGCGAAGGGACCAGGCCTTTGTGTCTCTCACTGTTGTGGCCTGCAGAAGAGGCCACTCAAAGGATTTCCTCCCCTCAGCCCAGAAAATAATGTTGTGTCTGGGCTGGTTCCCAATTATCACAGGTTGCGAGGGGAGCTGACGGCCCTAACATTATGGGCTAGGAGGCACTGCCGAGTGAGTGGCAAGGGAATAAGCAGCAGCTTAGCATGAGGAGGCCATTAAAAGGGAATTATTTTTCCCAACCTGAAAAGTGAGGGAAAGCAGGTGATTTCATTGAGGTGGCAGGGAGAGAGGTGGTCGCATCCAATGCCTGTCACAGAGCAAACCCAATGGAAACAATGGTTTGGACTACCTTAGGTCCACGAATTTCAGTGGGGCTACTCTGAGTAAAAGTCAGTTGGCTATCATCCCTAGACGCTGACGTTCAAGTCTTCTAAAATGAGAGCAGAGGTTAGTGGTTGCGGCAGTGAAGTAGGGCGAAGGTGGGAAACAATGGGACTCCACCAGCTCTGAGAGCGAAAGGATGCCAAGCCAGGGTCTTCTCATTGTCTGTCCCCTCCCTGAGTAGTAGAAGCACATGGGCCAAGAGGCAGCAAAAGGGAAGAAGAAACTCATTCTGCACATTGCCGTGCCAGAAGCACCAGCCCTTACAACAGGGGTAGGGAACATTGGGCCCTCCAGATGCTGTTGAACTGCAATTCCCATCATCTCTGGCCATTGGCCATGCTTGCTGGGGCTGATGGGAGTTGTAGTTGAGCAACATGAGCTATGCCCATAACGAGGCTGATACACACTAAGTTTCCCCCTGGAGGGGGTGAATTATATTTAAAACCTCTGTAGAACCAGAGGGAATCCCCCCAAACAACTCCCCAGTTTTGTCAGTGATAGCCCTTTCCCTCAACCACAGGGACTCTGATAGTTAATAATTTAATTAAATTATAAATCAAGGAGGATAGCAGCAAAAGCCTTAACTGGCCCCGGGGCAAGTCCCCGGGGGTCATGAGGTTGGGTTTTATATTCGTTTTGTATAGAACAGTGTGTTTGATCTTAATAACTATTGTTGGGGATCTGGGGTTATTTTTTCCGTTTTGAAATAATAAAAACTCCGCCAGGTTATTTAATGCTATTTATAAACCCGGTGTCTTGGTGTGACTCTTTTGGTGGGTACCGTTATACTGCCACCCCTGGTATTTAGCAGTGGCTTGGGAGAAAGTATTAAGAGGAGGGGTGAGGAACCTCAGGCCGTGGCCAAATGCAACTTTCCAGATCTTTCTAGCTGGGTCCTGGGACTGAGTTATCTGTCCTAGGCAGCGCTTCAGTTTCACTTGGTGGCACATAGCTCAGCGGTAGGGTGTCCACTTCCTGAAGCAGAAGGTCCCCAGGCATCCCCAGATAGTGGAAAAATATTCCTGCTCCAAATCCTGGGAGACCTACAGCCTGTCAGCTACACTGAGCTACATGGCGCAATGGCTTGACTCTGTATAAGGCAAACTCTTGTCTCTGACCCCATGAGCTCAGCTGGCCAAAATGCAGCCCGTTGGCCAGATGTGACCCTGAAGCAGTATCATCTGTATCTTTAAGGCGGTTTCATCAAGAAGCAGTGAAAAGCCGGACCTCAGCTTCCCTCGCTAGGGAAAGAAAAGCTTTCAAGCTGTAAATGAGAGTGGGAACATTCTATACTTTTGGGGTGGGGGAACCAGACACCCTTGGCCACTGGCCAAGCTGACTGCGGCCTGCTAGGAGAGGAGAGTGCAACAATATCGCCTTGTTAGATCTTGCTTTGGGCTTGGTATGCAATGCCTCAGGAATTCCGGAGGACACACACTTCAAAATTATATGAACGTTATGACACCCATACTATCTGTAAGGGGATGAGGTTGTGTGGCAGACTGTTGTCTATGGACCACTGTGTGGAGAACAGGCTGTGCCACAACCGTCCAAAGTTTGAGAAGGCAACTCTTTTGTCTGTTAATGACTTTGCTGAGCTTACTCGGTTATGGAGGCCACTTTCCAGGCAGATGGGTTGGACCAGCCTTTAAATTTCCCAAAATGCACCAATGGAGAAGTGAAGTCAAACTGTTGGAAGGTTGCAGCACCTGCTGTGACCGATATGGGAGAGACATGTTTTGTTGCAGCTGGGGCAGATGAAGGCGTATGGTATGTCTCCCGATAAGGTTATAACTGCTGCCTCCCACATTGTTTTTGCTGCATTTGTAGCACCAAAGTGACCTCTCTAGGGCACAAACCTGAGCAGTGTGTTATGGAGGTCCTGAGCTACCCAGATGACAAGCCACTCCCCCTCTCATCCTTGCCAATGTGGTTCAAAGGAAAGCAGAGCAATATGCTTGGCACCAGCTTGGCTGTAGGAGTTGCCGGAAGGAGACATACCAGGCACCCTCCAACTGTCTTAGGGACTCCACTATGGATTTGTGTAGGCTTGACTCCTTAGCTTTTTCTTCTCCTGAAGATGTCTTGCAAGGCACCAATACTAAGCAGGGGATATTATGGGAAATCAGAAAGAGTGACTAGATACAGGCACCTGGGGCTACTTGACATGGTAGGGACAGGGCTGGCATCAGCAGTGGTGCCCAGCCAAATACAGTGGTACCTCGGGTTAAGAACTTAATTCGTTCTGGAGGTCTGTTCTTAACCTGAAACTGTTCTTAACCTGAAGAACCACTTTAGCTAATGGGGCCACCTGCTGCTGCTGCGCTGCCGAAGCAGGATTTCTGTTCTCATCCTGAAGCAAAGTTCTTAAACCGAGGTAATATTTCTGGGTTAGTGGAGTCTGTAACCTGAAGTGTATGTAACCTGAGGTACCACTGTACTCAATAGCAGAATAATCCAGCTGGATCAGGCCAGTGGCTCATCTAGTTCAGCATCCTGTTCCCACAGCAGCCAACCAGATGCTGGTGGGAAACCCACAATCAGGACCCGAGCGCAACAGCAGCTCTCTCCCCATTTGTGATTCCTGGCAACTGATCCTCAGAGGCATATTGTCTCCAACGGTAGTGCCAGAACACAGCCACAGTGGTTGGGAGCCATCAACAGCCTGATTCTGCAAGATTGTGTCCAATTCTCTTTTTAAAGTCAAACAAGTTGGTGGCCATTGTCTGTTCTGAATTTCCCAACGTTCACAAGCTGGCCATTCCCGTCACCTCCTAATGGCAAAGTCCTCTTCCTTTAAGGCGTAGCCTCCCAACGCCTGCATGGCAGCTGTTTTTGTTACTCTGCTACTTGGACCTACGCGCAAAGCAAAAATTTGGGTTTCAAGCTTTAAAATAAAAAAGGAAGGAGTCCCCAAAGGTGAGGTCCAGAAGAAGGATCGTTGCTACATCTCCTCCTCCATGTTTTCCTGCTGCCTCTTCAAATCTTCTTTCCAGACGTTCACCTCCTCCGTCGCTTTTCTCTGACTCACCCAGGCGCTGAAAGGTTCCTGGGCCCATCTCCAACTCCCCAAATCTCCCAAGGCCACGGAGCTGCCGGCTCGGATTCCAGAGCCCGTACAGAGGCTGCAATTTCCACTCCTGGTCTTAGAAAGGGGGGTGGGGAATCTGGGTGTGTGGGACAAGGAGGAACGCAGAAACGGTTAGCCTCTCCGACTGAGATTTTAAAATTAAGATTGGATGAGGGCCAGGGGAACTGATTGTGCCTGCTGTGGGGGAACGACCGAGCCACAAATAAAGAAGAATAATTCAAACAGAATTCAACGAGGAGGAGGGGGGGAATGTTTTTATATATAAAAAATCATTGCAGTAAATACAAAGAGCAAATACATACAGAGATGACCCGTTATGTTATAATACTGCTAGGCTGCAACAGGGTCAGGCTTCATAGCAGCAGCCCCTTTGGGCCCCCAACCCCAAAACACACATTTTTGGAGTGTGGCAACGGCCCCTGTCTGTGGCCAGCCCCCCTCTCCTCAAGCACAAATTTCTGTGGATCAGCCCTTAAATGACTGCATACTCAACAGGCAGCTGGACTCCAGCTAGCTAACAGTGCACTGGAGGTGTTATGGACCCTCCAGTTGTCGAGTTAGACCTGCGACGGCTCATTCATACATGCCAGCGAGCGCTGGGGAGCTATGGCTGCTGAGCGTGCATGGATGAGCAAGTCTGTGGCGTCAGCGACTAGGGCAAGGTCGGTCCACCTCCCCTTTCCTACAGAGAGACCTTTGTTGTTGCAGCTCCACCAATCTGCTGCTGCATTATTATGTTTAAAGGCATGTTTGCATCCCCACTGCCACAGCAAAATAAGAAGAGACAGGCCGCTGGATCAAATCAAAGGTCTCCTTGCCAGCGGCCTGCTCTTACAGTGGCCAGCCAGACACCTCGAGGGGAAGCCTGCAAACAGGACCTGAGTGCAATGTTCACATTCACAACTGAGAGAGCTAAGAGGACTTCTTAAGAAAGCTAACTGCTCCTCTACAGATGGGGCGGCGGGGATTTCAGGAACAGGGCACACGCTGCTCCCGGGACTCTGTTTTTTACATCAAGACTGAGCTCACAGCATCCCTCCCCCCAATCCACTCCTAGTCTCCCCTTCTTTCTTTGTTTCAGCAGCTTAATTTGAGAAGGGAGAAGAGACTTCTCGGTTGTTGCCATTGTTAAACAGTCAGGAATCTGAAGCCCTTGCCAAATCAAAGTCACCCAGAGAGCTACCCACTGATCCCAGTCTACTTTCTGTCCGTCTCCCAGTTGTGCTTGGCCTCCATATAAGATGCCGTTCAAGCTGTGCGTGGTTAAGAGACCGGGGCCACGAGAGCTGTGTTAAGATTCCAACACCACTGCAAGACACAAGCAAAGGATTCTATATCCTGAAGATACATGCTCTTTTAGGAAAAACAACAACACGTTTCTAGACAGCAGGGGGAAGACAGGGAGGGCTTTGCCTGCCAAAGTCTCACACCTGTCATCCATCAGAAGTTCCGGGTGTTGGGTGGCTGGTTGAAGACTAGGCCCAGCAGAAAAAAACCAAAGGGATGCAAAAGCCTGGATCTTATACAGGCAACTGGAGGCAGCTTTTCCTCTGTGCCACCCAGCAGAAGAGGGCTCAGCGATGAGAGTCTGGAGTTTTGCACTAACAAAACAGAAGCTCCCAAACTGTGCGACTGGAATGAAATGATGTAACTAGAATGAAATGACTTACAATAATTTAGACTCCCAGAATCTTAAGAGTTGGAAGGGACCTTGAGGGTTATCTAGCCCGACCCCCTGCAATGCAGGAATGTTAGGAACGGCAGTATCTCTTTTTTGGAGGGAGTCATTGCACAGGTTTTGATCTGGGCAGTGGGTGGTGGAGAGACTGGAAGATTAAAGCTGCAAAACACAAATCGCAATACTAGGGCAGATGATCAAAAGTGGGGCAAGCAGCAAAGGCATGCAAAGGGGGCAGAAGAGCAGCAGCAGTGATCTCCTGGCAGCGGCACTGTCCTTGCTGGGATGGTGGCAAAGCCCGCTGCTGCCTTGCCCCAGTGTGCAGTAGTGCCACAACTCTGCCTCCTGTGCCCCTGCTAAGAACAGACTGACTAAATTTTACTCAAGACAGACCCACTGAAATTAATAGATCTAAGTCAGTTGTGTTCATTAATTCCAATGAGTCTATTCTGAGAGTAGGGTTAGCAGAGTCTTAACTTTGGGAGCCCGATAACTGTGCAAAGAAATAAGGAGACTCTCCTTCAGAGCATTGGATTCCCGAGTGAGAGATATTTTCTTTCTCTCTTTCTTTTAAGTCAGAAATTTGGCTATTCTCTGCAGCAATGAGGACCGGAACCTTGCTTTTAAAAAAAGAAGTGGCAGCAAAATGTGCTCCAGTTGCCGGATTCCTTGCTCCTTGGCACCCTCTCGAGCGTGAAGATGTCAAGACCGATCGTCTGTGGGGTTTGCAAAAGAAGCTGCTCATCTTTGAGATGGGCGGGCATCACATTTGGTTCAAAGAGAACAAGTGGCATCCTGTTATTAAACGAAGCATCAGTGCAAACACATCCTGAGAAAATAAATAAAGCGGCAGAACACTTAAGACTTAATCCACAGCCAGAGCTGCTTTGTCCGCAGGGCACCGGGGGCAATCAATCGCTCACCCTCCAGTTCCTGACACTTGCATCTGGGGCTGTCTAGACTTTCATTAGAGGGTAGGAAATTATCCCAATTAAATCCCAGAGACATTCTTCCCCTCCTCACCACACACACACACCCCAATCGTGCCGCAGTTAGGTTCGCAGCTCAGAACTTGTTTGCCAAGTCTGAGCGAAAACCACCCCGCTTTTTTAAAAAGTTGGATGGATAGCAGGGTCAGGCATCAAGGAGATAGTGGTAGAAAAAAGCCTCATTCTAGCACAGACCAGAGCACAGGGAATTAACACAGCATGTAGAAAGGAGTGGGGGATTGAGAATGCTGCAGTATAGGGATGTGGCTGGACTACTACCCCCATTATCCCTTGACCACGAACCATGGTGGTTGGAGTGGATAGGATATGAAAACCAGCAACATCTGGGGGAGGATGTCTCACACTGACTCCCCAGGTTGTAGCACTCTGCTGAAAGTAAGGCTGCAACCTGATTTATTTATTTATTTAAACCAATTACTGTACGTTGTATGAGCCTGGCTAGATTTAGTTTGCCATTTAAACTTGCACATGGGTAAAAACACTTCTGAAACAGAAGGCATGCTTTGTTTTCAGACAATACACACACACAGGGCATTGTGTTAGAAGAGGCCTTCCTCTCTGCTTTTGGTTGCAATCCTGCTGCTTAGTTGCTTTACCCGTTTAGCATACTTAAAATAATATTCTATTATAACATGATATATTTTTAGCCGCCTTGAGAAGTAGAATCGAAGCCTGGGCTATAAGGCGACATAATAAATAGATAAGTACCACCCAACCCAAGGGCAGCAGTGTAGGATTAGCAAGTCGGGGGTGTGGGGGAAACACATGACACAATGGGTATCAAATGCGACACACTTCGTGTGCTTTGAAAGGCAGTGGAGGCTGTTCCACTCAGGGGAATGGGGCACTGCCCCACAACCCTTAGTCCGCTCTCAGCCATCCCCAGCCTGCTTGCCTTCTTACTTACAGCCGGTCCAAGGGGGGGCCCTGCCTGTCACCCTCCTCCTCCTCAGTCTCGGGAGAAGGATGGGGACAAAACTAGACTCCATTGGCTCCGCCACTCATTGCTTGCAGCTCTGCCTGTCATTGCCTCTGGCTCCGCCTCCTGCAGGGCTCCCAGATTCTGCCCTACAAACTCTAATGGATACCAGCCACCATTTTAAGATGAGTTTCAGGGAGTAATTATTTCAGAGGGGGCCGCCACCCTCTGCTGAAGTACTAGGGGCAGGACAATCTGCCCTCTACTAAAAAGGGCTTCTCTGGTGCTCCCCCCCCCCCAAGAAAAATAGGTGCCAGAACTCACCATGAAGTTGCTACAGTAAGTCGCCAGGTGACTCGGGGCAGCCTTGAATAGACAGATGCCTGTTTGACAACAGCAGTGTTCACCAGCCATGGAGGTGATAAAAACTACGGCAAGCTGTTTGGTTTGGGGGTCGCCCCTGGTTCTGGTGCAGGTCAAATAAATGTGCCCCACCCCCCGCCCCATTCTTTTAGATTCAGGCAGATGGCTAGGGCAGCTTGGAAGGGCCCTCGTGCAAACATGCCCACGGGCAACAGTAGAGGCCTAGCTGGAAAGCTTAAAGCCCACTGCCGCTATACGGGAATTGGATTGAAGAAATGGAAATACTAATTTGCCCTACCCCATAGCTTGACCAACTGTGGCTAGATCTAAAAAAAAGTAGACTCACACACTGGCCAGCTTCGCTTTGGACTTGAAATGTTCATTTTGGGCCTCTCGGAAGTACGTAAAGGCAAGAAGCAGGTGGGAGGGTGCTGGCCTGCAATGTCACCCACCTGAGAGGTGCTGGAACCGCGCTCCGGTGTGCTCTGGCTGAAAAAAAGCCCTGGGCCTCCCTTTTCTCCAGTTATTGAGCAGCTCAAATGATGCTGGAAACCCAGCCTCTTAATTTCAAGGCCTCTGGGGAACCTTGGGGTGGGGGCCAATCCAGCAAAGGAAACAAGGAATCCCCCCAGCGATTAGACACAAAAATGACAGAAACCTCCTGAACACCTCCCCAAGCGGAGGATGCAGCAAGTCCCTGCGCACCACAAAGCATGATGTTCCGACTCTTATGTTTCAAGAAAGCTCAAGGAACTGCTGGGAATGTGCTGAAAGGCAACATACACACAACGCTCACAGCAAACCAGAAGGATAAGCAGAAATCCTGGATGAGGCTGGTGTAGCGTGGGGAGGTGCGGCTGCGTGCTCTTCACACCCACCTGAGCTATCCGTGGTCAAATCCACTGGAGGGCAGCCAGCCTCCGCCCTCTGAAAAAGGAAACCCCAAGGGGATGCTAATACAAGGTACTCCCTCCTCTGGGACAGCTGTTCACCATCAGCCTCCGACATGCTTTCAGTCCACAGCAGAGCATCAGAGGCTGGAGCAAGTTGAAAGTGGAAGCATGTACCAAACACTGCCACCCTCGGGGCTGAAATCAGGTGAGCAAAAGCAAGGCTGGGGTCCCTAGTGGGCAGAGGTCACAGCTCTCCAGAGTAGGAGGCTAATGCCCGCATTATTATTATTATTATTATTATTAGATAGGCCAGAGCTTGATCTCTTTGGGCAGCCTGGTAAAGGACGCAGGGCTTAAATACGGCCTTCACAGGCAAGGTGAGGCAGGCAGGAAGGAAGGAAGGAAGGAAGGGGCTCAAATTCACATGCTTCACACCAGGGCCCAAGGCGCATTAAGGGCCGCTTCTTAGAGTGATCTCTGCTGTGTGCAGCACCCCAATTCTGAGTGTTACACAGGTTGAGCCAAGAGTTCGAAATACGAGGACCTCCTGCTGAGCTCCACTTCAAGGGAGAGCGTGCTCTGTTCCCACTGGGATGAAGAGCACCAACACTTATAGTACACACACAAACACACACACACACACAAACACTCCCCTCCCGAGGAAACCGTTTCCCCACCAGGGGGAAAACGTTAGGAAACTGCAGCCACCATTGCCTCCACAGAAGGTGGCCAATGAAACTGAACGGAACCTCTGCCTCCACCAATAGAAAGAGAGCACGAAGAGAGAGCAGTCCAGGAAGTCACACGTCGTAGTTGGGCAAGTAGCTGTAGGAGGGCCCGCTGGCTGACGGAGAGCTGCAGTTGCACGGGAAGAACCAGCAGATGACGAGACCTAGGTGGTGAGAGAGGGAAGGAGGGTTGGATGCACACAGCTCATCGTGGACGCTTGCCTCTAATGCCGGGATGGGGAATCCAGCGCCCTCTGGCTGAGGAGGGACCCCCGGCCCGCATCAGCCCCAACCAACATGGTCGATGGCACAGAACGATGGGAGCTGGAGCTCAGCATCTTCCGGATACAGGTCCCCCAGATGTTGCTGATTTACAGCTCCCAGCATCGCTGGTCATGCCGGCTGGGGATGATGGGACTTGTAGCACAGCAACATCTGGAGGTTCTCTCTGCCTAATCTAGAGGGCTGCTGGCTTCCCGGCACTGCTTTAACGGACCAGCAAGGACATACGCCAGTCATCACCACCCCAGACCTACCTCGGCCAAAGACTTCCCGCAGGAGGGCGATCTTGGGCTTCCGCGTATGCGAGACTTCCCGCCGTGCCTCTTTCAGGAGCCGGTTGCGCAGCTGCTCAATTGGGGTCTCGTCCGTGATAATGGAGACCAGCTGGGAGAAGTGATGCACATTAGGCAGTTGGGGGGGCAGGATATGTTTTGAGACACACAAACACACACACACAAGCACTTGTGTCTGTCTATTGCTCCATGCGACACTAACATTCCCTTTCCCCTAATAGCACCACCACCGGCGCATCTTTTTTGGGGGAAGGTTATCCTTGGCACCTCAGGAGGCGCTGGGCAAAATCTGAAACCTTGCCCACCTGTCCCCCCTAGTCTCTGAACAACACCCTGTGATAGCTGTGATGCTTCAGTGCTCTCTATTTGTATGCCGCCTTCCTACAGTTAAACCTTGTTCAAGATGGCTTACAACTAGGACTGGATGAGATATCAATATATCGTCCAAAACCAGTTTGAAGTCCATATCGTGATAATGGTTTCATAATGTATTTTTTAAAATTAAAAACAAACATTATTATTTACAATGCACACAATTACACCAACTCAAATACCGACAATACAAAAATACAAACATAAATGCTACACCTATGTGACTCTCATAATTTTTGACCTGGCAATATATCGCAAATCTCGGTGTGTGTGTGTGGTTGCTATGCAAAAATCATGATGCAGGAAAAATTGTGAAGCCAGCCAATGCCTCTACATAGCTCCATCCTAATTTCAGACATTGTGATGTATCACTATATTGCGACGTTTAGCTGGTGATATATCACAATGCTGAAATCCAGATATTGCCCAGCCCTACTTGCAACCTCAAAAAACGTACATAATTCACACTAACAGTTACCAAAACGTAACAAAATTTAGCCACAAGCGATAAACCAATGGAAACATCTCAATAAATATGCAAGCCTGATGTGCATGATTCACAGTAAGATCTAACAAGACCTTGGGAAACCACTGCCGATCACAGCAGAGAGGACCCAACCTGCAAAAAGCTGCACCCTATACTCAGTGGTGCTCACAGCTCAATGGTACAGCACACTGCTTGGCATGCAGAAGTCGCCCCCACCCTCCCCAGTTCCAACGTACAGCGACAACCCCTGCCAAGGCCATAGAGAGCCACTGCCAATTAAAAGGGCCACCCTGGGCTGTGCAGTCCACTGATTGGACACTTTACAAGGCAGCTCCATGCGGCTGTTGATATCTGATAGTGTCTGTGCCATGGACACAGTTTCTCTTCTAGTCCTCTGCAGGAAAACCAGCACCAGCAACTGGAAGAAGGCTGGGGAAGAGGACTTGCCACTCTTGCCCTCCCCAGCATCTCCCTTTTGCTGCTGTTAAATCTTCTCCAGAGGAGAAATGAGGGAGCCAGCTGTACGCTTAGTGAGAAGACCCCTCCCTCTCTGAACTGTGTCTTAGTCAGGCTGCTGAGGCTCTTTGGAGTGGAATCAGCCCAGCGCCAGCAGCTGGAACTTAATTGCTTGTAAAATAAAATATTAAAAAATTGTTCTGTGCTGGCATATTCATGTCTAGATTATTTCTAGTATTGAATCCATTCCAATGTTGTTAAATTGCTGCTTTCTTTAAAGTTGCTTCAATTTATGGATGCATTTTGACAACAGCTTTCTCTCCCACCCTACAAAGTTTTGCGTTTTGCTAATAAGTGTTGTAGCCACACTGGGCCCAGCTCAGTGTGGAAAGGCGACATATAAATAAACTATTTTTTAAAAATCTATTGATTTGGAACAATTTTAAAAAAAATAATTGGGGGGGGGGCGTTGCTGTTGTTTTTAATAAATGGCTGACAAACTAAAAAGGTTGCCAAACGATTAAAAACCAACCTGGTCATAAAATATGACTGTGACAAAGAGGCCAAAGAGGATGGATTCCACCAGCAAGATGATGCGGTGAGCGCTAGGAGGAGGAAAGGGAAAAGTACAGTCAGTCTGTTAACTAGGAACACTACTACTCCAACTTGTGTTTCCGGAGGGGCAGCAGAACGCACGGGACTATTTTTTAAAATAGGGCTGAGCTGTGCTTCACATGTGTACCAGGCACCTCCAAACAACTATTCCCCTCACAGAGCTACAATTCCCAGAGTTCCACAGGAAGAGGGATTACTTGTTAATCCACTCTGGGAATTGTAGCTCTGTGAGGGGGTGGAGAGGTGCCTCCAAACAGATCTCCGCACCCGTAACAAATGAGTTCCCAGGATTCTTTGGGGGGGGGGGAAGCATGACTATTTAAAGTGGTATGATACTGCTCTAAATGCAGAGTGCAGATGGAGCCTACGTTAGGCATGCCTAATTAACTGGAGAACTCGAACGGGGTATAACCCATTCTTTCCGTTTCTTCTCCACATGAAATTCTTCTAACGCTGATGCCTTCGCTGCTTAAATCGCTTCGAGGTCACGTTCGCAGGAAGCGATTCAGAAGTGAAACGGAATAAATAAATAGCCCTTGGCAGCAGGGGAATGCGGCCCTCGACGGGAGGGGGGGAAGCCTTCCCCCACCCCCACGATTGTGGACAGAGAGACCCTAAGCAGGAGGAAGCAGGCGAGGAGGCTGCGGGGGCTGGACAAAGGGACAACGCCCTACCCTCGGCTGCTCCCATTTTCCAAAGAGAGAGGGGGAGGGGGAGGGAGAGTGTGCTGCTCATTTATAGAAAAGCCAGCATGGAGCCTCTTCCCCTTCCCTTGGCACTGAGCCAAAGCTCTGGAGCTCCAGCTGTTCTTGGCAAGAACTGTGTGACATGGCAATTTCTTTTCTTTCGTTCGTCTTATTAATTTTTTTGTTTTTGCAAAAGGCCAAACTGAGGCATCTACAGGGTCTCTAGAACTCTCCCTGCCCCAGCAACGGGGGGTGGGGTGGGGTGGGGAGAATCCTGAGCTTGGTGGCAGGAGGAAGGAAGTGGGACTCACATTTGGATGCGATTGTTGGAAACGCCTCCTTCGGCTCCTTCAGCCTTCCCGGCTGAGCTCTTGTCCGTGGGCCAAAGCCAGGTGGTCAAGACCAGCCCCATGGCGTAAAGGCTGGCCAAGCCTGTGGCAGGGAGAACCAGGTCAGCAAAGGCCAAGAGGGAGAGGAAACACAAAAAGAAAAAAGGGTTCTCAACGCAGGCATTGTGCATTTCATCATTTCCTTGGGGATACATGTCATAAATCCCGAAGTATGATCAGGACAGAGCTGAAGCTTGAATGGGTTTTTTGGGCGGGGAGACAGGCTTTCTGCTCAACTTCCAGATGCCTTAGAAGACCAACTTTCAACAAACTTTTAGCTTGCAAGATAAAGGAGACAGTGAATAGGAATGAGGGGTTAAGCCAAATCCTTTACAGAAGGGGTGGGGAGTGGGGGTTCATTTTATTTTGGTCTGGAGTCACATTCTCCTGGGAGCAATCTGTCAGGGGCTGCATTCTGGTGGTGGGTGGGACCACTCCAACTTAATACAGTGGTACCTCTGGATGCGAAGAGGATCCGTTCCAGAGCCCTGTTCGCATCCTGAAGCGAACCCGCGTCTGCGCATGCCGCGATTCGCCGCTTCCGCGCGTGACGGCATTTTGAGTTTCTGCGCATGCGGTGAAACCCGGAAGTAACGCGCTCCATTACTTCCGGGTCGTCGCGGAGCGCAACCCAAAAATATTCATCCCAAAGCTCCTTCAACCCGAGGTATGACTGTAACATTTTTATTCTTTCTATGCCGCCCATCTGACTGGGTTGCCCCAGCCACTCTGGGTGGTTCCCAACAAATTATTAAAAACGCAATGAAACATCAAAAGTTAAAAATGTCCTCTCCCTCTGACTCCCCTGTCTCCTTCTCCTGACGCCCCTCTCCCCACCCTCTCTTAACACCATGCTCTTCCTCCCCAGACAGAAGTCTACCAGGGAGGAACAGGCTGCTATTGCCAGAGGTCTGAACTGATCCTTTGAAGAGGGCTTCTGACATCAGGCCAAGGGTCAAGGTTGCTCTGGTCCAAGGCTGCTCACCCCTGCTCTACAAAAAATGTTAGGTTTTGATAAGTCAAGAGAGGAAAGTGTTATTTTGTCTTGGGAGGGAGCTCTAGACCGAGATGGGGAGGTCAGGCATTGGCAGGGGGCAGCCTGGCAAAGGAGCAAAGGGGTAGGAAGGCAGAACGAGCAGAGTGGCTGAAGCAAGCAATGAACCTAGATGACCCTTCCAACTCTTCTATGATTATGTGATTCTATGAACCACTCGGTTGGTGGCAGGTGAGTTGGGAGCAACGAAGGACATTAAAAGTTAAGCAGGTAAACAAGCAAACAAGGACTCTTAACCCTCAAAGAGACAAAGAAACTTGTCAGAAGCTGAGAACAATTCCAAGTTTTACAGTGAGGAGGAAGAGGAAGACTGTGTGCCTTGGAGAAGAGCAGCCCCTAGTGGGGAAAGACAGGGATCGCTGCTTTGATTTCAGAGATTAACCAGAAGGGACATCTAATAAACTGGGCTGGATCAACTTCAGTCAGCGCAATCCCTCAGTCCACAGTACTCTTCGGATAGGAACGAGGGGAGCTCAACCAACAAACGCAACCTTAAACCCTCATTTTTATGTTCTAGGGAGGCAAAGAAGGGGCCCATGGGGCAGTGGGGCATTAAGCAGGGAGGTAAATTGCTACCCACAATGCCCTGGGACCCCCCCCCAAACCATGGCCTGGTGGCACGTTCCCAACATACCTGTATAGAAGAGAAACTGGATGAAGTATTTCTGGTTCAGTTCCCCCACGCAGTTGTTGATCCTACCAAGAGAGCGTTTGTGCGTGTTAGAAAGAAAACTGGACAACTAGGAACGAGATGAAGCTGTCAATTCTGGCTTCTCTCGAGTTTCTCCAATCTTCAGTTCAGCTCTCTACATTTCCACATCAGTTTGCAATTAAAAAATAATAATTCTCATGGAAATTCATCAGCATTTTTCTGTGAATTTCTCCTACCACACACATTTGTATATGCAATTTCCCCCTAATACAGTCATTTCTGCAAAGCAATATTGACTGATATAATGTGCTCTGTATGTAATTTTCACTAACACGTATATTTGCATGCACACATTAGTGCATTCATTTTTGCACAGGCAAGAGAACTTTAAATGCCTGCTGGACACTTTTCCATTCCGTTCAGTTTAGGTGGACAATTGAGAATCCATCTATCCACAACAGCCAGCCACTTTCTGATTTTAACTTTTTATATGGATTTTATCGTATGGTTTCATGGACAATTGTCATAAACCACTCTACTGTTGTTGCTGTTATTGAATAGTGGTAGATAAGTATATTTCTAACAAATAGGTAATTAACCTGCATGCAAAATTTGGAGAAGCGTAGAGTTCTTTTTCATTGGTTTTTTTTTTTAATATAGTGTGAATTTTGAAGGATGGTTGTGCTTTGGTTCACAAATCATTTCAGAAAATGGGAATTGGGGAGGTTTGCCTTCATATGCAAACTGAACCACGTTCCTCCTCCCCCACACACACACACCCTAGGGACAACAGCTCAAGCTAAAATTAAAAAGGGTGGTTCTTCTGGTTCCCAAAGATGAGATGGGGTTGGGGAGGCTGATGCTGTTTCAACTGGATCCGTCATAACACTGACTGAGATGAGAAGCCCTCTTCTCTGGGGAGGAAGCAAGGGGAGCGAAAGTAACCATCGAATCCTGACACATACAGATCAAGGCAGGATCCTCACCAAGGGCAGTGGTGGTCCATGCGGCGCACGCAGCGGTGGCAGACGCGGCAGTGGTGCGCCCGGGGCGGCCGGTATGTCTCACAGCGGTTACACACTGTCCAGTCCTCATTGTTCTAGGGAGGCAAAGAAGAAGATGGCAGAGGAACCAAAAGGTGTTTGTCACCTGCTCTGCTTCTGTTTCTGGTGGTGCTTGAGCTTGCTTTCACCTCCTCCCTCCCATTCCATTTTTCCTTGCCTGACATATCCTTTTTGGACAGAAGCCCAAGGGCAGGGGCCAGCTTCATGCTGATTTTTGTAAGCCGCTCAGAGAGTCTTTCGGGTTAAAGTGCAGGGTGCAAATGCAAGAAACCATCAAATGGAATTAACACCGCCTCCCTCAGACTACAGTTCATCTGCACACAAGGGGTCTAAGTTCTGAGAGAGTAAACCTTTGTCTGGACTGGACTGCTGCAGACTGAACGTCATAAGGACCTATGAAGAGCCCTGCTGAATCAGGCCCCAATTCCATCTAGCCTAAAAGCCTGTTCCCTCTCTGGGCTGACTCCAGGTCTGGTTCCATCGGTGGGCTCTGTCAGCCTTTCCCTGCCATGAAAGCACTGCTCCGAGAAGCACCAGGAGGCTGGACTCAGCCACCCTTTTACAGTGGTGCCTCGCAAGGCGAAATTAATTCGTTCCGCGAGTTTTGTCGTCTTGCGATTCTTTTCGTCTTGCGAAGCACGGTGTCGGGAAAGTTTTGGAAAAGCTTCAAAAATCACCAAAGTCTTTAAAAACCTCAAAAAAAGGCTACCGCACCGCGTTCTACGAGTTGCTCCTCGAAGTCAAGTCGCAACTGTATTAACGGTGTTAAGAAAAAGGAAACAAACTTGCAAGACGTTTCCGTCTTGCGAAGCAAGCCCATAGGGAAAATCGTCTTGCGAAGCAGCTCAAAAAGCGCAAAACCCTTTCGTCTAGCAAGTTTTTGGTCTTGCGAGGCATTCGTCTTGCGAGGTACCCCTGTAATTTCACACCATGCCCCGAGCAAAAGCTGCACCTGGGGCATTGTGGGAAATTTAAAAGGTCAGCAAGCCACAGCCTCCCTGCACTGCTTGCAATTGTCTATAGAAAGCAATCCTGCGAGTTGTATATATAAAGCATAAACACGGGAGCTGCGTATGTAAAGCAAGACTGTGGGATGGAGGGGTGATCTGACTCAGAGTCCCAGAAATTCTGCTCCGTTGGAGACCACAAGAGGAGAAGCAGTGGAATCTATTACTGTTGCTCCTTGGTGCCATTCTATTGAAGATGTTATTTCAGTAATTTTATATTTGTTGTTGATGTTGTTTTTCCACTGTAAACTGCTCCGTATATTACAGGAGACCTTGCCCTGGGTCTGTGAGCCGCCATTTTGTGGTTTGTTAAGGATGCTGTGAGTTGTTACAAGGCCCCTATCCCCCTCGCAGAGCTACCCTTCCTGGAGTGGCTTAACAGTCAATCTCTCTTCCCAAGGAACTCTGGGAACTGTAGCTCTGTGGGCAGAATAGAAGCCCCCTAAGGACTTTCAGTTCCCTTAACAAACTACAATCCCCAGGATTCCTTGAGGGAAGCCGTGGTAGTTTAAAGTGGTAGGATTTGAACACAGTGCCGATGAGGCCTCAGTCTGCATGCCTTGCATTTACAGCAGACAAGGCACATACCTCTCCGGCAGCTTGTCAGAATGCAAGGTAGCTGCAGAGAATTAAAGTAACTAGTTGCAGCTAGATGGTGTTGAGCTTGACGAATCACTGGGCTAAGGCAGGTGTGAGGAGCGTGCAGCTGGAACACAGCATTGCTGGTCCATAACTCCTGCCATTCCTGACCCTGGTCATGCTGGTCAAGGCTGGTGGGAGTTGGGAATCCAGCCCCCACCTGGAGGGCCACAGGTTCCCCACCCCTAGGCCTACGAGTAAGGCAGCTTCACATTCCCCCCTCCCCAGGTACAGACTCCTTGCAACAACTCACCCGACTGTTCTTGTGCGATCCGCCACTGCCGCTACTCCGCAAGTCAGAGAAGTCAATGGCTGTATCTGGGAGCGGGACCATGCCTGAAAGAGAGCCACAAGCAAGGCTGGGTGTGAGCATCTAATTGATTTTTTTATGGTGGGGAGCTGTTTCATAAAGGACAAGGCTATTGGTGGCTACCAGTCTTGATGGCTATGTTCTCCCATCACTGTCAGAGACAGTAGAAGCGGTGGTGTCAGCATCCCCCACACTTATGCAGGGGTTAGGTTCCGGACCCCCGCACACGTAAGTGACATCATGTAAAGGGGGGGGCACCCTCTAAACACCTTTTAAATGCCCTTTCTGCTGCTTTCTCTTCAATCCAGACCAAAAATACTGTGTCCAAAAATATTCACAAGAACTGATATTCTGGTGTCGGCAGGAGGCCGCACAGGAAAGCTGCTGCTGCTGCTGCTGCGCTGCCCCACACACCGGCTGTTAGGGAGTTGTGACTGTTAAAGTGGTATAAGAGTGTTTTAAGTACAAGGTGTGGATATGGCCTCAGGCTAACATTGTTGCTGTGCGGATACAAGGTGTGGGGGACCACCCTGAACTCCTTGGGGAAAAGAACAGATTAAAAAGTAATGAAAGAATGTTTTTTTTAAAAAAAGGCTCAGAACAGACAGACAGGAGACAGACTGATGAAGAAATTAACTTCACACCCATTTACTTATGCTCTTCCTCCAACCTCCCCCTGTTATCTACCATTCCTTTCGGCTTTGTTTAGTGGGTGTAAATACATGCATGCACTAATCGCATTTACCCACCAACAGGCCTCAAGGGGATCCCACTGAGTTGTGCTGCAGGGCTGGGGAGCCTGCAGCCTTCCAGGTGTTGCTGGACTCCAGTTCCCATCATGTTGGCTGGGGCTGATGGGAATTGGAGTCCAGGTTCCCAGCCCTGGCGTACTAATTACTTCCAGCATGGCGTTTTTTTCTGCAGAGAAAACAGTTAACTTTCTCATTTCAGTTTTTGCAGTTCTTATCTCAGCAACAAAAAGCTGTTTTAAATGTCCAAAGAAATGCTTTTTGTGTGTGTGCTTCTCCACTGCCAGTTGACCAAGTCTGCATCAATCATTGGCTCCTTTTTTATCCCTTTCATAGCTGCCATATTTAGGAATAGAACCTCCAGGTTTACCTCTGAACATCTGATGCTTGGGACAAACAGGCAAAAGTGGCTTTTATCCCTCATGCTCTGCTTATGAATTCTCCTGGAGTTAATGATTGCTCACTACTGGAGTGATGGACTAGATGGATCTTAGTTTTGACCCAGCAAGGAAATTCTTTTATTTTTAAGCAAACAAAGCACAGAAAAATCTGAATGTGCGTGGAAGGATCAAGAGAACAGAGCTGTTCTCCTTCTCCCTCCCACCCTGCAAAAGTATATCATGAACTAAATAAACTCCAAGAAACGGGAACAGAATGAACTTCTAACAATGATGCAGGCACATTACTCAATCGAGATGTTCCAGCTCTCAGTGACGCCAACAAAGGCACATTTGCTCAATAAATATTTTGATTTTGCATTTGGAGAGACAGAGAGAGAAAAGATGAAATGTGCAGAGCAGGCTGATTAATTTCAAATATGCCACTTCAGCTTTCTGTCCCAAATGCCACTGGCAAAAGATGATCAAGGACTTCGCTTTTGCTGATCCCATAATAAACACTCGCAAAGATCCAAAGGCCCGAGGGCCCTCTTCCAGGGTAAGATGACACCTCCAAGGAAGCCAAGGCAACGACCTTCAGCAGGATCCGGGCAAGCAGTTGCGGAAAAACAACACCCGGCAAAGGAAAGCTGGGCAGCTCCAGTTTCTGCAGCTGCTTTGCTTGGATATGCTGAAAAGGCAGCATCACAGATGGGGGGGTGGGGTGGCCTGGCAATAGGTGTGGCCTAAAGTGTGCCCCACTGAGGATTAGAATACAGCTCCTAACACAGAGAGAGACCCAGGAATCTCCACTTTCATGGTTTCAAAAAGAATGACTCTAAAGCCCTTCTGTTTGCAAGGGTGGGGAACACCAAGCAGTTGTTTATTATTCTGCAAAAGGTACTGAAATAGGAAGGAGAGGCTGGGGAAGAAGGCACCTAATGGCGAAAAGGATGCCTTGTTGAATCAGAGACGGGTCCGTCTAGTCCAGCATTCTCTCTTTCACAGAGGCCAGCCAACTCGTAAATGGCGCAATAAAAAAGTGCCCCATCTAGTCCAGCACCCTGTTTCCACAGTGGCCAACCAGATGCCACTGGGAAGCCTGTAGCAGGACCTGAGCAAAAGGATACTCTCCTCTCCTGGGACTTCCAGAAACTGGTATTCGGAAGAGGAAGCCCATCCCTTGCTTTGTTCCCAGTATCAGATCAGAGGCGCTGCTGGTGTCACGTTGCGGCTGACACCTGAGGCCAGGAGATCACACAGTTCCCATCACTGTACTTGCCCTGCAGCCTTCATCCGTGTCCTCTGTCACCAGGAAGCTGCCCAGCTGTTTAGGTGAAGAGATGTTCCCTCCAGCCTACCCCCAAGGACCTAAATGTAAGGTTCTATGTTCTCATTCAAGGGTGCCGGCCTGTGCACTTTGCCTGCCTGGGTACTCAGCACAGCAGCAACACAGGCTGGAGGGTCAGGGTGGGGTTGCAGTCATAAAATTCTGAAACCTGGGAAGTGATGCTGGGCTGCAGAGACAAAACAAAGATTTCCTGAAGCCCAACAACCTCCTTGTCTGAGCTGGTATGGTCTTTAACCATAAAGATAGTAATTCTGGGGAGCCTCAATGTCAATGCTGCTCCCGCCTTATCTGGTCCAGCTCAGGAATTCATGGCTGCCATGGCAACCATGGGATGTCTCAAAACATTACGCAGCCAGTGTATATTGCAAATCGTACTCTCAATCTGGTCTTTGCTAGAGTGGATTGGGAATGAACCTGGGGGGGAGGGTGAGTGTCCAGGCTGACATGGACGCATCAGCCTCTAGTGAGATTTGGATTGACTGTGACTGACATTCCCTCATTAGGAGGGTCTGCCTTCCCCCAGATACTTATGGAATCCAGGGGATTCCTGAAGGCTCAGGGGGATTTTCCAGACATGGCTGGTGCTTTGATCGAGGCCCTGGTCCTGTTATGGAATTGTAGAATAGGAAAGGCAAACAAGCACAGTGACTCCTGAGCCACAGGACATTCCTGCACTTCTGAGAAGTTGCCCCTTTATGAAATGCCTTCCCAAGGAAAGTATGTCATGTAGACACTGCATTCTTTTCAGACCAGGCTTTCCATTTGCACAGGTATTTTAAATGATTTTGTTCTTAGCTATTTGGGTGATTTTATTCCTCTTAATCTTATTGCATCATTGGCTGCTTTCATTTTCTTTTTTTATTTGCATACTGCTCCAAAATCCGATTTTGGATAAAGGGCAGCTTAATTTTTTTTTAAAAATAAATAAATCTCTTTCCTCCCTGTATTCTTTGTCTGAAGCTGAAAGTGCACATATACTTGTGAGAGAATTCCTATTAGCCATAGTGGGGCATTATTTCCAAGCACACAGGATTGTACTTCAAATCATTTTTGAAATGCCATTTAAGCTTGTGGCCAATATTAACCCATTTTGGGACAGCAAGTCCCATAAGGTCACCGTGTACTGGTTAGAGAAAGTGTGCACAGTGGAGGCCGGTCCATCCAGGGCAATTGGGACGAGGCTGGGCAGTGGGGGGCGGGGGGAAGGCTGGGATGCCCAGACAACAAGACCCCCCTCTCAGGCCTTGCTGATGTGGTCCAAAGCAAAGTATTAAGATCTCCACTCTGGATTTGTGTAGCTTTACTCCTCAGCCTTTCTTGAGCTCCATGATCACTGCAGATGGTGACAGCAGTCACGAAATTAAAAGACGCCTGCTTCTTGGGAGAAAAGCAATGACAAACCTAGACAGCATCGTAAAAAGCAGAGACATCACATTGCCAACAAAGGTCCAAATAGTTAAAGCCATGGTTTTCCCAGTAGTGATGTATGGAAGTCAGAGCTTGACCATAAAGAAGGCTGATCGCCGAAGAATTGATGCTTTTGAATTATGGTGCTGGAGGAGACTCTTGAGAGTCCCATGGACTGCAAGAAGAGCAAACCTCTCCATTCTGAAGGAAATCAGCCCTGAGTGCTCACTGGAAGGACAGATCGTGAAGCTGAAGTACTTTGGCCACCTCATGAGAAGAGAAGACTCCCTGGAAACGACCCTGATGTTGGGAAAGATGGAGGGCACAAGGAGAAGGGGACGACAGAGGACGAGATGGTTGGACAGTGTTCTCGAAGCTACGAACATGAGTTTGACCAAACTGCGGGAGGCAGTGGAAGACAGGAGTGCCTGGTGTGCTCTGGTCCATGAGGTCACGAAGAGTCGGACACGACTAAATGACTAAACAACAACTCCTCAGCCTTTTCCTTTCGCAAAGATGGTTCCGCAAGGTAGCAGGTATGGATTGATCCTCAAGGCCCCACCAGCCTCACCTTGTCCTTGGCCAGCTCCCACCAACCTGCTTACTTGCAGTCCAATACGGCCGGTCAGCCATCTCCTCTTTAGTCTCAATGTTGCCCTTCAAGAACTCAGTAGGAAGGAGGAGGATGGGAGAAAACTAGAATAAGCTGGCTCTGCCTGTCGCTGGCTCTAGCTCTGGCTGTTGTAGGACCCTCTGCCTTTTGTCCTACCAACCTCCACTGAGAGAGCAAAGCATGGAAGCTGATGACACAGGGCCCAGGTAAGGGGTGAAGGTGGCTTACCTGGGTCGGCAAAGACAGCCCGCGTGTGACAGGCCAAGAGCATCACGACAATGAAGTTGAACGCCACGGCATGGAACGGACACCAGAGGCTGTGACAAATGGAAGCAGTGAGGTCATCAGCATCTCGCAAACTTTCTTTCTTTTTCTCTCCCCCCTCCCCCTTCCCCTTTCCCAACAGCTTTTCCAGGAGGCTAACTCAGTGAAATACGAGAGCCCATTCTATCCCTGCGTCATCATAATCATCCCCAAAAACTCGTTATTATCCGGTTGCAAACAGTGCATTCTGACAGCCAAGCAGGGATCATCTTACTAATGCAGCAAGTCTTGGATTACTTTGTGCATGAAAGGGAGCATATTCACATTTTATTACGGCTGGGACCCAAAAGGCCCCCCATGATTGGACATACCCAGTGGAGTTTTTTTATGTTGTTCTTTTGTGTTTTTAATACTCCCCACTTTTGAAGGGTGGCATTGGGGGTGTAAAGGAGAAGGAAAACACTGTCTCAGAATTGCAAAGTCAAACGTTACTACTGATCCTGGCCTATAAATAACTGACTCTGCATGGTTTCTTGGAAGTAAAAGCCCATGTTTTTCAGTCTTTACTCCTTAGTGTGTGTGTTTAGGATCACAGCCGAAATTAGCTAAACTGCGGGAGATAAAAAAAGGTGGGCACCAGGTAAGAAAAAAGGCATGCTCAGGACCTGTAAGAAAATCCATGTACCCAGACATAGCAGACACGCTGAACTGGACCAGGTGTATGTCTCTAGCCCAACATCCATTTACCAGCCAGGCAAATGCTTCATGAAAGACCACCACCAAGGTCTGAAGGATACAGCCTTTTCTCTATTGTAATCTCCCAGTGTTAAGGGACGCGGGTGGCGCTGTGGTCTAAACCACAGAGCCTAGGGCTTGCCGATCAGAAGGTCGGCGGTTCGAATCCCTGTGACGGGGTGAGCTCCCATTGCTCGGTCCCTGCTCCTGCCCACCTAGCATGTCAAAGTGCAAGTAGATAAATAGGTACCACTCCAGCGGGAAGGTAAACGGCGTTTCTGTGCGCTGCTCTGGTTTGCCAGCAGCGGCTTAGTCATGCTGGCCACATGACCCGGAAGCTGTCTGCAGACAAACGCCGGCTCCCTCGGCTTATAGAGTAAGGTAAGCGCGCAACCCCAGAGTCGTCCACGACTGTACCTAATGGTCAGGGGTACCTTTACCTTTTAATCTCCCAGTGACAAGTATTCAGTGGTAGACTTCCTCAAACATACAGGTTCTGCATAACCATTATTATGTCTATTTAACTAACAGAAGTTAAAGGACTCCTCCTCCATGACTGTGCCCTGTGCTGGCGCCCTGAAAAATATATGCACTAAAGTAAAGAATGTACATCTATTAAACAACAACAAAAAATAAGGCTGCAGTCTTCCACCTACTTAGCCAGGAGCAAGTCCAACTAGGGCAGGGCTGCCTTATAATAATAATTTATTATTTGTACCCCACCCATCTGGCTGGGTTTCCCCAGCCACTCTGGGCAGCTTCCAACAAAGATTAAAAATACATTAAAATGTCACACATTAAAAACTTCCCTGAACAGGGCTGCCTTCAGATGTCTTCTAAATGTCAGGTAGTTGTTTATCTCTTTGACATCTGATGGGAGGACATTCCACAGGGTAAGGAATCCAGAATCCACCAATAGACAATACTTATATTAGAATCAACCAAAATGTCACAAAAGAGTGAGCAAGGTTTTAGCCCACCAGATTTCTTCATCAGGCCAGTTGTTGCACAAAGCAGAACTTGGAGAAGTAAGGGGGGGGGGGGGAGGCAATTAGGTTGGATGTTGGCTCCATAAGTATCCAGCCTCATTTTTGTAGTTATTCACTACCCCACTCCTGGAATTACCGAAACCGATGCAGAGCTCTGGAGAAGCTGAAGGTTTGCTCACTGGCATTTTGTGTCGGCTGGGTTGATCCTAAGCAAAATATTGGTGAAGGGCAGGAAACACGTCCAATAACAGCAGCAGCAACATTATGACTCGAGGTAGATTCTGAAACTTTCCCCCTTTTTTCTTTCTTTCAAGAAAACTCTGAGAAAGCATCTCTGAGCATGTGCAGAGTACAGAACCTGCGACCTCCTCCTGCCCCTGAGCTACGGCCCTTCTCCGGCTTGGCTTCTTTCCTTTCCCCCACCACAGGGGGAGGAACAAAACCGAGCCCTCCCAAGGGCACCGTGCCCCTGAGCGTGTGCAGAGCGGGGGGGGGGGGCTTCCCTGCGGGGCTGGCGCGCCCTACCTGCCCCGGAAGCCCGGCTGGAGCAGGACATGCTCCAGGATGACGTAGTCGGCGTAGCCCACACTGAGGTACGTAAGCAGCAGGCAGAGGACCCCGCACGGGTCCGCCCGACACCGCCCCTTCCCGCAGCACCAGCACCGGCACCGACCCCCGGCCGCCACCGCCGCACCCATGGCAACCCCCGGCAGGCACTTCCGGCGCCGCCTCCTCCCCGCCCGCCAGCCAATCGCAGATCGGGAGAAGGGAGGGGGCGCGGAAGCCGAGGGCGCCGCCGGGCCAGCGTCTCCCTCGCGCTCCTGTTGCCATGGAGACGCGGCCTGGCAGCAGCAGCCCTCACCAGCCTTTTCTTTTGCGGCCGGGGGGGGGCGGGGTAGCGGGCCCCGCCGGCACCTCAGTTTGGGGACCGGCGTGCGAAGGGGCGCCAAAGGCCAAGCAGGCCTTTGGGGTCAAAAAATCTGGGAAATGAAATGAACAACAACAACAAGCAGAGGTTGGGTGTCCATCTGTCCTAGATGCTTCAGCTGAGATTCCTGCACTGCAGGGGGTTGGACTAGATGACCCTCGGGGGGACCCTTCCGACTCTACAAAACAATGGTGTTGGAGGGTATGGAGTTATGTGGCCCCCGAGTACCTACTGTATGCAACCTTTAGGAGACATCTGAAGGAAGCCCTGTACAGGGAAGTTGTTTGATGTTTAATGTTTTATTATGCTTTTATATGTGTGGGAAGCCACCCAGAGTGGCTGGGGCAACCCAATCAGATGGGTGGGGTATAAATAATAAAAGGAGGAGGATGGAATAGGACGTTCCCATTTTCAACAGAGAATGGTTGGATGGTATGCAGTGTGCGGCGCTGTGGGTTAAACCACAGAGCCTAGGACTTACCGATCAGAAGGTCAGTGGTTCGAATCCCCGCGACGGGGTGAGCTCCTGTTGCTCGGTCCCTGCTCCTGCCAACCTAGCAGTTTGAAACCATGTCAAAGTGCAAGTAGATAAATAGGTACCGCTCCGGCGGGAAGGTAAACGGCGTTTCCATGAGCTGCTCTGGTTCGCCAGAAGCGGTTTAGTCATGCTGGCCACATGACCCGGAAACTGTACGCCGGCTCCCTCGGCCAATAAAGCGAGATGAGCGCCGCAACCCCAGAGTCGGCCACGACTGGACCTAATGGTCAGCGGTCCCTTTACCTTTACCTATGCAGTGTGCCATGGCATCCAGATCTTGGTTGGTGTCACCTGGCTTTCTTTTCACCCCATATATTGCAGAGGCCTCCATTTTATAGCATTTTTTGCAGCTTGTAGGAATTTCTAATTTTCGGTTTCCCTCGGAAGAAGGTTTCCCAAGGGCTTGTCATGTGAATGTCTTAGAGAGATACCATTCGCATTTTAAGCATTTTTGTACACAATGCTTGGCTTGAGAACTGCATTGCAAACTTCAGAGAAGTGCCGATTTTGGAGGATGACCAGTTTTCAGTGCTCATACAGTGTTGGAAAGCATTAGTTAGGTTAGCCTTTAAAAGCAAACCGAAACAAAACTCTCTGCATCCCAAATGCGGTCATATCTACTACACAGTTTAAACCACATGCTTCTCTCCCCCCCCCCCCAAAGGATCCTAGGAACTGTAGCTTATCTTCTCTCACAAACTACTGTAGCCAGGATTCCATGGGGGGAGCCACAATTACTTAAAGTGGTGTGATACTATTTTAAATGGGACCTGGGTGGTGGAGACAGACATTATATTGGTCACATGCACACCATACACTTAAAGCACATCTTCCTCATAGGAATCCTGGGAACTGTAGTTCACCCTTCACAGCGCTACTGTTCCCAGTCTAACAGTTCTCAGGGTTCTTGGGAGGTGGGAGGGAAGCAACTTGTTTAAAATGTATTGTGTGGATATGACCCCAAGCCAGTTCAAACAGTGGCTTTTGTCAATAAATATGGATGCCTGGCACTCTGATGTCAATAAGAACCTAAGGGTCTCCCATAAGGCTAGCCTCCCCCCCCCCCGAATGTAAACTTGTTCCACAGGCTTACAGATGTTTCTCCTCATGTTCTCTCCTATCCCACTTTATCCCTCAGGGAATGGGGAAAGGATACTTTGAGAGTCTGCTTGGAGAGATCAGAGAGATGCTGGCTTTCATTAAGGAAAAGTGCAGATTGAAAACCATTATATTCATCTGCTCTCGTCTAAGTGTACTGTATATCTACATCTGCCAACCTTCATATAAACCTTCACACATCTACTGAAGTGTACTCTGGTCGAGGAAGAGTTCTTTCCTCGATTTGCTAAGAGCCCATCCAGACGTCCTTTTTATTGTGCATTCATAATTATTTGTGCTCAATGTTCCCAGTGAAGAGGAACTCTGAGAATAGTAGCTCTGTAAGGCAAATAGGGATCTCCTAACAACTATCAGAACTCTTAACAAAGCGCAGCTCCCAGAATTCGGGGGGCAGGACTGTTTGAAGTGGTATTATAGTGCTTTAAAGGCATGGTGTGAATATGGCCCATATCAGCCACCAAACTATTGCCCATCTGATTATTGGCTGTGCTGCCTGGGGCTGATGAGAGTTCCCCATTTTGGTCCAACTTAAACTTTTTGTTGTAAAATCAATCAAAAACAAAGATGATTGGCATATGCATCCATATTTCTTAAGCAAATTAAACAAAGAGAAATTAGTTATAAATTATCATTATCATCATCATGATGGAGATATGACATAGGATCATTTATACACTTGTGGGGGACATGTCCATGTGTTTACTCCTTCTGGACAACGATACTCCACAAAATTGGCCTCATCAGTTACCATAGAATCATAGAATTGTCGTGAAGGGACCCTGAGGATCATCTAGTCCGCCACAGATCCTAAAAGAGCTTTATTTTCAGTCTTTACAGAAGATACGCAAGACCTTAAAGATAGACTTATTTGTTCCTTCTCATTATCCCCGCACACTTCACAATAACCATATCCATTGGATATGGACTTATTGAAGCTTGGTTTGCACAAATTTAGGAATTGTTTTTGATGGAAAAGCTGACCAATTGTTGGAGAAAAACACACAATAAGAAACAATAAATTCTTTTGTTTAATCCTTCACTGACCATGATGTGTTATCAATCATACTTGGGGAACATGTGGTTTGAATTACTCGTGGTTGGGGGGGGGGATGAAATGTATTTTTTGAAAACCCATAAATATAATTACGGTACATATTAGAAAAAGACAAAGATGGTCCATTCTGGGCTGGAGAACAGAAAAAAAGTATTGTCAATGGGACCACCCCTAACCTGTAGGAAAGGGAGCCCATGGGGTCATCCAGATGTTGTTGGGCTCCACCTCCCATAAACGCCGACCATTGGGCTGAGCTGACTGTGGCTGAAGGGAATAGGAGGGCACCAGGTTGGCAAAAGCTGATATAAAGAATAAACTCCATCATGAGGGTAATGCAATGCTCCTGACATTTCTGGCTGTTCTGTTCAAGGAGTATAGGCTGCAGTCCTATCGCCCTCTTGCTCTGGGTTTAAAACCTGTTGACGCCAGAAGGAGTTACTTCTGAGTAACATGCAGCGAATGGAGCATTTTTCTTCAAGAGCGGACAGACCCAAGGTGCTTATGTATTCCCCCCCCAAAGCCCCCCCCTGTCAGTAAGGTCTGATTCCTTTTTTATTAGTAATATTTTATTAGAATTTCATTTATAAAAAGTCAAGAGGGGGAAAAGAAAAAAATGAGTGATGATGAAAAAATATACTGTTACATTACCTTACTTGCATATATTCTTATCCTAATACACACATAATTGTCAATAAACTAATATTGTGTAAATTCATTCCAAATATCATTGTATTTTATCCAAAGAGAGTGTGCATCTACAGCTGTCCGTTCCTATGTTGCCAATGTTGCCACGCAGTAGCGTCCGATTCCTGCTACCGCGGTGGCAGCAGGCGAGGAGGGAAACGGGCCCTCTGTGCATGCTCAGGGCTTCTCTCGCCTTTCGGACGCCGCCGTGCCTCAGACGTCCAAAGTCAACCAAATCCTGGAGCTTCCGCCGTGGGGGGGGGGGGGGGAATACTGCAAAAAAATCAAATCGGATCAAAATCTCTGCAGCCTCCGGACTTTCTGCTTCCGCGTGCAGGGCGCTTTAAAGGGAGGAGTATCCGGGCCTGCCCTGTTATCCGACGTCACCGGCCCTTCTCTTATCCCCCTCCCCAAAGCATCCCGCCCCTTAATTCCATTTCCCCCCCCTTTTTTTTCCCTTTTACCTACTGAAGATGGCGGCGGCGGTGGTGGTTCTGATTCTGGGGTGGGGTTAAGAGCCGGGCGTTCCTGGCGCGGAGGGCTCCCGGCACCCAGGTGAGCAAGGGCGGGGCAGGAGGTGCGGGAGGGCAGGCGCGCACCCTTGGGGGCCGAGGTGGGTGCGCTGTTTTGCAGGAAGGGTGGGCGCCGCTGGGAGAGGCTCTTCCACCCGGCGAGCAGGGGACACCTGGGCTCCAGGGGGGCGCTGAGCCTTGCACCTGGGCGAGGGAGGCGGGGGGGGCGCCTCTTGCAAACCCCCGCGCCCTCCTCCCCCCCCCGGCGTTTCTATGGGGATTGGATTGGGAAAGGGATCCTGAAGGGGAGAGGGTGGGGGAGGGGCTCGGCTTGGGCTCCATCCCCCTCCCTTGCCAACTGAGCTTTAGCCGTAGAGATCATCCCAGATTTTTAGCAGCAGGATGGAATTGGTGCTTCCGTTGCGAAATAATTAGATATGTGTGTGTGATAGCCATATCTGTATCCCGCTGGGATTTCAAAGGCGAGGCTTTTATAAGGAGGTAGTTGCTTAGAGCAGAGATTGGGAAGGGACCCGGTGGAGGACAGGTGAGTCGGTCGCGCCAGGATATATACAGGTGAAAGCAGGTCAGGGAGGAAAGGAAAGTTGCTGGATCCAGCTGTGTTCAAATGGAAGTGTGCTACCTTTTGAGTTACTCAGGGCTCTTTAATTTTCTGCGGGATGTCGGAGGGAAAGGGAGGGATGGGGATGAGGAAAGGAGCAGGGGAGGCAGGCAGCGCCAAGATGGAGAGTTCTTACTTGAACCTGCTGCGTTCAAAATGAACCGCACCAGCTTTTGAGTTACACAGGTCTATTCCTTTCTTGCTGGCTGTTCAAGTAAGGGGGATAAAAGTGGTGGTGGTGGGTAAAAACAAACAGTGCTAAAATGTTGCCATGCCTAGTTTATGCTTCTCCCAGAGGATTTCTCTCTTCTCCCCTCCCTCAGCCAGTTTCCTAGGACCGAATACAGATGAAACTGTGTCTTTGTTGCATGGCTTATTCTGACACTTTGAAGATGACGTATGACATATTATGCTTCCGATAATCTGGAGATTATGCAGGGAATGGAAGCCCTGTGCTCTGCCACTGCCAACCTTATTTTGCCAGCTTTCGGACATTTCCCAAAGTGCTCTTCTAGCATATCTCTGGAAACATGAGGTCTAGAATCTTAGTTTCTTAACACACAAACACCCCTTTTTGAAATTGGATTTTGCACCCCAAACATGTTACGTGCATACGTGGAACTGTGATATCTGTGTAGCTTTGCATGCAACTGTTTTAACCTTGAACTAAGCCTTCGGTGTGTGAATCGCTCAGGAACATTGCATGTGAGAGTCCAGTTTATTTCTTAGTGCCAAAATGCAGGATGGGGTACGAAGTTAAACTATGGAACTGCTCCCTCAGCAGGTGTTGAAGACTACTAGCCCTGGTGGCTTTAATAGGATGCTGGACCAGATGGGACATTGGTCTGATACACCAGGTGGTTCTTAACGTTCCTATGCAAACCTTTTTATTCATAAATATAGGGGTTGGACTGGGACCAGGGACAGCTGAACGCCACAACCCACCACACGGGTGACTTTGAACCAGTTGCACAACATTCATATTCTCTCTCTCGCTGCTTAACCTTCTTCACAAGGTCACAGTGAGGATAAAATGGGGGCTGATGGGCGAACCATGTGCACTGCCCAAAGCTTCTGGGGCTCCCAGAGAAGAATGGGGCAAAATGTCATTTTTTGGGCCTGTGCACTTTACCTGCTCCCCCTAATTGGTAAAAGTCGCAGGTTTCAGTTTGCAGGAAACTGAGACAGGTTTGGGCAGCATGGTGCCTCGGGGTTGGTCAGGTTCTCTTTGGGAATGTTGTGTGAGCGCTCGCCAGTTCTCTTTTGTCCCTCTGCAAAGCCGTCTCTCAACGCTGCCTGTAAGGGGGAGAAAAGGAAACCTGACGCTTTGTTGCCAGTTACTATTGTTAAAACCAAAATTTATAACAATAGCAAATTACGTATAAAGTAACAGCAAGGCTGTCGGTCCATTGAAGATTTCGGAGGTTGGTTAATCATTTTTTTCATTTGGCCTTGCCAACAGGTTGCTAGTCCATAATGTTATTTCATAGAATCAAATACTTGTATGCAATTCTTGTATTGCACCTGCAATGCAAGAAGTTGGACTAAATGACCCTCAGGGTCTCTTCCAGCTCTATTTATTTATTTCGATATATATTTTTTTGTCCCACCTCTCCTTCAAGGGGGGCGTACATGGTTCTCCCTCTCCCCATTTTAAACTCATAACAACCCCATGGAGTAAGTTATGGCTGAGAAATGGTGACCAGCCTCAAGGTCACCCAGTGAACTTCATGGCTGAGTGTGGCATAATAATAATAATAGTAATAATCATAATAATAATTTATTGTTTATACCCCGCCCATCTTGCTGGGTCTCCCCAGCCACCCTGGGCAGCTTCCAACAAAGTATTAAAATACATTCTCACCATTCCACCACGCCTGCCCTCCCTACTTTGTTTCCATCGTCTTCAGCAGGCCAAGAGCCTGAAAGCAAGAAGGAGAAACAAGGACATGGGACCTTCTACATGCCAAGCAGATGACTTGCCCCTGAGCTTCATCCCTCACCCCCTGCTGCTCCCCAGGAACGGGTCTTCAGAGATGTGCTCTCCTACCTTCTTGCAGGTGCGACTGCTGTCCTTCTGAGGCCCAGGGAGAAGACCTTGCCCCCCACCCCACCATGCTCCGAAGGCTCCTGGATCGGCCCTGCACTTTGGCTCTCCTCATTGGCTTCCAGTTTGCCTTCATGGCTTATTTCTCCTTTGGTGGCTTCCGGAACTTGGCCTCGATATTTGGGCACGACGCCAACCCGTCCTTCGACTACTCCCGGACCCACGACGTCTACACCAACCTCAGCCTCCTGCCTCAGCAGCCCCGCTATGGGAGCCCCACTCAGTCTCTGCCCTACTGCCCGGAGCGGTCGCCGTACCTCAGTGAGTGGGGCCTGTGACCACGTTGCTCAATGTGGAGGTCAAAACTGCAGGGTGAGGGGTGGTTCAATGTAGGTTCCGACATACGAGGGGCTTAAGAGTCTCCCTTGTCCTAGAAATACAGAGAATCACGATCGGCTTTGAAATGGCGATGGGGAATGTTGCACCCAGGGGCTGAATGTGGCCCTCCATGTGTGTCTCTCTGGCCCTTGCTACTCTCTCCAAGTTGCATACCACACCAGCCCTGCCTGCTCCATGCCCTCCTTGCGTGCGTTCGCTCTTGAACTGTAACAATGCCTTCTGCTTACCTGCATGGAGAGAGGTTTGTGTGTGCGTGAGGAAAAATGCTGACTTCTGTGCTATACATGTAAGGCACTATTATGCCACTTTAAACAGTCATGGCTTCCCCCATTGCATCCTGTGATCTGCCATATGCTAAGCAAGCTGAGAATTGTTAGGAACCCCTCCTATTTCCCTTGCACAGCTACAGTCCCCAGAGTTTCCTGGGAACAGGAATTAACTGTTAAACCAGTCCGGAAATTGTAGCTCTGGGTGGGTGGGGAACGGGGGTCTGCTAGCAACTCTCAGCACCCTTAACAAACCACAGGTTCCAAGTTGTATTACGCTGCTTTAAATCCACAGTGCAGAGGTGGCCCTTTGCATGGCCTACAGTAGAAAATTAAGAGCTGCATTTGTTGCCCTGACACTTTTGCCTCTAGCTCTGTCCTGCACTGGCATGTGGCCTCCAGAATATGACCCACGAGGCCCTCAGGCTGGAAAAAGTCCTCCGCTTTGTTTTCCAAAATGTTTTAGGTTCTCGAAGGCCGCAGAGAAAACTATTCCCATGAAAGCTCAGTATTGCCGGATTAAAACTCAGACGCAAAATGTGGGTGGGTGTATGCAAGATTACAAAGTCTCTCAAAGCCACTTAAAAAATAAATAAGATAAGGCGGTTATCACAGCTTTATGCCTGGTAGTCTCTTTGTCTGCTGCTTGGGCCTGGGTAAATGTTTAATTATTAGATCACATGGCACCCCGTTAAGTGGCTGAGCCTTTTCAAAGTTGCTGAAGGAGCAGTTTCGTATTGCTGTGTATGAGCTTGATCACTTTTCCTGTGGAATTCCTGTTGCAGGAGGGAAATCCCACCCTCAGAGGCCAAATATGGCCCTTCGGGCCTCTCTGAACGGCCCTTACAACTCTCCCCAGGCCACACCCCTCACCCACCCTGCTTTGCAGCTTTTGCGGTTTTGGTCCTGTTGAACTCTGCCTCTTGCTTATCTGGAGGGTGGATGGAGAAGGGTGCGAGAGAGCAGGTGCAGAAGCTAGCCTGTTGCACAAGGATGAAATTAATGTGTGTTGCTCCACCCACCACTGGCATGCGGCCCTCAAGAGGTAGCCAAGAACAGAGTGTAGTCCCTGGGCTGGGAAATGTTCCCCACTCCCTTCCCAGTTGCAATGAACAGTTTAACCCTGTGTTTGTCTACTCACGTGTCAGTCCATTGAGTGCAGTGGGGCTGATCTTCCAGGGATGTGTGGGCAGGATTTTCAAGCATGCCCCAGTACCTGTCCATTGTCTGTGATTTCCGTGCTACTCGTTGCTTCTCTTTTCCCCTTTGTTAGATGTTGAGACTGTAAGCTCCTTGGGGCAGGGGCTTGTCCTTCTGCACTCTGTAAAAATGGCATGCAAACTGACAGCCCTGCCAGTACACAGTATAAAGGTAAAGGGACCCCTGACCATTAGGTCCAGTCGTGACCGACTCTAGAGTTGTGGCGCTCATCTCGCTTACTGGCCGGCGTACAGCTTCCGGGACTAAGCTGCTTCTGGCAAACCAGAGCAGTGCACGGAAACGCCGTTTACCTTCCCGCCAGAGCGGTACCTATTTATCTACTTGCACTTTGACGTGCTTTCGAACTGCTACGTTGGCAGGAGCAGGGACCGAGCAACGGGAGCTCATCCCGTCGCGGGGATTCGAACCACCGACCTTCTGATCGGCAGGTCCTAGGCTCTGTGGTTTAACCCACAGCGCCACCCGCGTCCTTAGTACACAGTATAATTGTGTACTAATTACAACAGTAACTTGAGCAAATGAAAGTTACCACTCCTCCAAGGTGGGGTGGAGAACCTGTGGCCCTCTAGATGTTTCTGAACTATGAGTCCCATCATGCCTCACCATTGGCCATGCTGGCTTGGGCTGATGGGAGCTGGAGTCCAGCAGGTTCCCTTGACGTGATTTAAGGCAAGGGTTCTGAAACTGTGGTCCACAGATTGCCAGTGGACTGCGAGCGTCAGTCAGGTGGTCCCTGGCATGTCAGTAAAAATGTATCATTTGCATCACAATTTCCAGAACTCAGTCCTACTGGATTCAGCAGCACTTTCTCCTGGGGTGTGTATAGGATCGCAATCTATATTTTTAACTTAGGCCAGGAATCCTCAACTTTTGGGGGCCCAGGGGCACATTTGGAAATCTAAGAAACTTCTTGCCCCCACAAAGTACCCATTTCACAGGTGGAAAAACCGGTGAGTCTCTCACACACATCCAAAGAGGCAAAATGCTTACATGCACTTTTTTACATGCACTTGCATGGACTGCAGACCAACAGATAAGCAGGCTACCCTCCCTTGATTTATTTTTTTTTAAGAGAATAGGAGGGGGGTTGGGGAAACTGATGGCACCATAATGGGTGCCTTGTTAGCTACCTCAGATCTAAGCTGACAGTGCAGTCTAATAGGAAAAAGATAATATAGCAACCCATCTACTTGTGCCAAGATGGTTTCAAGAAACACACAGCTTCCAAAAGTCAATAGAAAAGTAAAAGGCAGAAGATATATTTTTCACCCCTGCCTTAAAGCAAAAGCCCAGAATATCCAGGAAAATAGTTTTAAGGTTAAAAACAGAGCTAACGGTAAGAATGTTAATAGCGCCAAAATTATACCATGCATGATTATATATAGCAACAGTGTTTTGGTAGTGAAGATCTAGGAACGTAGAGTTGTATGAAGCTTATTTTTTTATTTTCTAAAATTTATACACCTGAGGATAAAAAAGTGTTTTTACCCTAAACAGCCAAGTTCTACTCAGAGTTTAGATCCATTGAAATTAATGGAGATGACCAACTTGGCTCCACGAATTTCAACGAGTCTACGTGTTCATACATATAACAATTTTGAGTCGCTCCCAGAGCTGCGATTCCAAGAGTAGTTTTAACAACCAATTCCTTTCCCTAGGGAATTCTGAGTATTGTAGCTTTGGAGGGACTTGGGAGTGTCTTGTAACAACTTCCAGCACGTTTAACAAATGACAGTTTGTTTAGGATTCTTTGGGGGCAAGCTGGGACAGGTTAAAGTGGTGTCATAGTCCTTTATATTTATAATATGGATATGGAACAGAAGGTAAGAGAGAAGACCTGGCCACCTCCCTCAGCCGAACGGCCTGGATTAGGAAGAGGGTGGCAGGCCTGGAACCCTTTTATAGCAGGTAGTGGCACAGGATTGGCTGCCCGGTGTCACATGACTTCTTTGGGCCTGGAGGATGCTGGGCTGTGGTGATGGTGCCTTGGCTTGAGATGCCCACAGATGCCTCCTCTAGTGATGGCGGCTCCAGTGGCGCAGGGAGCCAGAAGGGCCATAGCTCAGTGGCAGGGCATCACCTTTGCATGCAGCAGGTCCCAGGTTCAATCCCCAGCCTCTCCAGACAGGGCTGAGAATGTCCGCCATCTGAAACCGTGAAGAGCTGCTGCCAGGCAGTGCATGCAGCGCTGACCCAGATGGACCAGTGGGTCTGACTCAGTTTAAAGTGCGCTTCCCGTTCTCCTGACTCGTTGCACTGTCCACCTGGGGCTGCCGCAGTCATATTAAGAGCAGCAACTCCCAACCCAGATTGCTCTGACTTATTTTATTATAAAGGAAAGATGTTGAGGGTGCTTCTCTCTAGTCTTGTGGGATTATCCCTGACCCAGATGTCCTTGGCGTGGGGACAAAGCAACATTTGCTCCTAACAGCTTGTTATCCTTGTCTTTGCATGCACATCTATCGTTCCATTTTTCTGGGAAATCCTGCTTATAGCTTAAAACTTTGTCGCCACACCTGACACGCACAGCGTCTCCTCGCGCCATGGAAGGAAAGGTTAGTTTAGCTCCCTGCCTCTGGGGTGAGAGATATTTAGATAGAGGCTTTCGTGTCGGGTATTCATGCAGGCCTCATGAAGACTAGAAACTTGGGCAGATTCTTTGGGGTCTTTTGGAACGCTGCATCAGAGAGATGAGGCAAGCAGCTCTCGTTGGAAGACCCCAGTGCCTGCATGTGAATTTTTGATTCTGTTCTTGTTCTCCTCTCACCCTACCGACTCTCATCTCAGTTGGCCCCCTGACAGTGAGCTTCAGCCAGGTGCCGAATCTGGAGCAGATCCAAGAGAAGAACCCGGCGGTGGGCCTTGGGGGCAGGTACCGCCCTTCTGCCTGCGAGCCACGCTCCCGGACAGCCGTCATCATCCCGCACCGCAACCGGGAGACGCACCTGCGCCACTTGCTCTACTACTTACACCCCTTCCTCCAGCGCCAGCAGCTGCAGTATGGGATCTATGTGGTCCATCAGGTGCGTTTCTTTGGGATTTATGTGCATGGGAAAGAGAGATTAGTTCAATGCAACCCAGGGGTGGAGGCAGTGCCGGATTTATGTATAACCTAAATAAGTGATAGCTTAGGGCCCCATTCTCTTGGGGGCCCCATAAAAAGTTAAAGGAAAAGAACCTGGATGTACATTTCCAAAATATAAGATAAAAAACAAATAAAATTAAACGTACATACTGCAACAGTGTTTTGTGTTGTGTAGGCTCCTATGATGTAAGTAATGGGTCCTGCTTGCTTCCTAAAATACCATATACAGTGGTACCTCGGGTTACAGACTCCGCTAACTCAGAAATAGTACCTTGGGTTAAGAACTTTGCTTCAGGATGAGAACAGAAATCGTGCTTCGGCGGTGCGGCGGCAGGAGGAGGCCCCATTAGCTAAAGTGGTGCTTCAGGTTAAGAACAGTTTCAGGTTAAGAACGGATCTCCGGAACGAATTAAGTTCTTAATCTGAGGTACCACTGTATATCACATATATATAGCATATATTCAACACAAAAAACAGCAACAATTTGTTGTTGACAAAGGACAGCTGGACATATAAAGGGCCCCATTACCTTCAGTAGCTTAGGGCCTCATCAAGCCTAAATCCGGCCCTGGGTGGGGGAACCTCAGGCCCAAAGCAGCCAGCCAGAGGCCTGGCCCTCAGGACTCAAAGGTGCCATGCAAAGTTTGCACCCAGCTTTTGACCACTTGTAACCAAGTGAAGATGCCCAGGCACCAGGACAGTGCCTGACATCTCCACCATCTGGGGGTCATTGGAACTTGGCTGTTTTCCCACACTAATACACCACCCTGTGGAATTCTACCAGTTATATTTTATCTGCACAATCGGAATGAATTTTGGGAACCAAAATGCTTTTTCTGGGCAGCTGGAGCAGGCGCAGTCACCATTAAGGAAAGGTCGGAATAGGCCAATATATATGTGGCCTCTCCCTAGATCAAGTGACTTTTCTTCTTTAAGTTCTCAGAGCTCTTAACCTAGCTCAAGGTGGCCATCTGAACTAGCCAGATGTTTAACTGAGAATCCAACACAGTCCATCATTTGAAAAGACAGACTTTAGAGTCGTATCTCCTCACAAAATGGCAACTAAAACTTCTGTTCCGGCGACTGTAACCTTGTTTTAAGGAGCCATTTGGCACTGAGTTTATTTATCTGAGTTTCTGAGTTTATTTATCTGAGTTTCTGACGGGGCTGGGCCTCATGAGTCTTGCTCCTCGCCCTGTTGCCACTTCTTCCCTCTCAACCCTGCTTCTCCGTAGGCTGGCAATGCGACTTTCAACCGGGCGAAGCTGCTGAATGTGGGCGTGAAGGAAGCCCTAAAGGATGAGGAGTGGAACTGTCTCTTCCTCCACGATGTTGACCTCATTCCCGAGAACGACCACAATCTCTACATCTGCGACCCGTGGAGTCCCAAGCACGTCTCTGTCGCCATGAACAAGTTTGGCTACAAGTGAGAAGGCAGGGATAGGGGAGGGCAGGACTGATCGCACCATGCTTTGAGGTGGTTGTCTTCTGGGCTGGCTCCATGGTGTTACTTTTTGGGGGGGAAAAATATATGTATTAATTTTTATACAGCACGTAACAACCAAGAGCAGAATGAACGTATAAACATTAGAAAATGTAAAAACAAGTGCAGAATCCAACAGGTTTCCAAAGAAAAAGGGGTAAAGTGAGTGCCAAATACTGAAATTATCGTCTCTTCAGAGCTGGCCATGTTTGTGAGGTGGTTTCCTTGTTTGGTTAGAACAATTAACGTATTTTGAAGAATGGGAAACCAATCAATAAGGAAATGATCCTTGCCTTGACTTTCCTGGAGCCTTTTTAACCACACTGGTTGTTTTTTCCAGACAATGAAATTGTTCGAAATCTGTGTCGAATGTTTCGTGTTCTAGCTTTCACCATTTCTGGGCTATTTCAAAACAGAAGCAGAAAACGTAATCAGGTCCTGATGCTCCTCCTCAAAAAGGCTCTTGTGTTTTGAGGGCAGCACTCACTCCATTTCATTAAATTCATAGAATCAGTTCAAAAAAAATAAAATATCCAAACTACACCCAAAAGTAATTCCCCATCATTGCCAAGCGGGCCAAATATGAATTAAGTTTGATTTGGGCTAGGACTTTCCATCTATATGCAGTACACAAGCACATGCGAAAAAGCAAATGCTTTGCAAATTTGGGTAAAGAGCCTTTCCCACCCCCAACCCCGTGTCTTCGAAATACCTAGTGCGGGGGTTTTCCAGTGTCACTTAAAACAACTTAACAATGCTGGCTTTTCTCTCCATTTTCCCACTCCAGCCTCCCATATTCGCAGTACTTTGGCGGTGTGTCGGCCCTTACCCCGGACCAGTACCTAAAGATCAACGGCTTCCCCAACGAGTACTGGGGCTGGGGAGGCGAGGACGACGACATTGCCACGAGGTGAGTCTCCCTCGTTCACCCCTCTCTTTCCGTGGTGGCCGTTGTCTCTTCGCCCTCTGCTGTCCGACCTGCAACCATTTCTCCCACTCGCTTAGAACATGCATTGCTCTTTTTGTTTTGGCACCTGACTCGGCGGGAACTGTAGCTGAGGGGTTGGCGGTGGTTCGTTCAGTTGTTTAGAGCATGGCGCTGATAACGCCAAGGTTGCAGGTTCGATCCCCGTATGGGATGACTGTATATTCCTGCATTGCAGCGGGGTCAAACTGGATGATCCTCAGGGACCCTTCCAACTCTGCAATTCTTGGATTCTGTTTTTTAAACCCTGTTGGTAACCTTGCACGCCAGTCTCTGGAAACCACAGGAGTGTGTAGTTAAATGATAGAGCTCTCTCCTGCAGAAGGCAGTGATGATTACCAACTTGGTGGCTTTAAAATAGGATTGGACAAAATTAATGGGTTGGTTTTTTTTAAGACTTGCTGTTGTACTCGGTTCCTGTTTGCAGGCTTCCTGTCGTCATTGAGAGAACAGGATGCTGGACTAGATGGGCCTTTGGCCTGATCTAGAAGAATTATTATCCTCTTGGCTATCTTACAGTGCCTGCGAAGAAGGCACTGACCTGTGCGTTTTTCAGAGGCAACTCTACCAACTTAAAAAGGACTAGAAACTAGAAAGAGAGAGAGAAAGAGAAAGAAATAAAAAGTGGTAGAAGCAGCTCAGATTCTTAAATTCCAGGCCGGATAATCATTCTTCGTGCTTTTCCCCCTTGCGATTGTGCAGAACTGTGGCATAAGTGTAGCCATGGTTTTTAGGCTAAAAATGGGCAGTGGGAAGAGTAGCTGCAGCTGGTAGGTTTACGATCTTTGGTATTGTTGTTTTCCCTGCCTGTTGCAAGACTCTGAGATTATTGGAGCACTGGTTTCCCCACCCTGCCTCTGTTCCACTCCCTACTTCCCACTCTGCAACTGGAGTGCTGTTTTCCTTCTCATCGCCTTCATTATCATCTCTTTTTATCTCTTTCTTCCACCCTGCCTTGTGCACGCTGTCGGATCCTTGCATGCTCATTTTTCCCACGCAGGCTGTGGCGGTTTGGGCTGCAGCGTTCAGGTAAGGTGAGAAAATTGCAGCAAGCCTGATGACGCGCCCAGCTCTGTAATCCCATGTGTTTGTTGCATTAGGGTTTGAACTTGTTGGCGAATTGAATGTCTGTGATGCCATGGGATGTTCACAAATGCTCCAACACTGGGGTGGTGGTGGTCTCTTGTGAGATGTTGTCGGGTCAGCTCAGCAACGGTGAGAGAAGGTGGAAAGGGAAACTGCACAGAACAATGAGATTTTAAATGGAAAGGCGGGGCTATAAATGTTTTCTGAGGGTTGTGCCCAACTTAGTTTTACTCGGGGTAAAATTCACAGAGATTATCCATGTTTGTTAACTTCAGTGGGTGTATTCTGAATAGAACTAGCTTTGTATATAATCCAAAGATCTGTGCTCTTGTAAGCAACAGATGTGAAGCTTTAATTTTGCTTATTTGATCCCAAAGAATGCATGTCCAGAATTTTTGAGGTGATAAAGGAATTTTCTAATGGGGCACCAGAAGAGAAACTTAATCTATCCCTGCAGACATTAGAATTTGAGTACCTAACACCTCACCAACCTGGGTTTAGCACACTTGTGAGCCACTTACTAGGAATTGGGCCACATCCACCCCATACATTTAAAACACTACGACACCACTTTAAACTGTCAATTCCCAAAGAATCCTGGGAAATGTAGTTTGTTAAGGGAGCTGAGAGTTGTTAGGAGAACCCTGTTCTCCGAGAACTACAGAGTTCCCTGAGAAGAAAGATGGATGGCTAAATAACTTTGGAAATTGTAGCTTTATATTTAAGGAGGGTGTAGATCAGGGCAGTGAGGTGTAGTCTTTATTTATTTTATTTGTTAGTTGCTTTTCTCACAGGGGAACCCAAAGCAACTTACATTAAAACCGATTAGGAACATCCAATAAAAATCCAAAAAGTACCACTAAACGGATAAAGCAGAGCACGACTTAGCGATCCCACCTCATTCAAAGAGGCCACAATGCTATTCTTCAAATTAAGGGCCAAAAGTCTGGGTACCTGGCACCTAAAAATAAAGAGATGCCTCTGTGGAAAGAGCATTCTGCAAGCAGGGGGCCACCACAAAAAAAGGCCCAATATTGTGTTGCCACCTTCTGAACCTCCTGTGGAGGAGGCACTTGAAGAAGGACTGCAGATGATGTTTGCAGGGTCCAGGTCAGTTCACGTGGGAAGAGAGAGGCGGTACTGGGGTCCTGAGCCACGGAAGTCTTTATAGGTCAAAACCTGCACTTTCAATTTTGCATGGAAACCAATTGGCAGCCAGGATGATTGTGCCAGAACTGGCGCTATTTGTTCAGACTGTCCTGACCCAGTCAGCAATTTGGCCTCTGAATTCTGCACCAGCTGCAGTTTCCGAATGGTCTTCAAAGGCAGCCCCGTGTGTAGCACATTGCAGTAGTCCAGCTCTGAGGTTACCAGAGCACAGGCGACAGAATTAGGCTGTTCCTGTCCAGAGACGGATGCCAGCAGCTGAAGCTGATGGAAGCCACTCAGTGCCACTAAGGCTGCTTGAGACTGATGGATACAGAGGTATTGAAAGACTATGCCTTTTACTTCAGAGAGACTGTAACTGCAGCCAAGGTACGACCTGTAGAGAGAGTTCTAAGGGCCAAATAGAGAAGCCTGGAGGGCCGCATTCACAACCACCCTGGGCCTGAGGCTCGCTATCACCGCTTTGCAAAAAAACCCCACATAAGGCTTGGGAAAGAGGCAGGATCCCAGCCCCAGGGAGGTTACAATCTTAAGATTTGCCAGTGAGGGGTGGCAGGAAGGGGGAGGAGAGGGAACTAAGAGACATGGATAACAAAGGATTAATAAAATTGGTACTTGGTTCCAACAGGCTCACCCAGGGAAGCATTTTGGCTCCCAAATTGTGCCTCTCTTCAATGGATTTGACTAGGACTGTGCGTCGCCATGGCAACTGTTCCACCTCCTGCTGTGAGGGAACAGCAGTGGAATGCTTAACCTTGAGCGAAGATAAAGGAAAAGCGAGAGAGAGAGAGACCCGAGTGGGTAGGGGTAGGAGGGAATTGGCTGTGAGGGCGTGCCTACGCTCTGCTTCTGGAAAATTCCCTGTGCAAAAGCGTTGGCGTTAAAAGAGAGGGGGGATGTTTAGCACAGCAATGCACATTACCCACCTCCTGATTGGTCAGGAGTCCATGACCTCAGAGCAGGTTCGACATCTCTGTTAGGGAGCTCCCCAGGCAAGGTGCCTCTGGAGATGCCCAAGCCATCTGACTAAATCCTCAGCGCTGGCCCAAGATATTTTGCCACCTGAGGCAAAAAACAAAATGGCGTCCCCTTCTCTTCTCGCACTCCCCATTCTGTGTACAGAAGCTGGCAGGCCTAGCAGTTGACTCTTATCGAACATTGTCAATGAGATAGCGTCACCCACTGTTCCTAAGGCAGCATGCTGCATGTGTCTGTGCATTTATTTGGCGACATCTGCACCCTTAGGCATTCTTGTACCACGTCAACCGTCATGGCTTTCCTCCTGACAAAGGATCTTGCGAACGGCAGTTTGTTAAGGGTGCTGAGAGTTGTTAGGAGACCACTGCTACAACTCAGAGTGATTTAATAGCCAATCCTGCTTCACAAGGAACTCTTGAGAACTGTGGCTCTGTTAGGGTAGCTGAGCACTCTTAACAAACTACAGCTCCCAGAATTCTTTGGGAGAAGCCATGGCTGTTGAAAGGGTTGCCGTGGTGCTTTCAATGTGTGGTGTGGACAAGGTCTAAGTTGGTAGTTAATGGACAGCCTTTGCCATGCTTCCAGCAGCAGTGTAACATGATAGTGACAGTCTATCCCAGTGAGCAGTTTGGCTTGCTGTGTGACAGGCCTGTGGCAGACCTAGCTCTGGTCTCCAATGGAGAGGGGTTGGCGGTGGACATGCTGTTGCCACCACCACTCCCCGCACTCCTAAACATGTTGCCTGAGGCACCTGCTCCACTGTGGCTAACGATAGGGCCGGGCTAGCAAATCCTAATTTGGCCTCCTTGCTTCTGTGTCTCCAGGGTGCGCCTGGCCGGCATGAAGATCTCACGGCCTCCTGTCTCTGTCGGCCACTACAAGATGGTGAAGCATAAGGGAGATAAAGGCAACGAGGAAAATCCACACAGGTGTGCTGCTTCCTCCCTCCTCCCACTCACCCCCCCCAAAAAAACACCTCTGCAGTTGGAGGAATAATCATTTTATTATTTGTACCCTGTCCATCGGGTTGCCCCAGCCACTCAAGGCGGCTTCCATCATATACAAAAACATAATAAAACTTTAAATTTCTAAAACTTGCCTGAACGGGGCTGCCTTCAGATGTCTTCTACATGTTGTGTAGTTGTTTATCTCCTTGACATCTGATGGGAGGGCATTCCACAGGTAGGGGGGCCACTACCAAGAAGACCCTCTGCCTGGTTCCCTCACTTCTTGTAGGGAGGGAACCAGCTCTCGGACGTGGACCTCAGTGGGTGAACGATGGGAGTGGAGATGCTCCTTCAGGTATACTGGGCCGAGCCAGTTTAGGACTTCAAACGTCAGCAGTAACACTTTGAATTTTGCTCCAAAACGGTCCTGGGAGCCAACATAGGTCTTTTTATATATAGTTATCCTTATCTCCTGCCAACCTAGCAGTTCGAAAGCACGTCAAAGTGCAAGTAGATAAATAGGTACCGCTCCGGCGGGAAGGTAAACGGCGTTTCCGTGCGCTGCTCTGGTTCGCCAGAAGTGGCTTAGTCCTGCTGGCCACATGACCCGGAAGCTGTACGCCGGCTCCCTCGGCCAATAAAGCGAGATGAGCTCCACAACCCCAGAGTCGTCCACGACTGGACCTAATAGTCAGGGGTCCCTTTACTAGGTATCCTTTATTAGGCATAGCAAACCACACATTATCAAACAGACACCGTATACAAATTGTGCAAAATATGAGCTCAACATAACAAGGTTTGTCCTGGTCAGATCTTTAACTCCAGAGAAAATCAATTTGCATAAATAATACAATACAGCGCTACCGAATCCCCGATCAATTAAGAACCACTAATTTATTATTATTCTGACTCCCTCCTTTGGCAATCCTCACAGAACTTCTAATCCAATGGTTGCCATTAATTTGATTGGAATTAATTTTATAATGAAATGATTTTAGAATGTTTTATCGTTTTACTGTTGTTAGCCGCTCTGAGCCCGGCTTCGGCTGGGGAGGGTGGGATATAAATAAAATTGATTCTTCTTTATTATTCTCTTTATAACGACCCAGTCTTTCTACATGAACAGCACTTTCAGGACCTGTGGCAGAAGAGTGCTTTCAGTGTGTGGCAGAAATGGGACCTTGCGCATACTCACTCTCTCTGTCTCTCCCCAACCCCGTAGGTTTGACCTGCTGATCAGGACGCATCGGGCTTGGACCCAGGACGGGATGAACTCCCTCTCGTATACCCTCCTCTCCAAGGAGCTGCAACCACTGTACACCAACATCACGGCCGACATCGGCACTAACCCTCGGGCCACCCGGGGCGGCAAGGGCTCGATCCCCAGCCTCGGCGGCAGGAACTATCCGAGCGGCAGCAACCACGACTTCCGCCAGGAGATGCTGCGCAAGACTCCTTTTGCCAAACTCTCCCGGGCCATGGGTTGGGGGGAAGTGCCCTTCGGGACTATCCAGGCCCTGCTGGATTCGGCGACGGGAGAGCGGGGGGCTCCCAAAGCGGAGAAGACGAAAACCAGCCCCACAGCGGGGAAGGCGGAGCGGGAGGTGGGGTCCCCCCGTGCGGCGGCTGGCAGCACCAGGCCAGGAATCCTCAGAACGGTCGTCCTGGCAGCGGCACCCAGTGCGGAAGCTGCGAAGCGAGAAGCAGAGGATGCTGGGAAGCATCTACCCGGGCGAGGGGAGGCAGAGTTTTTCAAGACCCCTGCCTCCCCGGTCCAGAAGCCCATGAGCAATCACACTGGCCCAGGAAGCGCCGGCTAGGGCGGGTGCAGTCCAAGCCGGTGGGCACTAGGCGCCACAGCCAAGCCTCAAGCCTCTAGAACCAATCGTAGGAGTTGCAATAATAATCAGGCTGTGGCCTAGAGCCCATCGGGCTGCCTTCTCTGTGTCTGCTGGGTCACCAGGGCCCAACAAACCCGGACTGGACAATGGAGAGAGACCTGGGAGGGGCAATAAATGGTAGTTAAATTTCCACTGGGGGGGGAATACACTCCACATTCTGATCCCTCAGTGATTGACTCCTGGTTCCACCTGCGGTGCCATCTCCTCCCGAAGACTTTGGCCCTACCTCAGAGGTGCCACCAACTTTCTGCAGAAGAGTTAGGCCTCGCTGCTGCGCAGCCGTAACCCCTTGGCTTTGGGGCTGACTCTCACTGTGGGGCCTGGGGGTGTTCTGTACTGTTAAAGGGGGTCATTAAGCTGCTGTGACATTTGCGTGCTGGTGGATTTTGTCGGAGGCAGTAGACAGAACAGGGGGAAGAGGTGGCTGCGTACGACTGAAGTGAAGGAGGGCACATCCACCAAGCTCCATCCTGTCGCTGGTGCCAGGCTCCCTCGGAAGCAAAGGCCCTTCCTGCAAAAGCCCTTGGGCTCATGCCGTCCCCGGGGGAAAGACGCAGGCCTCTTCCCTGCCTGGTTTGGAGAAGGGGTCACTCCACAGCCTGGCGCTGCTGGGTGACTTCTTCAAAAGGCTGGCAAAGCGGGGATCTCCTGCTTAGCCAGACATTTTGAAAGAAATATGTCCGTATACAAACACTATTTTTCTGGCTCCCTCCTTCCTTAAGAGGAGGAACTGTGCCCAATCGAGGTGCTGGTGGTGAACCTAACATTTGGTAGGAGAGAGGTCTGTGTCCCCACCCCCATCAAACCACCTCCTAGCAGAGAATGGAAGCCTAGATGGCTGCTTCCTGCAGTTCTCTGAACCAACCCCTCTCATGTTTTCTGGAGCTGGACGCGGATGGATGCTGGAACCTATTTATTCATTCTGAGCCAAGCAAGAAATCCCTTTTTTTAAAATATCCAAGGATTAGGGCCACATTCACACCACGCATTGAAAGCGTTACGATGCCACTTTTGTGGTCATGGCTTCCCCCCAAAAATTATGGGAGATGCGGTTCGTTTGGGGTGCTGAGAGTTGCTGTGGGGTCCCTGGTTCACCTCACGAATGGGATTTAGCGTTCAATCCCTCTTCACAGGGAACTCTGGATTTCAGCTCTGTGAGGGGAAGGGCAGGGGGTCATCTCCCACAACTCTCAGCACCTCAATAGTTCCTATGATTATTTGGGGGAAGCCATTTAAAATGGTATGATAGGTCTTTAAATGTATGGCATGAAGGTGGCCTAGCTTCATTTTTGGGTCAAAAGTGGGGCTACTTCTCAACTTTGGGCTGTCGTGCAATATATTCCTTCCCAAGGAGGTCCCTTTTTAATGGTGTAGTGCCATTTTTTGTACCCTAATCCCCATCCCAAATAGGCTAAGGTGCCCGCTGGATGCCTGCCCTCTCAGGCTGTTTCTAGCACCTTGGGCCCCCTTCCTTGCCTGAAAAAAGGCCTATGTGGACCATTGGAAATGGGGTTTGATCAGCCCTGTACTTTCTGTAGCTGCTGAATCATGGTGGTTTTTAAAATCAAAATAAGCTGGAAAGGGGATAGATTGTAAAACTTCCTGTGAACGGACGTTATAGTGATATAGTTAACATTACACAGTGCCCTCTTCCAGCTCTACACATTCACACACACATTTTTCTCTCTCAGGGCTGGTCCCAGCCTGCAACCTGTGCCCCCCACCCCACCCCACCCCCCGGCCTCAGAAAAGGCCCTTTCCTCTTCCTCTCCGCAGGTGTGCGTCTCACAATCGCTCTAGCTGTTGGCAGTGGTGTGTAGTTATTTATTCTATTTATGGAGTCCTCGTTCTCTCTCGCTGTAGCTACTGTCCCTTGCCTCAGTTTTTGATAAACCGATTTTTTTAATGAAATAAAAACATGGTCCGTGGATTAAAGAGGAAATGAGTGAGCTGTTTTCCCTGGTTAAGAGCGGCTGCCTGGCCCTCTGCAGGCAGGAGTGGCCAACCTCTGGGCCAGAGCTCAGGTGTGGCCCTCGGGCCTTCTCTAGGTGGCCCTTGGGGACTGTCCCCTCCAGGCCCACTCACCTTGTGTGCCTTTGCTTGGGTTGGACTGTGCCCTTGTCCTTGAATAATGTTGCTAGGAGGGTGGAGAGATGTGTGGGTAGGGGTAGAATCCTCTGGCTTTTGTGTGGCTGGAATATAACCTCCAAATGCAGCCACTTTTGCCTCTGCCCTGCACCAAACCCCCAATGTGCAGCCCCTGGAAGGCTGCAATGAGGGAATGTGGGCTTCAGGCAATAAAAAGATCAGCTGTGGGACAGGTATAATAGGTGTGGCTCCCCCCCCAGTAGGGACCAGAAATAGGATGGGCATCACCTGGTGAACTTCTACCTGCACCAAAGAGGAAAGGGCACAGGGCATAGAGTTGGTTGTGGAATGCCTATGTCCATTGGAAGGCTAATAATTATTCCCAATACTAGTGTCCTATTGTGATTGCAGACTACATCTCCAAGCATTCTTTGAGGGAAGCTGCAACTGTTCAAAGTCACACCATATCGCTTTAAGTGCAAGTCTGCATGTGGTCCTAGTTTACATATTGAATTCCATATTCATTATGTTAGTCCATTCATTTCAATGCAAAGGAAGCACAAACCAGCTATGTGTCATTCGCAAACAAAGCAGCAACAGCAGCCGATGCTGATCTTACTTGCTAGAATAATTTCTGTCGCAGTCAGAACTTGGAAGTAAGCCCTGTTGCAAACATACACCTACTTCTGAGCAGGCACATGTATACCATTGCATTGCAAGTTAAAGCCGCAACTTAACACACATTTAACTAGTGCACACTCAGCTTTATGCATATGGCAACAATTAAAAAAAAAAATTAAAAGGGGGCAGGATTCCAGGAAAAGTGACTTTGGCAATTGGCCCTCCAGCTGTTTGGGGACAACAATTCCCATCATCCCTGACCACTGGTCCTGTTAGCTAGGGAGTTGTAGTCCAAAAACAGCTGGAGGGCCAAGTTTGGCCACCACTGAGAGATTTGGGCTTCAGGCATGAGCCCAAGAACGGAACTCCAGTGTAACTTGCAGTCTTGCTGCACAGTGAATTCTAATGAATGCCTGCTATAGATCTCCTGCACAGGAGGAGACCTGCGTGGATTTCACAACTGCCTGAATCCTCAAGCTTTGCACTTTTATGTACGCAAATAATGGGAGCGAGAAATCAGCCCAACCACCCCCAGCAGTAGGGCTGATAGATATATTTTTTTATTAGCAGACATTTATGAAATAGTCAGTTTTATGAAGAACTGAAGGGTGGTGGGAAGGAAGCAGGCAGGGCCCACACAAACCCCACCATCCAACAGCAGAGCATCTCAGACACCTTCCCCATAATCTTCAGACAAAGCAACGAACACTTCCAAGCACCAGGGGAAACCTCAAATTGCAAGGGAGGGAGGAAAGCCAGGGGCTAGACGCCCGCTTTTCCAATTGCAGCAACGCATGCTCCTAGTCCTCAGCGAGGCCTTCTCCAGACAGTGCTGAGCACAGAGTGTGTGGTGCTTGCGGACCAGATAGATATAAGCTCAGAGGAGCAAATCCATTCCAAGTTGAACCAACGCAACCACCCGCTTCTGCGTTTCAGCGCGAGAGGCTTGGATCTTGTGCCAAGAGATTCGTCAACCCCACTTCCAGGCAGTTCACTGGCAGCCTTGGTTCTTATCCTGCTGAGAGGAGCACTTTGGGGCAGGAGTCCCACAAGCCGAGGAAAGACGAAGTTCCCTCTGCCTTTCTCAGGAGACATGGCCGAGAAGCTTGGCTGTGGCAGTGTGGGCACTGGAGATGCAGTCGTTGACCGAGACGCCCTCGTAGGAAGCCCCAACCAGGCTGAGAGGCAGCTTTTGCCGCTCCAGGTAAGCCGCTGCGCTCTCTAAAGGAAAGAGCAAAGGGTTAGCAAGGAACATGTGTCGCTGCCTTCTTATACCGAGTCAGGCCATTGCTCCATCTAGCTCAGGACTGCCTGCACTGACTGGCAGCGGTTGTCCAGGGTTCCAGGTGGGAGCCTCTGCTAGCTGATTTCCTGCAGCCACCCCTTCTGCTGAGTTACCACCCTCCCGCATTCTGGTCCCCATCATTCAACTGTTCTGGGAGAAGTTGAGAGAGCCACACAAACAGACCAGAAAGCAAACAGTGTCACAGCTCCCTCACTACAGGAAGGCTATACACAGCTTGCCAGAAATATTCTTCTTATGGAAAAAGGCTCTAGCCTTTCAGTTTGCAGCCCCTGTAGCAAAAATGAGTGTGTCTTCATAAGGATGCACCCTGGCCCAGACACTGCATGCACTGTGCTCCTTTGGTTTGGTCAGCTGTAGCTGGAGTTCAACATGGCAAGAAGAAAGAGCTGTGCTGCCACCCACCTGGGGGTCCCGACCCCCTGGCTGAAGACCTGTGCTCCTATATACAATATAGATAGAATATACATAGAAAGGTGTTGCTGCGCTAGGCTGTTTGTGTGTCTGCTTGCTCTCTCTTGCTCTCTCTCTCTCAGGGTGGAGCTACACACGGGGGGAAAACGCTATAAATAAGTCAGAAATTAAATCGTTATAACGAAAGAAAGAAAAAACGCTATGCAAAAATCACTTAGAATTTTCTTTGCTCTCTGGCGCCATCCGGTGTTGCATTTTTATAATGAATTCAAAACATTATTTTTTTATTAATGAAGCTGAGGCCTCTCTTTCTCGCTTTCTCTCTATCACACACACACACACACACACACACTCATATTGGAAGGCTGTGTAACATGCAAATAGCTGAATTAAATTGTCTTGATAGTTAAAAAAGAAAGGCCTACCTATGTGTTTCCAGTGGCCGAGTGTATACTGAGGAATGCAGGCCTGCAGAGACAGGAAGGGGCAAAGGGGTTTGCAGGTGGTCTTGAGCAACTCAAAATGTTTTCAAACAAATTGGAGTTATATATATAAAAAGAGATCCTGTACCCCTTTCTCTTCTCCCCTTCAATACCCCTCCCCGACTCTTTTTCTCTCTGCTTCTCACCCAATGCATTACCCTCTCCTCTGCTTCTTCCACACACAAGACACAGAAATTGAGGCTTGGACAGCAGAGAGCTGGGTTCAAATCCCCACAGCCTCCTCATGCCACCAATTCTCCATCTGTACCATGGGAACAACCAGCACAGTGGCTGTGTCATCACGAAAGCAACACAGACGGTGGGTCAAAGCACCCTGGTTCTTAACCTCCGCCCAAATTCTGCATTTTTAAAGCTCTCCATTTATGTCATGCTGTACACCATCTTGGCGCACTACCCTCCCCAAATTGCAGGAGCAAAGGAGCAGCTGAAAACAGCAGCTTTGTCTAAGGCTGCCCAGCCCATTCACCAGCAGAAAAGTGAATGTTGGTTTTCATTATTAAAAAGTTTTAAATAGTTGCTTTTAACTTTTTTTAAAAAAACAACAACACACACACACACACTGATAATTTCATTTTCATTCTGCTTGTCAACCACTTTGAGGGTTTCTTCTTAGCAAGCAGGGCCTGTAAGACAGAGCTATTCCGCCTGGCCTTTAATCTGAATTCAGCCTGATCTTTCATTTCCCTTCTCTTCCCTCCCCCTCCCCTTTTATGAAGATCACCCGCTCTGAGACCCCACAGCTAATTCTCCCCTGGCCTCCTCGCTGGCCCAAGTAGGACCAATTCAGCCAGCTAGCCCTGGGGATTATCTAATTGATTTTTGAATTTTGAATTTTACTGTTATTCGTGTTTTTATACTGTATTTTATGCTGCTTTTATAATTAAGTGTTTTAAAGTGTTTAAAATTTGTTGTTAGCCGCCCTGAGCCCGGTTTTTGAACTGGGAAGAGCGGGGTATAAATAAAATTTATTTTTATTATTATTTATTATACGTTTTGTGAAATAAAGGAAATCAATATAATCATCATAAATCAGTTCACTTTTCTCAGCTGGTTAGAGCATGGTGCTGAAAATGTCAAGGTTGCAGGTTTGATGCCTGCATGGGACAGCTGCGTATTCCTGCATTGCAGAGGGTTGGACTAGATGAGCCTCAGGGTCCCCTTCCAGCTCTGTGATTCTGTGATTCTTGAACTTAATGGGAGCTGTGCATCCAGCTGGAACACAGAAGGAGGTTTGTGGAATTAAGACTGACACTCTCCGCCCCCCCCATCTCTCTCTCTCTCAGCTCCAGGGTCTGTACCTTCTGCACCTTGACAATGCTGAGGGAGGGCTCGGCTGAGACCCCCAGGTGCTCCTTAACAGCTGCCTTGGCCCGGCTCAGCAGCACAGCGTGGGGGACGGTGTCCGGATCTCCAAGCCCCGATGTAAACCATGCACCGCCCAGCATAACCTGGGCAAAAGGAGCGGAACGTTAAAAAGCTTGTTTCCCAGCCTGAAAGCTGCATTGCCTTCTGGGACCCATTTTGGCACAGCACCCATTTTGAACGAGAACTCCCAGCCTATCTGAGGCTGACGGAAGCCGGAGTGTCCAAAAGGGCTGGACTGAGGGAAGCTGGGCGGTGGCTTAGTGGCCAGGGTGGGTCAATTTCTGCAGGACAGTTCCTACTTCCAGCATCCTAGAGCTCCCCCCGATGAGCACAATTACAGGGGCAACACGGAGCCTAAGGAGGAGGAAGCTGCCAAGCAGTGCCACCTCCTGGACTGCTTGTAAGACAGCCAGGAAATAGGGGCTGGCTCCGAGCCAGCTGAGGTTAGTGGGGGAGTGCCCCATCTGCCCTAATGGAGGAGCCTCTAGGGGCACCAGGTTGACGAAGCCTGCATTAAGCCATATTTAGAACATGATCCTATAGTGGCGGTGGGAGGTTAGCCCCTCGCCTCCCACCGGCTCTTACTGTCAGGCGCATGCAAGGACCGCTGGATCCATCCTGCCCGGGGAAGGCGACAGAATCGTAGACGATGCCCAGCAGCGAGCTGTCCTCGAAGGAGGGTACCAAGTGCCCAAATCCCTGGAAGAAAGAGATTAGCAGAAAATACACACAAAGTGTAGGTTTCTTTATTTTTACTTCAACTCTGCCCTAAAGGTTCTGGGAACGCAAACGAAACCCATTCAAACAAACACACACAGTATTTAAACCTATTCCTAATGGTTGGGGCCACTATGAAGAAGGCCCTGCCTGGGTTTCCCAGCCAATCTCACAGATCAAGGGGCAGGTGGGCACATGGGTGGGCACACCCCCTTGAGAAAATAGGGGGAGGGCTGATCACGACCTTTTGCAAGGACATGCAAGGACCACTGACTCTAGCTGAAGTTAACATTACAAAAATGTACACTCCAGAGCTCTCAAAATTTAAGGCTTAAGCCCCAGCCCTTGTCACATCACTCCATTTCTCTGTGGACATATAGAAATCTTTCCCGTGACAGTGCCCGGCAACTTTACCTGTTGAATTTCTAGCTGGGAAGGTGTCCCCACCCCCTCCTCCAACCGCTACATCTTCCTATGGGCATGTGGAGATTTTTGCCACATTTCCCCTTTTCTTTGGTTTGAAAGCTGTTGCGCTCTGTGACAGGTAGAAATCCACCTGGTAAAGCCCCAGCTCCCCAAACAATAGATCTCACTATGGGCATGTACGGATTTTCTCCTGTGTGACACAACAGGAAAAAAAACCCCTGAGAGAAACGAGAAACATTATCCCTGCTTGCATTGCCCCTTAAAGCTCCTTGCAATGGGAACCAGCAAGCTTTGCGTTTTGAGCAGGGGGCATTGAAAAAGCCTCTTACCGTGACAGGGAGATGCACATCTCTGTACTGTAGGTTCACCACCCCCACAGAAACAGCCCGGATGGCCAGTAGCTCTTGGGCAAGCGGTTCGGCCCAGCCGGGAAGCGACTCAGCAAGCGCTGGAGAGAGAGAAGAGGCAGGTTGAGTCTATTCAAGGTTGCCTGGGATGAAATGTGGTCCTTAGGCTCCATGGTCCCTGTTCCAGGACAGAGGATTCTCCTACCTTGGGCAGGCAAAGCGCTGATGATGTGATCTGCCTCCACAACGCCGTCCTCAAGCGCTATCTAAGGGAGAAACGCAGAGCCAGCATCAATCCACGCTGCGCCAGCCACAGAAGGGTCTCTAACACAAGTGCAGTGATTTACCAAATGGTGCTACACTCAATATGCCAGCAAGTTTGGAAAACTCAGCAGTGGCCAGAGGACTGGAGAAGATCAGTCTACATCCCAATCCCAAAGAAGGGCAGTGCCAAAGAATGCTCCAACCACTGCACAATTGCACTCATTTCACACGCTAGCAAGGTTATGCTTAAAATTTTACAAGAAAGGCTCAAGCAGTATGTGGACCGAGAACCCCCAGAAGTGCAAGCTGGATTTAAAAGAGGCAGAGGAACCAGAGACCAAATTGCAAACATGCGCTGGATTATGGAGAAAGCTAGAGAGTTCCAGAAAGACATCTACTTCTGCTTCATTGACTATGCAAAAGCCTTTGACTGTGTCAACCACAGCAAACTATGGCAAGTTCTTAAAGAAATGGGAGTGAAGAGTCGGACACGACTAAATGACTAAACAACAACAGCCAGGGCTCTCTGGCTGAAGTCCAGCCCTCCTACCACCACAAAAAATGACCACTCAGAAAACTCTGGGTGATGTTCCCAAAATTAGCCTTGGCACCAAGCCCAGCGCTGGTTACTGCAGTACCCAACACGCTGGACTAGGACCTGGGAGACCGGGGTTCGAATCCCCACTTGGTCACGAAGATCACTGAGTGAGCTTGGGCCAACCATTGTCTCTCAGCCTGACCTACCTCACAGGGTTGTTGTGAGGTTAAAATGGAGAAGGGGAGGGCCATGCCTGCCCCCCCCCCGTGAGCTGCTTGGTGGAAGTGGCAAAATAAAATGCAATAATAAAACAGTAGGTCGACTCTTGAGTATGCTTTAGTTGGCTAGAACTCAATTTATAGTCAGGGGCAGCTGACTAAGGCCTACACATGGTTGCAGGTGCTTCCACAAGGAGATGGTGGCTTATTTATTCATATGACTTTGATTTATTACTGTTCATCATCCCACTTCAGTCCCACCTTTTTTCCAAGAATCACAAAGTGGAGCATGTGGATCTCGCCCTCCTCATAACAACCCTGTGAGGCAGGTTATATATTATTATTATTATTATTATTATTATTATTATTATTATTATTATTTATACCCCGCCAATCTGGCTGGGTTTCCCCAGCCACTCTGGGCGGCTTCCAACAAAATATTAAAATACAATAGTCTATTAAACATTAAAAGCTTCCCTAAACAGGGCTGCCTTCAGATGTCTTCTAAAAATCAGATAGTTGTTTATTTCCTTGACATCTGATGGGTGGGTGCCACTACCGAGAAGGCCCTCTGCCTGGTTCCCTGTAACTTGGCTTCTTGCAGCGAGGGAACCGCCAGAAGGCCCTCGGTGCTGGACCTCAGTGTCCAGGCAGGTTAAGCTGAGAGATAGTGACTGGGCCCAGCGTTGTCCACAGTGACCTTCATGGCTGAGAAAGGGATTTGAACCCACATCTCCCAGGTCTTTGAGCCCAACACTTTAACCACGTGACTTGAACAGGCCTCTGCGGAAATACTGTAAGAGGAGTGGGGCAAAATTCCTCCAGAGCAGCTGAAGGGAGATTCCTAGAGAGGAAGCTACCCTATGCTCCTTTCTCACTCCCCAATGGCCCTTTTCTTACCTTCCAAGAGCCGGATGCCGCCCTCTCCAGCTGCTTCACAGGAGCGCCGCAGTGAATCTCCACCCCACGCTGCTTCACGAAGCCCTCTAAGGCTTCGGGGAGAGTCTGCATGCCGCCACGCAGTGACCACTGGCTCCATCGCTCGTCTCGAGCTCTGCGGATCAGAGGAGAATCCACAGGGGGGCCTTTCCCTACAAGATAAGGAAGTTTGATATCAGAAACTACTCTATGTGTCCTGAAATTACAAAACATGCAATCCAAAAGCCTCCTTCTTTTTCTCCGGCTCCCCTTGGCACCTCACCTCCGCCAAGGGCCATGCCCAAGATGACAGAACGGTGGCTCCGCTCGGCCTGGAACAGCGCCGGGAAGCAGGAGCGCATGCTGAGGGTCCGGCAGTCTCCGGCAAACACCCCCCGGCAGAGGCTGTCGATGACGATGTCAGCCAGCTGTGGAGATCAAGGATGCAGCACTCAAGGCAAGAAAGCGGCAACACACCCTGACGCTGGGCGCAGCGCTTTTTAGAATCAAGAGTGGGGAATCTCAGACCATGGGGCCAAATGTGGCCCCTTAAGGCTTCCTATCTGGCCCTTTGGAATCTCCCGCAGGCCACATCCCTCTCGCTGGTCCTTGGGTGTTTTTGCCTGGCTGGAATGTGTCTTCGAACTTGGATCAGGCCTATTACTTGCCTGGATGGAGAATAATAATAATAATAATAATAATAGGGACACAGGTGGCGCTGTGGGTTAAACCACAGAGCCTAGGATTTGCTGATCAGAAGGTCGGCGGTTCGAATCCCCGCGACGGGGTGAGCTCCCATTGCTCGGTCCCTGCTCCTGCCAACCTAGCAGTTCGAAAGCACCTCAAAGTGCAAGTAGATAAACAGGTACCGCTCCGGCGGGAAGGTAAACGGCGTTTCCGTGCGCTGCTCTGGTTCGCCAGAAGCAGCTTAGTCCTGCTGGCCACATGACCCGGAGGCTGTACGCCGGCTCCCTCGGCCAATAAAGCGAGATGAGCACCGCAACCCCAGAGTCGGTCACGACTGGACCTAATGGTCAGGGGTCCCTTTACCTTAATAATAATAATAATACCCCACCCATTTGGGCGGCTTCCAACACATATAAAAACATAATGAAACAGCAAACATTAAAAACTTCCCGATACAGGACAGAAAGGGGCGAATGAGTGTTATGTACAAACTAGTTCTATGTGCAACGGTAAAATTCACATTCACTGCTGTGCTCACTTTTGCCTCTGACTCATGTGGCTTCTGGAAGGTTCTCCTGAAGGGTGGCGGGAGATGGGGAAAGTACCCTGCCCTTGTTTTAAGCAGACAGTAGCCCTGTTCTTTTATGGACAGGATATCTTTGATAACACCTTACCCTGACCCTGTTGGAAGGCTTTGTGTGAGAGAAACAGGCAGGGCAGGGACAGCAGTGGGACCCACCCTTCTCTCAGGCCCTGTGTGGAGCTGATAAGACAGACAGCCCCCGCCCCACCCTTGGGCTGCTTCTCCTTTCCCCCCTGCCCTGTGCCAGCCAAAACAAAACGCCCCACCATAAGAAAACCTTCCTGGCTCACTCCCCCAAATGAGCATTGCCACATTTCCCCTCTGGGCACGTACCTCCTGGCCAAAGCGACGCCTCACAAAGGCGTGGATGGTCTCGTCCGTTTCGGAGCCGCGGGGTGACAGGAGCTCTTTCAGGCCGCTCCAGACCAGAGGGCGGGTGAAAGGAGGAACAGTCCGCACGACGCCACTGGACATCGCCACCCACAAAACACAGCGGAGAAAGTATCACCTTCCGGGCTCAGATAGGAGGGACGGGTTGATCTCAGGGCTCCTGAGAGCCATCCCCATGGTTTCTGGAAAGTACCGTATTTTTCGCCCTATAGGACGCACTTTTTCCCCTCCAAAAATGAAGGGGAAATGTGTGTGCGTCCTATGGGGCGAATGCAGGCTTTCGCTGAAGCCTGGAGAGCGAGAGGGTCGGTGCACCGACCCTCTCGCTCTCCATGCTTCAGGAAGCTCTGCGCAACCCTTGGGAGACCGGCTCCGAGGGTTGCGCAGAGCCGCCTGCAGTCCCGGGCTCAGTGCAGCTCTCCACGGCCATCGGGAGCCGGGCGCGAAGTCCCGCCCAGCTCCCGATGGCCGCGCAGAGCTGCCTGCAGTCCCAGGCTCAGCGCACTTCTCCCCATCGCCAGCCCCACCCGCTGTTCCCCGACCTGGTTCTTCCAGCCCCGCACCTGGGGGGGGAAAATAAATTTTTTTTCTTTATTTCCCCCCAAAAAACTAAGTGCGTCCTATGGGCCGGTGCATCCTATGGGGCGCAAAATACGGTACCTGATACTCGAGGGGAGTTTATGGAGGGCTCCGCGGACATAGAGGAAGCGGTTCTTGGCTGCTGGGTGGTCACCGGGGACAGGAAGGACATCTGCGTCAAGTCCGAGTTCAGAGACCTAGAAAGGAATCGCAACCCTTTTAACCCCAGTGCAGATGCTCGACTTCAAAATAGTGTATTACAGTGGTACTTCAGGTTACAGTCCCCGCTAACCCAGAAATAGTACCTCAGGTTAAGAACTTTACCTCAGGATGAGAACAGAAATCGTGTGGCAGTGGCGCAGCAGCAGCGGGAGGCCCCATTGGCTAAAGTGGTACCTCAGGTTAAGAACAGTTTCAGGTTAAGAACGGACCTCCAGAACGAATTGAGTTCTTAACCCGAGGTACCACTGTATAGCAAACATGACTGCTTATGGGGGCTGTTTCGCTCCCCGAGCAATGCGGATCTGAAATGATTTGCAGTCTGTGGGACTTAGAAAGTCGACACCGAACTTTCTAAAGATAAAACGACCCATGACCATTTGTAGACGATGATGCATGGATAACAGCAGCCAATGCCGCCCAGATCAGCTTTTGGGGAAGTGTCGTCGCTGAGTAGCAGAGCATCCTCTCCCAGGTTCAAACCCCGGTGGCCTCGCAATTCCCACCATGCTTGCTGGGGGCTGATGGGAGCTGTAGTTCAGCAGCATCTGGAAAGCCAAAGGGTTCTGGCGCCTGACCTACGGCTTGAGGCAAACCAATTCTGTTTTGAGAACTGGCAAGCAGGTCCTTCCCTTGCTAATTCTCAAAATGGAAGAGAATTCAAGAGAAGGATTAAGAGGAGATTAAAGAAGAATGAAGTGGCTGCACGGGGAAGTAATGGACATATGTTTGCAACAGGAGTGGGAAACCTGATTTTTTTAAAAAAAGAGCAATTGTATTAAATTAAAGGAATTCGGACTGATTTGTAATAATTTGTAATAATATAATTATAATAATAATTTGTAATAATTAGGAAAACCAGTAATAAGAGAGAATGGGCAAGCAGGTGATTTCAGAAGCAGTCCACTAGGTTTAAGTATCATCTGTCTCTGGGTCAAGTGGCCATGTTTCCAGTGACAGGCTAGCACAGCTGGGAGTATCTTGCCAGGCATATATCACAGAATTGTGGAGTCGAAGGGGACCCCAAGGGTCATCTAGTCCAACCCCCTGCAATGCAGGAATCTTTTGCCCAATGAGGCGCTCGAACCCACGGCCCTGAGATTAATAGTCTCATGCTCTACCAACTGAGCTATCAAGGGCCTCAACTTATCAATTTATTTTATTTCGTACAACTGATATACTGCTTGATTGTAAAGGGCTTCCGATTTACAAAATACATACCATAAGGAGGGTGTTCTTTCCCACGGCCCCAGCAGGGCGGATCCCCCTGGGCCCATGTTCAAAAACCGCCCCATCTTCTGTACGGGTGGAATGGATCCATCCTCCGAGACGGCTGCTGCTTTCTAAAAGGATTACCTGGACAGAGAAAGGGTGGGGTATGTGTCAGTGTTAAAAAAACCTCAGATATATAAGCTAATTGCCAAATGGCACCTTAAATCTAGGTTATGGTCACCACAATTATTTTTACAATGTAATTTTATTATTATTATTATCATTATTATTATTGTTGTTGTTGTTTCTACCCTGGAAAGCAATTCTCTCACCAAGTTTGCTGCTGCGTAGGTGGTATGGCAGCAGAATTTTTTTCTGCGTGCCAGCCAGAAGATGGAGATGCCAAGTTGGCAACGGGACATCTCCATTTGGTCGCAAGTGGACTGTTTGCAATCGCAAAATGCACTTGGGGGATTTTGAACACTAGTGTGTGCATGAGAATGTGACCGAACAGCATCAAATGGGACCCATGTTTATCAGGATCCTGGGCTGACTGTTATCAGAAACATCTTCCTTGTTTCCTATGGGCCAGATCCAACATATGGGTTCTGTTATAGAAACCCATACAAGAGCTTCAACAACAACTTTATTATTTGCACCCTGCCCATCTGACTGGGTCGCCTCAGCCACCCTGGGCAGCTTCCAGCATATACCAAAACGTAATAAAACATTAACTATTAATAACCTCCTAATGCAGGGCTGCCTTCAGATGTCTTCTAAAAGTCACACAGTTCTTTATTTCCTTGACATCTGACGGGAGGGCCGGCGCCACAACCGAGAAGGCCCTCTGCCTGCTTCCCTTCACTTCTCACAGTGAGGGAACCAGTGGAAGTCCCTCAGAGATGGACCTCAGTGTCTGGGCTGAACAATGAGGGTGGAGACGCTCCTTCAGATATACAGCGCTGAGGCTGTTTAGGACTTTAAAGGTCCACGCCAACACTTCGAATTGTGCTCAGAAATGTACAATGGGGCCTTTCCCCACTCTGCTCCCCTTGAATTCTGCAAATTAGGTGTTGAGAGAAACTCCAGAACAGCACCCAGGTGAGGAGAGTTGTTAAGGGTACAGTGGTACCTTGGTTTAAGTACTTAATTTGTTCCGGAGGTCTGTACTTAACCTGAAACTGTTCTTAACCTGAAGCACCACTTTAGCGAATGGGTGCTGCCGTGCCGCTGGAGCCCGATTTCTGTTCTCATCCTGAAGCAAACTTCTTAACCTGAAGCACTATTTCTGGGTTAGCAGAGTCTGTAACCTGAAGCGTATGTAACCTGAGGTACCACTGTAATTCGTTCTGGAGGTCCGTTCTTAAGCTGAAACTGTGCTTAACCTGAGGTACCACCGCACGATTTCTGTTCTCATCCTGAAGCAAAGTTCTTAACCTGAAGCACTATTTCTGGGTTAGCGGAGTCTGTAACCTGAAGCATCTGTAACCCGAGGTACCACTGTACTGAGAACTATTAGCACATCCCAGTTCCCCTCACGGACCTGCAGTTCTGTGTTTAATGCTCAGCCCTTCTTCCCAGGGAACTGTAGCTCCGTGAGGGGAACAAGAGTCTCCTAACAACTCTCAGCACTCTGAACAAATGGAAGCTCCCAGAATCCTTTGCGGGGGATGCCATGCTTGTCTAAAGCTGTGCCCTTGGTCACCCCCCCCCACACACAATTGCCAACTTAAGCAGCAAATGCAGTGCTGTTTCCCTCCGGGCCTTGCCCTCCAGAGAGCAACAGTACCTCACAGACAGTCCCACACTCACCTTGGGTGCCTGGGGGCTTCTGGCGAGGTAGTAGCAGGTTGCCAGGCCGCTCACCCCCCCACCAAGGACAGCCACGGTCCTCTGCATTGGGATTCTAGAGAGAGTCGGGCAAAGGATCCGGTTACGTACAGGGGGTCACCCACAACACCATGCCCCCCAAATTATTATTTTTACATTTATTATTCCACAACATTCATATACTGCTTGGCTGCAATGAAAACCTCAAAGCGGTTTACATCTCTTCCTCCAAGGAGCTCACAGTGGCATCCATATTGACAGCCGTCTTCAGTTCTCACAGCAACCCTGAGAGGTTGGCTGGGCCGAGAGATAACAAGTGGGCTGGCACCCACTTGGCACCAGTCAAGCTTGCAAAAATCTATCATTTGCCCGATAATAAATGTTGGAAATGTAAAGAAACCGAAGGTACATTTTTTCACCTTTGGTGGACGTGCCCAAGGATTAAGGCTTTCTGGGAGATGATTTATAATGAACTAAAAAAGGTATTTAAATATACCTTCTTGAAGAAACCAGAGGCCTTTCTCCTGGGAATAGTCGGCCAATCGGTGTTAAAAAAGGACAGAACTTTCTTTATGTATGCTACAACAGCAGCAAGAATACTTACTGCAAAGCACTGGAAGACACAAGACTTACCCACACTGGAGGAATGGCAGATGAAATTGATGGACTATATGGAATTGGCGGAAATGACTGGCAGAATCCGAGACCAGGGAGAAGAGTCGGTGGAAGAAGATTGGAAGAAATTTAAAGACTATTTACAGAAATATTGCAAAATTAATGAATGTTAGAATGATGTTGGATTGAAGTTAAGTGGTTTCTAGCAGTATAGGTACAAAAGAATATGGAAAAACTGGTTTTTAATATGTAAAAATTTAATGTTATAATATATCAAGATTAAAGATTAGGACTAAAAAGGAGGGAAAGGAATTGTTGGATTAACAAATTGAATTGGAATACAAAAGAGGGAGGTATGAGGAGGTCCGGGAAACAAGTAAACGTAAAAGAAGTGAAGAAAAGATGGAATTGTTTTTAACTGTTTTTTCTTTTTTCTACTTTGTATTTTTCCTTTTTATTGTTATTTTTTTATTATTATTAATGTGATTTTTCTTCTTTTGAAACTTTAATAAATATTATTTTTAAAAAAAACAAAAACAAGTGGGCTGGCTGAAGGTATCCATGGCACCTCTAACAGTATACATTTAAAGCACTTGGCTTCCTGCAAGAGAATCCCAGGAAGTGTAGTTTACCCGCCACAGAGCTATAATTCCCAGCACTCTTAACAAACTACAGTTCCCAGGATTCTTTAAAGGCAAGGCATGGATGTGACCCCAGTCAAACTGGAGAGGGGAATGTGTACACTTTGAGCGCCTCAGAGAACAGGTGGGAGGTGTGTGTGTGTGTGTAATAAATAAATAAATTTAATAATAGAAATTAATATAAATATATGGGTTAACATGATATTTAGAATACTTATGTGTTTTTAGTTAATTGCTAGTTTTTATTTTTAGGTGTGCTTTTTTAACTAATAAACTTTTTGTAAACGCTTTGAGGTTTTCTACAACCAAGTAGTATATAAATTTTATGAAATCAAGAAATTAACCTCACCATGTGCACCTTAATCATAGAGAGGAAATGTTCCACTCTGAAATTGTCGTCCCCTCAAAATACCTCCCCAGCCCATATATTTACTTGCAATTGAAAGTTTCCCACCCCCAGATGAGTCTCTGCTGCCACTCCTGGTTGCCATTATTAACACACATGAGAATACATTTTTCAGCCCACACAACGCAGTCTGGAAGCCTTCATGAATGTGGCTTGTTAAGCAATTGTTGCACAACCTGAGGTGCTCAGCAAAGTAGCCAACACTTAATGGGGTTGTGACTACACAATATATTTAAAGTACGGTACATTTACCCACCCAAAGAATCCTGGGAAATTTACGTAGTATGCCTTCTCACAGAACTACAGTTCTCAACATCACTATCAAAACTACAGTTCCCATGATTTCTTGGGGTGTGTGTCCTTTAAATGGGTGGTTTGCATGCAGTCTATATTGAGTTCAAGTGATCACACAATTCCCCTGTCTGGTCACCCCACCAACCACCCCCTTCAGGGAAGATTGCTCTCTTCCCTCCCCCCATTCACTTTACTATGTTATTTGCACCTAGCCAGCCACACCCACTCCGTACCCCCTGTAAAGACCAGGGATTATTTGTGATCACAATGAAAGCCTTCGGTGGCATAGTGGTAAAAGTGTTGGACTATGATCTGGGAGGCCAAGGTTCAAATCCCCCCTGTGCCACAAAATTCGCTGTGGGTGACTCCAGTCACCAGCTCTGCCTTACCTCGCAGGGTTGTTGCGAGGATAACATGGACACCACACTTCAGCTCCTTGGAGGATATAAATGCAGTAATTGATGAGTAAAGTACATCACAGAAACTCTTCCCAACTGCCCCAGAACCTCCCCAGCAAATATGCCTTCCAACCCCTCGATGACATATCTCTTCCTGTCTGTAACGTGCAACCTCGCCCCCCCATATACTACCCTTGGAACAATTTCCCCAATTTGCCCTCCTGTTACCCCCCAACTGGTTCTACAACGCACCCCCTAACCCTAGTTCAAGGCCTCCTTTAGTTGCCACCGATATAATTTCTCTCTACCATAATAAACACACACTCCAGACCGACCCACCTCGATTTGCAGCAACTGACTCCTCCTACACCAATATGTCCTCTACTCCACTCTCTGGCTGCATTCACACGAACACAAAACACACGTGTACCACCCACCCCTAGTCCTCGGGCGACGTCCGGCCCCCTTTCTCTGACGGCTGCACGTTGCATCCACTTCCCTCTTTCTTTCTCTCCTTCTCATCCCCCGCAGCTGAGCTCAGGGCTCCTCCCCTCCGCCCAGGATTGGCTAATAGGGACAATGACGTAAGGGTTCGGACAACTCGCTCGGCTGCAAGGGCAGGGGAGGCGGGGCGAGTGGAACGTTGAGCATTCTGTAGCGATTCCTATTTACGCGCACCGCCTGGTGGGCGGGGCCTGGGGCGCTTTTATAAGTGATTGATAGACATCAGAATTTAAAATACTGAGAGCTACCCGTTCGCAAAGGTCCGTATAGTTAAAGCTATGGTTTTCCCAGTAGTGATGTATGGAAGTGAGAGCTGGACCATAAAGAAGGCTGATCTCCGAAGAATTGATGCTTTTGAATTATGGGGCTGGAGGACTCTTGAGCAGCGGTAGGCAACCTAAGGCCCGTGGGCCGGATCCGGCCCAGTCGCCTTCTCAAGGCCCACGGACGGTCTGGGAATCAGCGTGTTTTTACATGAGTAGAATGTGTCCTTTTATTTAAAATGCATCTCTGGGTTATTTGTGGGGCATAGGAATTCGTTCATTCCCTCCCCCCCCAAAAAAATATAGTCCGGTCAACCACATGGTCTGAGGGACGGTAGACGGGCCCACGGCTGAAAAAGGTTGCTGACCCCTGCTCTCCCATGGACTGCAAGAAGATCAAACCTATCCATTTTGAAGGAAATCAGCCCGGAGTGCTCACTGGAAGGACAGATCCTGAAGCTGAGGCTCCAATACTTTGGCCACCTCATGAGAAGAGAAGACTCCCTGGAAAAGACCCTGATGTTGGGAAAGACTGAGGGCACAAGGAGAAGGGGACAACAGAGGACGAGATGGTTGGACAGTGTTCTCAAAGCTACTAACGTGAGTTTGACCAAACTGCTGGAGGCAGTAGATGACAGGAGTGCCTGGCGTCCTCTGGTCCATGGGGTCACGAAGAGTCGGACACAACTAAACAACTAAACAACATAAGTGATTGGTATGCAACAACAGCAGCAAGGATACTACTCGCAAAACATTGGAAAACTCAAGATCTACCCACACTGGAAGAATGGCAGATGCAACTTATAGACTATATGCAACTGGCTGAAATGACTGGCAGAATCCGTGACCTGGGAGAAGAGAGAATCGAGGAGGATTGGAAGAAATTTAAGAACTACCTACAAAAACATTGTGATTTGACTGAATGCTGAATAAGATGCTAGACTAAATAACTGAGCACCACTTAACTTAGAAGTTTTTAAGAAAATAAGAAAAACTGTGAAAGTTTAACTCTTTATGAGAACTATAAGATTATGAAATACCGAAGAGATATAAGAATTTAAATAAGATGATAAATTGCTGACAAAATGTTATAATGATGAAGGTGGGAGCGGGAGGTGTGAGGAAGTCCAAAGAAAATGTGAAATTATGTTAAAACGAATGTTATATTGTTTATTACATTTATTCTTATTGTAAAATCCAATAAATTGCTTTAAAAAAAAAAAAAAAACATAAGTGATTGATAGACATCGGAATTTAAAATGCTCAGAGCTACCTGTCTCTGTGCGACTCAAGAGGAGGTATCAAGGTCAAGGATTCACAAGGTGGCATTAAGCAAAACACACTCAGCCTCAGTGTTCCCCATCTGCAATATGGGCACAACAACAGCCTACTTTACAAAGTTGTTGTAAGGACAGCAACTAGATAATGCATGGGAAGTGGCATTGAGTATGGCACGTTGAAGTTTAAATCTCCCAGGGTTGTAGCTAACTAACTGTACTAAGAGTAAACCCACTGAAATGAATTCATCTTTGGGTTTCCCTGGGCAAAGCAACTAACAAAGTTACTTATTATTAATAATAATCTACTGTCCATCAACTAGCATTGGCTATCATGTCTTTTTCATGGTGTGGAAAAGCCATAATTTACTGTTACAAAATATAACAAAATTTAAACAATAAAAAACAAGTTAACAAAAACAGTTCATTAAGAAATATACAATAAAATTAAGCAATCCCCTTGTAATTCATAAGGTATAATAATAAAATACACAGTCCCAGTAACAGTGAAAATAATGCACTTCAAAATTAAATCTTGACCCGAACAGAAGCCCCTAAACACCACTGCCATTCTGATAATCTCTAGGATACAATTCTCTCTCTGTCTCTCTCTCTCTCACACACACACATTTCCTTTGTCTCCTGTGTTAAAGGCAATTATATTTTAGTTCACAGAAGCCTCAAATAAAGACAAATGACACTCTCAGGGCTAGGGAGAGAAAAACTTTTTATAAACACACCAGAGAATTTTAGAAAGAAAAAGTAACCCAGAGAGAGATGCACACCCCTTCTCTGGGGCTTCCTGTATCCCAAATGAGTAGAGATACTAATTGGACTCTGGTGGGGTCACCCCAGCAACCAACTAATGCTTCTAACAGTTTTGCCCAGGAATCAGTCAGGCTTCATTATGCTAGCACAAAAAGTACCACTGTTTTTTGTCTTGCAACAAGAAAACATGTGCCTGCTTCTAGATTGCACAGAACTCTGTGCCAAGATGTAAGCATTGTTACAAACACACACACACACAAAATGAACACACTCACACCTATAAACCATTTCACAATTGAAAATAAAAATGATAATTAAGTACCTGAATTCTTTCTCATCCAAAGGGACCAGTGCCTGAGTTTCCACAGCCTAAAGGTCACCCAGTGAGCATAATGGCCGAGTGAGGATTTGAACTCTGATCTCTCCTGGGTCCTTGTCCGACACTCTAAACCAGGCTTCCTCAACCTCGGCCCTCCAGATGTTTTTGGCCTACAATTCCCATGATCCCTAGCTAGGACCAGTGGTCAGGGCTGATGGGAATTGTAGTCTCAAAACACCTGGAGGGCTGAGGTTGAGGAAGCCTGCTCTAAACCAATACCCCAAAATGACCCCTTCCCCCAAATAGAAGTGAGACAAACACCATTTTTGTTATTATTTTTTTAGTAAATTTATTCACAAAAAAAGTTTCAACCTCTTCATTTTTCTCTTGTCATCTATGTACAAACCCATCATTATATATACAAAGTCACATAGTCGTTTAAAATCAGTAGTGGCTGCCACAGTCAGACTGAGGGGTAAGCGCATGTTATTTCCCCTGAGGGCTTGGGGGGGGCAAGCGGACGGACAATGGAGGCTCTGTGCATTCTTCCTCCCACACACACACCCCTTCACAAGCTCCCACACATACACTCTCTCTCTCTGTGCCAGGCCTTGCCCTGCAACCACTTTGCTCCCATCCCGCCTTAAGACCTGGTGATTTTTATTTTAAAAAAAGAACAAATGAGGAAAAAAAATAAAATAAAAAGGAAACCTGGGAACGTATATGGAGAAGTGGATGACCCGGGTCACTCGTAGAAACAAACCCCACATAGTGTCGTTTGTTTTTTTATTGTTGTTTTTTTTGTCGTCGTCGCTTTTTTAAAATGATTTTTTTTAAAAAGACCCGAGCACCAGTCTCTATGAGGTAAGAGGGGCGGCAGGGCCGAAAGTGCTGGGTTCCAATACTATTACTGCTTCTTCCAGTGCATGTCGTCCAGCTCGTAGAAAAGGACGTAGCCCTCGCTGGACGGGACCTGGTTCTCGCTGATGGGAGACACACTGCAAAAGGGGCGGGGGCGGGGAGAGAGAGAAAGGATGGCACATTAGCAGAGAAATCTTACTTGCCTGCTCATCTTACTCGCCTGGGATACTCCTCCAGATGTTGCAGAACTACAACTCCCATCAGAGGCGGATTTAGGCAGAGCGACCAGTTCTGCCACACTGGGCGCTGAGCAGCGCACCACAACTCTAATGTACTGAACTGAGCGGATTGGAAGGCAAGAGGTGGATCCACAAAGGGCGCTGGTGAAATCTGAAAGTCTGCCCCTGCTCCCATCATCCTTGCCCACTGATCACATCTGCTGGGGCTCATAGGGAGCTGCAGTTCAGGTTCCCCACATCTGTCTTACAGTAAAGGAACATCTTAAGATGAACTTCAGACTTGGTCACACGGGAGACGGCAGCCCTTATGGTGTGCTGGTTCTAGGAAGTTAATACCAGCACTTTGAATTTAGTCTAGAAACCAGTAAATAACCAAAGCTGATGGTATTGAGACCACATCTCCTCCCAGTGATATGATCTCCTCCCAGTGTCAAATAAGCAATTGCATTTTGAACCAACTGGAAATTTGGAGTCGCCTGTACTGCCGCCCCTCCCTGCCCAGTACTTTTGTAAACTTCCATGTGTGTAAGGTAAAGGGACCCCTGACCGTTAGGTACAGTTTGAATAACTCTGGGGTTGCGACGCTCATCTCGCTTTATTGGCCAAGGGAGCCGGCGTACAGCTTCCGGGTCATGTGGCTAGCATAACTAAGCCGCTTCTGGCGAACCAGAGCAGCGCACAGAAACGCCGTTTACCTTCCCGCCGGAGCAGTACCTATTTATCTACTTGCACTTTGACATGCTTTCGAACTGCTAGGTTGGCAGGAGCAGGGACCGAGCAATGGGAGCTCACCCTGTCACAGGGATTCAAACCGCTGACCTTCAATCGGCAAGCCCTAGGCTCAGTGGTTTAGACCACAGTGCTACCCGCGTCCCTTCCATGTGTGTAGAGGATACTAAATAAAATTAATAACCACTGCCAAGTGTATAGAAGAAAGCCAAAGTCACAGGGTGTAGCATGGGCCAGATAATTTATCACTCTAATTGCCAGGTTCTTATTTTTCTGTAGCCATTTTGATTTTGTGGTGATACATGAGCTATGCTAGATGAAATCTTAGAAAGCACTGTGACGGCCAAAGAAGACTCCGAGAGGTTGGAGGGCAGGGCACCAATGTCCAGCATCCCATAATGAGCAGGAGAGGATTGTATCGTGCTAAAGAGCAGGGAGGAAAACATGCCAGTGAGAAAAACCAGAGATTTTGGTTGCTCACTCTTGCTCAGAGTCAGCTAATTAAAACAATGAACTTTAGTCAGTCATGCCTGCTGAATTCAATGGGTCTACTCTACGTTGGATACAACCCTCTTGCTGTTGTTTTGCATTGGTTGCAAAACTGAGCTGTTCACACTGCAGAATTTGGGTTCTAGGGCAGCCGGGTTTGAATGGCTTTGCAGTTGGCTGCAAGGCTGCATCAAGGGTGTTCAGGCAGCAGCCTGGCCTGCTTTAAACCCTTGCCAAGCAGGGCACACATTAGGAACAGGTGTCTTAAGCTACTTAGTTAGTACAGCTACCTAATTATATTAGCATCCTGGTCCAGAGCAGAGCACAGGATTTATGGTGCAAGGAAGCAGGCCACAGGCAGGAAGGGTTCAGGAAGTGACTTCTGACCCATATAAGAGCTGGCCTGGGTGAGCGCCACAGTCCCACAGCGGGTGCGGAATCACAGAATTGTAGAGTTGGAAAATGCTGACACAGGGTGCAGTTTTCAGCTTCCTGCCCTTCACGGTTTGATTTAAGAAAAAAAAAGGACTTTTCTACTCCGTATGCCTACAAAACAGCTGAGAGTGAGTGAGTGAGTGTGTGTGTGTGTGTGTGTGTGTGTGTGTGTGTGTGTGTGTGTGAGAAACCTCAACAAGTGCGGCTGAATGAGAGCGGGAGAGGATCTGCCTTGCATGCAGAAGGTCCCAGGTTCAATCCCGGGCATCTCTAGGTAGGGCTGGGAAAGACAGACCCCTGCCTGAAACCCTGGAGGGCTGCTGCCAGTCAGAGCAGGCAGCACTGAGCTAGGTGAATCAACGGTCTGATTCAATACAAGACAGCTTCCTATATATCCCAGGTTCCTTTTTTTGGGAGGATGTTCCACAGCTCAGTGCGTGTTTTACATGCACAAGGTTCCAGGCTCAATCCTTTGCATCCACCCCCAGGCAGGCCCTGGAGAGAACACCTGCCTGACTCCATAGTAGACAGACGCGGCAATATTGAGCGATCTGGACCAACGGTCTTACTCCCTCTCTCCCTATGAGATGCATGGAAGAGGCCTTCAGTATCCGGGGAATTCTCCTCCCCAGAATTACTCAACAAGGAAATTACGCATTTCGAACCCGGGTTGCAGAATTTGGATCGCCCGACCTGCGCCGTTTGGCTGCAAAACCCTGGAGAGTGTTTACACCCCCGCTTCTGATCTAGGAAAGCTTCCTTAGAACTAGACTAGAATCAGCGCAGTGGAGATTTGGAAAGGAAAGGAAAGCCATCGTCTTCTCTTTGCTCACCGGGAGTCGTTGTAAACCCGCCAGCCAGACTGGTCCTTGCAGAAGGCTGTGTAGTGGCCGTAGTGGACGCTGCCAGAATGATTGCACAGGGCATAGAGGTTGTACACAGGGGTGCCTGGAACAGGGAGAGAGAACAGGAGGAGCTCAAACTTCCCCTTCTCCAGCAAGCAGGCCCCGAGACGGCACAGGAGGGATTGGCCCAGACCTGGCACGCCAACTCACCGGCCTTTTCGCTGGCAAACTCTTTCAGGTTGAGCTGCTGGAGGGGGAAATCCACAAACACGGAACATTTCTTAATGGAGTAACGGGTGGTGGAGAACCGGTTCAGGTCTGGGATAGGGTGAGTTAAAGAATTTTGTTTATTCAAAACTGATACCCTGCTTTTCACTGTCTGTTTCTCAAAACACATGAACCAATATAACTGGCTATAGCTTGAAGTACTCAAGCTTGTTTTTTCCTCCTCCCATCCTTTCTTCCTCGTGTGTCGTGTCCTTTAAGAATGTGAGCCACACGGCAGGGATAGTATTTGGTTTTTGTAAGCTGCTCTGAAAACCTTTTTGGCTAAAGGTGGTGTAAATGCCGTAAATAAATGATTAATAAAAAATACGGCAAACTCATCCTTCCAATTCTACACCTGATGGCAGGTGTGAATCTAAGTGAATCTCATGGGTTTAGCCTGCTTTTTAAGCGCCATCCTTATATGTTTCATTTAAGCCTGTGGTGGCGAAGCAATTAAAAGTGCTGGGAGACTTGGGTTCAAATCCCCACTCGGTCATTAAACTCACTGAGTGACCTTAGAGGCCAGTCACTGCCTCTCAGCTTAACCTACCTTGCAGGGCTGTTGTGAGGCTAAAACAGGTCAGGAGAAAAGAAGAAGAAGAAGAAGAAGAAGAAGAAGAAGAAGAAGAAGAAGAAGAGGAGTTTGGATTTGATATCCCGCTTTATCATTACCCAAAGGAGTCTCAAAGCGGCTAACATTCTCCTTTCCCTTCCTTCCCCACAACAAACACTCTGTGAGGTGAGTGGGGCTGAGAGACTTCAGAGAAGTGTGACTAGCCCAAGGTCACGCAGCAGCTGCATGTGGAGGAGCGGGGAATCAAACCCGGTTCACCAGATTACGAGTTCACCACTCTTTACCACTACACCACACTGGCGTACAACCAGGCACACCACCTTGAGCTCCTTGGAGCAAAGGTGGGATATAAATGAAATGAAATATATATTATATAAATTTGTCGCTTCATGCGTCAAGCTGTTCTAGGGGACTGGGTGGGCTTCAGCAGCTTCCTGGCATCCACCTTGTATTGCAAAACCTTGCACAAGCCATTTTATTATATACAGTTTTCTCCAGGACTCAACCTGGAGAAGGACTGTAATGCTGTGCCGAGTGCAGCGAGGGCACTTTGACCATTGGTCCCACTGCTCTAGAATACACCTCTTGCCTTCCCCCCTAAACTCAGCAGGACTGGAAAGGAGCAAGATACCCAGTATCACACACATCAGTGCAGCATAACCTGATGCTTCCTCATAAAAGAAAACCCAAGCCAGAATAGCCTTGGCGGCGTCGTATTTAGAGGCCAGAAGAAGCCAATCCCGAATTCCTTAGGAAACCCAGGAAGGCATCCGATTTTGATTTACAGCAGTACCTGTCAGGGAACTGCCATCGGAGCTAGAGGCGGAGGGAAGGCTCCAGAGGGATGGCGGAGAGGGTCCCAGTAGGGAGAGAGGCAGCCCGTCCGCTGGGGAAGGAAATCAGCGTAACACCAATAGAGAAGGGGGGCAGATGGGGGAATCGGAGAGGAGGCTCCAAGACTCCTCGCCGGAGACCAGCGGAGAGAGTACGGGTCCTCCGCTGCCCACATCCTCCCTGCGCAGAAGGCTTCCGCGCAGGGAGTCTAGGCGGAGACTAGGCGTCAAGGAATTTTTGTGCTGGAAAAAGTTTAAGAAACGCCCACTGACGGATTCTGCCAGCGACTGAGACAGTCACGATGCTGGAGGCTGCTCAGTCAGAAAGGGTTTAACCAGGTAACCTCACCAGGAGTGGCGGCAACTTATGCACGAGCAACCCCTAAATCCATTACAGTACCTCTACTTATGAACGTGATCCGTTTCGGGGTGCCATTCACACCCTGAAAAGTCCGTAAGTAGAGTGCCGCTACTGTGTGCGCGTGAAGCGAGATAGTGTGCTTCTGCAAATTGTGGAAAGAAAATCTAAAATTTACTGCATGCATGGCATTGAAGGAAAACGTGATGAAAATGTTTTATAGATGGTACATCACACCGGTAAAATTAGCAAAAATGTATAAGACATGTAATAAGTGTTGGAAATGTAAAGAAAAAGAAGGAACGTTTTATCACATGTGGTGGGAGTGTAAGAAAGTGAAGAGTTTCTGGGAAGCGATATATAATGAATTGAAAAAGATGTTAAAATATACTTTTGTAAAGAAACCAGAAGCTTTTCTTTTAGGGATTACAGGAAAAGAAATAAGAAGAAAGGACTGTAAACTTTTTCAGTATGCAGTTACGGCAGCAAGAATTTTATTGGCCCAGAAATGGAAACAAGAGGAAATACCGACGATACAAGAATGGAGAATGAAACTGACAGACTATGCTGAATTGGATAAACTAAATGGGAAAATAAGATATGTGAGAGACCAAAAGTTTACCGAAGACTGGGAAAAGTTTGTGGAATATCTGAAAAATGTGTGTGATGTGCAAACAACGCTAGTGGGGTTTCAAGAAGCACTGTAAAAGTTAAGATGTATTGTCAAAAAGAAATAGAAGGGGGAGGGAAGATAAATGGCAATACAACGAAGGGAATGCGTACTGAAGAATAACTATGGATGATTACCAGAGAAGCTGAAGGAAGTCCAAAATGTTTTTTTTATTTGTTAAAATTTGGATAAAATTGTATAATTTTGTTGGAAAATTAATAATTTTTTTTTTTTTAAAAAAAGATAGTGTGCTTCTGCACATGCACAAAGCACGCAGATCGCTTCTGCGCGTGCGGCGAAGCCGGAAATAAACACTTCCGGGTTTGCAGCGTTTGTAACCTGAAAAGCCGCAACGTGAAGCAAACATAACATGAGGTATGACTGTATGTATCGCTTATCCCAAGTACTTTGTGTAATTCTGCAGAACCAGCCTGAAAAGTAGGCCAGTTTGACCATCTTAACATTTTTAACAGACTGTTCTAAGCAGCCACTTTCTCCCTGCAGTGTGGCGCAGTCATACTACAGGACAACAATTTTACAACTGTAGAAATTGCTATTGTTCCTTGTAGTTTACTGAGTTGGGATTTCAACTTGATATTTTTCTGTACACCGCTTGGTAACCTTTGGTTGCAAAGTGGCTTCTACATCTGCAGATAAAATACAAACAGAATACTTTGGGCGCTCTGCCGCCAGCTGCAGCCCTGACTGGCTCCCAATTCTTGGGGGAAGTTGGGCCGGGGGGGCGGGGGAGGGAGAATGCAGAAAGGATACGTAGCACAAGGATGCGAGGAAAGCGCTGGATGGTCAACTTCTTGGTGCTTCGGGTCCTCTGCCGGCATTTGTCACACACCTGCTCAGAGAGAGAGAGAGAGAGAGAGAGAAGAAGAAGAAGAAGAAGAAGAAGAAGAAGAAGAAGAAGAAGAAGAGAAGATGCTTATACTTCATTTTATTTCTGTAAAAGCTTTTATAAACCACTGGAGATTTTTTTATTAAAAAAACCTCTTAAACAGTGAGACAATTATCATTTAAACAAAAAGACACCACAAATTCAATAAAACAGGTGCTACTGCTAATGCCATCACCCACGTGGCAGAAAAGCACGATGAACTTACTGGTGCGTTTTCAGAATCCAGCTCCTCCTCCTTGGTGAAGAGGCTGAAGCAGTCTAGCAGAGATACCTTCCCACCGGTGAAGCCTTTCTGTGAAATCAGGGCAAGGGTTTGGTTGGAAAGATCATCTTTACCACCACCCTATCCATTAGGCTGAACGTTCGAGGAGGCTTACAAACATCAGTGCTGACACGTAAAAACAAACTTCTGGCAGTCCCTCTGCCCCACTGCCAGGCCAGCAAGTGCCAAAATTTACCCAGAGGCTGGGTGCAGGAACCTCTCCTCCCCCAGCTCGGTCTACCTCCCCTGCTCAAGGGGATGTCAAGTCCCTTTGCTCAGATGGCCAAACCCCCTCCCTTTTCCTTCTTGCTGCTTCTGAGCCACTGCAAAATTATAGGAAAGGTCCACAGTCCAGTAGTTTGCAAGAAGAAGAAGAGTTTGGATTTGATATCCCGCTTTATCACTACCTGAAGGAGTCTCAAAGCGGCTAACATTCTCCTTTCCTTTCCTCCCCCACAACAAACACTCTGTGAGGTGAGTGGGGCTGAGAGACTTCAAGAAGTGTGACTGGCCCAAGGTCACCCAGCAGCTGCATGTGGAGGAGCGGGGAAGTGAACCCGGTTCACCAGATTACAAGTCTACCGCTCTTAACCACTACACCACACCAAACGTGGGGGGCTTTGAAAGCCCTACGGTTCATTTCAAAGTCCTGACAACTGGGGCTTCAAAAGGAAGCATCGCCTGATGTCAGTGTAGCAACAGGGGACTGACAGGTGGGCGGCCCATTTCTGACATTGCTCATGAGTAGATAAACACAAAATGACAACCAGGAATCTTAATTTTAAAATCACCACCTTTTCTTTTTTTATAAAAAAACCTCTCTCTTGAAGTGGTTCACAGCAGCAATTGGGAAGTTGTAGCCCTCCAGAGCTCAAAGGACTCCAACTCCCATCATCCCCAGCCAGTATAAAGTCATCAGGGATGATGGAAACTGGAGTTCAGCAACATATGGAAAGTCCCACCTTCCCTACTCCTGGCTTACAGGATAGGGGGAAAACCCCAATACTTTGACCAGTTAACCAGTTAAAAGAGAAAACACTCCAGAGGATTCCCAGATTAACTCTCCAGTTAAAAAGGATCCCTTAAGCTACCAGTCATATTAGTGGACAGTTCTGAGCTAGCCAGGCTAGCTATCTGACTTGCTGTAAGGAAGCTTCATCAGTCACTTAACAGCATCTGCCCTGAAGCCTGCCGTGACGACACTAGGAGCCTACCTTTGGGATAGGCAGGGAGAGGTCACAGAAAACTTCAAACGTGGTCGACCGGTAGCCACACGCTTGACACTTGAGGCAGCTTTTCAACTGGCCGACAAAGAGATCTAGCACAGAGAGAGAAAGAAATGCTTCTGTTACTGTGTGGGCCAGCTTAAAAACAGCGTTCGACTTGCACATTCTGCTACAGCTCATGCGTTCTGGCTCCAAGGGAGCATTTCAAGCTGATAATAGATGGAATCAAAAGCACCCTGTAGGAGTTGCACACTGGCATTTGAATTTGGGTCTACCCTCGAGTGGCCCTCATGTTCCTGTGTGACCAGGTGGGCGATTCTTAGACTGGCTTAGTCACAGGCAAATCATTTTGACCTTATGGCTCAGCTCAGACCACTCCCATGCTGTAGGGCAGGGATGGGGGAAACCTGTGGCCCGGCAGGGATTGCCGGACTCCATCTCCCATCAGTCCCTGGCTAACTGTCAGGGATGATGGGAGCTGGCAGCCCAAGGTTGTGCAAGAAAAAACACCTGCTCACCTACTATCTTGCTGTCTTCTCGCTCCAGGTAGCGCTTCCACATCTGGTTGGCTTGTTCATCATCACTGGGGGGGGCGGGGAGGAAAGAAACCCAAGAAGAGAGTGTGAGCAACATGAGCAGGAAGTGGAAGAGGGTTGGATGGAGGTGGGGCATTGGTTACCGGGGCAGAGAACAGGAGGAAGCAGAGCCCACCTGCAAAACGATTATTATTTTAATTCAGCAACATCAGTACCAATGCATCACTGCAGAAGAAAGCCAAAACAGGCCCCTGATGAGCTTACAATCCCAGGCACTGATGGTGAACTGAAGGCCCATCAACCCCTGAAATTTGGAAGCTCAGTGGCAGCAAGTTGATAGCTAGCATGGGGGTAAGAGACTGAGCTGGGAACCTGTAAGCTCCTGGTTCAAATCTTGCCTCAGGAGCAACCTCGCTAGATGGTCTTTGGCAAGCCAGTCTCAGACTCCATCTGAAACGTGGGTGTGACGACACCAGTCCAGGTTACGGGGGTGTTGTGAAAATTACCTGAGAATGTCTGCAATGTCACTTGAAAACTGGAGTGCTACAGAACGGCTAGTTATTATTATTAAGTAAGCAACAACCAGTCACCGCAGGGAAGATTTCATCAAACACCTCCTCCACACACAAACGCTTTCCAAGCATGGCAATTCTCACATCCAAGCTCTGCACTGAGCAATGGAGATGCAAGTATGAATCAGGCTTCAAGCGGTGACTAGAAACCCAGCCTCCAGCATTTATGTGCTCAGACACACTCTGAGCGCTGCTAGTAGTTCAGCTACACTGGGAGGTCGGGCCCAACTGTTCGCCACATTAGCCCAGGTAGGTCAGAAACACCCTGCACTAGGACAGGCCACTGGACCAGGAAATATGAGCCCATTGTAAGAACATAAGAAAAGCCCTGCAGGACCAGAAGGCCCATCAAGGCCTGCTCTCACTGTAGCTGACCAGATCCCTTGGGAAGCCTGCAAGTGGCAGCACTCTCCTCAGTTGCGCTTCCCAGCAACTGCCTCTGACGGTGGAGGGAGAACACAGACACCGTGGCAAGCAACTATTGAGAGCCTTCTCCTCTATGAACTTGCCTCATTTTCTTTTAAAGCCATCCAAGTTGCTGGCCACCACTCGTCTTGTGGGAGTGAGTTCCACGGGTTAACTCTCTGTACTGAGTGAAGGACTTTCCTTTGTCTGTCCTGAATCTTCCAACATTCAGCTTCCTTGGGAAGCCCCTTCTAGCATTATCTCCTCTCTCTTCTGAGGTGGTGTTTAGGGGAGGGGGCCATAAAGCAGTAGCAGAGCCTGTGCTTTGCATATACAGTGGTACCTCGGGTTACATACGCTTCAGGTTACATACGCTTCAGGTTACAGACTCCGCTAACCCAGAAATAGTGCTTCAGGTTAAGAACTTTGCTTTAGGATGAGAACAGAAATCGTGCTCCGGCAGCGCAGCGGCAGCAGGAGGACCCATTAGCTAAAGTGGTGCTTCAGGTTAAGGACAGTTTCAGGTTAAGAAGGGACCTCCAGAACGAATTAAGTACTTAACCCAAGGTACCACTGTAGCAGTTCCAGATCCATTTCCAAGGATCTCCAGTCATGGGAAAGACTCCTGGAATCAACCCGGGCAAGCTTTTCCACCTGCCTTGCCCCCCAACTGGGACTCTTATAAGGAGGAGCCGCTGCTTAAAGATTTGATCTTGCTCTCAATTTTTTGTTTGTAGGGAATGCTCTTTGCCTCTTTGGCAGGAAAACGAACGCAGTCAAACACTCTTCAAATGTTAATTATTTTGAATTTTTATCATTTGTGTTGGCATTTGTGTATCTATTCTTTTGTGAGCTGACTTGCGGGTCTCTTTTGCCTGAAAAGCGGCATATATTGTGTCAATAGTAGAAACTGGCATCATTCAAACAATCACTTTATATACAGTGGTACCTCTGGATGCGAATGGGATCCGTTCCGGAGCCCCGTTCGCATCCTGAAGCGAACGCAATCCGCGACCCCGCGTCTGCGTGGGTTGCGATTCATCGCTTCCACGCATGACGTCATTTTGAGCATCTGTGCATGCGTGAGCAGCGAAACCCGGAAGTAACACGTTGCCACCAAGTGCAACCCGAAAAGCCTTAACCTGAAGCGACTTCAACCCGAGATATGACTGTAAACAGTAACAAAACATAAGAGCTCTTAGATAGCAGAGTTGCCAAAAACCTGAGGCTGTGGAGAGCCACTATCAGCAGACAATGCAGTCAAGTTGCATCACATGCAAGGGTTTAGTTCCAGGTGTTGCATATATATGTGAAAACCATGCATAGCCAAAGTTACTTTTCATTTGGCTGCTGGTGGTGGAGAAGTCCCATGGGGAAGACCTCCCCCATGTTTCTGCTACCTCCCCTCACTCCCCCATGTGAAAGTGAGCAGCAGAAGGGAGGGGGGGAGGTGAGTAAGAGAGAGAGAGAAATGGAGGCAGAAGAAAAAGGCTGGAATGGAGCCGCAACTGGGCATATAAAGCTGAATTTGTGTAAGTAAAATGCCCAGATGATGCAACTTGACTGTACTGGGATAGATGACCTGGTATACAGCAGCTTGACACATTCAGGGAGGAACTGTAGCTGTGCGGTAGAGCACCCGCCTCGCAAGCCAAAGGTCTCAGGTTCAATCCCTGCCCTCTCCCCTTTAAAAAATAGAAGCATGCTCCGATTTGTGGTATAGAGCAGTTTCTTCTGCCCAGCTCACAAGACGGCACCACATTTTCTGCACTCACCTCAAGGTGTCTGTGTCCTCTAGTACTGAGGGTCGCTTGGCGTCAGAGAGGATGCTGGGAGTCTTGCGCCCTTTCCTGTTAATCTCCACATGCAACCGATCCATGAGAAATTTTAAGAACTCCTGAGCGTCCTGCTGGCTAGAAAAGGAAGAAAGGCAGAAGGGTTGGGCAGGCCGGGGTGGGGGAAATGTTGGGGTGGGTAAGAAATGTGCAACCGCACTGGGGCAGGGATAAGGCAATGGGCACCCCAACTTGCCTCACCTGTATCCTGTGAAGGATGGCACGTATTTCTGAAAGACGGCTTTGAAGCGGCTGGGGTTGGCGGCCTCCGTGGAATCGGGGTGCCATAAAGTGGCAATGACATCTGCAAAGGCTGGAGAATGAAGAGCCACAAAAAAGAAAATAAAGGAGTTGTTCCCTTTCTCCTTCTCCATTTTTACACTAGGGAAAACACTCAGCGAATTTCATTTTGCTTCCTCTTCCTCGAAACATGGCAAATATGCTACCATTCCTGGTTTTGTCTTACAAATGAGGAATTGGGGCTTGGAGTTAGGTATGTGGCCTGTCCAAGGCCGCATAGGGAAGACTGTGGCAGAGGCAGAACTCATACCTAGACCCTCTCCCTCCCAACAGGACAGGCTCAAAGATACTGCTGGTGGAAAACTATCAAGAGGGTCAGAGGAGGGGCTGGAGCAATGGAAAAAGATGTGCAAACACAATGCAATATCAAACGCCCACTCCTTTAGGAGTGACTTTCATAATCCTCTCCCTGTCCCACCATTCCACCCCCCACCTCAAAACTGTGGATTATAAGCCTGGGCAGTTTGTCCCACAATATTTATGTAGGTGTTTCCTGTAATACGTTTGCAAGCTGAAGGCCAGAGACGGTGGCCTATGAATACCTCGCAGGTGAGAAAGGGACAGGACAGGAGAGTGCTGGAATTAGGTCCTCTAATTATATAATACTTTGTTCAAGGCAGAGGTACTTATATAATAGTGGTCAACCGGGATTGGATTAAGGCCCTCCAGAGACCAATTTAGATTGCTGGCTCACTACAAGGATCCTTTTTAGCTGAAGCTCGTTCAGACAGTGATCTGGTTACATAACCGACTCTGCTGACGGGAGGGAAAACAACAACAGGAAAAGCAGGGCAGGGTCTTTCCGCTTCCCCTCTTTACCTTCAGTCAGCTCCTGCTGGGTCCGCAGAGCGCTGGGCTGTTCCTGCCGGAATTCCCGACGGAGGCAGTAGTCCCGCAGGGGCTTGGTGCTACTCAGGCACTGAAGCACGGCATTCATGAAGCACTGGAGGGGGAGATACAATGGGGGTGTCATCATGGCCTGCAGCATTCCCGTTCCCCCAAAAGGGATGGTGTGAAGACACACAGGATGCAGCTACCTGAAAGGTCACCTGCCCCTGTACAGTCCCGGGAGAACCTTTCAATCGGCTGGGAAAATTCTACTCGCAACACAGCACCCTGCAGAACATCACAGGGTGGGGACTTGAAAACGGGACATTTTCCATCCTTACCCCTGTGTTACAGAATGCCGTTACTTAGTCTTTGCCATCAATTTCAACAGGTCTACTCTGAGCAAAAACAAGTTGAATAAACCCCCCTCCCATTGGGGTGTATCCAATGTTGGTTCAACTCAGAGGGGTGGGGAGACCAACAGGGCAGGAGATTCAGTTTTGTTTCATTTAGTTAGTTTGTTACAGAGGCTCTGCGAATGGTTGTTTGCTGACTGGGGGAAGTATAATTGTGTAATACAGTTGTACCAACACACCGTATTTTGCCGTCTATAAGATGCCCCCCTTTTGGGGACTCAGGTTTAAGAAAATGGGGAGGGGGGAGATGCCCCACAGTTGTTGAGTTTTTTTGCGGAGGGTTGTCCTCAGTTGTTCAGCTTTTTTTGGAGTGGATTGCCCACAGTTTTTGAGGGTTTTTGGGAGGGGGCCCAAAAACAATCACCCGCCAGCAACTGCCATTCAACTGCCCACTTCCCGCAGCAGCAGCCTATCAGCAGCAGCCCTTGCCGCATACACAAATCAACATCCCTATCGCCAATGAAAAATTCCTGCTCGCAGCAAAAACCAGTCGCCAGTACACCCTCGGCACTATCCGTGTACAGTGGTGCCTCGCAAGACGAAATTAATTCGTTCCGCAAGTCTCTTCGTCTTGCGAGTTTTTCGTCTTGCGATGCACGGTTTCCCATAGGAATGCATTGAAAATCAATTAATGCGTTCCTAGGGAAACCGCCTTCAGACCAGGTCCGGGGACAGTCTGTCCCCGGACCTCTTCTGAAGGCTGGGGGGGGGGGCAAGGGCTTTTCTTCCCACCCCCAGCATTTTAAAAAACCCCGGGACAGCGGAGGACTTCTCCGCTGTCCGGGGCAATTTAAAAGCCCCTGGGAAGGCAGGCAGGGGACAAGACTTTTGCCCCCCGCCCGCCTTCAGAAGAGGTCCAGGACCTCTTCTGAAGGCGGGCGGGGGCGAAGTCTTTGCTCCCCCGCCTTCAAAAGCCCTCCGGGACAGGCAGGCAGGGGAGCAAAGACTTTCGCCCCCGCCCGCCTTCAGAAGGTCTTCCCTCCCCCCCGCCTGGCTTCGGAGCACCGTTCCGAAGCCGGGCGGCGGCGGGAGGTCTTCCCTCCCCCCCGCCCGGCTTCGGAGCACCGTTCCGAAGCCGGGCGGCGGCGGGAGGTCTTCCCTCCCCCGCCCGGCCGGAGCACCGTCCGAGCCGGGCAGAGGCGAGAGGTCTTCCCTCCCCCCGCCCGGCTCGGAGCACCGTTCCGAGCCGGGCGGCGGCGGCAGGTGTTCCCTCCCCCCGCCCGGCTCGGAGCACCGTTCCGAGCCGGGCGGCGGCGGCAGGTGTTCCCTCCCCCGCCCGGCTCGGAGCACCGTTCCGAGGCCGGGCAGAGGCGGAGGTCTTCCCTCCCCCGCCCGGCTCGGAGCACCGTTCCGAGCCGGGCAGAGGCGGGAGGTCTTCCCTCCCCGCCCGGCCCGGAGCACCGTTCCGAGCCGGGCGGCGGCGGCAGGTCTTCCCTCCCCCGCCCGGCCGGAGCACCGTTCCGAGCCGGGCGGCGGCGGAGGTCTTCCCTCCCCCGCCCGGCTCGGAGCACCGTTCCGAGCCGGGCGGCGGCGGAGGTCTTCCCTCCCCGCCCGGCTCGGAGCACCGTTCCCGAAGCCGGGCAGAGGCGGAGGTCTTCCCTCCCCCGCCCGGCTCGGAGCACCGTTCCGGCCGGGCGGCGGCGGCAGGTCTTCCCTCCCCCCGCCCGGCTCGGAGCACCGTTCCGAGCCGGGCGGCGGCGGCAGGTCTTCCCTCCCCCCGCCCGGCTCGGAGCACCGTTCCGAGCCGGGCGGCGGCGGAGGTGTTCCCTCCCCGCCCCGGCCGGAGCACCGTTCCGGGCCGGGCGGCGGGGGAGGTCTTCCCTCCCACCGCCTGGCTTCGGAGCACCGTTCCGGAGCCGGGCGGCGGGGAGGTCTTCCCTCCCCCGCCCGGCTCGGAGCACCGTTCCGAGCCGGGCGGCGGCGGCAGGTGTTCCCTCCCCCCGCCCGGCCGGAGCACCGTTCCGAAGCCGGGCGGCGGCGGCAGGTGTTCCCTACCCCCCCCCCCGGCGTAGGAGGAGCCTTCCGAAGCCCCGCGGCGGCGGGAGGAGGTGTCCCCCCCCCCCCCCCAGGCGTCGGCGGAGGTCCGAGGACAGTGGGGAAGACCCCCTGCGCGTCCCCGCGGTCCCAGAGATTTACCAATGGGCGGTCGTCTTGCGAAGCAAGCCCATAGGGAAATTCGTTTTGCGAAGCGCCTCCAAAACGGAAAACCCTTTCGTCTAGCGGGTTTTCCGTCTTGCGAGGCGTTCGTCTTGCGGGGCACCACTGTATAAGACGCCCCATAAATTTTGACATTATTTTTGGAAAAACAAATTGTCTTATACAGTGGTACCTCGGGTTACATACGCTTCAGGTTTCATACGCTTCAAGTTACAGACTCCGCTAACTCAGAAATAGTACCTCGGGTTAAGAACTTTGCTTCAGGATGAGAACAGAAATGGTGGGGCAGTGGCATGGCGGCCCCATTAGCTAAAGTGGTGCTTCAGGTTAAGAACAATTTCAGGTTAAGAACAAACCACCAGAAAGAATTAAGTTCTTAACCCAAGGTACCACTGTACATGGATATATACGGTACTTTACTCAACAAGTAACTTCCTATGCTGATGTATTTCCTTATTCTTGAAAGTAAGAAATATTTCAAAAACCAACACACCTAATTTAGGTCCATTAATTTCAATGGGTCTACTCTGAATAGGATTTGCATTGGCTACAACCCACGGTTTTTATGTTGCACACTGTTTAGTGAATAATAATACAGTCGTACGCTGGAGGTCGAAAAGAATCCGTTCCGGAAGTCCGTTCGACTTCCAAAACATCCGGAAACCAAAGCACGGCTTCTGATTGGCTGCAGTAAGCTCCTGTAGCCAATCAGAAGCCACGGAAGCCGAACTATTTTTGCAAAATATTTTGCAAACTGGAACAGTCACTTCCGTGTTTGCGGCGTTTGGGAGCCAAAATGTTTGACTTGCAAGGCGTTTGGGATCCAAGGTATGACTGTAATAAACAAGCTGTTTTAAAATGCCTTTAAATAAATAAAATCTTGCTGGAGCAAAGAAGGCCTGGGGTGAGTCGGTGCCTGGACAGGAGGGGGAACAATTGTGAACAGAACTTTAGCTACCTAGTGCTCCAGTGCAGAATGCAATAAAACACCCATATTCCTAGCCAGCGATCCTGACTTCAATTCTATGCTCGCCCCTTTTCCCCTCCTGGTGGTGGTGGGAAACAGGAGTGTGCTGCCATTTTGGAACAACCAACCACAGCGTATGCTCTTAGTTATGCTGGGCTTGGCACAGTTGCTGGGTGTGTGTGTCCTTGTTGCTAGGCTCCCACAACTTCCAGATGGGGATTTAGGGTTAGGAACGGGGACTGTAGCGGCAGGGTTGCAAGCTGCCTTCAGGCAGCACCTAAAATCCCACCGAGTTTCCAAAGATGCTGGGTCCTGCGTCCGATTTTGGTGCTTAGTGCAGAACATTCGTGGAGCATACCACCCAACCTCACCTCCCTCAGCAACACCTGGATGCAGAATTCCAAACTTGTTTTCTGCACTCGGCACAGAGCGGTTGTGCAGAATATGCACACATCATACAAGTTGAAAGGTCAAAATCATCTGCGGTGGGGAACCCACAGGCCGATCTTGGCCTACCAGGTTGTCAAATGTGGCCTCTGAAACTGGAGTTTTAAAGAGCAGCTGGGGCGGTTTGCAAAGGGGCTTTCAAACAGTCCCACGCTGCGCTTTGAAGTCCCGAAAGTCAGGACTTCAAAGCGCTGCATCGCAAGATGCCACTGTGGATCCAGGCAATTGGCAGGTGGGCAACCCCACCCACCTGTCAAATGTGGCCCTCCAGGGGTGGGGAAGATGCAAATCTCACCCAACCCAGAAAAGATTTGCCACCTTTGCTTTAAAACACACGCACAACAAACTCAATAAGAGACATCACTTCTGCTGCTCTCATTGTGGCAAGTCTGACACGGCTACCTCGCCTCCTACCAAGTTCGACTTCTCAATGCCGGTTATTTTAAGGCATCTTTTGAGTAACAAAAATTGCACATTGTTGGGGCCTTTCAAAAGAAACCTTTGTGACAAGTCCCTTATGCAGGGAGGGAAGTTCTCTTCACCTGGGGCTGGGGAGGTAAGCGCCCACTTCTTACCGTGTTGCCAAGGTTGCGGAGACCTATGTGCCCAGAGCCCAGCAGGAGAGTGTGATGCGTCTGGAAAAAACAAAAACAAATGACAGAGTGAATGAGAGAGACAGAGAGGGAGGGATGTTTTGCGTGTTGTGACAGCGGGAATAATAGGCTCGTCTCGTCTCATGTCTCCACATGCAGGATGGACAGATACATCCGTACTTAAGTACACATAAAGAGTGAGCATCCCAAAGATTGGCACAGGTCTCTTTTGTGGCATTGCCAGAACTCCCCAACCCCCAGCATGATTCCTCTCCATGGTCTAGGGGTCGTTCCACCGCAGTTTCTGGCCAAGCTGCCTTTTGCAGGCTTCTCAAATCAATCCACCTCTCCTGCCAGCTGTGGAGGAGTTCCAGCTCCCCTACCTAGTCGTCTCGAGCAGAGAAGGAGTGAGCAAATCACAGCGGCTCTGAAGCAGGTTAGCTTGAGCGGTAACCGCTGAGGATTTAAATACACGCAATTATATTGTGCGACTTGCCGTGACAGGAAGGAAATCTGAACACAATCAAGAAGTTGGGGGGTGGGGGAGGCACCCTTGGGGCATTTTTCTAAGACTGCAACCAAGAAGTTCTGAAACAGGAGCTGCAAGCCCCCAAACAAGTCCGGATACCAATCCTTCCTTAGCTCCAGGGGGAAGGAATCAGGCACCCTTCAGACGTTGTTGGACTCCAACTCCCTAACTTTGGTCCTGCTGTCTGGGGCTGATGGGAGGCGGCTGAGCAACATCCAGAGGACCCAATAGGCTCCACACCAACAGCCATGCCTTTCTAGAACTTCAGAGTCTTTTCCACTTAAAGATGCCAGGGACTGAACCTTCTGAGGGCAGAGGAGGGGCTTGATCAACTGAACTATGGTCCTTTTCCAATGTAAGAGAACTGTATGAGCATATGAAGTTGTTGTTGTTGTATACTCCGAAGGGGGACACTGTGGCCCTGCAGATGTCTCTGGCTGGGGCTGATGGGAGTCCAGCAATGTCTGGAATTGGAGTCCATCAGCCCCACATATCCTGCCAACCCCTTCTTTAGACTACTGGCCCTTGACAGGAAGGTTGTGCCCTGACCTACAGCCACTTCACCCCAGCGGCATCACTAACTGGTCGATTTACTCAATTTCCTTTTTTGTGGTGGAGGGGAGGAAGAGCTTGAGATCAGAGAGACCAACTGCAAAAGAAGACCAAGCCTCTTCATGTTTAAATAGCTGTGTGGTGCAATAAAAGCAGGCCTGCATCCGTACTGGAGGGGTGTTTTTAAGATGTTCAGATTGTTTTCTTGCTTGTGTGTTTTCCACTCTGGACAACTTTGGGAGGAAAAAGTGGGGTATGAATTTAGTAATATAGAAGGGAACTGCAGCAAATGCAGGTTTCTCTCACAGGGTAGATCCTCCAAGAAAAAACTCTTTCAAACAGCTATTAAAAATGTCCTCTCCTCTTCTTGCAGTGGGCGGAAGAGGAGAAGGAGGGAAACATCTCATCACAAACATTGTAACTGGGTCCCTAGTCGCTGGCCAGAATTAAAGGCAACTACTGGGTCAGAAACAAATAATTCAACAAGCGCTGCTCTCATCCACTATGAAATCAAGGAAAAGCATTCTCCACGCTCTTCTCAGCTGCAGCCTTGTCCCATAGGCCAAAGCTCCCTGTTCCTCAAATTCTCCCAGCAAACAGCAGGTTTTTTTTAATAGTCAAGTTTCTTAATCATCCTTCATTACAATGAAAACTGTCCCATATGGAACGGAATGGTATAAATCCAGCCAAAGAACCAAAAAGGTAAAAGGTAAAGGATACGGAGAAAGAGGCTCAGGGCACCTCTGTACAATAAAGCCACGCAATGAAGCCGCGTCAGACATTATCAACTTAGTGGCAGCAACGGGGAGAGATGGGGGGGGGGTTACCTCACTGGTCATCAGCAGCAGCCCCATCACCGCCGTGTGGACCACGGACTCAGAGATGTCCGCCGCTCGGCCATGAAGCTCCCGCTTGGTGGCCAACGTGCGGTGCAGCTTCCGGGGCAGCTCCACCAGAGTGGCCCCCTGGAGCCCCGGCATGGCTCCCCCGCTGCCCGTTCCCGCTTGAAGAGCCGGCGAGAAAGAGGCGCAGCCCTCGTCCTGCGCGGCACCAAGCGGGGAAAAGGACTGGCGGGCCCTCCCTCACGTCCCTATAAGCCAGCAGCTCATTAGCTGATCCGATTTCCCCTGGCTATTCCTGGCTCCTCCTGGAGGCTCATCTCGGCGGGATTAATTAGCAGGAAGAGCTACTTTGGGGAGCAGCAACGCTTTCGGAGAACTGCGGAGCCAGGGAGGGAACGGCGCGGCAAAATAAAAACACAACCAAAGCAAATATACACAGCTCAGGGTGACCAGGGTTACGGCTAGCAGCTTCCCCAAGAGGCCCCTGCAGCGTCCTCGAGAAAAGCCCCGAGACCCAGCAGGTAACTGCTTCGGACGACTTCTCAGTGGGCCAACCCACCTTGGCACAGTGGGATGTTCCCCAAAAGCTACCTTGAGCAGGGCAAGTCGGACAGTTACACAGACCTATAAAAACTGCGCAAGTGAATCCTTGCCCCAGGGAATTAATTAGCCGTTACAACTCTGGAAGATGTCAGCCCCTGAGTCGACCAGAGTCACTAGCCGGGGGAACCGGGTGCAGATAGTGAGCTAGGAGCTGGGCGTGGACATTTTACCCCCAAATCAGTCCAGGTTCAGCAAAAGGGCTGCCAGCTTGGGACAGCAGTGGAAGAAAATGGGCACATTTGAGAATGTGCCTTCCCCTAAGCCATCCCCACCCCCTCTAATAAAAGACGGTCCCTGCACTCACAGAAAAGATTTAGGGGAGACATCTGCTAACTCTATACATTTTGTTCCATGCATCTGTTTCTATGGAAACAAATGTGATTTTCGATAGGCTATCACCAAAGAAAAGTCTCCTTTCCCTCCCTCCCATCTGCCTCCTGCTTTCAAGTGTTGGAGAGGCCACAAGGAGGCATCTCCTGAGATGGCTCCAACAGGGGCAGATGGACCAGTGGAAGCAGCTTGCAATGCAACTGTGCAGAGGCTGCTCCTTGAGACGACGTTTGTCCACAAAAAGCTTCATTGATTTTCACCATGCAATAAACAGAAAAAGGAAAAGAAAACCATGTGTGTGGGTGACAGCACAATGAACAGCCAACACCCCTTGGGGAAGGGCCATAGCTCAATGGGGAAAGCATCTGTCTTGCAAAAGGTCCCAGGTTCAATCCCAGCAGCATCTCCAGGTGGGACCGGGAGAGAACCCTGCCTGAAATCCTGGAGTGAGTATACGCAATACTGAGCAGCTATATGGACCAATGGTCTGACTCAGTAGAAGACAGCTTCTTATGCCCTCCTCTCTGTCTGGACTACTGTTGAGAGGGAGGAGGGCTGTAGCTGAGTGGCAGAACATCTGCCTTGCATGCAGAAGGTTGCAGGCTCAATCTCTGGCTCCTCCAAGTAGACCTGGGGATGCCAACCGCCTGAAACCCTCAAGAGTCAGTTCCGATAAAACTCAACTCTGAATACAGAGGCTTCCTAAGTTTCCCACTGACACCCGAACGACACCAAAAGCGCCTTGCTGCAAGGAGCCATGCCTGTGCTGTCTCATTTTCCAGCAGCTGGCATGTGGTGGGAGTCAGGCCAGAACTCCACCCTCCTGCCTTGGGGAACCGGATCCATGCTGGCCATCTGCCAGTATTTACAGGACTGTAAGTAATTGATATGAAGGATACAGAGGCAGCCTTCCTGTGAGGCAAAGGGGAAAGCAAACAGCTAGGGGCAGCTCTATAGGAACCTATTCAATGGTTATTATTCTTTTGGAGGGATAGTTCAGAGGCGTAGAGCATCTGCTTTTATACACAGATGGACCTGACATCTCCAGGTAGGGATGGAAAATCCCAAAGAGCTGCTGCCCATTACTGCGGACAATATTGAACTAGATGGGCCAGCATTCTGCCTTAGTAGTATAAGGAAAGTTCACATGTCACAAATCTAAACCAGGCAAACTACCACCAGTTCCCCTAAACTTCCTTTGGTGGTGGCTTCCTGCGAATTCTCAGAGTAGGATCTCTGTCTGACTCGCCGAAGCACAACCCGCAAGGTTCCATGGCCGATAAACCCACTTAAGTGTGTCTAATGCAGCTGAGCCACTTAAAACCAGCTTAACGACTACGGTGCTCTCCCCCCACAGACTCACCCCCAAGGAATGCTGGGAACTCTTGTGGCTGTCTATTCTGTTAGAGATACTTAGCCGCCTGCCAAGGAGAGTCCTGCGTGCGTGCATGTCTGCCTGGGAGGAACATGAAACAAAGCAGTTAAAAACTAGCGGGAGCGGACAGCATAAACATCAAGGGAAATCCAGCGAGCGTGAGTTTCTGCTCACGCAACCCTCTGGGGCAATTATTTTGGAGGGTTAGGGGGGATGCACCAGGAGAGGAGAGAAAGAAGTTGGCTCATGCTGGGGCACCCACAAACAGGTTGTGAAGGCAACAGCCTGTCCCCAGCATTTGGTATTCAGCGGTATATTGCTACTGAACATGGGAGCTTTATCAGGCGATCAAGTGATGAACAAAAGTCATCCACAAATTTGTCTTCTCTCCTTCCTTTAAAGGAGGGAGTGGGAACCTCTGGCTCTCCAGATGTTGCTGAACTCCCGTAAGCCCCAGCCAGCATGGCCAATGGTCAGCAGCATTTGCAGGGCCACAGGTTACACCAATCCCGCTTTAAGACAAACCAAAATGGCGACTGTGACTGCACTTCACGGCAACGTACTCCCCATAGTGCCACAAAAGTTACGGCTCTTAAATGTGTTTCTTGGGGTGGGGTTATTGTTTTATTTTGGTTTTACCTATCGATTTTGTGCTTTTACCCTGTATTTTTATCTTATGAACCGTCCTGACATCTTTGGATTAAGGGCGGAATATAAATTGAATAAATAATAAGTATCCCACACTTTGTTTTCTAAACACTAGCTTGCTAAGAGGCTGGTCCTCCATGTCTAGTATGGAAACCCAGGACACCGGATTCTTAGCAGCCAGGGAGGAAGGGGGGAGGAAGGGGAAAGCATTCTGCAAAGTATTTTGGCTGAGGAGGGATAAAGGTGAGGGGTGCAGGACGGAAGAGGAATCCAGGACCCTTCTGCCACAGGGAATTCCTTTGTGCCTACAACTCCCAGGCAACTGCTTAAATACAGAGATGCCAAGAGTGAATCTATATGTGCTGCAGAGAATTACTTTCTTCAGTTTGCCCCTGGATCTACTGCCAATCAGTTTCCTAGACAGCCCTGGATTCTAAGGTTAATAAAGTTCCTTCTATCTACTTTCTTCACACCGTGTACCCTATTGTAAAGCCTGGAGCCCTCCATTCCCCCAAAGAGGATCATTGCTGGGCACCCCTTGCCAGTCCCTTACAGCAGTGGCCTTCTCCTCCAGCCTGCTCGGAACAAGGCCCTTGCTCTGGGGTGGGCTGGTGGATACCGGGACGTCTTGGGAGCGAGCGTATTCCGTGGCCTGCGGGTCGAGGGCGCGAGTCCTGGGGCAGCCCTCCGTGCGGACGGACAGCAGCGTGGGCGACGGCCTCCCATCTGCCCCGGGGGTGACGTTGACTCTCCGCAGAGACGAGCTCCTCTTCAGGGCCAGGGCGCCCAGGCCATGTTTGTGGCTGCACGATGGGCTGCGGTCCCGGAGAGCAAGCCGGTTCAGCACGGCGCTCAGCTGCTCCTCCCCGCGGCTGCCGGACTGGCTCAGGTCGCCGATGCTGATCGACTTGGAGCGCAGCAGGTTGCCGCTCCGGCGGTCTGAGTCCGGCCCGCCCAGGAGGACGCCGGGTGGCATGGTGAAGGAGGCGCTGCCGGAGATGGTGCCGGCCTGCGGGCAGCCGGGCACCTTGAGGGCGTGGTCTGCCTTGACGGGGCCGCGGCGGGAGGCGGAGGCGCGCAGTGTGTCGCTGCGCTTGGAGGCCCGGCCTCGGTCGAGCTCCAGCTTCTTGCCCCTGTCATCCAGAGGGCTTGGCCTGGGCGGCAACGGGCGCAGTTTGGACGCCACGGAAAGTCCGTTGGAGGCGGCGGAGGAGCAGCCGCGGTGCTCTTGGCTCGGGGCTCGGTGTCCATTGGGGAGCTTGGAGGTGGCTTTCGGCTGAGAGGTGATGACCGACTGCTCTCTCGCCCGGCTCATGCGGTGCTCGGAGGCTTGCGGCATTGCGGAGAGGAGATAGAGGAGGGCCCTGGGGAGAAAAGAAACAAAAGCGGGAAGTGGGGAAACGGTCAGGTCTGTTTCTTCACATTACGTTTTTGAAATACAGTGGTACCTTGGTTTACGAACGTAATCCGTTCCGGAAGTCCGTTCTTAAACCAAAGCGTTCTGAAACCGAGGTGTGCTTTCCCACAGCAGCGGGGGACTCACTTTACAAATGGAACACACTCAGCAGGAAGCAGAACATGTTCTGCTTCCAAGGCAAAGTTCACAAACCAAAACATCTACTTCCAGGTTTGCAGCGTTCTTAATCCAAGTTGTTCATAAACTAAGCTGTTCTTAAACCAAGGTACCATTGTATGTTTGTTGGCTGTGCATTCGGATACCTGCTAAGATATCATAACCAAATTTGGCATAATGGTTCCTCCAGAACTCAAGGACCAGGCTTTTGTCTATGTTTGGATACAGCTGGGCATCATTTGGAATCAAGATGGCAGACTGAACCTTTCAGAGCTGCACTGGTTTTTTGGTTCCTTATCATTCCAGAGCAATGCCAAATATGAGGCTATTGTTATTAATACTGGGTTGGAGCCAACTGAGAAATAAATAGCTATTACTAATTTGTCCATTGACTTAAGTGCATCTGCTCTGAGTAGGATTTAGCTGGATAGAATCAGTTATTAACAACTTTATATACCACTTAACGTTCAGGATAGGCTTCTGTGCTTTTTACTGTGTATAAAGGAAACAAAACACTGAAGTAGAAACATTCCTAATTAAACTATACAATCACCTTACAATATAGACACCCTTAAGTGAAATACACATTAAAACAATGCAGCAATTAAACCAGGAGACTGTGGGAAAAGGTCAGTTCAGAGGACTGAGCACACAGACTCTTGGGAAATCCCAGTTTCCAATTTAATAAAAGCATGGAAATTTTTTAGCCCCTCAAAACAGGCACTCAACAGAAATGGACAGCACAAAGCCAAGCAGCACAAAGACCCCAGCCCAGCAAGCTGGAAACGCACCTCTCAAAAAGTGCTAGACTCTCACCCCCTCCGGCCCCTGGCTCACACCTCACAGAGGTGGCTGACCGCAGGAGGGCTCCTCTTAGCAGATGCCCTGCAAGACAAAAAAACAGCAAAGGAAAACTGGTAAAATTCTCCGCCTTTACTCAGAGATGCTCCCCACAGCCAGATTCCAGGATAGGTGGTCCCAATGGAAAGGGAAGTGCTTCCCTGCATCTCAGGGGGAACCGAGGCCACATCTTAACTCCAATGCCTCAGAAACAAGGGTGAGCATAGTCTGTAAACACCATGCAGGATTCAACTCAGCTTCTGGCTTCCTGAGAACCTCGGCTTTATTTCTGCGATACAGGTTTAATAGTTCTCATCATTCCAAGGACGGAGTGGGAGTGAACGGGGCTCTGGAGGTATGCAGATTGTCAAAACCTTGGAAACCAAAGCCCAAGGCCACCTGGCTGGAAGTACCTGTAACATAATGGGTGTTTCCTTCACATTTTTATTCATTTGCTTAGACATTTTATATAGCTCTCCATTATATCATCTCTATGCAGCACACAAAAATCTCAATACAATGACATCAAAACCCAATTAAAATTACAAAATCAGAATTAAATTAAAATGCCTGCTGGATTATTATTTTTTTAACCCAGTTAAGAAGGCACAGAAGTTCAACAGGGAGGGGGCCTGTCAGACCTTGGCTAGAAGGAGGTTCCATAAAACTGGGCCCACATTACCAAATGCTGCGCATCTGAGCCATGGGGGGAAACTAACACTAACAGCGACTCCCCTGAATACCTCTGTGACCGGGCAGGGATACAAGGGAGAGGTGGACCCTGAGGTGTCCAAGTTGTTAAGAGCCTTGAAGATGGCCCAGTATGGCCAATCAGTGCAAGCTTTTGAGCACCAGAGACTCTGCGGCCCTTCCGTCAGCCAAAGGCAGCATGGCCAGTGGTCAGGGATGAGGGGGGTTGTAGTTCTGCAAAATCAGGAAGGCCATAGTCTTCCCGTTCCTGGGGCGCAGTAAGTCACAGAGAGGTGTGCAGAGAGGTGCCCGCCTGCAAGGAGCTTCCAATCCAAAACAGACAACGGGAGAAACGAAGAAGGGAGGAGAAATTGTGGGCAGACGCAGTTACATCGGCCTAAAACTTGGTTAAAGTTGGAAAGAAGAATTCAGGAGGAAAAATCCCTTAGAAAAGGATTAATTTTGAGAAGTGATTTGAAGGAAGGGAGGAGAGGTGGCGCCATGTGCATATTTAGGGGGGAGTTCCAAGCTTCGAGAGCAGCAAGGGGGAATAGGCAGCGTCGCTGCTCACTCACATTTGCATCTAAATTATTTCATGTGCATCTACTTACCTAAATGGGACCTAAACCAGGACACCTAAAGGTTGACCAAAAAATCACAAACACTCCAGGGAGGTCAGGCATTTTTTTTCAGCCCAAGGGCCACATTCTCTCATGGGGCGTCTTCCAGGGGCCACATGCCAGTGTCAGGGCCGAGTCAGTGGTAAACTGGGCAGAGCAATGGGTGCAACTCTTACTTTGTATAGTAGGCCACGCAAAGGTCACACGTCTTTCCATCCTGGCAAGCCAGAGGCAACCTGGCCCAGTCAGAGAAGCCTGAAGGGCCACATTCGGCCCCCAGTCCCAAAGTTCTGCCACAGTGGTATCAGCCAAACAGCTTTAGGGCGTTGTGTAGTTATATGACTTTAGGTGGTACTGCAAGGCATTTACCGTGGTACCTCAGGTTACATACACTTCAGGTTACATACACTTCAGGTTACATACGCTTCAGATTACAGACTCCGTTAACCCAGAAATATTACCTCGGGTTAAGAACTTTGCTTCAGGATGAGAACAGAAATTGTGCTCCGGAGGTGCGGCGGCAGCAGGAGGCCCATTAGCTAAAGTGGTGCTTCAGGTTAAGAACGGACCTCCGGAATGAATTAAGTACTTAACCTGAGGTACCACTATACACACATTTGTGAAGGACCGGTCTATGAATGGGTAGCGGCCACGAAGGCTAGTGGAAGTCAGAGGCCGTATACCTCTGAATACCAGCTGCTGAAGAAGCGGAGAACAGTAAAGAGCTATTGCCTCCTTGCGCTGCTTGTGAGCTTCAGAGAGCTGCTGGCCAGCCACTCTCCATCAGAGCTCTTCTGAGGTTCTCCTCCAGTTTCCTCTGCTACCATTGGCCAAAGGGGATTTCTTCTGCATTCCTGGTGTAATTCTTTTGGAAATCACAATTCTTTGGAAATCAAAACTCAAGGAGGTCTTTACTGAGGCAACAAGATTCTGCGCGACATATTTAAAAACAAGGGAAAACCAATTTTCTGTGCCAAATTCAAAAAGCCTGCTTAAGCAGAACTATGGGAATTACATGAATTATGCAGACTTGAGGAACAAAATAAGCAGCAGAGGACCGGTGCCTTCATGCTCCGACTGTGGAGCATTTGGCACGTCACTAGGAAAGGCAGGATACTGGTCTCAAAGATGAAAGCTGCAGTTCAACAACATCTAGAAGTCACAAGGTCCTGCCCCCCACCCCAGCTTTAGTGCAATCTAACAGGGCTCTTCTTATGGGAGACAGAGCTAGTCCCACTGAGACCCACTGAGACCTCAAGAGCCACACAGGAAACAGGCTGGGACACACGAATTCCACCCAATCACAGAATAGGGGATCAAAGTAAAGAGCCAGCCTTCAGAAAAACATTTCCTTTTTTGCAAAGTAAGACTTGAACGCAAGCAGGGGAAGAGAAGATTCTGTAACCGCTATAGTTATTTGTCGCTACACAGCAGAAGCAAGAGAAAGTAGATGAAAAAAGAATATGCAAATATATTATCAGCATAATTTCTGCCATGGTTATAGAATCTAGCTTTTCTCGGCACACAGAATTTCGACACATTCTCATTTACTTATATACAGAGAGTCCCATTTATATAAATGACACTGAAGAAGCCTGAGTGGTCCTTTGCTTATATTCTAAAATATTCATGGAGGAAAGAGGAATGAATAGGGACAGGCACAGGAGATGCAACAGAAGAACAAAAATTGTGTCGGTCCCTCAGAAGGTGGTGGACTCTCGTTCCTTGGGGCTTTTAAAGCAAAGGTTGGATGGCCATCTAATGATGCTTCAGTTGAGATTCCTGCATTGCAGGGGGTTGGACTAGATGACTGCCAGGGTCCCTTTCCAACTCTACAATTCTATGATTCTATGAAAAACAAAAGAAGAACAAAAGAAGAGCCTGCTGGATCAGGCCAACACCTAGTCAAGCATCTTGTTCTTGCAGTGGCCAACCAATTGCCTGTGGGGAAACCCACAAGCAGGCTTCAAGCACAAGAGCACTTCCCCTTGGTTTCCCCTTAGACGCTTATTATTTACATACACAAAAATCCCAGATTCTCTTTATTATCAGCCGGTCAACATCTGTGTCCCGCTCCCCCGCGACATAACTGGAATCCAACTCTTAGCATGGCCAATGGCCAGGGAAGATGGGAGTTGGAGTCTAACATCTGCAGGATCACAGATGTGATCCTTGAGGACAACCACCACTGGCCCTCATATCTTTCCTTTGCTCTATTGCTTCTTTTCACTGTGGCTGAAATGGAAAACAAGACATTCCCTGGGAGTTCCAAAGCTTCATTGACATGCAAAACGTTATTGGGAGAGATGGAGCATGCCCATCAATGTCAGGCAAAGGTCCAGTTCTCCAGTACAAACTTTGTCCAGCCAGGTCCCTCCAGAAAGCTTCCATCATCCAGGGATAAAGCAGTAACAATCTTCCCCTCATGTTTGTCCTCAGCATTGGGGAATTCAAAGGTAGTCTCAACCTGTACATCATGGATGGGGAATCTGTGGCCCTTCAGATGCTGCTGGGCTCCAATTTCTGTCTGCCTCAGCAAGCATGGACAATGATCAGGGATGATGGAAGTTGTAGTCTAATGACATATGGAGGGCCTAAGAGGTTCTCCACCTCTACTGGATATGGAAGTTCAACAGCCTTCTCCTCTCCTATAAGTATGTCTAACCCTGTTTTAAGCCATGACACCTGGTGGCCTCCACCTCACCATTTAAAATAAATCCTTCAAATCTTTACTACTGCCATATCTTGCAGCAGCAAAGAGACACTCAGAGCTCTATCCTTTTCTGTCAATTTGACCAAATCTTCATAAACACCATAAAGCCATAATGACACTGCCATACACCATTTAAATACTAGGTTTTTATCCAACTTCTCCTCAGAGTAGATTCATTGAAATGGAACTGAACTAGCCATGCCTATTCATTTCTATGGGAAGAACTAGCCCTGGATACAACCCAATAATATATCTAAACACCTAAAACACATCTAAACACCTAAAACACAAATCCATCTTCTGATTTGGGGTGCATCTTCCCATTTAAAAAGACAGTCCATACCTTCCCTATTTTAAAACCTATATTATCATCATTATCAAAGCTCCTAAATTTCTCTAAGCACTGTTTGTAAATTAAAGGATAAGACAATATCTGCCCTCTAGCTCACAATTCAATAGACACAATGTGAAAGGAAAATGGAATGAGGAGGGAAGAGGGAAATCAAGGACTGGAGCAGCTGATCCTCAACTGGCAGATAGATGAAGTTGGTTTTGCCCTCGCCAGGATGTCCTTCTCAAGAGGCAGCCTCCTAGTAGCCCTTGTCCATGCATCCCATAAAACAGTAGTCATCAACCTTTTCACTCCCAGGACCCAATTTCAACCCATCCATACATTTCAGGACCCATTCCCTACTATTTTTACCGTGTATCTGCATGATGTCCATGCTCCTGCTGCAACCCACCTTGGAACAAGCCGTGACCCACTAGCGGGGTCCCCGAACCCACCAGCTGAAGACCAGTGCCATAAAAAATATACTGACACCCAGAACACCCCCCAAATTGTTTTACTTCCAAGCCACACTTCAGAACTACTTACTCCATAGAGGTTGGGGGTCTTCCTGCTGTCACCAGGAGCCCACCCCAACTCCTAGGCAGCACAGCCTCATCTGCCGACCTCTAGAGCCCTCCTCCTTCGCAGTCCAGAGCCCCCATGAGAAGCCCATTCCCCACCCCCTTCACCGAGGACCCTGGGCAGAGAAGCCCCCCCCCAAATAAAAACCACAAACCCCAACCCCACCCTGTCAAGACTCACCCCACATATTATTATGCCGCGATTACATAATAATGTCAAATTGTGCTCCCTGCCCTCCCCCTCCCCTCGCGTTATACAGGCACAGCGTGTGCATGTCGCCTGCGCTAGACACCATCTAGGCAGGTGGGCCTTACCTATGTCGCGTTGTGCCCCCCATGCAGACCCACAGCCGGCCCCACGACTCAAATAAGGAGAGGAGCCCCCAGAGCATCCTTTTAACCGAACCTTTAGAGCCCCCCTCTTCTTAACCCTTCGTGCTACACGGCCCACGGCCCTCGCCCCCCCCAGCCCTCAAACCCCCGTCCCGTCCCGCAACAGACCCCCGGTGCCGCAAAGGAGTTCAGGTGTGTGGGCCTCACCTCCTGCAGGACGCCATGGCAACAACAACTCCTGCAGCACGGGCCGCCATCTTTGTTCCTCCCCCCTCCCCGCCGCACTCCGCGCTTTTGCCCGGCCGAGGCCGGCTTCGCGCGGCTCCAACGCGCAGGCGCTGGCACGCCTTTCGGGCCCCGCGCGCGCAGGCGACGGACTGACGGGACCTGCGCGTGCGCAGCTCATCCTCCCTAGGGTCCTTTTGTTGTTTTGGTAGCGTCACAGTCAGCTTTTGCTTTGCCCGACTTGCCACTCTCACCTTTTCCGTCGCCATGGAAACGGCGGGAAGCGTCCCAGAAAATTTAAAGGCGCAGTAGCCTTAAATAAATAAAAATAATAATAGAGGCTGGACGCTTTGCAAGCCGGATCCGGTCTATGTAGTGTATATTTCTGGGGAGTCGTTCGCTGTGATTTATTCGCAAGCTGCAACCAGATCCTATGAATGTTTATTCAGGAGTAATTCACACCACTTAAGAGATTTTTGAAATATTAAGCAGAATAGAAATGCTTTTAAATTTAAATTTTAAACTGTTGTTCAGAATGTATTTAACTATTTCCAGGTTGCTGTGTGTGTTTTAATGTTTATTGTTGATGTCTGTAGTCCTGAACTCCTTTGTGAGGAAGGGTGAAATATCATTTAAGAAATAGGAAATGATAATAAACAAATGGGGCTTACTTCCTTGTTAAGTGTGCATAGGAATTGCAATTGCAGGATATTTAATCATAATTATACCCACTTGGTTTGACGGGAGTTAATTCAAATATAACAAGAACTTCCAGATCTTGGCTGCACCTTGAAGGCTAACAAATAGATACTTGTTACATTGTTACTTGTTACATTAATCTTTTTAAAATGCTACAAGACTGCATTGCTGGTGCAACATTCTGCAGTCCTGTGCACACTTACATGACAATAAGCCCCATTGAACAGGGCAGGGCTTACTTCAGAGCAGAGCAGGGCAAGGAGTTTGTTGTAACACTGAAGTAAACATTTTTCCTTGCAAGTGAGCATGCCTTACTGTTCTGACATCAACCACTAGCAAATCAAATAGGGCTGAACCCCCTAAGCAAAAGTGTACAGCGGATAACACCTGCCCTAAAAGCTATTTTTAATCAAAATGGAATACTTGGAGGGGGACACACACACCCATGTTTCCTTGAACCATATGCTGTAATTGAAAAACATTAAACATTAGCATTTGTATGCAAACCAACCATATGTGAGATATCCCGTTAACCTCATAACGAGCCTGTGAAGATGCTAATGTGCTGTTTGTTGCCTCTGAGCCAATTCACTCCTCTTTCCCAGGGAGAAGGAGAATTGTTTCCTTGTGATGGTGGTAAACTAACCCTCCTAGATCAGCTTGCAAAAATCTGCTCATCTCAGTACTCACGTTCCTCTGCATTAATTACTCGCTTCATATCAGCTTACTGAGAAGATGAAGGGGAGAGGATACTGGACATGTTAACTGGATGCTACCCTCCACCCATTCATTAATGGCTCAGCAAATATCAACTGAGGGAAAAAGCAGTGTTGCTTGCACGGAATTAAACTCACACAGGGCCTCATCCAGTCACACTGAGGAAGCCCCCAGACTGGTGTTTTTTCATGGGCGTATTCTGCAACATGCCACGGATGGAATAATAGAGCACTCAATGGTGGATCGTCTGGACCATCCACACTAGGGCTGGGCAATATCTGGTTTTCAACATCATGATATATCACCATGCCGTCATTGATGCCAAAATCCAGCATCGTCTGAGCTCTGCGTGTGCAGCTTTCTCCCGATTGAAGTGCAGAGTGCTTTAGGACTGGGACATTCACAAGGAAACCAAAATGCATGTTTACAAAGCTATTGTACTACCAACCTTACTGGATGCTTGTGAAACATGGACCACTTATAAACGCCATCTCCAACTCCTCAAAAGATTCCATCAACGGTGTCTCTGAAAATTTTTACACATCACTTGGGAAGACAGGCGAACTAATGTCAGTGTACTGGAAGAAGCAAAGCTCACCAGTGTCGAAGCAATGATTCTTCAACATCAACTTCGTTGGACTGGTCATGTTGTGTGGATGCCTGGTGATCATCTTCCAAAGCAACTACTCTATTCCGAACTTAAAAATGGAAAGCGTAATGCTGGTGGTCAACAAAAGAGGTTTAAAGACTGTCTCAAGGCAATTTTTAAAAAAATGTAGTATAAACACCAACAATTGGGAAACACTTGCCTGAGAGCGCTCCAGTTGGAGAACAGCCTTTACCAAAGGTGTCATGGGCTTTGAAGACACTTGATCTCAGGACACAAGGGAGAAACGTGCTAAGAGGAAGGTACGCTTGGCAAATCCACACTGTGATCAACTCCCACCCGGGAACCAATGTCCCCACTTTGGAAGGATGTGTGAATCCAACTCCCACCCGGGAACCAATGTCCCCACTGTGGAAGGATGTGTGAATCCAGAATTGGCCTCCACAGTCACTTACGGACTCATTGTTAAAACTGTGTTAATGGAAGACAATCTTACTCTGCTACAAGTGATCACCAAAAAAGAAAAAGAAGAAGATATCACCATGCAAAACATCACAATATTCTGATATATCATGATGCCTGAAATAAGGATGGAGCTATGTAGAGGCATTGGCTGGCTTCACGGTTTCCCCCGCATTGTGATTTTTGCTGCCCCCTGCAGGACACAGGGGAGAGTTGAGCCGGCCAAGCTAACAGGAGCTGCAGAAATTGAGAGAAGCGTTGTCTGGCTCCACATTGTGATTTATATTGATATATCGTTGAGCCCTAACCCACACACTATTCTACTTTATTAGTTTTTCTGTAGTGCATTCATGCTTTTCGGAGGGACACAGTTGTTGCAATGTAAACCAACAAAAATATAACAACCCACCCACCTCCCTGAACATTTATAGTAGGGTTGCCATATTTCAAAAAGTGAAAAACCAGAGGAAATTCACCAAAACCTACACTTCCAACATGGGTTGCTATATGTCCGGATTTTTCCAGACATTACAGCCAAAGCCATATGGCAACCCTAATTTATGGTATGACAATGAATCTGTCCAATCCTCTTTCAAAGCCATCCAATTTGGTGGCCACCACAACATATTGTGGGAGCAAATCCCATGACTTGAATCTTCCAGCATCAATCTAGCTCAGTATCGTCTACCCTGACTGGCAGCGGCTCCCCAGGGTTTCAGGCTGAGGTCTGTCCCAGCAGCACAGAGAGATGGAAGATGTTCTACCCTGAGCTAGTCTTTCCTCACAGCTTATTCCCCTCTTCCTGCACACACACCTATCCCTCCTAGGTAGCAGAGGTAGAATGCTGCTCCCTGCAAAACCATACCTATACTATGTATTTGGAAAGTACAGTGGTACCTCAGGTTACATACGCTTCAGGCTACAGACTCCTCTAACCCAGAAATAGTGCTTCAGGATGAGAACAGAAATCGTGCTCCGGCGGCAAAGCAGCAGCAGGAGGCCCCATTAGATAAATTGGTGCTTCAGGTTAAGAACAGTTTCAGGTTAAGAATGGACCTCCGGAACGAATTAAGTACTTAACCTGAGGTACCACTGTAGTTTGTCAGTTCGTACTGCATTTGGATACCTCTTAAGATATCGTAACCCAATTTTGCTTGATGGTTCTGGAGATCAAGGAGCAGGTTTTTCTCTATGGCTACATACAATCAAATGCCATTTTGAATCAAGATCGCGGACTGAACCTTTCAAAACTGCACCAATATTTGCCACCAATTTCAAAACCGCACTGATTTTTTGGGTTTCTTAGAACGCATGAGCAGCGCTATTACTGCTAAGCAATGCAGACATTTGTCTTCAACACCTCTTGGTTTTCACCTTTGTTTCAATTTTATTACGTTTTTAAAGGGTTGTATCCAGTGCCTACTCAGAGCGGACCCATTAAAGTTAATGGGCAACATTAACTTAGCTCTATTAATTTCACTAGTTCTACTCTGAGTAAAACATAGTTGGTTACAACCCAAGGTCTGCTTTTATTGCTATTTTTAAATACTTATTCCCTATCATTTTATGTAACCCATCTAAAGTTGTTTTTTTCCTGATGAAGTGGTATATAAATCTTTCTCAATAAATAAATAAGATTTGCCACAACAGTGCATTCAGGTGGCTTTTCAAGAGACAAGCAAAACAGCAACTCTTAGGAAAGGATTGCTTTGCTTTTCTTTTTAATTAGTGAGTCATGTTCTGTGGATCAGTTGGAAGTCCGGGGTTCAGAAGTTACACAGAGAAGCACAAAACAAAGTCACTGGCACATGTTTGAGTCTGCAGCTGTTGATGGTTGAGGCCTAGGAGAACAGCCGAGGCCTAGCCTCCACCCGCAGGCCGCCCAGCCTGCCTCATTTTTCCTTGTGCTCAATCTGGCCTTTCGATATCAAGTCTGGGATCTCCACAGCCAGCCAGGGTCCCAGCTGCAAGACAAAGAGAGGACCGTCAGGAGGCCACCAGGGCCTCTGCCTTTCCCCTTCCTTGGCCATGTGACATGCTTGACAGAGAATAGCCCTCTCCTCCATTTTTAGGATTGTTAAACAATATTTACAATTACAAGGCTTCCCAGTTCACATCCAACATATGAAGTTGCCTATCTAGGCTCAGTATTATCTACAATAGAGGTGAGGAACCCATTTTTCAGCCTGAGAACCACATTCCCTTCTGGATGACTTTCTGATCCTAGCCTGCCAGCTGATGGGGAATGAAAGATCTAGCCTACAGACCAGAATAAGTTCCCCACCCCGATGTATCATGGATACAACTGACACGGGCTCTAGTCCACAAAAACCAATGCAATTCTTAAACTTTAAGAAACTGGAAGACTCCCGTGTTGTTTTCATGCTTTGATACTTATTTGCAGGACACAGTTTTTCAATTGGAAGGTTTGCTGCCAATGCAATTTACTCATTTGACAAGAGCAGCCCTTTGGGGCTTACTAAGTGATGTCCCAAGCAGCCCAGTCAAACACATGTGTGCGCACACACTCTCACACCTACAACTCACCCCCAAGGCCATGAGATGAGCCAGCCCAAATTTAGGTACATTCCTGGCCCACAAAGGTTTGAAGTGGTCCGTCAGACATATTTTACCGCCCCTGCAAGAAGACACACAGAGGTATTAAGATGGGGCATTAACAGGACAGATACAAGGGGAAATTGTGATCTAGACCACACCATACAAACTGGCTAAAATATAGAGGAGGAGAGCATCTGACCTGTACATTTTTGCTGTTTTTCCATCCAGCTCTGGGATGGCGATTTCCGGCGCGGTGGATGGATATGTTACCGGAATCTGCAAATGGGGTTTAAGCAGATCTTAATACTTAGAAATCCTGCATAGGTTGACCTAATTAGCCCTCACCAAAATCCACAGGTAGCTGACCATCCGACGGTTTCTGAAAACTATTTCATTCCAGCCAGCTTTTTAACTGAACTCTGATTGTATAGCTTTAACTCATTTTCAGTCACATTGCATTGGGTTTCTTGTTCACTGCTTACAGGCAACTGTGATTAAACAATATACAAATTGTTGAAATAAAATATATAAAAGTAAAAGCAGCAGCTCTCACACAGAAAGTGAGGAATGAAAGGCAGGAGGGTCAGGAAGCCCAAAGGAGGGCACAGGGCAAGGACTCACATCAAACTCAACAGCAAACTCATACTTCAGGAGGTTGTGAATGTACCAGCATTTCCCAAACCACCTGGCAAGGAAAGAAAAAGAGATATGACACAGTTACATCTCCTGTCGCACTAAAGTCACATCCACATAATAATGAATATCAATATTACTATTATTGCTACTATCACCCCACCCTTCACCTCAAGGTCCCAGGGTGGGTTACGGCAAGTAAAACAGTGTTAAAAACAGTTTAAACAACTTACAGAAATAAAAATATACATCCCAATTGCCAAAAGCCAGGGTAAAAAAGCCAGGAGTCTCCAACATTCTCCAAGTGCTGTAGAATATATTCACAATACATGTAAAGCACTACAGTGGTACCTCGGGTTAAGTACTTAATTTGTTCCGGAGGTCCGTACTTAACCTGAAACTGTTCTTAACCTGAAGCACCACTTTAGCTAATGGGGCCTCCTGCTGCTGCCGTGCCACCGGAGCACGATTTCTGTTCTCATCCTGAAGCAAAGTTCTTAACCTGAAGCACTATTTCTGGGTTAGCGGAGTCTATTAACCTGAAGCGTATGTAACCTGAAAGCGTATGTAACCTGAGGTACCACTGTATTGTGCCACTTTAACAGTCATGAAGAATACCAGGAACTGTAGTTTGTTCAGAGTGCAGACCTCACAGAGCTATAATTCCCAGCACCCAAAACAAACTACAGTTCCCAGTATTCTCCACAAAGTTTTGGGGGTCTCCCTTGTACTCACCTTGTGCCTTCCTTGTTGGACTCTAGCCTGAACCAATCGTTATCAGCGTTCTTGTTGTTTTCCACATACTACAGAAAGAATCCATAAAATAAAACAGTCAGCAAGGTAACCTCCATAGCATGATGTCTGTAATGAACATTTTTTGAAAATCTGACAGAGGCAGGTTACGGATTATTCCTGCAGCCGTATATTTAAAATAACACCACCACCCCCAGCACACATACAGAGATTCCTGGGAACTGTAGCTTGTTAAGGGAGCTGGGAATCATAGCTCTGTGAGCGGTAAGCAACAGATCCCAGGGTTCTTTAGAAGGGTGGATTTATTTACTTATTAAATTTAAATCCTACCCTTCCTCCCAAAGGAGCCCAGGGCAGCAAACCTACCCACTTTTTTTTTTAAGTAAAACTGTTAAAATGTTACAAAAGTAGTTACAGTTAAAAATATAGTTGTCCCCCCCCCCCGCCCCAAGATCTCATCTCAGTAAGCTTCCAGAAAACAATTGGGGCGTGGGGGGTGAGAAAGAAAAAGAAAGGTGAACTCAGACACAAGTCCTAGGTGTGTTTACTCAGGAGTGCCATCCGCACAGAGCAGCGTGCGGAACATGGCACCTGGGTTGGTAGCTTTCCTGGGCACAAACCCTCCTGAATCACAGTACAGTGGTACCTCGGGTTAAGTATTTAATTCGTTCTGGAGGTCTGTTCTTAACCTGAAACTGTACTTAACCTGAAGCACCACTTTAGCTAATGGGGCCTCCTGCTGCTGCCGTAGCACGATTTCTGTTCTCATCCTGAAGCAAAGTTCTTAACCCGAGGTACTATTTCTGGGTTAGCGAAGTCTGTGACCTGAAGCGTATGTAACCTGAGGTACCACTGTACAACCGTCTGGCCGGGGACCATCAGTCCAGGACGTTTCGCACTACAACTCCCATCAGCCCCAGGAAACAGCCAAAGGCCCCGCACGGTGGGAGCCGTAGTCCGAAACAACTGGTAGGCGTCAGAGTGGGTGGAGGCTGGTCTCCTCAGAAGCAAGTCCCACTGATTTTCAATGGGGCTCACTCCCGGGGAAGTGGCAACAGCCCTGCAGCCCCAGGCCCCGCAAGTCTCTCCTATGGCAGCAGGACGAAAACGCCTGACTATACTTGACCCTCTGAAGCCACCGTAGTGCAGCGGAGCCACGTCAGCCTCCCTGCACATAGCTCCCTCTCCTCACCGGGAAGGACCACGTACCTTAATGAGCGCCTGGTATTCCTCCTTCAGCCGCTGAATCCACAGCTCCTTGTCCCGCGGACCCGCGTTCGTCTTCAGCAAAGGCAGCTCGGCCACTACCCGGCGAGTAGCCTCGTCCGCCATCTTTGTTGAGGTACGCAAACCGGAAATGGCTTCCGGTTGGGCAGGGCGAGGAAACGTCGGACGTTGTTGTCATCCTTGCCCAGCACGTGAGCAGTTGGGCGGAAATGGATCGCGTGACGCTTTCCCCAACATGATTGTTGAGGGCGGAAATAGAGTGTAGAGCGGGGCGGGGGAAAGGAAGAATCGTAGAGCTGGGAGAAAAGAGTTAGAGGCTCCATGTAGGCTGTTGGTGGAAGTTGTTTCTTGCGTGGCTTAATTAGGGCGCTGTGGTTTCCTTGGATTCCACTTTTACCCAACATCAAAGGAGTGGGAGAGCGGAGGGATTCCTCTCCGCCGCATGCGCTTGGAGCAGCCAGCCTCACCCTAATGCCCTCCAGATCTTTTGGACTACAATTCCCATCAAGCCCCAGTCGTCGCGTGTTGGTTGGGGCTCATGGGAGTCGTAGTCCAAAACTGTAAGCTCTCTGAAATCTGATGTAAAGGTAAAGGGACCCCTGACCATTCGGTCCAGTCGTGGCCGACTCTGGGGTTGTGGCGCTCATCTCGCTTTATTGGCCAAGGAAGCCGGCATACAGCTTCCAGGTCATGTGGCCAGCATGACAAAGCCGCTTCTGGCGAACCAGAGCAGCGCACGGAAACGCCGTTTACCTTCCCGCCGGAGCGGTACCTATTTATCTACTTGCACTTTGACATGCTTTCGAACTGCTAGGTTGGCAGGAGCAGGAACTGAGCAACGGGAGCTCACCCCGTCGCAGGGATTTGAACCGCTGACCTTCTGATTGGCAAGCCCTAGGCTCTGTGGTTTAACCCACAGCGCCACCCGTGTCCCACAGTACAAATGTTCTAAATAAATCAGCAGGTTTGAAGCTTAATGTTCAAACTCTCCAAGGCTTCGCTCCACAAGCTGGGAGAGGTCTGGCATTTGCCACGATGGCTTCAGTGATTAGGCTGCTTTAACGGTCCACTTAAGTCAGATTTTGGGGATGCAGGTGACGCTGTAGATAGTAGATAAATAGGTACCACTCTGACAGGAAGGTAAATGGTGTTTCCGTGCGCTGCTCTGGTTTTGCCAGAAGCGGCTTAGTCATGCTGGCCACATGACCCAGAAAAACTGTCTGCAGACAAACGTCAGCTCCCTCGGCCAGTAAAGCGAGATGACCGCCACAACCCCAGAGTCGTCCACGACTGGACCTAACAGTCAGGGGTCTCTTTACCTTTGCTCTTCAGCCAAAAAGGCTCCCAGAGCAGCTTGCGTACAGTCGAAACAAGACAGACTTACCATGTAAGCAAAAACAACAAGAACAAGAAACCTATGACACGCAAAGGGCAAGGGGCAAGGATGGAAGAGGAAAATCAAAATCAAAACTCAGGCAACAATTTCTGAACGGTTGTTTCCAGTTGGCACATGGAGCTGGGCTTCCAGCAGAGCAGGTGGGGTGAGTTTCGTATTTCTCCCATTGAGGCAGCCTGATGGACTGGCTTCCCCCAAGTGACAGTTGAAGGGAGGGGAGGCCTGATGGAGCTGGCCTGTCACAGCCAGAACCAGTGGCATCAGCTCTGTTTACAAGATGATTGTCTCCCTTTGAGAGTTATATAGTACCATTAGGCACACATTCATCTTTTCTATGTGCTTGCTTTGACATTTTTCTTGCAGTGATTACGATGACCTATAGCTAACAAGTAATATTCATTTTATTTTATTTTTAACCCATTAACCTCCCTTCCTCTGTTAAATAGTTCACCTGGGTTGCTTGTCACTTTTGCCACCTCCTCGCTGGCCTGCCTGTTTTTCATCAAGCTGCAGTTGCCATGGCCACCTATTGGCATCCACAAGAACCGCAGCGTGATGACAGCCTTACGTTTTTACATATACTGTATAGCAGTGGTTTTCAACTAGGGTGCTGTGGCACCCTAGGGTGCCTTAAAGGATGGTCAGGGGTGCCGCGGGCAACACTGGCCTCTGTCCCTCTTTCCTTCCCTCCCTCCTCTGATTCCTTCTTGCGTCTCTGCCTCCCAAAGGCTTGCACAGCTGTTTGTTGCAGAGGCCCTGGCTACCAGCTCCTCAGGTGAATGGTGCCTCTGGGGCTGGCCAGGGGGTGCTGGTTGCCAGAAGCTGAGGCGATCTCGGAGTAAGCAAGCAAGCAGGCGAGGGAGCCCAGCCAGCCAGTCCTCCAGCCCTTGCTGTTGGGAATGGACAGTGTGAGGAGGCACATTTCTTTGGGGCAGGGGGCAGCTCAAAGACTGGGGAGGGCAGCAACAGAGGACTCCCAAGGAGAGGGGAGAGGAGAGGTGGCTGAGGGAACACTCCACAAGGGAGGGTGTTTGAAAAAAAGTGAGAGGCTGCCAGCCCCACAGGGGTGCCACAGAAAGAATGTAATTGGTCAAGGAAGCCGTAGACTCAAAAAAGTTGAAAATCTCTGCTGTACAGGAATATACATAGAGAATTAGAGAGTTGGAAGGACCATGAGGGTCATTTAGTCCAACCCCCTGCAATGCAGGAATCTTTTGCACAATGTGGGGCTCAAATTAATGACTCTTAGGGCTGCCATATGTCCGAAAAATCCCAGACATCTGCCAGGATTTAGCTTCCAAAAATGGTGTCCTGGCGGAATTTTCAACGTCCATTGTAAATGTCGGTAAAAACCTGGACATATGGCAATCCATATTGTAAGTGGGTTTCTTTGCTGATTTTTATTTTTTGCCAACAAAAAGCTTAACAACTTTGACACACACACACCACTCACTTTTGTGACCGGATTTTCACTTTCTGAAATACAGCAACCCTAACGACTCTGAGATTAAGAGTCTTATGCTCTACTAACTGAGCTATCCCTCCCTGCAGTGTATTTTAAAGATGTTGCTTAATCCCGTTTGTAAACCACACTAGGTGCTTCCATTTTAAACAGTGTGTGTTTTATATTAAACAAACGGAGTGTTTGCTGCATCAAAGCAAACTCTACCTTAGGGAACAATATCTTCAGAGGGCAGTTGCAGTGGCGAAGCTGCATGTTCCGCTACCAGGGGCGGAGAGCAGGCGGGGGGGCATGGCACACATTTTGGGGGCGTGGCGCGCCACCAGGGGGTCGCGTCACATGTCGGGAGGGCGCTGTGATGGCACCCTACTGGAATAATGGTGCCAGGGATGGTCTGCTCCCTCCACACCCCCGTTCCTCCGCCAGTAGGCAGTTGTCTTCAAGTCCTGCTTGCAGGCTTTCCAGAGGCACCTGTCTGACCACTGTGGGAAAGAGGAAGCTGGAGGAAACAGCCCTTTCCTCTGTTTGGGGGGGGGGGGCTCTTCTTGTAGCATTGTTCAGAATAGAACCTTCAGTGTACAGTGCCAGTCTACCTTGGGATGTGTGTTAAATGTACTGTATTTTTAAGTGTATAAGACACCCCCTACTTTTGAGGACCCCAAATTTAGAAAATGGGCATATACACTATCCGTGTATAAGACGCCCCCAGATTTTTAACCTTATTTTAAAGTTTTAAAAAAAGCCCTAGTATTATACACAGAAAAGTACAGTACTTTAAATGTACAGTGCGGCTTTTAATCAAGAGTTGTTGTTGTTTAAATAGTTGAAGCTCATTACAGCAGCTTGAGGAACAGCAAACTGGGATGACGTACCAGTGGGGCAGGGAACTGTACATGGTATACAAGAAAAAGATGAACATGGAGGGGGCTTCGGGGTCCCCATTTGGCACCCACCCCATTGCTCGCCATTTTAAGTGGAGTGGGCATGCAATATCTTGCACTGAGCCTGCAGAATTTGGATGCTCTGCCTGTATCAAAACCCAGACACACGTACACATGCAGACACTTAGAGAATAAGGCGCCTTTATTACAACCAGAGTGAGATCCAGCCAGTCTTTGGATTACAAGAAGGTGCTAGATTTCCCCTCGTTTCCTTTTCAGCAGTTGATGAGGACAGAGCCTCTCTGAACGCAGCTTCCACTCTTTACTTGGTCTTTTTCTGGATGGTACTCAAAAGGCTGGAGAACAACTGAGTAGCCTGGTCCCTGAGTTGCTCAGCCATAGGAGTCACATGCTCTTGTGCCCGCTGCACGTAAGCCCTGCCAGAATGAATAAACGGACGAATAAAAGAATCAATAAGTGGATCAGGCCAAGGGCTTCCCTCTAATCCAAGCATCCCAATACTCGGCCCTCCAGATGTTTTGGGACTACAACTCCCATCATCCCCAGCTAACAGGACCAGTGGTCAGGGATGATGGGAGTTGTAGTCCCAAAACATCTGGAGGGCTGAATTTGGGGATGCCTGCTCTAATCCTATCCATTTCCAACAGTGATATGACAGACACTTTTGGAAAGCCAACAAGCAGAGCATGATGGCTCTCCCCTTCTTTGGTAGTCCTCAGCAGCTGTTCTTTGGAGAGACTGCCCCAGTGCATGGGGGTTCCATTCCTAGCCATATTGCCGATTATGAGTTAACATATATATGCAACTGGTTAATGCCCAGATTGCTTCTAAGCAGTTTACAAAACGTAAGAACCAACTGCACAGTACAGTACATGCAGTTTTCAGAATGCAATGCGTTCCTCAGGAAATCGTTTGTTAGGCAAGAGTTTGCATAACGACAATTTCCAATATTTCCCATGGGAACATTTCTGATCCGTGATTTGTCCAACCTGTCTTCTCTCTCACTCCATGGTTTCATCCTGAAATGGCTGCAGCCAACCAGCAAAAGAGAGACAAAGGAAAAACTGATTTATCCCTTCTCTCTGCCTGTTCCCCTTTTCCACGCTTTCTGCCCGAAAATGGCTGCGACTGACCAGCAAAGCACAAACAAGTAAGGAAGTGGGCAAACTCCAGATGTTCCGATATCTGAATCAGCTGTTGTTTGGGCATAATTCTTTATGTTTGGAATTTGTAGATAAGGAGCATTCTGATAGCGGGACCTGTGTGTATTGTTAAAATACAGACTAATTGTTTAAAATTTGGTGTAATTTAAATGCATGGTAAAACAATCCAACTGAAACATTAATATATAAATGACCATAATTAACATGTGCAATGAAACAATCCCATTAAAATGAAACTGCATTAAAACAGGAGGCTCGGGCTGAGAGAATAAGGGAATGCCTGTATAAATAAGTATCTTCGAAAGCCGGCAGCATGCCAATACAGATGCAGCATCTCATATATCAGCCGGCAGATTGCATTCCACAACACTGGTGCCATCAGGGAAAAAGCCAGTCTCTGATTCACCACCAGCCAATAACCATCAGGCCTTGGTAACAGTAACCAGGTTCCATGTGTAGATTTTGGTGCCTTTATTGGGCAGTGGAGGGGAAGGTTACCTGATCCAGAGGTTTTTTTTAAATTGTATAAAAAGGGTCCTCACCCCATTTCAGTTGAAATGCGATTGGATCTGGCGCTGTTTCATTTATATGTGTATTTGATCCGCTGTTTTTGCCTTGAATCGAAATATTGCCTCTTTTGTACAAGTTATGTTTTTAATGCTTCATCTCCTTACCTGACCATGCTCAGTCGCCTTTCGTTCTGTCTGTCTTTCTGAATTGTTGGACTTTTAATAAAAATACATTTAAAAGAAAGAAAGATGTGAGTGGGGGAAGGAGCTCTTACATTGTCTGGGCCTTGAGTTCCTCTATCTTCTCTTGTGGCACGAGTTCCTTTTGAAAGTAGTCAGATAAGCTATTAAGGTAGCTCTGCACTTGCTGCACGACATCAGAAGCCTGGGCTGGAGCCTGTTCCGCTTGCCGTCTGACCACAGTCCCTGCAAGGACAGGGGGAGACTCGTAAACAGGGGGTCACTCGACAGTAGAAAGGGAAAAAGCCATTAACCAGTACACCCTCTTAGTTCAAAGGGAGCTGCCTCATACTGAATCAGACCAACTAGCTCAGTATCATCTTCAGTGATGCTCCAGGGGTTCCTCCCAGACCTACCTGAACGACAGGAGTGAGCCAGCAGTAAATCACACAGTGCATGTTGGAGTTAAAGCTTTATTAGCAAGAACAGGATCTGCAAAGACTCGGCTGAGTAACAGGCCTAATGAACATAGGAACCCACCTACAGGTGTTTCGTCCCCATGAATCAGTTGCTGAAACTAAAGGTTCCTGCCTCCCCACGATTGTCTAGGTCTCCTCCTCTCCAGGGTTTGCCCCCCAAAGCAATCAGAGACTGAGCCAGCATGCAGTCTGTCTTTGCTCCTTCCACTTCATGCCTCTTTTGGTTCTAGGAGACCAGAGTTTGTTGCAGCAAGATGGCGAGTCACCCATGACTCTTCAGCAGCCTGATTCATCTCTGCCTCTTGGCCTCTCTCCTCCAACTCTCCTGCTTCTGCCTCTGATATTGGACTTCTGTCTGCCACAGACTCTCCCAGCTCACTAAGCCCTGTTACCCCTTCAGTTCCCAGCACCTCCTCTTCCTAGTCTTCTCCCTCTCCTCCTTCTCACCACTCATTGTCGTCCCACCACCACTCCCTGGGCTCACGGAGATGTCCTTGGGGACTGAACCAGGGACCTTCTGCATGCAAGGCAAATGCTCTACCTAGAGAGCTTCATCTCTGCTCCTCACGCATGCAGTATCCCCTCTCCTGTGTCCACACTGTGTCGTTCAAAGTTCAGTCCCGATGGAACAATACCGGAGAAAATTGAATAAGTGGAAAACAAACACCCACCCTCAACGGTTGCCAATGACCTGAAGGAGAGTCTCCACCCCCATCGTTCAGCCCAGACACTGAAATCCAGCACCGAGGGCCTTCTGGCGGTTCCCTCATTGCGAGAAGTGAGGTTACAGGGAGCCAGGCAGAGGGCCTTCTTGGTAGTGGCACCCACCCTGTGGAACACCCTCTCTTCTAATGTGAAGGAAATAAGCAGCTATCTTATCTTTAAAAGACATCTGAAGGCAGCCCTCTTCAGGGGAGTTTTTAATATTTAATGCTGTATTGTTTTTAACACTCGATTGGAAGCTGCCCAGAGTGGCTGGGGAAACTCAGCCAGATGGGCGGGATATAAATAAATTATTATTATTATTATTATTATTATTATTGCAAATTAAGTTCCACCTGGAAGCACTCTTTGATTCCCTCACGATATGCAATGAAGAACGCTGCCAGCCCCCTTGCCCCACAGTACCTTCCATGCAGCAGACGCTGACCAACAGGATTGCGAGAGCGAACACCTTCATTTTGGCACTCCTGGAGCACTCCTTTACTTTCTGGGGGGAAAGGGAGGACGGGGAGAGGTTGTGAGAAAAGAGGTGAGGAAGCAAGACCAAGCCCGCGCACTCTACGGCTTGATTCGTACGCACTATACCTTTAAAGCACATTGAAAGCGCATCTCCCCCCCTCAAAGAATTCTGGGCACTGTAGTTTGTTAAGGGAATTACTGGGAATTCTGTGAGGGGTGAAGTCCTGTGGTCAGAATTCCTTGAGAGAGAAGATGTGCTTTGAGGGCATTGTGTGTACGCAGGCTGCACCCACAGTGTACATTTGACATGCGGCTCTCCTCAAAGAATCCTGGGAATTGTAGTTCGTTAAGAGTTACTGGGAACTGAAGCTCCCTGAGGGGTCAACTACAGTGCCCAGAATTCTCTGGGAGGAAAGAATGTGCTGGAAAGCAGTAGTACTCAAAGGGATGGCCCACAAACCATTGGCAGTCCACAAGCTATCAGCTCAAAGGCCACGTAAACCCTCCCACAGCTCAGGTTGGGTAGGGAGCTTCAGAGACCAAATATGGTGCCAGTCCCTGGCACATTGAGGCTGGGGGAAAATGATGGCCCACCATATCAGATAGTTAGATAGAAGCATTGCTTTAAAGGTACAGTGAGGGTTTCCCAAACTTGGGTCTCCAGCTGTTTTTGGACTACGATTCCCATCATCCCTGACCACTGGTCCTGCTAGCTAGGGATGATAGGAGTTGTAGTCCAAAAGCAGCTGGAGACCCAAATTTGGGAAACCCTGGTATAGGCTTAGTTGGCCAAGTGAATTCTCAGGTTTTTCGTGAGGCAGGTTTTTTTGTTTGCTTGCTTGTTAAATACTTTACTGTTTTAAAAACAAAGAATATAGTAAATATGTGAACTTTGTGAACAATTCCCCCCTCCTCCCAAAAAACCACTTCACGTTTTCTGCCCAACTGCATGGCACGCTTTAAAAAAAGCAAAACTTTTCATGAGGACTAGAAACTATTGTATGCCTCCTTTTTGGTCAATAGAGAGCAGCCATTCTTGAAGGCTGCAGTGCCTGTGTTAGAGAGGAGGCTGAACAGCTAAAGGTGTTGGAAAGGGAGGGGGGACAAAGGGAGGAGAGAGCTATACCCATCTATGTCTACCACCCAGACGTAATAAAAGTAATTTAGAAATCCCAAACTCAGAAAGGTGGCACAGAATCTTTCTAAATGAAAAATTAAAATGTACATTGGTGGTGTTGAATATCAAACAATAGTAATTTCACTTCCCTTAGTTCAGGTGCTTACGCAGCCAAGTTGGGACCAGTGTAGAGTTTTTTAAAGCTTTTTTTTTAAAGGAAATTCGCCAAAATCTACATTTCCAACACGGGTTGTCATATGTCTGGATTTTCCTGGACATTTAAGTGATTTTCGCCCGGACATTGTTTCTGATTGCCAAATCCCATCTATGTCCGGGAAATTCAGGACGTATGGCAACCCTAGCACGAGGGGGTAATATCAGCAGGCTGGGGGAGCCCCCAAGGTTTGCAGAAATAAAGAAAACATTGTGTGTTGGGAGGGGGGAAAGCCTACAGGAAACACCAGTAGCAGCAGTTGAGGACTGAGAATGCAGACTGACTGTTGGGAACGGAACGGAACCGGTTTATCCCAAATCAGAGCACTTTACACTGCTACCCTTTGTTGCAGCCTAGCAGTAGCCAAACAACAACTATTGTCAAGGACAACCCCTGCGTTTCACATTTGTCCCCAGCTTCCTTCTAGATTTTCTACTTTCCCATCCTTCTACTGCTCCACCCTTGACACCTTCTTCCCCTCTTGAGAACAGGCTAAAATTAAACTGGGGCAGTTGCCCCCAGCACCACAGCGGGGCTTAATTCTGTGCTTTGACACCCGTTGCACAACTGCCACACCTCAGACCCATATGAACACCCAGGAGAGTGGTTTTTTTCACCCGCCCACTATAAGAACAAGTGCCCCCCCACACACACCAAGGTCTCAAGAGCAGGGCTTGTGGATTAACTTGAATTCTGCCGTAATCCATAAAAAAAGTCAAGCTCTATTAACAGAAGCTCCACCAGTTGGATTTCTGCCTGTGTCACATAGCTGGTAAAGTTTCAATATTTCTGCCGGGGGGTAAAGTGACAATTCCATTGCTCCACCCCACCCCAAACCCTTTCTTCTTAAATAAAATAAAGTCAATTCATTCTTACCCAAAAGATCAATTACAAGGAGCCAGTCAACATAGAAGTGATTGTTAGTTTGAAGTTGTAGGCTCTTATATAGGGCATCAAAAGACCAGCCTGTTTCACCCGATCTATTCTCCCTGTTGATTGGTGCTTGTGTCCCATCCCGTTCCTCCTCCTCCCCTTCAACCTGCCACCACATCGACTGTCCCTCTTGGAAGTGCAATGTGCGATTTCTGCAACTGCTAACTAAGGCAATTCCCATGTCAACAGCATCGGGGTCTAAGGGTTAAGTACACACAGAGGCCCACACTTACTTCAGTGATAACATTTAGTGTGGGCAAGGGAATCGTGGCCATATCAGAGTTAATGCAGAATGCAAGCCCTGGTTTGAGGCAAGCGCCCTCATATAAACCTTTGGTGCAGTCACATCTAGAGTAACGTTTGCAGTTTTGGCTTCCTCCTTTTTCATGATCCTGGCCGACCTTACAAGGACGTTGTGTAGGGATAATAAGAACAGAGGAAGAGCCCAGCTGCAGTGGATCAGGCCAAAAGCTGAACGATTGGTATTCAGAAACGTTACTGTCTAATAGCCATAAACATCCATTAATTTTTCTAACCCCCTTGTACAGTCAGGAAATCACAAGAGTTTTAACTACCGTATTTTTTGCTCTATAAGACTCACATTTCCCCTCCCAAAAAATAAGGGGAAATGTGTGTGAATGGAGCGAATGCAGGCTGCGCAGCTATCCCAGAAGCCAGAACAGCAAGAGGGATTGCTGCTTTCACTGCGCAGCGATCCCTCTTGCTGTTCTGGCTTCTGAGATGCAGAATATTTTTTTTCTTGTTTTCCTCCTCCAAAAACTAGGTGCGCCTTATGGTCTGGTGCGTCTTATAGAGCAAAAAATATGGTATATGCTTCATTTTGTCTGTCCACTCCTTAATCTTCCAACTTTCAGCTCCATTGCATGATTCTGAGTTCTAGTATTACACAAGAAGGAGAAAAACTACCCAGGCCCCACCTTCACCAAACATTTAGAGGAGTATTCAAGGAGTATTTAAACAGTCACGTATTCCTCCCCCCCCCCCAAGAATCCTGGGAACTGTAGATTGCAAAATGCACAGAGAGTTATTAGGAGACCCCCCTCACAACGCTACAGTTCCCAGAGTTTCTCCTGAAGAGGGGTTGATTATTAAACCACTCTGAAACAGTAGCTCTGTGAAAGGAGCAGGGGTATCTGAAAAACTCCCAGCATCCTTAGCAAACTGCAGTCAGTTCCCAGCATTCCTTGGTTGGGGGGGAGCCATGTTTGTTTAAAGTAATACAATACAGCTTTAAATGTAAAGTGCAGAAGGAGCCTGGCCTCAATTTGATTTCCCCTCAATAGAGTAGTGTTATACATCTTTTCTAAGCTAAAAAACCCCAAACCCAAATGTTGTCATCGTTCCTCACAGAGTGGCGGCTCCACCCCCCTGAACATTTTGGCTGTGCTTTTCTGAACCTTTTATAAAAACAACTGAGGTGGGGCGACCAAAACTGAACAAAGTGTTTTGTGTACATAGTAAATGTTAAGTTGTGGGCGAACATATCAGACGACACAGCGATTCTTCCAAAGCAGCTCTTTATTTGTAAGCTGGAACAGAACTGAACTGAGGAGCTCAGTCAGCCTGCTTATATAGAGCTCCAGAACAATGTAACTGTTGCCATTTTCTAAAACTATCCAATCACTGAATGTCACTTTCGATCCTTCATTTGCATACAAACTATCCAATCACTGAACGTCACTTTTCGATCCTTCATTTGCATAACTATCTACAGTATCCCCCTGCTGGCCCAGGGTGAGAACTTCAGTACAGAACAGTACCGTAAGTTTGTCACATGACAGATAAAAATGATGCTTCAATAACTTTCCTAAGTTTAACGACTTAAAAATAAATAAACGGTCCTGACAATAAAAAGAAACAAATTCTGCATCTTTCCCCTCAACTCCCCCCCCCCCATTCATTTCCATGCCAGGAAAAGTTTTATCTTGCTGAATTTGCCAACTGTGGCTGCTGTTAAAGGCATGGGAGCTTTGTTGGGGGTGGGAAGGTGGCAACCCTCGCATCTCCTGCAGCTGAACTGGAGCAAGCTCTGCTAAACAATTCTTCGTTTAAATGCTGTGTGTGCACCTCTCATGCTAGAATCTTCCTCCCTCATCAGTTGCCAACTGATGAGGAGGGAAGGGGGCCTAGCCTGCTCTTGTGCATTTTAAAATAAAGTGGCTCTCCAGAAATAAACAGGGGGAAGTTTTTTGCCCCTTCACCTGCAAACATAATTGGTGCATTCTGCACCAACATTTAAGGCACTATGATGCCACTTTTAAAAGTCATGGCTTCCATGAAGGTACATTTTTTCACCTTTGGTGGACGTGCCCAAAGATTAAGGCTTTCTGGGAGATGATATATAATGAATTAAAAAAGGTATTTAAATATACCTTCTTGAAGAAACCAGAGGCCTTTCTCCTGGGCATAGTCGGCCAATCGGTGTTAAAAAAGGATAGAACTTTCTTTATGTATGCAACAACAGCAGCAAGAATACTCATTGCAAAGTATTGGAAGACACAAGAGCTACCCACACTGGAGGAATGGCAGATGAAATTGATGGACTATATGGAATTGGCGGAAATGACTGGCAGAATCCGTGACCAGGGAGAAGAGTCGGTGGAAGAAGATTGGAAGAAATTCAAAGATTACTTACAGAAATATTGCAAAATTAAAGAATGTTAGAGTGATGATGGATTGAAATTAAGTGGCTTCTAGCTGTACAGACTTTAAAGTTATATATAGATCAAGATTAAGGATTAGGATTAAAAAGGTTAAAAGAATGGAAAATTGGTTTTTAATAGGTAAAAATTTAATGTTATATTATATTAAGATTAAGGATTGAGACTAAAAAGGAGGGAAAGGAATTGCTGGACAAACAAACTGAATTGGAATACAAAAGAGGGAGGTATGAGGAGGTCCGGAAAATAAGTAAATGTAAAAGTAGTGATAAAAAGATGGAATTGTTTTTAACTGTTTTTTCTTTTTTCTTTTTGTATTTTGTATTGTGTATTTTTCTTTTTATTTTTAAATTCTTTTTTTTATTAATGTGTCTCTTTTCATGTGAAACTTTAACAAATATCATTTTTTTAAAAAATAAATAAATAAAAGTCATGGCTTCCCCCAAAGAATCCTGGGAGCTGTAGTTTGTGAAGGGGGCAACGAGTTGTGAGGAGACCCCTAGTCCCCTCTCAGAGCTAGCTACCATTCCCAGAGTTCCCTGGGAACTGTCGCTCTGTAGCAAACGTACAGTTCCCATGGTTCTTTGCAGGATGGCGTGACTGCTAAAGTGGCATAAGAATGTTATAAATGCATCCTGTGGATGTGACCATTGGCTGCCCACATTTGGAGACTGATATGAAAAAGTAGGCAGCACACAAAACACTACCAAACCATTCTACGTTCTAAATCTTATATTAATAATCCAAAATTTGAGAGAACAAGGTACAAGATCTACTACAAAAGCCACAAACAGAAAACTCATTCAAATTGTGTCCAAAAGGGAGATTCAGTCTTTAAAGTTTCTTTAGCCAGGCTCCTGTAGATTTCAGTCTACAACGAGAATTGGCAGCATAAAAAGTCTTGTCAGCTCACATGAGGCTGGCCAGGGTTTAATGGCTGGAAGGTGAAGGACAGAGTTTGGCTCTAATCTTATCGCTGGACATTAACCTCCAACATGTCAGGTTGACTAATAGGGGCAGATGTGGAAGTAGACAAAGGGGGAAAAACAGTGTCAGCAGAAAAGGAAGCCGGGAGTCCAGGACGTGTAAAGAGGTCCTTAAGAAACTCAGTAGACCTGGTCTGTGGGGGAAACCTGTCAGGCAAACAACTCCCTCCCCATTAAAAAGGTAGACAACAACAACCGAAATCCAAATCTTTGGCGTCTTTCCCTTTGACCTCACATGGAATGTGCAACTGTAGTTTTGCTTGAAGTTGGAAATAAAGGTTTTATGGAGGAATGGTTTAAGCCAGTGATTCTTAAGCCCCCCCCCCGGCCAGACTTTCAGAATAAGAATTAGCTTGTGCCACACTGAATTTTTTATTGGTAGCAAATACGTTGGGAAACAAAAAGAAACAGCAACTAGCGGTGCTTGATTTAGAACATACGGTAGAACACAAACTACCTTTATACAGTGGTACCTCGGGTTAAGTACTTAATTCATTCTAGAGGTCTGTTCTTAACCTGAAACTGTTCTTAACCTGAAGCACCACTTTAGCTAATGAGGCCTCCTGCTGCCGCCTCGCCGCCAGAGCACGATTTCTGTTCTCATCCTGAAGCAAAGTTCTTAACCTGAGGTACTATTTCTGGGTTAGCGGAGTCTGTAACCTGAAGCGTATGTAACCTGAAGCGTATGTAACCCAAGGTACCACTGTAATAGGATCGTGGGACAGCCAGAAAATATGAAACAATGCAGCTACATAAGGATCACTCCCAAAATATAATTATAAACAAGCCTCTTACATGTGTACCTTAAGTATGTATACAAACTCAGTGAGAGGTGTGAGCTTGCAGTTTAACTGGATGCTTCTTCTCTCATTTTGAAAAGATATCTATCCATTTCCTGCAAATAAAAACAATTATTTTGGTACTATGCTATGTTGAAATGTTTCTTTGCTTGTCCTTGAACCTTCCCACCATCTCTCCTGCCACACCATTGTGGCACACCAAACCCTTTGAGAACCACAGGTTTAAGTAATTTGCTGTTCGCAAAGCTGGCTAAGGGCCACCCACACCTGTGTTTCAGGTGGGTTGTGAATCCCAAGTGCCTCTCTTAATTCCCCCTCAGTCTTACAGTGTTTTCCTCCAACTACTGCTGCCCTAGATTTTTCTCCTCTTCAAGTCCAGAGATTTCCCTTTGCAATAGATGTGGCTTTGCTGTTCGGATTTTTCAGGATACAGGGAATCTCTGGGTTTTTGCAGGAGTGGTTCACAATCCACGTTAGGTATGGACAGGCCCTAAGACTCAGGCAGGCTTGGGGAATAATACACAACTCTCAAACTGGCACAGCTGGTGTGCTTGCTTCTGTACTCTTTCATCTTGGTCAACTTGTGTACGTTTGCAAAACAAGCAATTTTTCAAAAAAGACCATGCCCAAAGTTCTTGTTCTACTTGGGGGCGGGGGGAGCTGCCCGCTTAAAAGAGTGAGCATTTGTGCTCAGAGCACATGAAGGGCTGGAGCCCAGTGGGCAGGCCATCTGCTTTGCATGCAAAAGGTCCTGGTTTCCATCCTCCAGGTAAGGCTGGGATAAATCCCTTACTGAAACCCTGGATAGATGCTGCCAGTAGACAAGATTGAGCTACACGAAGCAATGGTCTGACTCCAGAAATTACTACTTCTTACATCCCAATGTGCTTGGCTGTCTGTGTGTGAGAGAGAAGAAACACTGTATTCTGCTCTGGTCAGACCTCACCTGGAGTACTGTGTCCAGTTCTGGGCACCACAGTTCAAGAAGGACACTGACAAACTGGAACGTGTCCAGAGGAGGGCAACCAAAATGGTCAAAGGCCTGGAAACGATGCCTTATGAGGAACGGCTAAGGGAGCTGGGCATGTTTAGCCTGGAGAAGAGGAGGTTAAGGGGTGATATGATAGCCATGTTCAAATATATAAAAGGATGTCACATAGAGGAGGGAGAAAGGTTGTTTTCTGCTGCTCCAGAGAAGCGGACACGGAGCAATGGATCCAAACTACAAGAAAGAAGATTCCACCTAAACATTAGGAAGAACTTCCTGACAGTAAGAGCTGTTCGACAGTGGAATTTGCTGCCAAGGAGTGTGGTGGAGTCTCCTTCTTTGGAGGTCTTTAAGCAGAGGCTTGACAACCATATGTCAGGAGTGCTCTGATGGTGTTTCCTGCTTGGCAGGGGGTTGGACTCGATGGCCCTTGTGGTCTCTTCCAACTCTATGATTCTATGATTCTATGAAACAAACAGAAGACTTCAGCGCATAACTATGAAAACTATTAAACACATCAGGATTTCAACTCTCCCCCCTGCAGAAGGGCTCCTAGGCCTTCAACACCTGATGATCAACAGCACCTTCCATCTCGAACTCTACGATCGACAGGTGAGGCCCCAAGTTAGTGGCTAAATATCTCTGTTTGGTTTTTTGTCGTTGAAATACACTGCAGACGTCTGATCTCCCTGGAGACCAAGAGATAAGACGATACACTGCTCTGCCTCCTTCCTCTTAGTAAATGTTTTGTGCCACTGGGGAAGTGGTAATTCTGTATTGATTTGTTTTGGATGTTGTATGTGATGCCAATAAAGGTTTTACGATACGATACAACAGGGGAGGCCTTGCTGCCATCCGGGGCTGCCCAGTTGGCACTGACCTGTAACAGGGCCTTTTCAGTGATGGCTCCCCATTTGTGCAATGCCTTCCCTACTGAGGTGCGCCTGTCTCCATCACTATTAATTACCAGGAGGAATATGACAGCATTCCTGATAACCGAGACTTTTGGTGGCTGAAGAATACTGTCCCTGGCGGAAGAATGTTTTTAATTGAGGAACCCGTTTGCATGATCCAAATATTCTTATTAGCATAAACAAGAGGGTAACGAACCTGAATCAAGTGGGTGGGGGGAAGGAACGAGGGAGAAGAGGGGGGAGGGAATCCTTTTTGCTTCATCCCCATCATCGGAAATTCTGGGAAATTGTCCATTACAAACCATTGGGTTGGCAGGCACCTGGCCTATTGTACATAAACATGGTGGGCACATTCAGCCTGCTTCTTCCGTCACCGCTGCACATCATGTGCCCCTGTGTTTGAAGAGTCGCTGTGTGCTCTTCAGTCCAAAGGCTCAGTTAAGCAATCATCACCCCTGCAGTATTTGACAAAAATAAAATAAATAGATCACCCTGATCCAAGCTGAAATAATTGGAAAGCATTTTTCTTAAAGCTCCAAGTAGCTCCAGGAAAAAAGTATTTTGGGGGGGAAAACAAAGAAAAACTTAATTTCCGAAAGAAAACCACGTGGGTTAACAAATCCCAAGCACCACACAATATTAAACATCCTAATCCCAAGCAAAATATTAATGTCAACGAAACAGAACCAGTCATCAAAAAACAGCCATAAAAAATAATGCACAGGTGAAAGTGGCTCCCAGAAGGGGAAAAAAAGGAATTAAAATAATAAAGGAGATGGAGCTACTCCCGTATGGAAAGGTTGACTTCTTTGGAACTTTTTAGTTTAGTGAAAAGGTGAGCAGGTGGTGGCATAGAATCATAGAACTGTAGAGTTGGAAGGGACCCCGAGGGTCATCTAGTCCAACCCCCTGCAATGCTTGAACCACTGACCTTCTGTTTAACAGCCGGGTGCACTGACCCCTTGCGCCACAAGGTTGAAGTTTATAAAATTTATGCCTGGCATGGAGAAAGTGGATAGCAAAAAGCTTCACTCTCTCTCCTTATATAACACTAGAACTTGCGGACGTCCAGTGAAACTGAATGTTGAAAAATGCAGGGCAGAGTCACGTAGCACATAGTTAAACTGTTGGAATTCGCTCCCAGGAGAGGCAGTGATGGGCACCAACCGAGAAGGCTTTAAAAGAAGATTGGGGTGCAAGAATACTTGTAGCCAGAAGTTGGAAATGCGAAAAAACACCAACAATAACAGATTGGCAAACACTCATGATAGAGTATTTCCAATTAGCAAAGCTGACCGGAAAAACCAGGGGAGCCTTAAATCAAAAAGTATACGGAGAATGGAAAATATTTAAGGAATATATAGAAGACTATATTGTAAAAATTATACCATCCTGGCAGAATTGAATGATATTTGTGTACAACAAATAAATGGAATAAACAGCTTAGAGGAATATATGGAAAAAGATATAAAACAAACTGTGCGACAAATCAAGACAATAGAAAAAGAATAATGAGAACGATTGGAAGTTTTTCACAGAAAACTTTATTGGATAAGACATGTTGTGTAAATATGTGGTTCTTTTAATTGTCTTTTTTTTGTCACTTTCAAACCTTTTTTCGACCTTTTTGAGGTGACAAATCCTTTTTCTTTTCTTTTTTTGTGCTTAATTTTGTTATACTTACCTTTACTGTATGATTGTATTTTAAACTAATAAAGATTTATATTTAAAAAGAAGAAGAAGATTGGGCAAAATGATGCAGGCGGCTATTGATGGCTGCTTGCCTTGGTGGCTCTGTGGTCAGAAGGCAGATGCTTCTGAATCCAAGGAAGAGGGCTCTTGCGCTCTGGTCCTGCCTTTGAGGCCTCTCTTTGGCCTCTGTAAGAACAGGATGCTGGACTAGATGGGCCATTCGCCTGATCCAGCAGGCTCTCCTTGTGTTCTAAGGAACCAGAACTTGGTTCCGAAATTCTGGTTCCTTATTTGACACAGCAGGGCACGAATTTAAGTTTCTTTGCCCTTGCACCCCAAAATAAATACTGGGTTTCTGAGCACAATTCAAAGTGCTGGTGCTGACCTTTAAAGTCATAAATGGCCTCAGCTCAGTATACCTGAAGGAGCGTCTCCACCTCCATCGTTCTGCCCGGACACTGAGGTCCAGCACCGAGGGCCTTCTGGCAGTTCCCTCACTGTGAGAAGCCAAGTTACAGGGAACCAGGCAGAGGGCCTTCTCGGTAGTGGCACCCGCCCTGTGGAACGCTCTCCCATCAGATGTCAAAGAGAAAAACAACTACCAGACTTTTAGAAGACATCTGAAGGCAGCCCTGTTTAGGGAAGCTTTTAATGTTTAATAGATTATTGTATTTTAATATTTTATGAAAGCCGCCCAGAGTGGCTGGGGAAACCCAGCCAGATGGGTGGGGTATAAATAATAAATTATTATTATTATTATTATTATTTATTAATTATTATTATTATTATCATTATTATTATTATTATTATTATTATTATGTCTGGTTCTTATGACTTTATTTAAGCAACACTTCCTGGCCTCTGGCCTCACCATCTGGCAGCTCCCTCACTAATTGCTTGTGATTTTAGAATTGTAGAGTTGGAAGAGACCCCTCCCTAAAGGTCATTTAGTCCAACCCCCTGCAATGCAGGAATATAAATGTCAATAAATAAAATTACTACAACCCTCCCTTTTTTTAAAAGCATACAATACTAAATTAAAATCCACCAAAAGATTAGAAGGCACTTTTAACTAAAAGCGCTCGTCCTGCAATCGCATAAAAAGGACACGTTGTCTCCCACCCAACTAAAAGATGAACACCAATTAGGAACAAAATCTCTGGGTACGCATTTACTTCGAAGGGAACCCGTTGCGCTCAGTGTGTGCGGAAGTTTGCAGCCCGATCCAATGCATGCCTACTCAGAAGGGATCCCAAGTAAGATCCCAAAGTAAGCATGGATTTTAGCCTTCCTCCCCAAGGAGCCCAGATGGAAGAACATCTGGAGAGCCACAGATGTCCCTGATTTAGCGGGTTGAAGCCAGAGCGGCGCTTTCGGAATGTTGAATGGAAGGAAGAAGGCGGCGGCAACATTTTCACCCAATCACAGAACAGTTCCGGGCGGGGGAGAAGGAAACAACAACAGCGATTGCAACATTCCTATCCAATCACAGCCCTTGTTTGCTTCCTCTCCTCCGCGCGGGCGTGTGTGCGTGTTGCGTGCCCGTTTCAAACATGGCCGCTGAAAGCACATGTAAGGCTTCAACCGTTGAAAATCGCTTCCTGGAAGAGGGCGGGTGGGGTCAAGAGGGGCCCAAGATGGCTGCCCCCATCAAGATCACAGAGTGGGTTTCTTCCTAGAGTCTAGTTTCTGGCTGATGCCCCTTATTTCCCCACCACCACAAGCTTCCCCCCGCTTTTTGCCAGGACGCTGCCTGCTGTTTTGTGTGCGTGTATGTGCCCAGTTATCCGAGCTTCTCCTTCTGTGCATGTTCCAGATCTTGCTTTCGAAGCCTCTCGTGAGCATCCAAAGCATGCACTGACAGGTTTCCCCCTGCTCAGAATCCTCATATCCTTTCTCTTCCTTTGCAAACCCCGCAAACCAGGTTCCGCTTTATGCGGCTGACCTGGCAAGCTTCTTGTGAAACTTCGTTAACTCGTTGGCAATAAATATCCGAAGAAGCGAGTTGTCCTGGGATGCTGGGAGTGGTTATCATGGCTGCGGCTGCGGGTGTTAAAGCGCTCCTCCGCTTAAAACCTGGCGTTACTCTATTCTTTTCTTTAAACTGAGAGGCAGGAAGTGGGACGCAAGAGTTCGTATAAATAGATTTCTACCTTAAGAAGCAAACAAACGCCAAACCAATGGGCCAAAGCTAAGCTTCTTAGCCTGGTTCTAGAGGGCCATGGGGAACATGCTGTCCCCTCTGCCTGGGCTGCGCAGGGGGTCGCATCGGAAGGAGCCGCTTGCTAACCCGGGCAGCTTCGATGAGCTCCATCGGAAATGCAAAGGTAAGCCGTCGTTTGCTCTTCTTCCTCATCCCTCCTCAAAGCTCTCACCTTTCTCATGAAGCCTTTGGTGCAGGCAGCCCCCTAGTCCTCATGACGGTCTATTGCTGGGGTGGGGAACCTCGGGGCTGGGGCTGGGGGCAAGTGCTGCCCTCCGGGCTGCTCTGTTTGGCCCTCGGACTTCTCTGCTGGCCCTCGCCCTGCCGTGCACCCTCCTTGAGTAGTTTTGTGTGGCTGCGGAAGTGCCATAGCTCTGTAGGCAGAGCATCTGCTTCACATGAAGGAGACCCCGGTTCAGCCCCTGGCATCTCCAGTTAAAAAGGACCAGTAGGGGAGAGGAAAGGAAAGACCCATCCTGAGACCCCAGAGAGCTGCTGCCAGTCAGAGCAGGAGTCGCTGCACACTACCAGACCCCAAGAAGCTTTCCCTGTTGCCTGCATGATCTCCCTCTTCATTCCTTCCCCGCGGCTGAAATTCATGAGAAATTCATTCATACCGAACCACAAGGATCACAATGACTACTTATAAGGAAGATTCCTATGTTCCATGTGGAAGGTCCCCAGATTCAGCCCCCCAGCACTTCCGCATAGAGCCGGGAGATGTTAATCTGCACAGAATACTGACTCTACACAAGGCAGCTTCCTACCTTTGAAGGTGACTCGGAAACTACAACTAATCCAGAATGCTGCAGCTAGACTGGTGACTGGGAGCAGCCGCTGGGACCATATAACACTGGTCCTGAAAGAACTACAATGGCTCCCAGTATGTTTCCAAGCACAATTCAAAGTGTTGGTACAGAACTTTAAAGAACTAAATAGCCTCGGCCCAGTATACCTGAAGGAGCATCTCCACCCCCATTGTTCAGCCTGGACACTGAGGTCCAGCTCCAAGGAGCTTCTGGTGGTTCCCTCACTGTGAGAAGTGAGGTTACGGGGAACCAGGCAGAGGGCCTTCTCGGTAGTTGTGCCCGCCCTGTGGAACGCCCTCCCATCAGATGTCAAGGAAATAAATACTATCTGACTTTTAAAAGACATCTGAAGGCAGCCCTTTATGGGGAAGGTTTTTTTTTTTAAAGTACTGTGTAATGTTTTGTATCTATGCTGGAAGCCACCCAGAGGGGCTGGTGCAACCCAGTCAGATGGGCAGGGTACTAATAATAATAATAATAGTAATAATCCTCTAGAAATGTGTCCTTGAGCTATGATTATTCCTCTTGCTTGCTGGGTGGAAGTTGGAGAGAGATGTGCATGCAGAAATCTCTCACTTTATGTGGCTGTAAAACAGTTTTGCCTTTGGACAATCGACTAGCTTCTCCATGTGCTCACACACACTTCTGTCGTCCATCCAGGCATGTAGGAGGCATAAAGGGAGTTCAAGGATGCTTTCCAGTCAGGCAAAAACGCTCAAGGAGGGGGTGAAGCAGGACTCAAGAGGGGTGTGGCCTGGGGAGAGGGCCAAGGGCCAGGTAGAGAGGATTGGAGGGCCGCATCTGGCCCTTGGAGCTGAAGTTCTCCATCTCTGGTCTAGGAATTCCTGGATTATTCATCTTCTTCATTTTGTAAGCTTAAATACTACTCCTGTCTCTCTTCTCCCTCCCTACTTCTGTTCCAGAAGTCTTCCCCCAGCAGACAGAAGGAGTCAAGCTTATCATTAATAAATCCCTCACCAGCCATTTTCAGGTTCGTACCCTTGCTGCTATTAATCATGCTGGCTATTTTTAGTCATATAAAGTGGAGAAATGGGTCCAGCTCCCAGGGGAAGCGCTGTGGCACAGAGGAACAGCATCTGGTTTGCAGGCAAAAGGGGGAAGTGGGAAATACTGTTCAATATTTACCATATTGCTCCCTGTAAGGTGTAAGGGGAGGGGTAGCGCCTCTGGTGGGGGACACACGCCATGATCTTTCTGGGGCAGTTTTTGTTCACTTTTGGTTCCCAGCCTGCACTCAAATCTCACCTGTGGCTCCCAGAAGCTGTCAGCATGCGACAGCGGCCACACCCTGGCAACTAAACCAGGTGAGGGGAGCCGATGGGTTTCAAACCCTCAATGAGTTAGGGGCTTCCCCTGCACGCGAAGACAGGCTCTGAAGGATTGAGTGGATGGGACAAAGAGTAGGTCCAATGGGAGAAGGAAATTTCGGATCCTAAACCTCCACTATCTTCGGGAGAAAAAAAGCGATGGGGTAAACCCTACAGAAATCCAGAATGGCATCCCTAAGACGGTTGGATGGCGCATTGTACGCCTCCCTCCAGCAACTCCTGCAGCCAAGCTGGTGCCAGACATCTTGTTCTGCTTTCCTTTGGACCACATCAGCAAGGCCAAGAGGAGGGTCTTGTTGTCTGGGCAGCCCAGGACCCCCATACACACTGAAGAGACTTGCACCCTGGGAGGCCACTTCAGTGCTGCTAACGCAGCGCTTAGACTTCACCCCTGGAGGTCCACTCCATTGTCTCTTGAGACAGATGGATGCCAACAAAAAATAATTTGCCTAGGGATTGATTCCCCAAAGGAATTCTCCAGAGAGTTTCTTTTTGGAATAATAGGAAGGCGGGGGGGGGGATCTGTTTTTTGCTGATGGATGGGGATCTATACACTCCATATAAGGCTTCTATGTATGCCATTGCAACCCAACGAACCAGATAAAATGTTACTGTACAACAGGTTCTGTGTGCTGGGACCACCTATGCTAAAACATACTTCTGTGCTACCTGTATTTTTGTGCTGACCAGCGGTGGCACCCAGCCTTACAGATCCCAGAGCTCCCAAACCTGGAGTATGAGCTGTCTGCTGGGTCACGGTGTTCATTTCTCAAAGACGATAAGACTCTCTTCCATCAACGGAGTGCATCTTTTTTCCTTCTTCCAGGTGACCCATACTATTCACATGAGCACAATTGGACAATCAAGTTATCATCTCAATACAACGTATGTGGGAGACCAGCAGTTGAGCCCCACGGAAGTGAGCAAAGCATTTATTTTTTTCCTGGGGGGTGGGGTTGTGACAAGTGGGGAAAGTGCTGAAAAGAGCAACATGGTTCTAGATATGTGGTCTTAGGGGGCTTTTGAAAAGTCTTAATAAAAGTTTATTTTTAAAAACGATCTAGGAGTTGGAGCAACTCCCCTGTGAGGAAAGATGACAAAATTTGGGCCTTTTTCCTAATTTAGAGGAATCTTTTGCCCAAGGTGGAACTTGAACTCAGGGTCATTCCATGAAGCCACAGGTTGCCCAGTCCCCCAATTTTATATTTAATTATTATTTGCTGGTGTTTTGAGAATTAATTTTATTGTGTACTGTTATATTCTAATCGATTATTGAATATTACTTTTGAAGTTATGTTTCATTATGACTTTCTGTATTGGATCAGATTACTATAAGGTGTGCATATTTTGTTGCTGTAAGCATCCTTGTGTACTGAAAGGCTATATACAAGTTAAAAGTGAAATAAATATCTTCTACCCAAAATTCCCACTGCCCCAAGGAAAAAGCTGCATCTCTTTTCTTCCTTCCATCCTGCTGCTTAGTCACCACCTCTGCAGAGGCAGAGATGCTTCCAGAATGATACTTGGCATCCACATTTGCTCGCCCTGACGCCATCTTGAATAAGGTGGAAGGAAAAAATGGCAGCACCTATGCACCATCTGCTCTCTTGAGCATGGGTTTCTAACTCATTCAGTCTTCCTTCCTTTGAATGCCAGTTGCTGGAGCACACAGGTGGGGAGGCTGTTCTCTAGCTCAGGTGCTGCTTTGGTGCTAAATTTCAGTGCTTGGCCATGGCAAGACGAGATGGGCCATTGGCTCTCCTTACCTTCTCCCTGCTTCCATCATAGGCCTTCCCAACTCTCATTGGAGACATTAATAATGCTGGGAGCCTCAATGCTCAAGTGCTCCACCTACTGGCTGAGCGGATACGGACAAAAGCTGTATTCCAGGTAAAAACTACACAGGGAGTGTTTGGGTCTGAGGCCAACGGGCTTGAAGGCAGGATCTTAATGCTTTTGGTATTGCCAGGCTGAAAACTCATCAGCGTATATTTTTTTGAGTGTTCGATGACAAGCAACAGACTTATGCAACGGTTAATTTTTAAAAAACCATCCTATCTCTCCCCCCCTCACTGTTTTTAATGGCATTTTACACTAGGTATATTGTTTATGAATTGGTAGTATGCAAATATTTTTCTAAATAAAAATGAATCCTAAATAAAGAAATTCAGAGGTGGCGTCTCACACGCCTGTGAGGCTTTCTCACGTTAACAACGGCATCCTGTCTGAGAGGTTGAAGAGGCTGTAAATCAGGGACTGGGAACCTGGGGCCCTCCAGATATTGTTGACTGGGGTTGATGGGAATCGGAGCGCAGCAGCATTTGGCTGGTACCTGTTGGGGCTGGTAGGGCGGAAGCCATGGAGCCCAACAGTGGGTGGCGCCAGAGCTAAAGACAGACAGAGTCAAATAATTCTAGTTTTGCCACCACCCTCCTCCCTGCTGTTGAGTTCTGTAAGTGGCAACACTGAGACTAAGGAGAGGGGAAGCTGGAAGGCCATACAGTGGTACCTCAGGTTACAGACGCTTCAGGTTACAGACGCTTCAGGTTACAGACTCTGCTAACCCAGAAATAGTACCTCGGGTTAAGAACTTTGCTTCAGGATGAGAACAGAAATCGTGCTCCGGCGGCGCAGCGGCAGCAGGAGGCCCCGTTAGCTAAAGTGGTGCTTCAGGTTAAGAACAGTTTCAGGTTAAGAATGGACCTCTGGAACGAATTAAGTACATAACCAGAGGTACCGCTGTACTGTCACCTCCTGGACTGGTGGTTGGTAAGGCAGGCAGGTGGGAGCTGGGGGGGACGGGACAGACGAGATGGGTGGGACAGTGCCCCATTTGCCCTAATGGACCAGTCTTTGCTAACATGTGGTCCCCCTACAGCCCCTTGGGAGCTTTTGCATCTCTGAGAACTAGGCTGTAAACTCGTTTTGAGTAAAAGTCCATGCCCAACCCTGTTCCCGCCCCCCCAACTTTTTTGTGTTCCAGACTCAGCAGTCCAAATTTGTGACTTGGCAGTTTGATACCGAGTACCGAGGAGATGACTACACGGCCACCCTGACGCTGGGCAACCCTGACTTGATCAGCGAGTCGAGTGAGTGAGTGCCCGTCTGCCATCTTGGCAATCTTTGGCAATTGCCGTAGGCTTGTTTGCATCCTGCCCGCCCCTCTCTGGGGGGGGGGGAACTTAGTTCTTTGGTTGGCAGCTTGTCCAGGAAAATATACAAATGTGTGTGTGTGTGCATGTGCATAGATAGATAGATACAGGCAACTCTCTGTTTACGCGATGGTTACGTTTTGAAGCACCACACATTTAAGTGAAATCACATATATTGGCAACACAATTGGAAAAAGCTTGCAAACGCCGCAGTTGCTGTCTCCCAGCCTCCTTCCTCAAACTCCCAGCTCTCCGTGGGCCTCAGCGGTCAGTGCAAAGGCTCATGGGATTGCACTTGCTTGCTAGGGATTGCTAGGCGCTATTTTTGTGCCATTTTGGGGCTCTTTCGGGGGCTGTTTTTGCCCCTTCTGGGTTTGCGCGATGCACGTGTTCGTTGTCACATGTGCCTTGAGCATGCACAAATGGAGAGTTGCCTGTACAAATGTAGGGAAGCAGGCAGAGAGAGGCTGACATTATGGGGAGAGAGGCAGGCAGGCAGTGAGAGGGAACCAGACTTGGATGAATGCAGAATAAATAGGTCACAATGCAGGGTTTCCCAAATGTGCGTCTCCAGCTGTTTTTGGACTACAATTCCCATCATCCCTAGCTTGCACAGCCACTGGTCAGGGATGATGGGAACTGTAGTCCAGAGACAGCTGGAGACCCTAGTTTGGGAAACCCTGGCGTAGTGGTTAAGAGTGTTGGACTAAGACCTGGAGGTCAGGGTTTGAATCCCCACTGGGCACGAAGCTCACTTACGATACAATACGATACGATAATCTTTATTATCATTGTCCCATACAGAACAACGAAATTGAAAACGAAATTGAAAAAATCTACACCAGACATTAAAAAAAAGCCTGCTATCCCAACTATCCCAGCCTGGTTAGCCCCTAAAAACTCTCATACCCCATCATTGAATACAATATGCTCACACAGAGACTACCTTCCACTGCGTTTAAAACCAAAATTGCATTTGGATAGAAACTGTTTCTCAGGTGGCTAGTCCTAGTCTTGTAGGTCACCTTGAACCAGTCAGTGTCTTTCAGCCTAACTTACCTCACAGGGGTTGCTGTGAGGTTAAGATGGGGAAAAGAGAACCACCTCGGAGGAAAAGGTGGTAAATAAATGTAGTAAAAAAAGAAAGAAAAGACATTTGGAGGCCTAGAATGGGAGGGGGAGCCCCTAAGACCAATGTTTCCCTCAAATGACCACTAGAGGGGGCGACTCTCCCGCAGCTGCTGTGTTGCTTAGCAACCAACCCTAGTGAAGGATGGAGTTTCTACCATGTAATGTAGGGCCTGCTAAACAGTGAGAGGCCCTATGTCACCTGGTGGCAGCTTCGAACATGGGGCAAGAACATCATGGCTTCTTTGTGGCCTGCAGCGATGCCTGGAGAGGGGTGGAGTAGCAGCCTAGCAGTTCCCCCCCGGGTGGGACAAATTTGCTTCCGTCCTCAACTCCTGACTAGTGTGTTATTTTATTTCTTTATTGAATTCCTGTCCCACACTTCCTCTCCCAAGAAGCCGAGGCAAACGGATTTGCACAATTTTAAAATGGATTAATATTTTACAGCCTTTTGAATCCGTCTGTGGGAAAGGGGGAGGTTATTGTTTCGCTGTTTCGTTTTACTTATTTTTCAAGTTTTTATCCTGTGTTTTTGCTCTGTGAACTGCCCTGAGATCTTAGTGAGGGTATAGATCAAATAAATAAATCTAATAAACAAATAAAAACAAAAATCAAGCAAAAACATCCTGGAAGAAAGTAAAAGGTTCTTAAAAACAGCAACAGTTGAAAACCTCTCAAAGCAGTTCCAGGTAAAAGCATTGTAAAAGCAGCCACAATTAAAAACTTCTTAAGTTTCCATTAAATTTTGGCATGGCTGCTTGTACCATTTTGAATGCTGGGTGTGGGAACAGAGAAATTGCCCTGGATCACTTGGATGAACTACTGAACGTTGTTGAAGGTTGTTTCATTAAGGGACAGACATGAACTGTAATTAAGTTCCTTTTCGGACATGTTGAACTTGAACTAGTTCCTTTTTAAAACAAACTTCCCAGGCTCTGCTCAAAACTCTGCCCAGGCCACAGCCCTCCCTGGCCCTGCTGTCCCCTCACCCAACTATTTTTGCCTAGCTAGATCATTCCCTTGAACTCTGATAATGCCTCTTGGCTTGCCTGGGTGAAGGAGATAGAGAGGTGTTTGTGTGTTTTGAAGGTTGCCTCCTGTGCAAAGTACAAATTTGCATGCATTGCTTTGTCTACTTTGGCCTCTGGCCTGCCCGTCGTTGGCATGTGACAGCTCTTGGGAGGTTGCCTTCAGACTAGAAAAAGTTCCCTCTGTCCGTGCTGATGGACCAGACTGCAACCTAACAACCGTTGCTCTAGAGAAACCATAGTGAACTGCTCCAACTCTGCCTTTCTCCAAGTTGGTGTGACCTATAGAACAGGCATGCGGAACCTTTGGTGCTGGACTGCAATTCCCATCAGCCTCAGCTTCTTTTCCAACCCTTCTTTGCTGCTCACAGTAAAATACTTTTTTTATTAATTTATAATACTTGCCCATCCATTGCTATTTCCATTGATGCTTCATGTTCAATTCCTGCTCAGACGTTTTTCTGTTTTCCCACTTAATCAAGTAGAGCTAATCTGTCCATATACCGTATTTTTCGCTCTATAAGACGCACCAGACCACAAGACGCACCTAGTTTTTGGAGAAGGAAAACAAGAAAAAAAATATTCTGAATCTCAGAATCCAGAACAGCGAGAGGGATCGCTGCACAGTGAAAGCAGCAATCCCTCTTGCTGTTCTGGCTTCTGGGATAGCTGTGCAGCCTGCATTCGCTCCATAAGACGCACACACATTTCCCCTTACTTTTTAGGAGGGAAAAAGTGAGTCTTATAGAGCAAAAAATACGGTAAATCATTAATCGTAATTTTAAATCATATTTCCTCAATAATATCCTCTCATTCGTAATATCCGAGTTTTACAAACCTCACAAACATCCAGAAAAAAATCTCCTCGTCTCCCTTGTTATGCCATTCCCTTTTCACAAAACAAACCAGTCACTATCCAGTTTCCCAGGTTTAATACACTTCCCTCCCATTATTCACAGATTTTATTTGTTTCTACTTCCATCGGCCCTGGCCAGCATGGCTAGTGATAAGGGAAAAATTGGAAGCTTGGCGAGATCTGGAGGCCAAGAGGTTGCCCTTCTCTGCTGTAGCTGCCCCAACACTTGGGTAGCTCAGTCTAGGAGGGGACGCAGGAAGCTGGCTTATATTGAGTCAGGCTGAGGCGTTCTCAAAGTAAAGGAAGGACTGAACTCTGATTAATAAGAATACACACAGAGGCTTGAACCAGCAAGACTCTGGGAAGGGTGCGTATAATAATCTCTCTTCCTCTACCCCTCAGCCCAGGTCGTTTTATTCACAAAAGAACTTTTTACAGATAGTTCGTAAGAACCAATCAGATTTCTTCTGAGCATTTCAACAAACCCCATGCGGGGACAAAGTTAAACTACAGACACTAGTTAGGCATGCAAACTTTTGGGTAAATGAATGAAAACTACAAAGGAGTGCATTCAGCAACCCCAGAGGTCATAATCAATCAATACACATGATAAGAAGGATGGCCAGGAGGACAGCGATCATTATCTTTTCTTTTTTTTTAAAATGATATTTATTGAGAATTTTAAAGTTACAGAGAAAAAAGAAGGAAAAAACAAGAGAAAAAGAAAGAAAGAAGTAGATAAAAATAACAATTAAACAATACAAATCAATAAACAAAGTCAAAGAGAAAAAACAAAACACACAGTACATCAAAATCAAAAAGCAAAAATAAACAAAAAATTTAAAAACAAATCCAATATTTCCAAATCCTTAACTTTCATTAACTTATTTCATCGACCTCCTCACACCTCCCTGTTTTGTATTCTAGTTGTTAATTATCTCAGCAAATCCTTTCCATCTTTCACAATATTCTGTCATTAAATTACCTTAATCTATTTTAACCTTATCTTACCATAAAAAACCTTAAAACTTAAAACTTAAATCTTATATATACCAAATTCTTTTAACCATAACATATTCTTACATAATTCTTTTTAACATTTCTGCTAAGGCCAAATAATTTCATTACAACATTTTTCTAATACTCATTAATTTTACAATACTTTCCTAAATTAATTTTTAAAACTTTCTTCCAATCTTCAGCCATCGTCTCTTCTTCCTGTTCTCGGGTTTTGTCAGTCCTTTCTATTCCGTCCATCTAGTCCATCAACCTGGTGATCTTATGTCTGAGGCTCTTAAGTCTTTTCCATGTCCCTTCTGCAGATCTTCTTCTTGTTTATACCTGCACTTTACTTTGTCTTTTGTTGATCTTTTTCTTAATTTCTTTCCTTTCTCATTGGGGGGTAGGTCTCGGGAGGACTCCAATCCAAAAATATCAAAAATATCTCCATCTCTCCTCAGCAGATCAGCCCATTCCCCACAGTCCCATTCCCCACAGTCAGCACTGTAATCCAGAAAGTATTTAAAAGCATGTTTCAAAGTCCTTCCAAAATTAAGAGCCCTCACAACTCCAGACCCCCCCTGGTCCACTCCAGATTCAAACTTCAAGAACAGCGGTTTATACTCCTGCAAAGCCTCGGATTTCTCCATTTGTGTTACTTGAGGTTCAACAACAACCTCCTCCATTTTCTTCTGCACTTGCGCTTGCCCTGTCAAAACAGGTTCCTGGGCTGGTTCCTGAATGGTTTCCATATGGGTATTCACCGTTTGTCCAAAATTTTTAACTGCAACAGTCATCAAATCCATCTTCTCATGCATCTGCTCCAGCAAAGCACTTGTCTTACAAAAAGCAAGCACCAAGACTTCTTGTAAACACATTTTTATTCAAGGTTAGAGTCCGGTCTCACGATCCTAATCTTACAGCTGTGAGGTCCCCAGATCGACTCCGGCAACAAATTAACAAGCTCCCTCTAGAGGAGACAATTTCTATTTGTATCCATCTTTGAAAACAGGACCAACAAAAGAAAATTACTTTCACTTTTCAAATACTTTGTTTCTTTTGATTGCAAGAAGCTACATTGGAGTCAATTTGTTTCTCTTTTTTTTTTTTTTTTTTACTATCTGTCAAAAGACGTTCCATTCAGAGTCGATGAACTTCCCCATAAATTTCTGTCCCTGACACCCCGTTCCCAGGTTTGAGACGATGGAAATTTATCTTTCTTTACTCTCTCTCCTGCAGGCTTAAACAGTCAAAAATTCCCCCTCTTTTCTCCTGCTTCCAAGAGGGGTTTTAGTGGTAATAAATGAAGGAAATTTAGAACTTTATATACGACTTTCCAGACTTTAGCTTACAAAGTTTTTGCTTCAATCTATTTACAAAAAACGGGAGGCAGACTTCCTGTTTAGAGCCTTCCCGCTTCAGTGCCAAATTAAAATGTTTCTTAATCTAATTTTCCATTCTACTCACGGTTACTTGTTTAGAGTCCAGTTGTCCACAGGAAAAAGTCAGCGCTCTCCGGCAACGGCTGTGCGGATTTACTCCGTAAAAGTAGCGGTTGATTCAAAACACCGCGCCACTCACCCCACGTCGCTTCAGATCCCCAAAAAAGGGTTTCCCTGCGAGTAGGGGAGGCGCTCCTGGTGTCAGCCAAATCCCACGTTCCCAGGCTTCCTCCGCCTGGGATTTTTAGAGGGTCTCTGCCTTCGCCGCGGCAGCAAGACCCGATTTTCACGGAGCGGGTTCCTCTCGGTCAGAGGAGCTCCGCCATTGCCGATGGCGCTGACCCGGAAGTCCGACAGCGATCATTATCACCTTTATGTGAGACCTGTTTCCTGGCCCAAAGATTAACATCCTAAGATTAACATATCAGAAAAGCTACAGCAAAGAAACTGCCCACTGTCTTTGATGACCCAGGACGCTTGCCTGTCTAAGTGTGTACGTGACTTGTGAAGAAAGAGAAATGGAACAGGGATGCAGAGGTGCGGATTGATCCGATCAAGAATCATATCAAAATAGTTTAAACCCAGTCAACGCAATGCTTTCATTGCTGACACAGATGGCTTACTCTATATTTGTTATAATTCCTCATAGCAATACCACCTGATCACTACATCAGGCCACAGGTCCATCTAGCTCTGTACTGCCTGCACTGACTGGCAGTGGCTCTCCAGGGTTCCAGGCAGTGATTTCTCCCAGTGCTACTCTGCCTGGAGATCCTGGGGACTGAACCTGTACGCAAAGCAGATCATAGAATCATAGAGTTGGAAGAGACCACAAGGGCCATCGAGTCCAACCCCCTGCCAAGCAGGAAACACCATCAGAGCACTCCTGACATATGGTTGTCAAGATGTGCTACCGCTAAGCCACAGCTCGTCTCCAAAGGGTGTTGGTTATTTTTCAGCTGCATGCAAGTCTTTTTTTGGGGGGATGACACTGACTTGCTCTTCCTTCTTTGCAGTCATTGTCGTGGCACACTTCCTGCAGAGCATCACTTCGCGGTTAGTCCTTGGCGGGGAAATGGTGTATCACCGGCGGCCGGGGGAAGAGGGCGCCATCGTCACGCTTGCTGGGAAGTACACAGGTTGGTTTCCTTTTGCTGAAGGTTTGGGGCGTGACTCGAGGAGCAGGCGCTCGTCCCCCACATACGTGGCCTCCATTTTCCATCATGGTTCTTCAAAGAGCAGCTTCTTGATATTGCTTTATTCGGCATCAGATGCGATCGGCATGAAAAGCCTTCAGCCCTCCAGGTGTTGCTGAACTACAGCGCCCATCATCCCTGGTCCTTGGCCATGCTGACCGGGGCTGATGGGAGTTGTAGTCCAGCCAACATCGGGATGGCTAAAGTTTCCCCACACCTGAACAAGAGCACACAGAGCTGATTGAAACACTTGCAGAAAGGCTCATTTCTCAGTTGGCCTCGGACTTTCCTGTTTCGGGATGTGGCAGGAAGAAGCCTTCATGTCCAAATGCTTCTCTGTGTCAGAGGCTTCTCTGTATCAAGGGCAAAATCAGTTTATGGCTGCTAAATTTTTTCCTTCTTCTTTGCGTCTGGGAGATACTGTGGTACCTTGAGTTAAGAACTTAATTCGTTCTGGAGGTCTGTTCTTAACCTGAAACTGTTCTTAACCTGAGGTACCACTTTAGCTAATGGGGCCTCCCACTGCCACTGCGCCGCCACCGCCCAATTTCTGTTCTCATCCTGAAGCAAAGTTCTTAACCCGAGGTACTATTTCTGGGTTAGCGGAGTCTGTCACCTGAAGCATCTATAACCCGAGGTACCACTGTACTGTGAATAATCCAGCTGCAGACACACACACACACACACACACACACACATATGAGAGCAGGGATGAAGAAACCTGTGGCCTCCCAGGTGATGGCCACATCCACACCATACCTTTAAAACGCTTTTGTACCTCTTCCAAACAGTCATGTTTAATTACTGGCACCCAAAGAATATTGGGAACTGTAGTTCATTAAGGGAGCTGAAAGTCATTAGGCTATCTCCCAGTTCCCCTCACAGAGCTATAAATCCCAGGATGGCTTAAGAATCAACTCCTCTTCCCAGGGAATTCTGGGATGTAGCTCTGTGAGGGGAACACCGGGGGGGGGGATCTCCTAACAATTCTCAGCACCCTTAATGAAATAAATGTGTTTTACTTTCTGAAGGAAGGTGGGAGGAGAGGCAAGGAAAAAGATCTACCCTCCCTCCTTTTTTTCTAAGGATTCTACTCTCCCTTCCTCAAAACAGCAGCCACGTCTGACAGCAGATATTTTGGTTTCCCTGGAAAACTGTATAATGGTTCAAGTGGACTCTTGTAGCCAGGAGAGCTGCGTCAAGAAGTGTCTGCGTAGTCTAACACACACTCTTAGCCAAGAATAGAGACAGGATAGAGGTGTTGTTACACAGATGTCATTAAGCCGCACAAATCTGCCCCTCCACCCCCCAAAAAAACCCTCATTGGGGTCCATGAATTTCAATGTGTTCCTTTGTGCTGTATGTATTTCCCCCCTTTTTTCTGTAGCCCTCAAATGGATAGCCACCCTGAACCTTGGCTATGGCGGGGCTCACGCCAGCTATTATCACCGTGCCAATGACCAGGTGAGTCAAAAAGGAGTTTCTTCGGCGCCCCCGCCCATTGCCCACTTTCTTTGGCCAAGTCTGACCTCTTGATTTCTCCCCCTCAACAGATCCAGGTCGGGGTAGAATTTGAGGCCAACACTCGGCTGCAAGACACGAGCTTTGCCTTTGGTTATCAGCTCACGCTGCCACAGGCCAACATGGTTTTCAGAGGTGAGCGAGGGGCTGGGACGCCCTCCCTGTGCGAGGCCAGAGTGTGATCAAATGCCTGAACCTTCCTGCCACAGGCCCTGCTTCCCATAAGCCCTTCCTTCATCCGCCGTTGCCTGTCTTCCTGTGACAGGATAGTACGCACCCCGGAAATGATCTCTTTCAGCTTCTGCCTTCTGGAAGAAGGTATAGGGTTATAAAGGCCAGGACTAGCCGCCTGAGAAACAGTTTCTACGCAAATGCAATTCTGGTTCTAAATGCAGCATAAGGGGTCTCTATAGTATAGTGTATTTTAAAATGGGGTTTCAGAGTTTTTAGAGGGGTTTGAATGTTTTATATAGTTTTGTAGTAGTTTTGTAGTAGTTTTGTAGTAGTTTTGTAGTAGTTTTATGTAGTTTTTCAATTTCATTGTTCTGCATGGGACAATGACAATAAAGATATCGTATATCGTATTTATCGTATATTGACAGGAAATGAGTTTGGCAGGGATAGGGAACCTGAGTTCCTGTCTGTCGTGAGCCCTGTGGAGGTGTCATGGGAGGGGGGGGGGGGAACGGGACAGGAACATCCTGAGGAGATGAGGGGAAAAGAAATCAGGAGGTTGCAGCTAGATGACCCTGAGCAGCATGAAGAGGACAAAATTGGGGCCTCAAGAAATGTCTGAGCTGGAGGAGGAGGGCTGGTGATTGAGGAAGCCAGGAGCTGAATCCCAGGGAAAGGTTTAAACAGATTGTCAGAGAGATGTCCCATCTTGGAAGTCTTCCCTGAGTGTGAGGCTCTCCTGAAGCCAAGCTTGGGGGCTCTCAAGGCCATCCAGCAGAGTCTGAGAAAAACTGGCCAGACTTTTTAGAGAGGAGAGAAGACTGCATCTCAGCAGCTTGCTTGAGAAGTTCCAGCGGTGGGGAATTGTAAACTGGGTGGCTGCTATTGCCATCTTAACTTGGGGGTCCCCCACTCCCCTGAGGTTCAGGTGGCCTTTACCACTGTCCCTAGTGTGACAGGACCTCCCCTGTGAAGGCCAGCAGAAGTCCACCCTGCTTTCTTTGAGGCACCTTTTAAAAACCATACAGTTCAGACATGGTTCTCTCTCTCTCTCTCTCTCTCTGTGTGTGTGTTTTACCAACCAATCTTTATTGATGTTATAGTTAATAGGGTTGCCATATTTCCAAAATCTCACCAACAACAAAATGAAGTTTTTGAGCTATTTTGAAGGAAATTCGCCAAAATCAACACTTCCAACACGGGTTGCCTGTCCAGATTTCCCCAGACATTGCAGTGATTTCCACCTGGACGCTGTTTCTGAGTACCATACTGTGTCTGGGAAATTCCAGATGTATGGCAACCCTATTGTAGTAATACTATATTTTTCCATAGGGCCCTGCTGCCTTATTACCCTTTTTTTTAAAAAAAAAAAAATCAAATTACAGTTTGTAAATATTTAAACCTACACAAAATGTGCCCCCTCTTTCCTTTTCTAGGTTTCCTGGACAGTAGCTGGTGTGTGGGGGCTGTCCTGGAGAAGAAGCTCCCCCCTCTGCCCGTCACCCTGGCCTTGGGAGCCTTCCTCAACCACTGGAAGAACCGGTTCCATTGCGGCTTCAGCATCATCGTGGGCTGAGCGCCCTGAAGATCCACCTCTCTCGACTGCGCGAGGCAGTTGGATTTGATTTTGCGAAGCTGCTTGGTCAGAGGGGACCCCCGTTCTGTCCGTGTGTCTGTGTGTTTTGTGTGGGCAGAGCGGGGCACTTCACCACAGACTTCTGCAGTGGGGCAGCGATGATTTGGGGGCCCCAGCATCCTCTCAGCGTGCCTGCATCACAGCCCTGCCTTGAGGAGGTCCACGGATTTTTTATTTATTTATTTTTTGTCTCCAGAAGGACATTTAATGTTATTGGTGTGGCAGGGAGGGAGATGTGCTCTCCTCCGAAAACATGACCATGTATTGTTTTCTTCCAGATCGTGCACGGCATAAACTCCGCGGCAGGTGTTATGGTGTGGGTGACGGGGCAGGGGGCTCGTGGAAGGACGGATGCCTTCATTTGCTGGGGCTTGGAGGATGTCGATCATGGCATTCCCTTGAGGAACTGGGAATCGATGCCATCACTACGTCAGTTCTGGCCCACAACTCTGAATTTTGAAGAGGGTGGCATGCATGTGGGCATCGTGCCACTCCCCTTGCCTGGGACTGTGATGAGGGCAAGGGCTGTGGCTTCTGTGTAGTGATGGCTTGGAATATAATTAAAATCATGCTGGGGACATCCCATCCCCCCTCAAAAATGTGTGTCTTGTTGGTGCTTATTTGGGGGACCTGCAAGAAGGTTTGCCTGTGATATACTTTGCCCACCAAGTCGCCAGGCAGGAGGAAACAAAGGCATTGCCATCTACTATGTTAGCTGACTTTTTCTAAAGCAGGGTTTCCCAAACTTGGGTCTCCAGCTGTTTTTAGACTGTTTTTTTAAGACTGCTATTCCCATCATCCCTGACCTGTTAGCTAGGGATGATGGGAGTTGTAGTCCAAAAGCATTCACGTCCTCAAAGGCATCGGATGGGAAACAGAATTTTTGACTTGACCCTGGGGGTGATCCAGCAGGGCTGCTGTTCTGTTCTGTTAAAATTCCTTGGGTGTGTTGGAAGAGCTCAGCATAGGAATGAAGGAAAGAAACAGGAGACCTCAAAGGTGTACTAGGAGCACATTTTATCAAGGCTTCGAGCCTTTGAGCTGCAGTTCAATTCACTTGCCCCTGAAGAAATCTCACAAAGAGCTAGCTGGAAGCCTTTTGTGTGCTGTCTATTAGTAACTAATTCTGGCCAGCTTGAGGGCCTTCTGGTAGTTCCCTCACTGCTAGAAGTGACGTTACAGGGAACCAGGAAGAGGGCCTTCTCAGTAGTGGCGCCCACCCTGTGGAACACCCTCCCACCAGATGTCAAGGAGATAAATAATGATACGACTTTCAGAAGGCATTGGAAGGCAACCCTGTATTGCGAAGTTTTTTATGTCCGATGTTTCGTTGTGTTTTTATATTCTGTTGGAAGCCACCCAGAGTGACTGGGGCAACCCAGTCAGATGGGCAGGGCATAAATAAATTATCATCATCATCCCATTTTCCTGCTTGAAAGTCACTTGGAAAAGTGTGTGCTGCAGCAAAAACGGCACTGCCTCATTTTTAAAGTGCTGCCGAAAGAGTTCAGGTGCAGAGTAGACAAGATAGCTTTCCATACTCTGAAGCCTGCTGCTCCTAGGTGCCTGTACTGATTCTGTCTGGCCGTGGCCTTGCATCTGATGTGCCCCCGGAAATCCTTCTCGAGCTGTAAATAAACACATTAAAACACACACACACACACACACACACAAATATGCCATCACTTTTTGGCGGGAGCTCTTTTCCTCCCACAGGACACCAGCTTGATATGCAAAAGCTGCCCTGAAATTCTCTCTGTCTGGGGGTGGGGCCCTGGCAGTCGGGCTTTGCTTTCGTGATCTCGGAAGCCTAAAGAGGGTTTTGAGGGGCAGCGCTGGGGAGCTTAGAGAGGATCAGTGGATCAGACAAGGTTGGCTGCAAGGAGGCTCATGATGAGGCTTGGCTAAGCCAGGATTGGGGGTGAGGATGGGAGGAACAGGGTTGGCTGCTATTGGATTAGCTGTGGAAGGAAGATTAGATTGTTTGTGGGGGAGCGGGGGACGGGAAATATGGGTTTGCAGCAGATGGAGGGGGAAGAGACTACAGTTCTGCAAAAGTAACCAGCCCTTGCTCAGGGTAGCAGCAGAAGGGAGCAATGCCTGGCTTTCCAGCAGATCCCTAAAACTACCGGATCTCGAGAGAAGTCTTGGAAAACTTCTGGATCCGGTCTTCCAGCACATATGTCCCTTTTTACACCTAAAGCAAAACATGAACGAAAGATGCAGCACTCTCCTGGTGCAAGCTTTCAGCTGATAATTTCCGAAAGCAGTGGCGTCATGGTGTTGAGGTCCTGGGTGTCGTGGATATGGAGGATCTGCCGCGTATTTTCGACTTTCAGCGTCCTCAGCTCTGTCAGCAACAAGAGAAGTTTGGCGTAGAGGAACCTGGAGAAGTGGAAGGGAGAAGGAGGCAGCCATCAGTCCTTGTCGTTCCTGATACTTTGAGTGGGTGCTCTCTATTACACACACCAAATTTCCATTTGCTCCTTGCCTGAGCACCACCTAGGGCCCCATCAGCACCACACATTCAAGTTACGTTGCTTTAAGCAACTACGGCTTCCCCCCAAATCACCCTGGGGACTGTAACTTGCTAAGGGCGCTGAGAGTTGTTCAGGAGACCCCCTCGCAGCTACAGTTCCCAGAGGGATTTAACAATATCCATTCCTCTTCCCAGGGAATTCTGGGAATTGTAGCTCTGTGAGGGGAATAGGGGGTCTCCTAACAATTCTCAACACCCTTAATTGTTTAGTTGTGGGTGAACATATCAGACGACACAGCGATTCTTCAAACAGCTCTTCTTTATTCAGAGGCCAGAACAGAACTGAACTGAAGGGCTCAGTCAGCCTGCTTATATAGAGCTCCAGTACAACGTTACTGCAGCAACTTTCTAAAACTATCCAATCACTGAACGTCACTTTTGATCCTTCATTTGCATAAAAACTATCCAATCACTGAACGTCACTTTCAATCCTTCATTTGCATAACTATCTACAGTATCCCCCTGCTGGCCCAGGGTGAGAACTTCAGTACATAACATTAATAAGCCACAGTTCCCAGGATTCATTGGGGGAAGCAAAGGCTGCTTAAGGGATCTTAAAAGACTAAGGCCTCCATCCACACTGTACATTTAAAGCAGTATCATACCACTTTAAGACATCATGGCTTCCTCCAAAGAATTCTGGGAAATGTAGTTTGTGCTGAGCAGGGGTGCCAACTTGAATAAAATATGGGGAGGGCCCCAGGTAAGCCCCGCCCCACATAATCAATCACAGAACGTGATGCACACACACCATTTGAATGGCAACGCCCGCCAACTTTGGGTGGGTGGCCCCTTCAAATGTTTTATTGGGGGGGTGAAGGGACCTTGGCCCCTAGGAGTTGGCTCCTATGGTGCTAAGAGTTGTTCAGGGACCCCTATTCCTCTCACAGAGCTACAGTTCCCAGAGTCCCCTCGGAAGAGGGATTGATTGGTAAAGCACTCTGGGAATTGCAGCACACACAACCAGCACAAACCTTCATTTTGCCCATTGTGAAGCATGATAACTAGGGGCTGGAAAGTTGGTGAGAGAGTGGAGAAGTAGTAACTGTTGGGACAGGTCAGAAAATACGTAACAGAAATGTTCTGTGAAAAACTGACTACAGCAGAACACCTATGGCAATCCTAAAAAAGCAGGGAGTGTGGTCAGTTGCACGAAAACAATCACATTTGCAAAATAAAGAGCCCGTCTGGAAGCCCCAAAGCAACATCGGGATGGCCACAGATTGCCCACCCCTTGTAGAGAGCACCCCCTCCCCCACCACAAAGCACGTTCCCTGCTCACCTTCCTTCGGGCAGAGCATGTCGCTGGTCAATGTAGTTTTTTAAAGTTAGAGCGATTTTCTCTTGGGTCTGGTCAATCACCTCTCGCTGCGTGACGTCCATGTGGTCTGCAAAGTCGCAGGCTTGGGCAGTGAGAGACAAGGCAGAGGAGATATGGGGCAAAGGGTGAGGAATTCCCCTCTTACCCAAAGGGAGTGCTGGCAAAAAAAACAAACAAACCCCACCCACCCAAATGGGTTGCTACTTAGTGCATGCTCAGAGGCACATAGAAAAACGTCCCCCTCTTGAGGAAGATGTACTCTGCATGCACCCAGAGGCCCTTGTCTGGAAATGCCGGACTTCTTGAAATAAAGAATGAGGTCGACATACTGTGCTGTGTGTGTGTGTGTGTGTGTGTGTGTGTACGTACACACACACACACACACACACACACACACATATGAGCAAACAGCACTTCACCCACGTTTTCTCTGGATCCCTTTTGAGATTCAGTTAATCACGGGAATAAGAGATACAGGCCACTCCCCATTTACGAAGGGGTTATGTTACGAGGCACCACGTTTAACTGAAACTACGTATATTGGGAACACCATTGGGGAAGCCTGCAAACACCCCCATCGCTCCCTCCCAACCTCCTCACTCAAACTCCCAATTCTCCACGGGCCTCAACGGTCAGTGCAAAGGCTCATGGGATTGCACTTGCAAAGGCTTGTAGGATTGCTAAGCGCCTTTTCCCCCTTTTCTGGGCTCTTTTAGGGCCATTTTTGCCATTTTTAAAGACACTTCCAGGTTTGGTGCGACGCCCGTGCGGTCACACACCAATGGGACGTGTATTGACTGGCCGTTGCCTGTATGATACTGCGGTTAACAAAAAATATTTATTTATGTTTAATCACAGATATATAAGCACACCCGCATACAGACAGGCATTTTTTATTCCACCTCTCCTTCCAACGAGCTCTAGGTGGTGTATACGGTTCTATTGTTGTCCTCTGAACAACCCTGTGAGGAAGGCCAGGCTGAGAGGCCGCGACTAGGTCACCCGGTGAGCTTCCTGGCTGAGTGGGGATTTGAACCTTGGTCTGCCAGGTCTTGGAGGGATGCAGGTGGCGCTGTGGGTTAAACCACAGAGCCTAGGACTTGCCGATCAGAAGGTCGGCGGTTCAAATCCCCGCGAGGGGGTGAGCTCCCCTTGCTCGGTCCCTGCTCCTGCCAACCTAGCAGTTTGAAAGCACGTCAAAGTGCAAGTAGATAAATAGGTACCGCTCCGGCGGGAAGGTAAGCGGCGTTTCCGTGCGCTGCTCTGGTTCGCCAGAAGCGGCTTAGTCATGCTGGCCACATGACCCGGAAGCTGTACGCCGGCTCCCTCGGCCAATAAAGCGAGATGAGCGCCGCAACCCCAGAGGCGGTCACAACTGGACCTAATAGTCAGGGGTTCCTTTACCTTTTCACCTGCCAGGTCTTAGTCCAATACTCTAACCGAGCAGGCGTGGAAACCTCCTGCCTTTCAGAAAGGGTGGTGATGGTGCAATCTGCCACTACTGGGATGCGGAGGACTTACCCGGGTAGAACAACACCAGGGCTTGGAGCAGAACGTATTCAGCCTCGTGCAGCCTCAGCTTCTTCAAGCTGATGTGGAACTTCAGCAATGGCTCCAGGTAGACCTGCTGGAATCCAGCTGGAGGAGAAGACAGGGATGTTGATAAAGTGGGTCTCTGTGTATTGTGGGCCTGTGATGCTTATGGCATGTAGCATAGTGGAACAGTTTGCCCACAGAAGGAACCAATCTGAGGTCACAGGACTGGCCCCTCCAGGATCCTCTGCTGTGCTAAATACTCCCCTCTGACCACAGGAGGGAGCATTCACACAACGTAATCCAATTATGGGTCTCTTGCTAGATTGGTTGTATGAACCCCATGAGCAAAATTGGTTCCAGAAGGCAACCAGGTCAGGAAAGAACCCAGGAAGGAATTCAGCGCCCCAAAAGGGCTCTTGTTCCCACTTAGCATCATTTGCGTCAGAAAACAGGAGCGTATTAGTAGTAGTAGTAGTAGTAGTATTTCTAGACCACCCTTCATCAGAGGATTGCAAGACAGTTTACAATATAAAAACACAAAAATGCATAGCATAATAACAAACAAAAAACAATAGCTCATGTGAATTCTCCATGAATTCATCTACCCACACTGCTGCTTCCAGGGTAATCTCTCTAACCCTGCCCAGGAAGCATAATCACGGCAGCCATAAATTGTGCTCCATACATTCTGTTTGGTAGGAATGCTAACAACTGGATTGTACAGACTGAATACTAAATTTATGGAAGTACTAGCGCCTGGAAACTGCAAAACAAGACAGCTTTCCTTTGTACAATTAGCAAAGAGGCTAGGAAATTGATATTTGGAAGTTTTAAAAATGCTAATGGGCTGGGCCAGTCGTGGCCCACAGTGACAGCCACCAACTTGGATGGTTTTACAAAACAATTGAACATATTCATGGAGGAAGAAGCTATCAATGTCTACCAGCCGTGATGACTGTGTCCTGTCCCCACGCTTGGAAGGTGGCCTGCCTCAGGATACCAAAGGAGGGGAATCGCTAGTGAGAAGAGTGCTTTTCCACTCAGATCTCATTTGTGGGCTTTCATTAGGGATCTGGTTGGCCACTGTGAGAACAGGATGCTAGACAAGTTGGACTGTGGCCCTAATCCAGCAGGGAGCTCTTATAGTCAAGCCTGAGAGAGTCCATGGAATGTGCCCTGCTCCCAGTCACATGGCAGTTGTGGGACTCTCTAGACTTCCTGTGACTTACTCAGGGCGCCATCTTGGATGGTGTAGCAGTGTTGGCCGCATTCCCAAGCTTTGGTCTCCTCATTGAAGACTGTGTTGAACCGGATCTGACAGATCTCCAGGGTGGCGCCTTTGAGGAGTGAGATTTGATCATCGATTGGCAAACTTCTGGTTGGGGGAGAGAGAGAAAACACGTTAAGCGGTAAGACAGGCTCAGAGTTTTGGAACCAATCCTTAGCCTTGAGGTAGAAAGCTTGTGACGCTCTAGATGTTGTTGAACTATTACTCCATCACCCTTGACTTAGAGATTGGTTCATCTGTCAGTTCTGGTTTCTCTCAGTTTCTCGCCTTTCCAACGTCCTCCACATTTCCGCATCAGTATTGCAAATTTATTTAAAAAATAACAACAGTGCAAACGTCTCCTAATATAAACGTTTGTATGCAATTTTGCCTCATATACATAATTTTGCAGAGCAATTTTTCCTAATAGAATGCTTTTTTGCCTGTTGCGTTCACTGTTTTTTTTAAATGCTTGATTTATTAAACCTTTAAAGTCAGGCTTTTCGTACATGTGACTTGGCCAGAGAACTGTGTTGCAAAACTTGGAGAAGTGCAAATTTCAAAGGCTAGCTGCATTTTGGTCTGCAGACTGTTTTGGAAAGTTCTAATCACAGAACTGTAGAGTTGGAAGGGACACCAAGGGTCACCTAAGTCCAGCGCCCTGCCATGCAGGAATCTCAGCTAAAGCATCCAGGACAGATGACCACCCAGCCTCTGCTCAAGAACCTCCAAGGACTTGCATGTACTTTGCTAAAGGAAAATATAATGAAAATGATGTATAGATGGTACTTGACTCCTGTAAAATTAGCAAAGATATATCATAATTGTGACAATATATGTTGGAAATGTAAAGAAAAGGAAGGAACCTTTTATCATATGTGGTGGACCTGTCCCAAGGTGAAAGACTTCTGGGAAAAGATTTATAATGAATTGAAAAAAATGTTGAAATATACATTTATAAAGAAACCAGAGGCCTTTCTTCTTGGAATAACAGGTTTGGAATTGCCCAAGAAAGATGTTAAATTATTTCTGTATGCCACAACTGCTGCTCGTATTTTGTTAGCTAAAAAGTGGAAAACCCAAGAATTACCAACAGTAGAAGAATGTCAGATGAAGATGATGGATTTTTCGGAGCTAGCCGACCTAACCGGAAGAGTCTGCGACCAGAAGGAGGAGGAATATCGGGAAGAATGGAATAAATTTAATGATTATTTAGTTAAATTTGTTAAGTTAAAATACGGTAACCGCAAACAGCTTGCAGATACTTAATAGGCTTAGGATTCTGTCTATGTTAAGTGATGAATTAATATGTTTAATTATATAAGGTGAAGATTTAAGGATGTTAATGTTTAAGTTAAATTTTATAAAAATTGGGATTTGGAAAACCGTTAAAAGGATATGCAATGAAATTCAACTAAGGGGAAGCAAGGAAGTCACTTAACAAAGTTAATAACGGTAATTTTCAATAAGGCTATGATTTATGTTTGTTATGTTTGTTTGTCTTGTGTGTTTGTTTGTTTGTTTATAATATTGTGAAAACCAATAAAAAAAATTTGGGGGGAAAAAAACAAGAACCTCCAAGGAAGGAGAGCCCACCACTTCTTGAGGGAGTCTGTTCCACTGGCAAACAGCTCTTACGGTCAGAAAGTTCTTCCTGATACAGTATTTAGCTGGAATCTCCTTTCTTGTTACTTCAACTGAGCATGTGCTCAGAGGCACCCAGTTCACAGAGTGGCTATTTTACACCTGGTTCTGGTTGGCAGATCTCAGTTCTAGATGAAAGCAAGAAGGCAGGGCAGGTGGGGACTGGCTGAGGATGGTGGGGGAACTATTATTATTTTATTACAGTCATGTTGTTGTTGTTTAGTCGTTTAGTCGTGTCTGACTCTTCGTGAGCCCATGGACCAGAGCACGCCAGGCACTCCTGTCTTCCACTGCCTCCCGCAGTTTGGTCAAACTCATGCTGGTAGCTTCGAGAACACTGTCCAATCATCTCACCCTCTGTCGTACCCTTCTCCTTGTGCCCTCCATCTTTCCCAACATCAGGGTCTTTTCCAGGGAGTCTTCTCTTCTCATGAGGTGGCCAAAGTATTGGAGCCTCAGCTTCACGATCTGTCCTTCCAGTGAGCACTCAGGGCTGATTTCCTTCAGAATGAAGAGGTTTGATCTTCTTGCAGTCCATGGGACACTCCAGAGTCTCCTCCAACACCATAATTCAAAAGCATCAATTCTTCGGCGATCAGCCTTCTTTATGGTCCAGCTCTCACTTCCATACATCACTACTGGGAAAACCATAGCTTTAACTATACGGACCTTTGTTGGCAAGGTGATGTCTCTGCTTTTTAAGATGCTATTACAGTCATACCTCTTGTTAAGTTCGGTTCAGGTTATGTTCTTTCAGGATACGTCCCACGGAACGGGTTACTTCCGGGTTTCGCCGTTCACGCATGTGCAGACACTCAAAATGATGTCACACGCATGCACAGAAGCGGCAAATTGCGACCTGCGCACGCGCGGGTTGCGTTCTGCTCATGTTGCGAACAGGGCTCCGGAACGGATCCCGTTCACAACCAGAGGTACCACTGTATTTATTAAATTTCTATACCGCCGTTTGTCCAAGGATCACAGGGTGGTTTACAATATGAAAACACAAAAATGTATAACATAGTAGCAAACAAACACACACACACCCCAGTATTTTGTTGTTTATTATCAATCCCCCTGTATCCATTATTCAAGCCATCAATCACTGACTGCTGAGATATAAACAACCTCTTTCCCCTTCCCCAAGACAGGGGATGCCCTCCATTAACCGATCCTTACCTCAAACCTTTTAAAATCAGTTCCATAATTAACTGATAATTAGTCTTAGATTAATTTCATTGTCTTACAGCAGAGCTGGCTGCCTTACACACACTCTTTCAGCATTCATCACCTAGGAGTTATCAGCAGGCAACACGGGACAGAGGTCACTTCTGGGTGACTGGTTTATTGAGCACCCACCCTGATCTGTTTGCACAACCTTCATGGAGAGTTCAGACAACATTGCGTCAAGCAATTGCCTCCCCCACTTTCCAGCGTGTTTCCGCAATGCTTTTTCTTATTGCAAAAAAAGGGAAGGATTTTTTTGGGGGGGGGGAAGGAAGCAAGTCTGATGCACGGGAGCGACTTTAATCATATGACCTAAATATGTCCGTATGTGATTGAATCTCCCGCACGAAAATAGCAACAGTCTGGAAGCTTCCTTAATTTAGATCAGAGTTCCCCATTAGTAGTCACATATCGACTCCCGGAGGGACGTGGGTGGCGCTGTGGATTAAACCACAGAGCCTAGGGCTTGCCAGAAGGTCGGCGGTTCGAATCCCCACGACGGGGTGAGCTCCCGTTGCTCGGTCCCTGCTCCTGCCAACCTAGCAGTTCAAAAGCACGTCAAAGTGCAAGTAGATAAATAGGTACCTTCCGGCGGGAAGGTAAATGGCGTTTCCGTGCGCTGCTCTGGTTCGCCAGAAGCGGCTTAGTCATGCTGGCCACATGACCTGGAAGCTGTACGCCGGCTCCCTCGGCCAATAAAGCGATATGAGCGCCGCAACCCCAGAGTCAGTCACAACTGGACCTAATGGTCAGGGGTCCCTTTACCTTTATTGACTCCCGGAGGACGATAGGACTTTGCAGGGGGTGAATAAAGACCCTTTGATTCACAGCAAGGCACTCACCTGAAAGACGGTATGGCCTTGGCAAACTGGATCACTTGCTGGATCATGTAGGTGCTGATGTCGGCAAAGAGCGGCAAGAGGTTGAAGACATCGGGGAGGACCTCCTCTGGAAAGCTCTCCATGTGGTCTTGAGGACTGTAGGGGCACATGGGAGGGACGGCAGCATCCTGGGGGCTGTGAGATCTCTGGCTGTGGATGTAGAGACGCACCGCTGGCTGGAGGGGAGACGCTGGTTAAGTGGGGCTCACAATAAATTTCCTTTCATTGAACCCCAAGACCATCTCAGCTTGCTTTCTTTCTCCCACCAGCTTCTGATCCTAAGCATCTAGTCCTCAAGAGAAATGCATGGAAATTGGTCAAGCAGGCCTGTAAGGCAGCCATTCGCCTGATCCATCGCAGTGAGTTAAGGATCATTATTTTTTTGTTTATTTATTTAATGCCACCCATCTGACTGGGTTGCCCCCACCGCTCTGGGAGGCTTACAAAAATTATGTAAACCACAAAAACCACAGTAAAACATCAAAACTTCCCTATACACGGGCTGCCTTCAGATGTCTTCTAAAAGTTGTGTAGTTCTTTATCTCATTGACATCTGCTGGGAGGGCATTCCACAGGGCGGGCGCCACTACCAAGAAGGCCCTCTGCCTGGCTCCCTGTAACTTCACTTCTCGTGGTGAGGAAACCGCCAGAAGGCCCTCGGAGCTGGACCTCAGTGTTCGGGGCTGAACGATGGCGGTGGAAACGCTCCTTCAGATATACTGGGCTGTTTTAAGGCTTTAAAGGTCAGCACCAACACTTTGAATTGTTCTCAGAAGCATACTAGGAACCAATGTACAGTGGTGCCTCGGGTTAAGAACTTAATTCGTTCTGGAGGTCCGTTCTTAACTTGAAACTGTTCTTAACCTGAGGTACCACTTTAGCTAATGGGGCCTCCAGATGCTGCCGCCGTGCGATTTCTGTTCTCATCCTGAAGCAAAGTTCTTAACCTGAGGTACTATTTCTGGGTTAGCAGAGTCTGTAACCTGAAGCATCTGTAACCTGAAATGTCTGTAACCCAAGGTACCACTGTAGATATTTTAGGACCGGTGATATTTTATTTCCAGCAACATCTGAAAACCATCGTGTAGGTCTCTCCTGGTACATGAATCAATTTAGGGATGAGGGACCCCTCTCTAAGAGACGCTGAGCTCCAATTGCCATCACCCCGACCACTGGTCAGGCTGGCTGGGAGCTGGGGTCCAACAGCAGCACGTGGGGGGCCATAGGGTGTTCCTCCCCCCCTCATTCCTGAAACAAACCGTATGGAACTCCTGCAAAGCTCACCTGGTAGTGGTTGAACTGAGAGAAGCTGGAGTCAAAGGTTTTCTTGTGGGCTTCGGTGAGGAGCTCAATCAGTTGTTCCTGCTCTGGTGTGAGGCTGCTTTCCTCAGGTGGCTCCACTGAGGCCGGACTCTGTCCTTGGTGCTTCTTCTGCCACCTCAGCGCACGCCGCACATGCAAAGCTTCCTCTGACATTATCACTGTGTCAGGAACAAAAAGGAAGCAGTGCTCAAAAGAGAAGCTTGTGTGGACCTTGAGCAGGGAGCTACCAGGGACCTGATAAACCAAACGCCCCACCAGTAAGGGTGGGTATAGGGATTTGATTTGATTTGATTCACGTCTCCTCTGAAGGAGGGATTTGATTCACGTCTCCTCTGAAGCCGAATCTTTCCAACCTACAGTTTCCTAATGGACCATAACACAGCCATCCTCTGAAATTCACACTTCTCTGAATTTTACTATTTTACTGAATTTTACTATGCGGCTTGTCAACCAAAAAATGGATTTATTGGGTGAAAGGAAGCATGAACATATTGGTGAAAATGGCACGCACAAAAAAAAACATTATATTAGGGGGAATTGCTGGCAAAGATGTGTACGTTAATCAAAACTCCATATAAGTACATGCTCGTTGGGAGACATTTGCACTAAAATGCTGGTGAATATTCATGAGAATTTAAACAAACAAACCCCACAAATTGCTGCAAAATGTGGCAAACTGAATTTAAAACGGGAAAGATGAGAAATCAGAGAGAATCGGAATGAACTGATCCTTCCATCCCTGAGCGAGTGGGATGCGTTTGGTTTCTCTTAGTTTCTCATTTTCCCAGTCTCAAGTACATTCCCACAGTAGTGTGTGGACTTTTTTTAAGTCCTCAGGAAAATTCGGCATTTTAGCGCAAATTTCTCCTAACAGACACATGTTTATATGGATTTTTGCCCTATATACTTTTTTTTTTTTTTGCAAAGTTCCCTAGTAAAATGCATTCCTATACACACTTTAGGGACTACTCCAGTAGCTTCCTGTGATTAAATGTGTAGTCTGGGAGCATCCCAAGGGCCAGACAGAGGGCCCTCGAGGGCCACAATTTGCCCCTGGCCGGTGGTTCCCTACCCCAGCTCCTAACCACGGCGCCATGCCGACTCTGTTATTACACACTCTCCATTATTATTGATATTACACATTCCATGGCTAGGTTGTAGCTCTTGAAACCCCCATGGGCTTTGCCACTGTCCAAATTAAGCCCTGTTGCATCATCCCTGGGCTTGGGGGTCGGCCGCCTGTGGCAGGCAGGGCACAACACTGTCAGAAAGGTTTTGCCGCTGCATCGGCCTCTTTGCAACGCTGCTTTCTTTCTTTCTTCCCCTGCTGTCAGTGTCCAGCTGAACTTGCTTAAGATTCTGCAGAGAGAAACCCCAATTGATTTGCAACACTCCCCCCTCCCTTCTCAATTCACTTTACAGGGGGTGCCTCTCGCTAGAAGCTCCTTAATGGAATTCTGCAGAGAGGGTCAGGTGCGATTCGGAGCTGTTTGCGGGCAGATCCAGGCGGTATTTCTTTTCTTAAAACCAGTGGCGTAGCGTGGGTTGTCAGCACCCGGGGCAAGGCAAGTAATTTGCGCCCCCTAACCCGTGGATTTGCGCCCCCTAACCCTAACCCCCAGATGTTGCGCCCGGTGCGGCCGGCCCCCCCTGCACCCCCCACGCTACGCCACTGCTTAAAACACACACACACAACAACGACGTGTGTGTGCCCACGGCTACATCACAGTCCGACTGCAGCACAGAACACCCTCTTGTATAAGGAGACCGCAATGCATCACCCTCTGACAGTCTCTCGCACAGCGCTGACGCTCCTCTCTCCTTCCTCTCTCCACAAAGCCCCGGGGTGTGCGGCAGGATTCATCCTGGACCAGATTATTGTCTGCCCACACGCACACCTCACCCCACCCCACTGCCCCCATCAGATTAATCTGTGCTCAGGCAGAGGCCCATTTTGTTTTGTTTTTATTGGTTTGGCTCTGCTGCCAGCCTGCTCTGAGAAGGAGCTCTTTTTTGCTTTTAAGTGTCTTGCTTCTGCAGCTGGAGGAGGGAGATGACTCTATTCTTGCTCCTCTCTGGCGTTTCTTTTAATGAAATCTGACCCTTTGGGCCAGTCGATGCGGAGGAAAAGCTGGCTGGGCGGCCTCAAATCCACCCTGCTTTCCAGCGCAGTGTATCGTTCCCTGGAGAGAGGATGCGGCTTTGCTGACAGCCTCCTCCTCCTCCTCCTCCTCCTCCTCCTCCTCCTCCTCACCCCTCCCTCTCCGCACAACCCTACAGCTGCTTCCAATCCTTCTTCTTTACTGAGGATGGCTTTGCAGAAGCAAACAAGCTGAAGGCTTCTTCTGCTCAGGATGACACCGAAAGATCCTTTGAGAGTGCCCATCTTGTGCTGTTTACCTGTGTGTGTGTGTGTGTGTGTGTGTGTGTGTCTGTGTCTGTGTGTGTCTGAATGTTGTTGCTATCGTTATAGAGCTGGGAAAAGTTTCCCAAAAGGACCACCAAAATAATAAACAAAGGGCCGGAGAAGCTCCCGTGTGACGAAAAGTTACAACATTTGGGGACTTTTTAGTTCCAAGAAAAGGCAAGGAGGAGCAGGCATGACGGGTGTGTGTGTGTGTGAAACGAGGCCTGGTGTGGGGGGTGGGGATGGACAGAGAGGTCTCTCTCATAATATTTAAACTCGGGGACAACCTATGAAGCCTGAATGTTGAAAGATCCGGGACAGGCAAAAGAAAATACAGTGGTACCTTGGTTCTCGAACAGCTTAGTTAACAAACAAATTGGCTCCCGAATGCCGAAAACCCGGAAGTAAGTGTTCCGGTTTTTGAATGTTTTTCGGAAGCCAAACGTCCGACGCAGCTTCCTCTTGGCTGCAGGAAGCTCCTGCAACCGATAGCAAGCAGCGCCTTGGTTTCTGAAAGTTTTGGAAGTCGAACGGACTTCCGGAACAGATTGCGTTCGAGAACCAAGGTAGCACTGTTGTTCTTTGCACAGTGCAGAGGCAAACTGTGGTAGCTGCATCTGCAAGAGGAAGCGATGGCCACTAGGTTGGATGGCTTTGAAAGAGGACTGGAGAAATTCACAGAGGACAGGGCTACCAATGTGACCAGCTCCGACGGTTATATTTTACGTCTGCTGGGAATCTGATCTAGCAGGGTTCTTTTTATACTATAATTTATTAAATTATGAACCACCTTTTACAAGGCAATTTGCAAACGTGCCATTAAAAACAGCTGGAAATAGCTTTAAAAGCAGAACATTGACAACAACAAATAAGGATGAGTTTTGAAACTATACAAAATGAACCCCTAAGGCCAGAGACTTTTCCATCCTGCTGGAAAAGCCTATCAAAACAAACATGCCTTCAGCTGTTTCCTGAAAGTGCATATAGTAGTGGTCTGCCTGCCATATCTCTATATGGGATCGTGTCCCACAAGGTCTTGGAGAAGGCATCTGATATTTTGGGGACTTCAAAGAGAAACTCTCCTGCAAAACGCAGGGAACGTTAAGGAGAATCTCTCTTGCTGAATGCAGTTAAGTGCAGGACAAAAGGACCAGGCTGAAAGAATTGGGGGGTGGGGAAAGAGAGAGAGGCTTCCTGGGTCATATAGTAATAGGAATTAAAAAGAACTCCACAAGCCAGGGCCTGAGGGCAGAAGCCATCCAGTCTGTTTCTTCCCCACAACCCCTTCCAGGTCTAGTATGACTTTTGCGTTTGACCAGACAGCTTCATTAACGCTAATAGCTATTGATAGGCAAATATATGGAGGATGGGTATCACAAACGGGATCTGGTAGGAAAATTCAAATCCACCACAGCTGAACTTGTTTAGGCCATAGGATGTAATTAGGGTTTGGTGAATGTGTCAATTTCAGTTTCTCTCTGTCGTTTATCCAATCTTAAGTTCGGTTCCCCAGAGTTCCACATCAGTTTGAAATTATTATTATTATTACTACTACTACTACTCAGAATCCTCATGAAAATTCATTAGCATTTAGTGCAAAATTTAGCCTAAAATACACATTTCTGTGCAACCCAGTTAGATGGGTGGCATATACTATAAATAATCAAATTATTATTACAGACTTTTTTCAAAGCATATTTCTACACGCACACACATTTTTACATGTTAATTTCACTAATATATGCATTTATAGGCACACTTTCCCTTAACACATAGCAATGCAAAATTCAGAGAGGCGCAAATTTCTAAGGATGGCTCTGTTCCGCTCTCCTTAGTGTTTTCAGAAGGTGCAAATGACACGGGTTTGCCTTTAAAATCAATCTGAAGCAAATTTCTCCCTCATCCCTGGGTGTAAGGCAGGGAACAGTTGGCCTCTGTACCGTCAGCCATTTTTAGAATTCAATCAATTCTAATGTTTTTTTCATTATGCAGCCACAGGAGTGGAGGAGTGGCAAGAGGGGCTGTCAGTGTCCAAAGATGCGACCAGGCAACCATATGTATTTTCTGTGTGTGTGTGTGTGTGTGTGTCAGCCCCACTTCCTTGCCTCAGAAGACCTTACTGGGAGAACCTAAGAACATAAGCTTGTGGAATGCTCTCCCCAAGGAGGCACGCCAGACGCCATCTTTATCTATTTTTAGATGTCAAGCAAAGCCTTTTCTCTTTACCCAAGCTTTTGGCCTTTCATTTGAAGGAGGGGCACTGTGGCTGCTTTTAATGGGGGGTTGGGTTACTCCTGCCTTTTATCTGTATAGCCGTGTTGTTGGGGTTTTACTCGCTTGTTCTGAATCCATTTTAATATACGTCACTTTGCGTCAGTCTGTGGGGAAAGTGACTTAACAAATTCATAAGATTAGGAGTAGTAACAGTCCAACTGCAGGATCAGGCCAAAGGCCTTCACAGTCCAGGATCCTTTTCTCACAGTGGCCAAACAGGTGCGGATGGCAGCTGTTGCCTAGCAACCGCCAACAGGGAAAGCCAGGCCTCCATGAGGACCTGAGTGAGGCCCACCTGCTAAGCATCACTCCTTTGCCTCAGAGGATCTCAATGGGAGTTTGGTTTTTGTTTTTTGCCTTGCACGCAAAAGCACCCTAGGGTCGTCGCTTTATTTCTTTTCCTGATACTAGCCTTGAATGTGATTTTTTTAATATAGAAAATTGTGATGGTTTCTGCATTGAAAAGGTTCTGCATTGCCTGGTACAGTAATTTGCCTGTCAGGGACTGGGCAGAGAAGGAGGAGGAGTGGTGGAGACTGCAGACCACCTCCCCATCCTGACCCTTCCAGGGAGGAGGAAGAGGAAGACAGTATAGATTCATAACAGGGGTTTGAGGGAGGTCACAGCTCAGAGGCAGATGAGGGGAAAAGTTAGGAAATACAGTGGTACCTCGGGTTAAGTACTTAATTCGTTCCGGATGTCTGTTCTTAACCTGAAACTGTTCTTAACCTGAAGCACCACTTTAGCTAATGGGGCCTCCTGCTGCTGCCGCGCCGCCGGAGCACAATTTCTGTTCTCATCCTGAAGCAAAGTTCTTAACCCGAGGTAATATTTCTGGGTTAGCAGAGTCTGTGACCTGAAGCGTATGTAACCTGAGGTACCACTGTAATGGGAGAGGAGGAGCAAGCAGAGCCAGAACAGCAGCTGGCTGACACATTGTCACTTGAAAGCATTCCAGACCCTCCATCTCCCAGAACCTGGCGAGCCTTAAAAGTAGGAGAGCAAAATGCTCGAAGACAGAGGGCACTTAGCGGCAGCCGTAGAAGTGACGAATGAGGAAGTGGGAGAGACTGGGTGGGGTGGAGATTCACTCGGGACAACACCATTATCCAAGAGGCTGGATTCTATAGCCTCTCTCTGCAAAGTTTGAAATAAAAAAGGCCCGTAATAAACTTTTCCTTGCCTTTATACTTTCCTGGGCAACCAGCCGGGAGCTGCTGATATTGCCTGGGGCCAAAACCAAGCAAGGAAGAACACTGGCCAGCCACACTTACTGTCTTTCCTCATGCCCGCGACGAGGCATTTCTGGTAGCGGCACGCCTGGCACTGCCGCCTCTTGGCTTTGGTGATGGCGCAGCTTCGGGTGAAGGGGCAGGTGAACTGGATGCCCTTGATGACGGTCCGCCTGCAAGACAAGGGGGCGGGAACGGAAATTACCTCACAGTCGCACCATGGCGTTTCTCTGACTTCTGCAGCCACCTAATGTGTGTAAAAATGTGTAGACTACAGTGTGCCTATAAATGCCTATAAGTGGCTTCCAGCTGTACAGGATTTAAAGTTATATATAGATCAAGATTAAGGATTAGGATTAAAAAAGTTTAAGGAAATGGAAACCTGGTTTTTAAGAGGTAAAATTTTAATGTTATATTATATTAAGATTAAAGATTGGGATTAAAAAAAGAGGGAAAGAAATTGCTGGACAAACAATTTGAACTGGAATACAAAAGAGGGAGGTATGAGGAGGTCCAGAAAATAAGTAAAGTTAAAAATGGAGATGAAAAGGTGGTATTGTTTTTAACTGTTTTCTTTTTTGTCTTTTGTTTTTTTTCCCCCTCTCTTTTTTGGATTATGTATTGTGTATTTTTGAACTGTGTATTTCTTTTTTATGTTTTTATGTTTAATTTTTTATTGATGTGTTTTTTTATTGGAAACCTTAATAAATATCATTTAAAAAAAAATGCCACATGTTAGCGACGACTACACACAAAAACGTCTCTCTAATGTCTCTCTAGGGGATGCGGGTGGAGCTGTGGGTTAAACCACAGAACCTAGGACTTGCTGATCAGAAGGTCGGCGGTTCGAATCCCCACGACGGGGTGAGCTCATGTTGCTCGGTCCCAGCTCCTGCCAACCTAGCAGTTCGAAAGCACATCAAAGTGCAAGTAGATAAATAGGTACCGCTCAGGTGGGAAGGTAAATGGCGTTTCCGTGCGTTGCTCTGGTTCGCCAGAAGCGGCTTAGTCATGCTGGCCACATGACCCGGAAACTGTATGCCGGCTCCCTTGGCCAATAAAGCAAGTTGAGCGACTGGACCTAATGGTCAGGGGGTCCCTTTACCTTTAATAATAATAATAAAAATAAATTTTATTTATATCCCGCCCTCCCCAGCCGAAGCCGGGCTCAGAGCGGCTAACATCAAATGTATAACACATTAACATAAAATCAGACAATCAATTAAAATACATCCTCAAATACTAATGTCTCTCTAAGCACAGTAACCTCAGTTGCGAAAAATTCTGGGGGAACCCAAATATTGAGTCTCTGCATGCAAGGAAAATGCCCCCTGGATCATTTTCAGAAGTGGGGTTACAGAAGTGGGGGGAGGAGTGGAAACCGAGACGGGGAACTGTACCGAAAGAAACCCTTGCAGCCTTCGCAGGTCATGACGTGGAAATGGTAGCCGGTGGCCCGGTCCCCACACACGGCGCAAGTTTTCTCCTCCCCGTCGAGGTCTGTGTCGCTGCGACTGGAGGCAGTGGTGGCTGGGCTGCCTCCACTGCAGCTGCTCTCACCGTCGGAGGGGCACTGCACGGCGACGCCACGCACCGATGCCATGGGAGCTGTGGTCCTGGTGTGAAGGGAGGAAAACCGGTGACAGGCAGACCCACATCAGTGCCTGAGGCTGAAATTCCAAACAAGCATTTTGGAATATGGCTGCATTTCCTGCATTGTAGCGGGGTGGACTCCAGTATGTTTCGGAGAACAATTCAAAGTGTTGGTGCTGACCTTTAAAGCCCTAAACGGCCTCGGTCCAGTATACCGGAAGGAGCGTCTCCACCCCCATTGTCCAGCCCGGACACTGAGGTCCAGTGCCGAGGGCCTTCTGGCGGTTCCCTCACCGCAAGAAGCCAAGTTACAGGGAATCAGGCAGAGGGCCTTCTCGGTGGTGGCACCCGCCCTGTGGAACACCCTCCCACCAGATGTCAAAGAGAACAACAACTACCAGACTTTTAGATGACATCTGAAGGTAGTCCTGTTTAGGAAGCTTTTAACTTTTGATACATTACTGTATTTTAATATTGTGTTGGAAGCCGCCCAGAGTGGCTGGGGAAACCTAGCCAAATGGGTGGGGTATAAATAATAAATTATTATTATTATTATTATTATTATTATTATTAAGCATATCCCCACATTTCACTAAGGTTTGAGAGGGTTTGCCCTGGGCAAAGCGCCCTCTACTGAAGCCCACCTTCTGTCGATGGGTCTGCCGACCATTTTAATTTCCCATAATGCCCTGTGGGACATTAAAATGGTGGCTAGACTAGCCCATCCAGTTCTGCTCAGAGTGCCATGCAGAGGCTTGGTTTTTGAAAAAGGTGGACTCAGAACAGGCACGGGTGGTCAATCTGACATCCCATTCCATAATGATCATCGTACTATTTATACCCCACACAACTTATTGGGTTGCCCCAGTCACTCTGGGCAGCTTCCAACCTAAATAAAAACATAATAAAACATTAAACATTTTTTAAAAAAAACCTTCCCTATGCAGGATTGCCTTCAGATGGCTCAGGGGTCAGATAACTCCATACCCTCCAACATTTCTGTAGTGAAAATAGAGATATCCTAAGGAAAAGTGGGACATGCTGGGATCAAATCAGAAACTGGGATGGCTTCTCCAAATCAGGGATGTCCCTGGAAAATAGAGGCACTTGGAGGGTTTTCCCTAGTTGATTGTGGTTGCTGAGGCTGGCCCTGCATACAATCCAGCTGCCCCTGGTTTTTGGCCGGATGTGGCCAACTCTGAATTCTTGAATGCCTTTCTATTCGTCAAACACGGCTCTGCAGTGTTCAGGCTCCATAAGAGACCTGGCATTGTCTTAAATTTGTCCATTTGGCCATATCTGCACCATACATTTAAAGCACTACCACACCACTTCTAAAATCCATGTTCTGTGACTTAATCCCAAAGAATCCTAGGAACCGTAGTTCCTAGTTAAGGGTGCTCTCCCACTTCAAAGCAAGTAAAGGGGCATTACCGGAGTTCAAGGAGACATCGCAGGCAGGTGAAAACACTACGGAAGGTGTGGAGCAGGTGAGGGGTGTGGCCTCAGGAAGAAGGGGTGTGGCCTGGGGGTTCTTCCGAGAGTCAGCGAGAGAAGCTTAGCAGGGGGCATATAAGACTCTCAGGCCTGAAGTGCCCCATCCTTGCTGTAAGCAGCGGCCCCAATAGTGGGAATTGAGTGACACCTCTTTGGAGCAGCTGGGGGGTGTTTGTGGCTGCCCCAAGAACCTACAGTGTTTCATGAATCTGCATTAAGGCACCTTGAGTTTACCACCTGTGCGAATGTCACGTCCAGCTCCTTGCAAGCGCCTGCGCCTCTGGGTGTAGATAAAAGGGCAGCCGTTACGCAACCTGGAAAGGAAAGAGAACAAGGGAGGGGAGAAAGAGAAAAGGAAAGGAAAGGTCAAGAGAAGAAAGCAACTCTCTCCTGAGTGTCTGGCTCGGCTGGAGGAGAAAAACAAAGAGCTGTGAAGAAGAAAGCAATAAAAAGGCAAACCCCGTTTGCGGTCCTGGTTCATTCTGCCAATTCTTCCCAAAAACAGCCGACCTTCCTTCCTTACTTTTGCTATATACCTGTTGTGTACTGAGAAAGGGGGGCTTTGGGGAGAAGCAGCTGTTCCTGACCTCTGACCTTTCCTAGGTCCTCTTTCCCCCTGTCCTGCTCTTCTTCCTCACCATGCCTTCCCCCACTCTTCCAAAGCCACCCCACTCCCAAAAATGTCCACCCCATAAAGCTGGGCTTACCAGTTGAGTTTCCAGCAGCGTGTGTGTTGGTGAGTGGGTGTAAACAAGGGGGGGCAGCTGGGAGGGTGGAGGGTGAGGGTCTCCCCACAGGGCTGCCACTCGGTGCCGGACTTCTTGTTTGCCTCCCCACTGGCGTTTGTTACTCCGGTGGGGAGAGAGAAAAGGATCTGGATTCTGATAAGGCTAAGTGAAATTTGTACTTTGGCCTCGAGGGCATGCACAGCTGGCGTCTGCAGGGCGGAGGCAAGAAAAACCAGGGGGGCACAAGGTGAGGTGAGGGAGGTTAGGAGCCAGTACGGAAAGAGAGGGAGCAAAAATGAGGGCTGGGTGGAATCATAAAAGGGGTCGTGCTGCAAACAGGGTCCTGGCACCACGGGCTCCACTCCTGTCTTGCTTTTTTAGCTGCATCTGTTGGAGTTCGGCCTGTCACGCAGCTGTTACACAAGTACTGGAGCCTGATGTGCAGTGGTGGCAGCAGGGGGGAAATCTAGTGTGAGTGGGAAGAGAAGGGGCAAAGTTTATCTCTAATAGGGTGAGTTGTGTCCCACATGTTAAAGCTCTGTGAAAGGGGGAAATATCAGTTTATGTTACTGACAGGAGCTCAGCAGCGGGGGAAGGAGTTGGGGGTGAGCTTCTTGTTGGGGGGTGCTTGCCTCCCCCTCCTCTGGCACCACCCACATTGATAGTAAGCTAAGAAAATGGGGGGGGGGGGAGAAGAGTATACCTGTCCTTAAGTGTGTGTGTGTTCAGTTCATTCCTTGTGAGTGCTGAGTGATGGTCTTCCTTGGAGCTATGAGAGCCACTGACTACCATTTTTAGGGTTCCTTTATGTGCTTTCCTTCCTGGGAAAGATGAGCAATTCCTGTTGTTTCCATTGTCCCCCCCCCCCCCCGACTTTCTCACTTCGCTCATCTTGCAAATTAAGAGTTTGAAAGACTCTCATCCTAGTGAGCTGTGACTGAACTGGTTATCTTTCGACTCCTCTTTCCGTTCAGATTATTTTAACATTATCTTGATGGGCTGAATAGACTGTACTCAGGCAACTAAATTTGCATGTGCTGACCTTTCTGCAAGGTGTGAGGAACTCAAGATATCCCTGAATGCCTTTTGGGAGACAAGATGCTGGGATCAGACTGGTACCAGCATCACCAAAGGTCAAGATGAAGTATCTTTTGTTATATTAGGTTATGTCAACCTTTCAAACTTACGCCATAAACCAGGGTTTCCGAAACGTGCGCCTCCAGCCGTTTTTGGACTACAGTTCCCATCTTCCCTTGACCACTGGTCCTGCTAGCTAGGGATGATGGCAGCTGTAGTCCCAAAACAGCTGGAGACCCACGTTTGGGAAACCCTGACATAAACCAGTTCAGATTGACAAACATCTGTTCACAACTGCATGGAACTGATTGGATGACTTGGAGTTGAACGTGTGACCAGGCTTGGATTTTGGGTGGAGAGGTCTGGTTGTGGCTTTTCATTTCTTTTGGAGAGGCAGAAGGTTCCTGTATTGAGCAGGGGGTAGGGGGTTGGAATGGATGACCTTTAAGGTCCCTTCCAATTCTTTGTTCTGGAGCAATGACGAAACTGTGGCTCTTCAGATCCTGTTGAACACCCAACTCCCACCAGCCCCAGCCAATGTTCAGGGTGATGGGAGTTGTAGTTCAATAATGTGCTTTGACTCCAGTTCCCAACCACCACAGCCAACAAAGCCAGTGGACGGGGATAATGGGAGTTGTAGTCTGGCAACATCTGGAATAATAATAATAATAATAATAATAAATTTTATTTATATCCCGCCCTCCCCAGCCAAAGCCAGGCTCAGGGCGGCTAACAACAAACAAATAAACAATCAAATAATCCAACATTCTAAAACATTTCATTATAAAAATTGTTAAAATCAGAGTGTGGCAACCGTTAGAAGCAAAGTTCTGTGCAGGTTGCACGGAGGTAGGAGTCAGGCTGGGCCCTGACCACAAGTACAGTGGGAACAGCTCTGTCTTTTGGGCCTTGCGAGGAAGAAAAGATGTCAGGTCCGCGGTTCCCTAGTCTCTTGTGACAGAGGCGATTCCACCAGATTGGGCGCGGCCCGAGCCTGGCTGGTTGAGGCCAGCCTAACCTCTCTGAGGCCTGGGACCTGCAGGATGTTTTTGTTGCAGACCGTGGTTCCTCACAGCCAAACATACTGCAGGAGAGGCGGTCCCGTGGGTACGAGGTCCTAGGCCGTATGGGGGCTTTTAAGGTTAAAACCAGCACCTTAAAAACCACAGTCCTGTACTCCCGCACCGGGGGCCAGTGCAGATGGTGTAGTACCGGATGTATGTGATCTCGCAGCGAGACCCATAAGGTCTGGCCGCGGCATCTGCACCTTGGGGTTTCTGGGTCAGGTCTCAAAGAGAGCAGCCCACGTAGAAGCGGTTACAATAATCCAGTCTGGAGGTGACCGTCGCGTGGATCCACAGTGGCTAGGATCTGGGCAGGGCAGGTGCTTCCGCCTGTGAGTGGCGTGCTCAGACTAATCTGTTCATGGTGGGAGTATAGGGTGCACCCAAACTCTTAGCGGACGGTGCTGGCACTAATTGCACCCCGCAGAGATGGGTGCCCCCAGTCCATATCGTCCCGTCCCAGCCAGAGGACCTCTGTCTTCCAGAAGGATTTAACTTCCAACTGGCTCCGTAACCATCCAGCCACGGCTGGAAACATCTGGTCGGTGTGTCTGGGGCCGGAGTCAGGATGGCCATCCCATCAACAGATAGAGTTGGGTGTCATGACGCTGCAGTGGCAACCAGCCCAAAACTCCCGGTTAAACACACAGGCGGGCGCATAAAGATGTTAAAAGCATCGGGAGGTATCGCACCCTGAGGCCTCCACACACCAAGGTGGCGGGATGTGGTGTTCCCCCAAAAGCCACCCTCTGTCCCTACCGACCGGGAGAGCGCGCAGCCATTGAAGGACTGTGCCTGGATCCCACGTCGGCAGGCGGTGGTCCAGGAGTTCGAGTGATCCAGCCTGGCGCCGAGGCTGCTGGCCAGGTCTAGAAAGTCAGCGGCCCGACCGCACCAGTCAGCTGCCTCGCGGGTCATCTGGTAGGGCGACCAGAGCCGTCTCGGTCCCATGACCAGCGCGGAAGCCAGACTGGAATGGATCCAAGAGCCGATGTTTCATCCAGAAACCTACCAAGCTGTTCCTTCAGCAGCTCTCCGTCCTGCACCCAGGGGCCAAGAGGAATTGAGAGCGGGCGTGGTGGACAGTCTGGGGATCTGATGTTTTCTTTAGGCGGGCCACCCTGCCTCCTTCAATTCCCCTGGAAATATCAGGTGCAACCAATCTACAATCCAATGAAACAGCACAAACTAAGAATCATAGAAAACCACACACATGACAAAGTAACAAGTAAACACCTTCAAAACACCTTCTAAACATATATAAACATTGTTAACAATTGCTGTGGCAGCACCAGTGTCTTAAAAAGCAGAGGTGAGTCTGGACCCGCCTAGGCCAGGTGGAATTAGCCTGAAGAGGAAGTGCCTTCCCACACTCACTGCAGTAGCCACAGCTGCCCACCCATATGGGTGTCAGAATGGTCCCATCTCCCTTATTCATCTGAGGTGGTCCTATTTCATAGGTAAAGGGACCCCTGACCATTAGGTCCAGTCGTGGCCGACTCTGGGGTTGCGGTGCTCATCTCACTTTATTGACTGAGGGAGCCAGCATACAGCTTCCGGGTCATGTGGCCAGCATGACTAAGCCGCTTCTGGCGAACCAGAGCAGCTCACGGAAACGCCGTTTACCTTCCCGCCGGAGCGGTACCTATTTATCTACTTGCACTTTGACGTGCTTTCGAACTGCTAGGTTGGCAGGAGCAGGGACCGAGCAACAGGAGCTCACCCTGTCGCGGGGATTCAAACCACTGCCCTTCTGATCGGCAAGTCCTAGGCTCTGTGGTTTAACCCACAGCGCCACCCGCATCCCGCATTATTTATCTGAGATGGTCCCTATTTCCTAGTCCCTGGTAAATCATTTCCCCCATGTGGTTTTTTTTTGGGGGGGTGCATCTCGCTCATATTTTCAGATGGGCATACAGTGGTACCTCAGCTTAAGTACTGAATTCGTTCTGGAGGTCCGTTCTTAACCTGAAATTGTTCTTAATCTGAAGCACCACTTTAGGTAATGGGGTCTCCTGCTGCTGCCACGCCACCGGAGCACAATTTCTGTTCTCATCCTGAAGCAAAGTTCTTAACCTGAAGCACTATTTCTGGGTTAGTGGAGTCTGTAACCTGAAGAGTATGTAACCTGAAGCGTATGTAACCTGAGGTACCACTGTATATTGCTCATTGCCATCCTTCAGGTTCCGCTGTACCCCCAACCCTGGGTTTCCAGAAGTGAAATAATGCCTCTTGCCTCTATTGCACATGCACCTCAATCCATGCGCATGAGCCAGGCAATGCACAACCTGCTGTTTTACACCTTGCGCTGGCTCAAAGTGTGCTTTGAAGTGTCCTGGTGGCGCCTTCTCAGGAATCAGGAGCAGAGCACGTGTCTGAATGTGTGCAGTGTGTATTTTTATTCATTACAAACCAGACCTCACCATTTATGGGATTAAGGGGTGAGCATTGCAATCTGGCATCTGAGCTGGCTTAAGCAACAGCACTAATAGATGCACATCGGGCAAAAACTCAGAAGGTGAAGTTTTTGCCTGTATAAAGGCAATATTTACATTTTTTTGCTCTACCCACTTTTGCTTCTGGCCCCGCCCAGCACTGGCACGCTGCCCCTAGAAAGTTGCCCAGAAGGAAATGTGGCCCTCAGGCTGAAATAGGTTCCTTAAGGCTGATCCGTAGGCCTCAAAATCTGTTCTAATCCCCATGGTGGATTTCCTTTCCCCACAGCCAGCTCTCCTTTCTTCCTGGGCCAAGCATATTTTCCCAGCCAGCACCTGCCTCCTCAGGGTTGCCACATTTTCTCCCTGGCCCTGCTCCTCTGCCTTTAGTCAACTGCCTGACATGCAGACACTTGCCAGATACAGTGGTACCTCGGGCTAAGTACTTAGCATATTTTTTGCTCTATAAGACTCACTTTTCCCCTCCTAAAAAGTAAGGGGAAATGTGTGTGCGTCTTACGGAGCGAATGCAGGCTGTGCAGCTATCCCAGAAGCCAGAACAGCAAGAGGGATTGCTGCTTTCACTGCACAGTGATCCCTCTTGCTATTCTGGCTTCTGAGATTCAGAATATTTTTTTTCTTGTTTTCCTCCTCCAAAAACTAGGTGCGTCTTGTGGTCTGGTGCGTCTTATAGAGTGAAAAATACGGTAATTCATTCCGGAGGTCCGTACTTAACCTGAAACTATTCTTAACCTGAAGCACCACTTTAGCTAATGGGGCCTCCTGCTGCCGCCGTGCCACCGGAGCCCGATTTCTGTTCTTATCCTGAAGCACTATTTCTAGGTTAGCGGAGTGTGTAACCTGAAGCGTATGTAACCTGAGGTACCACTATAATGTCCCTACCCCACCCCACTGCCAATTTTAACCTTCCTCTCCAGGGCACTGCAAAGGTTCACCCACAAAATTCCGGCTAAAGGCTAATTAAAGAGGTGGCAATCCTGACAGGAGCAGGGCAGAACGAAAAATGAACCAGATCCCATCCTTTCATTCCCCAGCGTCTGATTAATCCCCCAATCCCCCGGCAATGAAGACCAATTTCCTGCTAATGAAACTTTGAAGAGCTTGATTAATCTGCACTGAGGCAAGCCGGGCCGATCCATTCTTCCCACCGCCATCTCTCCGCCGCACACCCTCCCCACCCACCCCCATCTCGCCGGTGGTGGTTGAGGCGGAGAGGATAATTATATTTGAACAGGATGTCTTCATTTTCCTATGACAGCTCCATCACATCCTAGCTTCCCACCCACCCTGCCCT